GCTTTATGGGAATCTGCAGCCGCTGTTTTGGCCAGCATTCTGCAGTTCAGCTCCGAATTCTATCTCGAAGTTCCAGTCGCCGTGTTAGTAAGGTTGCTTCGTTCGGGAACCGAAGGCACGGTAGTCGGTGCATTAAATGCTTTGTTGGTTTTGGAAAGCGACGATGGAACTAGTGCTGAAGCAATGGCGGAAAGTGGTGCCATTGAAGCTCTGTTGGAGCTTCTAAGGTATAATACTGCACACACTAACATGGTTGATATAGATTGACATAATTAATAGAGCTCTAGTATAGCTGTAGTTAACGTGAATCCCTTACAGGTCCCATCAGTGCGAGGAAACAGCTGCAAGGCTACTTGAGGTGTTACTCAACAATGTGAAGATTCGAGAAGCTAAAGCAGCGAAAACTGCAATATTGCCACTGTCGCAGTACTTGTTGGACCCTCAAACACAAGGCCAGCAGGCAAGGTTGCTGTCAACTTTGGCTCTTGGTGACCTGTTCCAGAATGAAGGGCTTGCGAGAAGTAGTGATGCTGCATCGGCTTGTCGTGCTCTGGTAAATGTGCTTGAAGAGCAACCGACCGAGGAAATGAAAGTTGTGGCTATCTGTGCACTTCAGAATCTCGTGATGTATAGCAGATCAAATAAGCGAGCAGTTGCAGAGGCCGGTGGGGTTCAGGTGGTTTTGGATCTTATTGGATCGAGTGATCCTGATACTTCTGTTCAGGCTGCAATGTTCGTCAAGCTTCTGTTCTCGAATCACACCATTCAAGAATATGCTTCCAGCGAGACGGTCAGAGCTATAACTGGTAAGTTCTCGAAATTAGCAAACCTACTCTCGTCCAAGCTCTTCCACCTGCTCCTAGAATTTGCTCCCTACTATTCTATGGGTTAAGTGGTTCTGAGTTGTCCAATAACTCCATTCTTTTTGCAGCTGCTATTGAAAAGGATTTATGGGCAACGGGAACTGTTAACGAAGAATATCTGAAAGCTCTAAATGCACTCTTCAGCAACTTCCCACGATTGAGAGCCACAGAACCTGCAACACTCAGCATCCCTCATCTTGTCACGTCCCTGAAGACAGGGTCAGAAGCGACGCAAGAGGCTGCACTAGACTCACTTTTCCTTCTCCGGCAAGCTTGGTCAGCATGCCCAGCAGAGGTCTCGAGGGCTCAATCCATTGCTGCTGCAGATGCCATTCCTTTGTTACAATACTTGATACAGTCTGGGCCACCCAGATTTCAGGAGAAGGCAGAGTTTCTTCTGCAGTGTTTGCCGGGTACCCTGGTGGTCATCATCAAGCGTGGTAACAATATGAAGCAGTCGGTTGGCAATCCAAGTGTCTTCTGCAAGCTTACTTTGGGGAACACTCCGCCAAAACAAACAAAGGTGAGAGATCTTGGACTTCCTTGCTGATCATTCTGTCACTATTCTCTTACTTCTTGGTTATTAACGTTAATACTAGGGGTAGGCAATCGAGTGGGGTGCATACTGGACTTAATCGGACCGGACTGAACATAATTTGATTTTCAAATTTAAGTCTTTTCTTTAGTTTCAGTTCCGCAGATTCTCTTAAAAACAAAGGGAAAATATTCAAGAGCTAGATTGGGCCAAGTTGGATCGAATTCTCTTTCATTCCGATTTTGATCCTATTCCGATTCGATATGTTCTCGACCGGATGTGATTGTGGCTATCCTTGACAAATGTAGTATTGGTCATTCACTCATGGGAGCACTGTTTTTCTTCACTGTCAGGTTGTTTCGACGGGGCCTAATCCGGACTGGGACGAGAGCTTCTCCTGGACATTCGAAAGTCCTCCGAAGGGACAGAAGCTTCACATCTCATGCAAAAACAAGAGCAAAATGGGCAAGGTAATTGAAGTCTCAAACCTTTTCTCTTCCCCCATCCTGAAATATATAAATCCAGTTTGTCACTTAACCAACTTCTTGGTTCCTTTCTGATCCCCTCCCCCAATACAAAAACAGAGTTCATTCGGGAAAGTGACGATCCAGATCGACCGGGTAGTGATGCTGGGAGCAGTCGCCGGAGAATACACACTGTTGCCAGAGAGCAAAAGCGGACCCTCGAGAAATCTGGAAATAGAATTCCAGTGGTCCAACAAGTAGTTACCAACCAAGCGGTTCAGCTGCACAACTGTGCTGTTAATCTGTTAATGTACCATTCCCGTTCTTTCATTTTCCCCCCTTACTGTACAACTTTGAACTTTATTTGTGTGTAAATAGCTTGGAAGAAGAAGAGGTTATTGATTTTGGTAGGTTTCTCGTATGCCGACAGAGAAGCCATGAGAGAAGAAAAGGAACTGTAGAATTTTTGGGTCATTTTGGTCTGTCATAACTCATAAGTGTATCATTATCATTCTTTTTGTAGCTCATCATGTTTTCTGGATAATCAAAAGACAGGAAGTGAAACCTGCTGGCTTGTAGTAGTTGCAAATGTTATCTGCTCTGTACACTTGAATATATAACCATGTTTCATACTCTTATCTGGCATTGCAGTCAAATCTGAAGAGTATTAATGCTGTCTGATTCTATGCTTCCTGGAGGTTCGCAATCAATCATTTCCTGTCTTCTGGCCAGCTAAATTTTCCTGTCCTCTTAATCAAAACCCAGAAACTAGTTTCATCAAACAATTACAGGTGCATAGAGAGACGATCACGCAGTATCAGCTCACACGTTGCAAAATGCGAGGAGGGACGACGCTCGCTCTAGAGTACACGTAACTCCGTCTCTGTCACCCAACGGGCCGCGGATAAGCGCCTTAGCCAAGTTGGTGTAGTGAAACTGTAGACAAGTTGCAGAACATTGAAAGGAAAAAAAAGGTGCAAATCCCACTTGCTCTGTTTCTTGGCCTTTTCTTTTTGGAAACGGTAATGATTCACACCAAGCTATCATCATCATTGATCACACAGCCCATGACTGGCTGGAATACGTCCAAACTGCAGAAAAAAAAAGGGGTAATGTAAACAGAGAATGAAGGCGGCATATCGACGACCTGCAATTCTTTCTCTGTACCAGAAATTGAATCCGATAGTGGAAAGGAATAGCATTATGGGAAAAGAGTTAACGGCAGATGAATGAGACCAAAGCAGAGCCGGTTTCTTTTTTTTTTTCTTCCTGACACGTAAATGGACATTTTTGGAAAAAGGTCTCTCTGGACTGGCCCACTACGTGCCCGCTCTCCATTATGGGCCCACGCTACACTGAGGCCCAATTATGAACTCATGTGGCCTTTCTCCGGTACGCTCCTCCGGCGTCTTAGTGGCCGGCAGGGTGGTGGTCCGGTCCGGTCCGATTTTAAAAGCAAATTAGATTGATATAATATAAACTTATCATGGAATAAACATATAAAAAAAACATGGGAAGTTTTATAGTGCACATGGTGAAATCTCGGATACCGCATACGTTGAGTAAGGAAATGCTATTCCGGACTTGAATTGATTGATTTTTCGGAGATGATACTATACTCTAACCCTTAAAGATTAAAACCTAGGTCTTAATTCTTTTAAATCTTATACCCCAAGATCAATTTGATTAGAAACAATAATCAATGGTTATGATTCGTCCAAATATAGGCAAAAAAATCAATGCATCATCTTAGGGTTTATAGTTTATAATTTAGATAATTAGGACCTAGGGTTCACTCATTAAGGATTAGGGTATAATATCACGCCCAAAAATCCTGCTAATTTGAGGTCTAAATAACCTTTCATACTCAAGGTATGCGGTACTCCGGATTTCACGCGGAGTACCTAGAAGGAAAAAAAAGGATATATATTTATGAGTATCATAACTAAGATCGACAATGTATGTTGGTTTAATTTAATTGATTTGAGCGTGGATGGACTCCTTGTTGATTTCCCCCCTTCTTAGTGTTGAAAATCAATTCGCTCTGATTATATCATTGTATTACAAATCCACACAGACACAACATTTTAACTTTGAGTCTGAAGTTTGCACCACATCCTCATTTATTTTTTTGTTAAAGCAAGGGTTTACATCGAGAGTCCTAAAATTCGGCCACGTAGAATTCGTAAGTTTTGATGGATGGTGAGCCACGAGTGTTTGCTCACCAACGCCGAGAGAAATGAGATGAAAGCTAGGCACAAGTGACCATTGCCATCGTTGCTACGGGGTGTTCAAAACATTGGATTACTACCTTCTCTTCTGTCCCTCTATCGAGGAGGCGTAGCATGACATTGTTCCATCATTGGCGCGGAGCTCAGAGGGGCCACTGGGGGGTCTCCAGTTGGTCTGGAAACTTGCACATTAAAGGGTGACCCTGCAAAATGGATTCGACTACGACATTACAGCGATGAGTGATCCGTCTCATCTGCACGCGAGCTTAGTGCTTCAGTTACGAAGTTTCCTTTCAAAGGAGTGGAATCTTAAACTTTCTCATGTTTTTAGATAAACGAACTTCTTTGTCTGACTGTTTGCCTCATAGGGGATTGTCTATTCCTTTTGACACTCTTGTGTTCCCAAACCTTATGACATCCATAAGTGAATTTTGTAATGATCCTCGAAATTAATTTTAATGTTACGAGCTAGTGTGGTTTCCTTTCCATATAAAAAAACTTATGTCCAAGTAAACAAACAGAAAAAGCAAAGTAGAAAAGATGGCGAAAAGAGAAAAGTAGCATTTTCTTTCCCACAAAGCTCCAAAGGAGAGGAAAGGAGGCGAGGCGAGGAAGAACAGAAAAGAAAGAAGAAAGAAATGGTTTTCTTTTTTGGGGTATTGTGTGGCGTTTGTGAAGTGAAGAATATGCAGCAGCAGCAGCACATCACATGATCTCTTCTTCTTTCTTCCCGCTTTCTCTCTCTAGAACTCTCACACTCTCCCACCCAACTTTACCTTTTCACCCCTTCTCCTCCAGCTCTTCCACCGGCCCCACACCACCACCGCCGCTCCCCCACCCACCGCCATCAAACCCTAGATCTCCGCTTCCATTCCCCACATCCCAATCCGGAACCCGGCGAGTCGCCATGCCGGCGGCTCGATCTCCGTTCCTCCCCATCCTCCTCATCGCGGCGGCTCTGCTTGCCGGCACAGAGGCGGCGCAGAAGGGGATCACCCTGTCGACCAAGCTCATCCACCGCTTCTCCGATGAGGTCAAGGCGCTGAGGGTTCGTCGGAATGTCACCGGGAGCGTCTACTGGCCGGAGAAGAGGAGCATGGAGTACTACAGCTTGCTGCTCGACAGCGACCGCCAGAGGCAGAAGATGAAGCTCGGCCCTCGCTACGAGCTTCTTTTCCCTGCTGAAGGGAGCAATACTGTCTCATTGGGGAATGACTTCGGATGGTACATTTCCTTCCTTTCGACTTGGTTTAGAATTGATTTTTTTTTTCTCGGGGACGGGGGCTTTGCCGTAGTGTTTTAGCTGGGAGTTGGCTTTTGTTGCTTTGTGTGTCCGTCTAGTTGTTGTTTGGACTCTGTTGTTGACTGTTAGGAAGAAGAAAGCAGGGGAATTTTTGGGGAACTTTGGGAGGAAGTTAAAAGGGTTTGTCTTTTTGTTTCCTCTTTTGTTGCTTCTATGTTAATCTTTTGGGTTCCGGCTAAGGGTAGGGAGCGATTGGGGGAGTTCTTTCTCTTCTGCTGTGTGTATGTCTGTGGGTTGATGGTTCTGCGATTTAGTTGACAAATGTGAAAGACTTTGCCTTGGATTTTCTGCCATTCTTTTTGCTCTTTGACTTGGACAAGTAGAGAAAAGGTTGAGTATTTTGTTTGACTAATCACTAGACGATATATGCGAAGCTAGGAGTCAGTCGCTCTATCACAGGATATTTTGGAAGAAGATAAGGTGGGGGCTTTGATGGGTTGGGTTGAGATGGAAATATTTGCTTTAAAAAACTTTGCTTTTCGAGGGGAAATGATGTGTTTATGAGACGAAACTACAGTTGTAATTGTGTTGAGCAAGTTGGGTCATCTGCAACTTGGTCTTTTTCCAAGTGTTTGTTAGAAAACTGATGCAACCAGGGAAGAAAGATGCTAACTTGTTTGTGAAGCTGGATTAAGTAGTTATAGCTGATTATTCAGCTCTTGTACTTGTGTATGTGTTTTCAAGTTTTCTTATCACTAGTTTTGCCACAAGTTGAGAAGCTGAATGGTTAGTGTTAGTACAAAAACTACTGGTGCTACTGAAGCTTGTTTGACTGCACTGGTACTATGAAGGTATTATCTTTATGTCTGCAACCTGCTTGACCTTTATCTGATATCATCCATTCTACCATTTGCAGGCTGCACTACACTTTTATAGATGTGGGGACTCCTCATGTCTCCTTCCTTGTCGCAGTAGATACTGGGAGTGATTTGCTTTGGGTGCCCTGTGATTGCTTGCAGTGTGCCCCATTGTCAGCCAGTTCCTATGCCAGTCTGGTAAACCATCCTTCCCTTTTTTAGCGTTGTTTCTCGTTTGCTTCAACTCATCACCTCACTACTATGGGTGTCTGGGTTTCTGTGGTGCGGAGTTCTTGATTGTTGTTTTCACATGTTCTTAAGTGATTAGTTCTTGCCTGGGCTGAAATAGAGAACAAAAGTTCTATTGCATTTTCCTATTCATTTTTGCAATCTACCGGAGATCTAGGATCCTGAGTTGGGGTACCATATTTTCTAAGAGTCTTTTATTCCTAAAATTCTTTAGGTTGTCTATGGTTCCTCTAAATCTCATCTGTTTTAAGTGTTCTTCTCTCCCGATTATGATTGGCTCTGAAAAAAATTAGAGCTAGGCACAAAAAGGTATTAAGAATGGGAGCTGTGATTTCTCTGCTAAGCTATGGGTAACCGGTTTAGCACTTATTTCCAATGATTGATTGGCAGGTGCTCCCTTGTATTTGGAGCATCTAATTGTGCAGGGCCAAGATCTCAATGAATATAGTCCATCGCAATCAAGTAGTAGCAAGCTCCTCACGTGCAGCCACCAGTTATGTGAACACAGTTCAAAATGCAAAAGCCCAAGTCAGCAGTGCCCATACTCTGTGGAGTATTACTCGGAGAATACATCCAGTTCCGGCTTGCTGATTGAGGATGTATTATATTTTGCATCAAATGATGATCTTGGTGCATCAAATGCTTCTGTGAAGGCTCCGGTGCTCATGGGGTGGGTTTCATTTGTTGTTCATTCATTTTCCTGTTCACGTATTCAATTGTTATGCTGATCTTTAGCATTTTTGTGCAGATGTGGCATGAAGCAAAGCGGTGGTTACTTGGAAGGAATTGCCCCTGATGGTCTCATGGGTTTGGGTCCCGGAAAAATCTCTGTTCCAAGCTTTCTTGCAAAAGCAGGTTTCATTCAGGATTCCTTCTCGTTGTGTTTCGATGAGGAAGATTCAGGGAAAATTTATTTCGGTGATCAGGGCCCGCATGCTCAACAGTCTACTCCCTTCCTAACTTCAAATGGAAATTAGTATGAATCATCTTTGCGCTGAGTAGGATGAAAACTTTCTTTCCTCTTAAATCTGTTTGTAGTATCAAGTATTTGCCAATTCTTATAGATTTATGGCTTGACTCAGCACAACTTACATGGTTGGAGTGGAGGGGTGTTGCATTGGTGGCTCTTGCCTCAAGCAGACAAGATTCAAAGCACTGGTTGATAGTGGTACATCTTTTACATTTCTTCCAGAGGATGTATATGAGAAGACTGTTAATGAGGTAGTTATTTGTTATTTTCTATTCAAGTATCTTAGGGGATGTTTGGTACCATGCCTTGTGGAATACATGCATGTTAAGAAATCTTGTATCTTGAGAATGGAAGAGTAAGAATGTGCGTACTATCAAAATACAGTGTTGGTTTTTGTAATTTTAATGTGGACCGCATAATTGTATGTATAGTTAAAATCTTTAGGTGGAATGCATGATATCATGTACGTAAGAAATGCATGTGATACATGGTTTTCCTACCAGATTCAGACAATGAAAACGATGAATTGTAAGAAATCTTGTATTCTCAGAATGTTTGGGACCAATCCCTAGTTACCGGGAGACCCCTAGCTTAATTAAATTTTGGCTCTCTAATATTATTTCCTGGTTTTGTTTGTTAGTTTCACAGGCAGGTAAATTCTACTATATCAAGCTTTGAAGGGTATCCTTGGAAGTACTGCTACGAGTCCAGGTAATTAATTTGCTTAGACTAAAGAGCATTTGACAACTTGTATGTCTGCTTTCTCTCTAAATGTTGGGTTTTATGTGGACAGCTCACCGGACTTGCCAAAAATACCATCAATGAAGCTCCTGTTTCCAATGAACAATAGCTTTTTGATCCATAATCCTGTTTTTAAGGTATATAGCACTCAGGTAAGACATTATCTAGGAAATATATGGAGCCTCATATTATGCATGAGGCTCGTCTATATTTTCTGTCCGCAACCAATTGATGCAAGTCCCGTTGAACTTGGTTTGTGTAGGGGTTTGGTGGATTTTGTTTAGCAATTCAACCTGCGGATGGGGATATTGGAATTATTGGACGTAAGTTTGTTCAGTGTAAACTTCTGCTTCTATCTGATTTTGGTTCAGTTCCTAGCTTCAACTCACACTAAACTCTATGCAGTGAATTTCATGAGTGGATATCGGATGGTGTTTGATAGGGAAAATCTAAAGCTGGGCTGGTCTCGCTCTAAATGTGAGTCTTACACACCACACCTCACTTAAACAACTGTTTCCCTACTCCCAGCTGTAGCCCGTGCACTTAAATTTCCAACCTGTGCTCTTAAATTTCCAAACCACGTAATATGCAGGTGAAGATGAGATCATTTGGGTACCAGGCAATCCATTGGGAACTGCAAACCCACTCCCAACGAACGAGGAACAGAGAATTCCAGGTCAGCATGCTGTTTCACCAGCTGTTGCAGGTAGAGCTCCCTTGCGACCATCAGCAGCTCCTCCCTCGCCCCTACGAGCATCACATTTGATTAAGTTGTTACTGTCGTTGCTAGTGCTTTTCGCATCTAGGACTTTGTGAATAGGAAGGAAAGACTTGGATGCAGTACTCCCTACTATGCTAACTTCGGCTTTTGTTTTAGATTAGGCCTCTCGACTTGTAAATTATGTATCGAAGCTCTACTATATGTATACGTGTATGTGAGTATCAAAGGCTTGTCTTGTGACTTCCCATGCTGCCCTAGGCTAGCTGGTTTCTTCAATTTTGTTTCATCGGTCTCATCTTCCACTCTCCAGTATTTCCGCTTGATGTTCCTATTCATTTATTGTCATTTGTTTCGATTGATTGTCTTCCTGTTTTTCATGCTTGCGCATGTATGCTTCTTTCAGCCTCTTTTTGCAATCCCAACATTATTTACTGATTTGTACTGGTTCACCTCAGGCTTTGAAACTCAGTTAAGTTGATGTATGAATAAAGTGGCCGTCTTTATCATGGCGAACTCCTTATTGGACATCCTCATTGTATATTGTGAATGTTCAATCTTTGAATCATTATTATACGTAACTCCATTATTTTTGGACGAAAGTCTAATGTCTCGGTACACAATGGAATCTGTATCATTCTAAGAAATCCTAAAAGCAGAAACACAACAGAATGAGAGCTCAACATCCGCAAGGAAAAATGGCATTCAAGATCTAGGATCTCGTTATCTAGGCGAACTAAAAGTCTATAAGAAAGGTAACAAACAAATTGATGATTGATCAAAACTACACCCGAGTCCTCCGGTGTTTTGACCCATGTATGTGTGTGTTCATATCAAGAAAGCAATCAAATAGGGTTTGAGATTTTAGATAAGAGCTTGGACACCAAGCTGGTGCATTTCCCTTAACCTCCATATTGGGTAGATAGCACCTTCTCCCAATTCTTGTGGCTCTACTTGTTGCATTGCCCATGCATAATACACAGTGTGGATTGTATCCTGACACCCATAAAAAGAGAAAGGACACAAGTATCAGTGCTCCACATTATTATCATAGACCGGAAACCTACTTGAAGCACGTGAATCAAGGTGATAACATAACGGCCAGCAGAAAAGCTTACCTGGCCTCCTTCAGTTATTTCACCATTACGATCCCGTATGCAATGGATCTGCTGCGTTTGAAACTGCAAAATTTTGCCATGACATGTAAGAACAAAGGCCGAAGCAATCTATGGGGTACTCAATCGTGGTAAGAAATGGAATTTGCAAGCGTACCGCTACAATTATTATCGGAGATGTTCCCATCATTTTGGTCTCTCGTACTTCCACCTCAGACACATGAAGAAGCTGCAGCACAAAAGTGATCGTGTAATTCATCAGAGTCCATGATTAGCACCAACTCTTACTACAGTTCAAAACTAACCAAAAGCTTATGGGAACGAGATGGAGTGAGATTCCATACCCTATTATCGAAGAAGATGCCATTGCTCGTGAAAGCTTTACGCTCTCCTTCGCACCTAGCAATTACTTCTGGGCTGCAATACTTCCTCAAAGCTTCAGTGTCTCCCTGCACATATATTATATAAAGACAAGTTTACATTTTCAATGAATTCTCTGAATTACGTAACCAAAATGATTACAGAAAGAGATGCAGTGGGACAAGCAGATATCAGACATCAGTACCAACCTTCATGTAAGCTGTAAGGACAGGTCTTATGGCATCTTGAACCTCCGACACAAAGTCTGGCAAAGAGAATGATCTGGCACGTAGCAATACAGAAAGACAAGAATAGGTTTAGAGTGTGGTCCAATATCATCAGGAGAATAAATACAAAGAGACAAACTGCAAGGTGTCTATCAGTTCACGTACGGATCACGCCGGCGTATTTCCTTGATAGATGCTGCAGCATCTGTTTCGTGAAAGATGGTATCACCAACACTGAGACAAGGAGAAAAGGTTATGTTGTGAATATAATGGCCCAAGTTATTACCCAAATGTCCATACAAAAAGGGCACATGAATAATAGCATCAGGCATACTCTTGGATTTTGTGAACAATGGGATTATCACTCGTCTCCCATCTTTCCCGCATGTCTTCTGCAAGCTGTCAATTAAAACAACAAAGGACTTATATGACAAAAGCAAAATAAACAAAGATGACAACAAAGACCAAGAAAGAAGTTAAGGAACTACGGACTGAGAAAAAATACAGAACCACAGAAGGGATGACGATTATACCTCTTGACTCTTCGTCACAACAGGTTCACTAATCCCAGAGAAACGCTTGAAAACAGGATTGCCTTGCATCTGCCAATTGGAGCGGGGAAAAGTAATTAGCTGACATTAGAATGTGGATCCAGATAAAAGCAGGTTTGGTACTGTGGAAATAAGATGAAATGCTAGCATAAAGAGTACCACACCTTTTTTCTGAAAGCCTGCCACTTTTCATTCAAGCGAGACTGCTTTGGACTCGACATTGGAACAACATCAGTTTTTGTGCTTATTTCCCCTTTAAAAGGGGTAAACTCGAGGTGCTTTCTTGCATTTGGATTACCATTTAACTCATCCTTCACAATGTCATATCCCTTCTTCATTATTTCAGTGACCTTTGCCTCCTTCAATTTTTGGAAAGCCGATGAAAAAGCAGGGATTCTTGACTTAAATTTTCCAAACAATGTTTCTGCCGATCCCTTTGTCTCGGAACCTTTGTTTGTTTCTCCACCAGTTTCACCGGTAGTGTTTTCTTTTGTATCAGGACCATCTTTAGACGAAGTGCCGGTGGACTCAGCAGACTCTTGCTTCCCCATCTTGAAAGCTCCTTTCACCTAAATTTAAAAGATGATATTAATTCATCAAGACACAGAAGAACTGATTTCAAGCCCACAGAAACATTCACTAATGACTTATCCAAATTACAGGGCATACCTCATCCGTAGCAGCAGAAATCTTTTCCTTGACGCTTGAGGAAACCTGAAACAGCAATAGATTAACAATGCCCAGTAAGTTTCATTCATAATAAGCAAGAACGTGCACAACTTATTACCAAAATCCTAACCATACCTTCTTAGCAGTTGCTTCAGCCTCTGTCCAGACGCCATCAACATGCTTGTACAGCTTCTCAGTGGTCTGCTTCGTTCTGCATTCGCCATTTCACCATCTCAGGCCCTCCCTTGACACACAAAGGTATGTCTCAGCCTATGAACTAACAATACCAAAATGACATCCCCACAAACACTAGTCTACTAGATTACCTAACTCTCAGGTCATCTTTAACGCCTTTAAGTTCCCCAGCTTTCTCCTTCAATTCCTTAGCTTTCTCCTTCAATTCCTTAACTGACTTCTGAAGCTCTGGATTTCTGAACCAACAGAATGGCGGCAAATTTACTCTCCTCACGTAACCATCGAAATGTGTTCAAAACTATAGGCCAGGATGGAACGAAGCTAAACCGCTCACATCAACACGGCAGAAAACAACAAAGTTTCTGTCTTTACCAGATACCCATCTCAGAAAAGAATGATACCTTATCATACCATGTTGCCCAGCAAAGCAGAGAGCCGGGTGAAAAGTACAGTTAAGAGGGATAATGAAAATACCTATTAACTTCTTCTTTAACATTATTGAAGACACCAAACCTCCGGTAACCCGACCACCTACTGTCCACCAGCAACCTTGACGTCGTATATAAACCCTAAACCACAAATGGAAAACAATTGCAAGCTAAACCCCTTGAAGACGAACAAAACCCAGAATAAAACAGCCAAAACGAATACCAAGCGGCAGAAAAGGAAAGAGGAAAAACCTCAGCGGGCTTGCGTTGGACGAGGAGTGGCTGCCTGGCCAGGAGCAGGTCGCGGACAAGCTTTCTAGCTGCCATCTGAATATGGAGAAGAAAAGTTCCTCCGGCGGCAGAGTTGGAGATCAATTCAGAATGAACCGACGAGAGGGATTCGAGAATCGGGACGGAAGAGCACTGTTGTGATTGTAACCCTAAGCCGAAGCTGTGCTGAACTGCTGGTCGTATTGTTCTTTCTCTTTTGCGTTTTCCGTGTCTATTTGTGAAGTGGAGAGCGGGCAGAGAGGAAAAGCTTGTTTTTGGGCAACGGGACGAGTGTTCTCCTGCTGGCCTGCTTTGGGGTTAGGACTTTGGAGTAGTGATCACGGCGGTGCGACCGGTTTAGCCATTCACCGGGTCGAACAAGTGGATTGAGCGTTAATGATCCAATTGTTTTAGCCTCATTTAGTTTGGATATATGAAAAAAGTCATTTGTTGTTCATGTATTTAAAAATCGGGTAAATTATAAGTTTGGTCTACATATGATTATTAAAAATGTTCGTGTTTGATCACTACAAATATTTAATTTCGTGAATTATTTGATGTTAACCAAATTATTGGTTTCTTATCGTGGGAGTAGCGCGGGCCGTATAATTAATCATGATACATCCGTTTCAGTGATTTTCAGTCAATTCTACACCAGCAAATTTGAATATTAGATGTGTTATATAAATTTGTACCGAACCCTAGACAAATTTCCACACGAACAAGAAAAGCCATCTAATGAACCAAGCCGCTAATGAACTACTCAGCGTCCTACTCGAGAAAAACTCGTTCGACACTCGATTCGTCTTTAATCAAGCCGACTCGCGAACAATCTCGTTAACTAAACGAGCCGAACTCTAGCCATACCATGTTCAGTTCGAAAACTCGCGAACAAGCTCATTTGACGGTTTGACATAAGAAATGATTATCATTCATTGATTTTATCTATTGAAATTGGGTTAAACATGCAGTGTTTTATTTTGCCAGACTTTGCTACAAGTTTGAATGTAATTTTATGCCCAATTCTAAGGTCAATCTTGAACTACTATGAACATTTTATGAGCTTAACTCGATTTTGGGTTCGTTAAACTTATTTGACGAGCCGAGCTCAAACTTTGATTTTCATAAACGACCCGAGTTCAAACTTGTATAATAAAGCTCGTGACGAACACAAGCAAAGCTCAAGCCGAGCTCGAACTATGACAAAACTTGACTCGAATCATTAACAGCCCTAGACCATCCAGTCTTGGCTTCTGGAATATAATATAATATAATAATATATATATATATATATATATGGTGGCGTCTTCAGTGCACTCACTTTTTTGGGTGCATTCAGTGCACTCGCTTCATAATCGTTATTTTAAACATGCGATTTATGTCAAAATGATGTCAATCATCACTTATGATGTGATGAACAATAACGCACATGAATTTGCACAAAAACCATTAAAGATTTACTTTAATTTGAAGGATTTATAGTTTAGAGATTTGGGGTTAGGGTTTATAATTTGGGATTTAGGGATATAACTCAAAATTGGAGGTCTATAGCTTAGGGTAATCCGCTAATTAGTTGTTATCATATGTTATATCATCATATTACACTAATTCTACAAATTAAAATTCAAAATCCGACACCTTAAGACTAGTTTTTGAGTTGGGTGCATTGAACGCACTCATTTTTGTGGGTGCACCGAAGTAGTCACCATATATATATATATATATATATATATATATATATATATATATATATGGGTCAGACTGGCGTACGTCAGACGTATACTATATGTCAGGTACTACTAGTGAGATATCTCTATCTAGACCATGAATTAAATCGAGTTTGGGGTATGATACTATACCCTAACCTCTAATGGATAAACCCCAGGCACCCATTTTCTAAACCCTAACCCAAAGTTTGATTAAATGAAAAACAAAAATTGACCGTTGAGATCGGCCGGAGCTTATCTAACTACATCTAACGGCTAGATCACCTGACGTATACTATACGCCTGACGTACACCAGTATTCACCATATATATATATATATATATATGGTGGCTACTTCGGTGCACTCACTTTTTTGGGTGCACTCAGTGCACCCAACTCTAAAAGCGTCCATAATACATCGATTTTGAACTTTAATTAGTACTCTCAATATAATATGATGATATGACATAGAATCATAACAAATCAATCCATTACCCTATCCCCTTAACCTTCAATTTTGAATCCCAACCCAAAATCCCAAATTGTAAACCTAAACCCTAACCCTAAATCCCTAATCCTAAATCCTTCGAATTAAAGTGAATTTGGAATGAATTTTTTTCAAATTTATGTGCTTCTTGTTCATAATATCATAAGCTACAATTGATACCGTTTTGATATGAATCGCATGCTCAGAATGATAATTATGAGGCGGGTGCACTGAGTGCACCCGAAAAAGTGGGTGCACCGAATACGCTACCATATATATATATATATATATATACGTTGCTTTGCTTGAAGTACAAGCTGGGGCAAGAATGGGCCAGAGATCGATCGATGGAAGTGGAACCCTTTTTTGTGGAAACTTATAATTAGCTTTAACGAAAAAATGAATCCACACCATACATATAAACTTCCACAAAACAGGAAAAGTCATATGACATGATCACCTCATTTGACTTTAAGTCTGTTGGACAGTACTGGTTGAAGCTTAGTTATGGTGTCTGTTATGTACTGATCTCCATGGTTCCTAGCTATATATTCTCCTCCCCCAGCAGCTCACTGTGATTAAGCAAAACATATAATTACCCAGAGCGCAATTCATAGAGAGCTGAGAGCACATATTGAACTCCATCCATGTCAAAACTAGCAGCAGCAGCAGCAGCAGCAGCAGCAGCTGTTTCCCTCTTACTAGCGCTGCAACTATGCTGCGATGCGTCCATCTCTTCAGAACACTGTCGTCCTGACGAGAGCATTGCCCTGCTGCAGTTCAAGAACTCCTTCGTCGGAGGAGTTCTCAACGACGACAGAATGGCAACGTGGAAGGAAGGATCGGACTGTTGCTTGTGGGAAGGTGTTACTTGCGACCACTTCACTAGTCATGTCGTCGGCCTCCACCTCGACTGCCCTTTTAACGGTGTGGACTACACCCCTTGTCGATGGCTTCGAGAGACGACGACGGCTCTGCATTCAGACAGCTCTCTTTTCCACTTGCGGCACCTCCGGAGCCTCGACCTGTCCCGCAATGGCTTCCAAGGCTCCACAATCCCATCAAACTTCACCCAGTTGACCAACCTGGCTCACCTCAACCTCTCCAGATCAGGGTTTTCGGGTCACATTCCACTCGGGTTCAGCCATCTCAACAAACTTGCCTCACTTGATCTTTCCTTTAATGGACCAAATGGTGGTGATCAAGAAAAAGCACTCTCCTTTGCAGACAACCACGATTTCTCCAACCTGCTGCTCAACGCCACGGGATTAAGCAAGCTTGTCCTTCAGTATATGGACATGTCAAACATCAAACCTTCCTCCTTCTCCAACTTATCGCGCTCCTTGACATATATCGACCTTTCCGATTGCGGATTAGCAGGAACTTTCCCAGAGAGCGTCTTCCGCTCGCCAAACCTGCGAGTGTTTGTTCTCCAATACAACCCACTGCTCTCTGTCCAATTTCCATCATCAAATTGGACTGCTGGCCGCCTCAAGGTATTATCCCTCTCTTCTGTCAATGTGTCCCGGCAACTGACGATCCCTGCTTCAATCGGGAATTTGAAGTCCTTGGATACTCTGCTCCTTGAGAACTGCTCATTGTTGGGATCAATCCCAGCTTCCATGGGGAACCTCACATCATTGACTTACTTAGACCTTCGAGACAATGCATTATCTGCAAAATTACCTGATGTTCTCTCCAACCTGGTTCAGCTACAACACTTGTCTTTACGCTGCAACAAAATTTCTGGCTGGTTTCCCGACGTTTTTGGCAACCTTTCTCAAGAACTCACAATCCTAGACGTTTCCAGTAACAATTTCACAGGCCCTATTCCATCTCTCATCTTCAACCTTCCACAACTTCAGTATTTGCATCTCTCTCACAACTTTTTGACCTCCATGGCTATCCTGCCACCTTCACACATGGAGAAGCTCGAGTTTCTTGATCTAAGCTACAACATGATTGAAGGCCCACTTTCTATTCCATGGAGTCCAAGCCTTTCGTATTTGTCAGTGGCCAATAATAAGTTTGCAGGGAGGGTTCCATACCACATGATCTGCAACCTCACAATCCTTAGCATCATCAACTTGTCTAACAACAACTTGAGTGGCGAAATTCCACCGTGCTTGACCAACCTTATCCAACTGTCAACCCTGCAGTTGAGGATGAACAACCTCCACGGTTCATTTCCGTCGGTGTTTGGCAATATGAGCTCCTTGGAAAATCTGGACTTAAATGGCAACGCACTGGGAGGTTCATTGTCACAAAGCTTAACAGCGTGCAAGATGCTTGAAGTATTGGATGTTGGGAATAACGAAATCAGTGGTGTTTTCCCACATTGGTTGTCATCTCTTCCTGTACTGAAAGTTCTCGTCTTGCACTCCAACAGCTTCCATGGTCCTATCACGACCGAATATATGGAACCCGTGTACGGCTTCCCCATGCTGCGGATATTGGACATTTCCCACAACTACTTTGATGGTCTTCTTCCTGCAACATTGTTTCACAAGTTCCAGAGCATGATGATGGTGGAGGAGTTCGAGAAAACCGGAGTACCGGAATACCTTGAAACGTCATCAATTTACAATGAGTACTACTCTGTTGTTCTGATAGTGAAAGGTCAAGAGATGACGATAACCAGAATCCTCACCATATTCACCACCATGGATTTGTCAAACAACGATTTCCGTGGCAGTATTCCAGACGCAATTGGCGAGCTCGAATCGCTCAAGCACCTTAATCTCTCACACAACAGCCTCAGTGGCCCGATTCCATCTTCCCTAGTGAACTTGACCGAACTCGAAGCCTTAGATCTCTCCTCCAACCAACTTACAGGAGAGATCCCACCACAACTGGCAAGTTTGACATCTCTTGAAAATCTCAACTTGTCGCAAAATTTACTCCAAGGGCCAATACCCCAAGGCAATCAACTCCAGACATTTGATAATACTTCTTACATTGGAAACGAAGAGTTGTGCGGGCCTCCTCTGTCCAAGAAGTGCAATGGTGATGACGGTGATGGTAACGACCATCACGACGATTCTGAACCCGAATTCGATGGAGCATTATTCGATTGGGCATTTGCAGGGGCAGGGTATGGATGCGGCCTGGTGATTGGAACATCGGCTGCCTACATTATGTTCACAATCAGGAAGCCACGATGGCTGGTGGATATGGTAGATAAATGGATTCGGCGGCAACACCAGGCTAGGCGTTGGAGGCCGGCGATAACCTTTTAAGTGCAAGGTTGCCTCTTTGCTTTTCGTGTTATCTGTTTAGTCATTCTGTGGTTGTTCAACTAACATTGGCTTCAAAAGCTAAGTTAATTGGGCAAAATGAGAAGTATTTTCTTTGGGAATGGCCGGCCCTTTAATCCCACTTTCTCTTGCCCACATTTCTTTGCTCTCCAAGTGCACCAAACACATTTGCAGAAACATAACCATCCACATCGAGACCTTCCTCCTCCATCCTGTACATGAGCCTCAGCGCCTGTTCGAAGAGCCCGTTCTCAGTATAACCCGTGATCATCGACTTCCACGAGACCAGATTCCGCTCGGGCATTCCATCGAACACCTGAATCGCGTCCGGCAAGTACCCACACTTGGCATACATATGAACCAAAGCCGTAGCAACATACACGTTATGCATCCCCTGGCTCTTGTTGGCAAAAGAATGTATCGATCTGCCCTGCAGAACAGCTTCCAGCCCCGCACATGCCTTCAGGGCCGACGAGTAAGTGAACGAATTCGGCTCCACGCCTTCCTCCATCATCTCCTTCAGCAGCTCCAGAGCCTCGGCCTCGTGGCCCAAATCGGCGAAACCTGAGATCATGGCGGTCCAGGAAACAACGCTGTGGAGGGACATTTGCTGGAAGACCTTCGACGCAGCGTGCCAGTCGCCACACCTGCAGTAGAACCACACTAGGCTGCTTCCGATGTACTCGTTCGATTGGAACGAGTCCTTGATGATTCGGGCATGAACTTCTTTCCCTGTCATCAAGGCACCAATCGAACCGCAGGCTTTGAGAATGCTGACAGTGGTTAGGTTGTTTGTACCTACATTGCGCCTCTGCATCAGTCGAAACAGGCTTATGGCTTCCTCGCCGAGCCCTTCCCTCGCATACCCAGCAATGATGGCGGTCCAACTAACCGTGTTCTTCCTCCTCATTGCGCTGAATACTTTACTGGAATCCAAAATCTCCCCACATTTTGCATACATATCGACCAGGGACGATCCTGTGTAGACGTCGTCCTGCCACATTTTCTTCACGATGGCACCGTGTAACTGCCTCCCGAGCTTCAGTGTTCTTTCCTCCCCACAAGCCTTTAGAACACTACATACAGTGAACTCGTTGGGCGACAATCCGCTCTTCAGCATTCGCGACAGCAGCACGAAAGCCTCCGTTCCATGCCCTCGCTGCGAGCAAGCTGCAATCATCGTCGTCCAACAGACCACATCTCGATCCACCATCCCCTCGAATGCGGCAAAAGCAGAATCCATGTCACCCAATTTGGCATAGAAATGGACAATGGCGCTATCCACGATCAAGTTCCTCCAATTGCCCTTCAAGATGCTAGCATGAACTTGCCTACCCAGATCGAAATCCAACCTCCGGCTGCACAGATTCAACCCACAAACGAAGGTCTTGCCGTTGGCTCTGGTTCCATTCTCTATGCACTCGATCAGCAAACCCAATGCTTCGTCGTCCAAACCGGCATTGACGTACCCATCAATCATTGCCGTCCAGCTAACTACGTTCCTCTGCGGCATTTCATCGAACGTCTGGCGCGCATGGTCCAGCCCGCCCAATTTCGCGTAGGCGGTTATCAAATTGTTGTTTACGTACACGAAGGAACTCCTCGAGCATCTGAAGGAAACAGCGTGTACCGTCTTGACTTCTTCGACTGTACGACATGATTGAAGCCAAAGTCCGAGCAGAACAGAGTTCACGAACTGATTCGCGGGTTGCGTGAAGCAGAAACCCGGGGCATCAGCTTCTCCCCTGCTACGAACTTCAGGTACCCAACTGCCGGAATCGGCGCCAAACCCGTATTTGCAAGAGAAGCGAGGGAGATTCCCGGTATCTGATTCTGCTGGGCGGTTTCTTCTTGTTTTTGAAATGAGATTAGAGGGGAAGTCGGGGGACCGAATTGGGTGAACTTGAAGTGCTAACAGCTCTGGCTGTTGGAAAGGAGAGGTAGATGATGAGGCGCAGGTTGAGAGAATCATTGCCGCCGGGGGAAATAGCGGTTGCTTGGTTGTGCCGTTATGCAGCAGATAGCCGTCGGCCTTTCGTCGGAGGAAAGTGGAATGGCCTTTCCTTTGTCCGAACTAGCAGGCATTTTGAGGATACAAATAAACAAAGAAGCTTTCATTTTCATATTTTGTCTGATTTAATGTTAGCATTTTTCTTGTGCTGAAGTTTTATTGAAATTTTTTGGTGGATATAATAATAAAATACCATAATTTTAAAAAGATATTATAGCCACATAAAAACTTAGAGATTTCATAAGTATCTCCCACTAAATATTTATCTTAGAGAAAAAACAATACAAATACGAGAATATAAAATAATGGTGGACATCGGTCGATTCGGTCAAGAACCGGATCAAATTGAGATAAGATCAGACCAAAAATTATAAAAAAAAAATAAGAGCCATCATCTGACATTTTTTTGTTAATTTATAATTCAATCATGTCCGGTGCAAAATCAATTTGGCTTCTTTTTTCATATTTAAAATAATTCATAAGAACCAAATCGAAACATATTCGATAGAACTCAGTCCAACTACCAATTGGGTACGATTCGGTCCGGTGTGAATCAGATCATTGCCCACCTCTATATGCACTCCAAGTTCAAGCACAAATAAAATCATTTGTCTCAAAATCCTCCATTAATATATAGTAGAGTTTTGTAAACTTTTCTCCATTTCAAATTTCCTGCAATGAGAGTGAAAATAGGAAGGACAATTTTGTCTTTACAATTAATTATTTATTTCATAAAAATATCAATATCAAGACTCGAACCCGGGTCTCTTCAGACGAAGATAGCAATCATAACCAATTATACTAAATGTATTTATTGTTCCTTTTTTAATACAAAACATACATGTATTTAAACTGTGAAAAGCAGAGAACTTTTCCATCATGATTAACAAGTGCACTAAGTCTACTATATGTATTTTCATGGTGCTTAATACTTCAATTTTCATAGTACAGTTTCATTTAATTTTATCAATTTTAGAATTCATGCTCTCTCTTTTATTTTCGCTAAAGGTAAATTGGTAATTGGCTAACATGGAAGAAACTATTTCCTTTACTATGTGTTGTGTCCTTGCATTTTTCAATATAAATTTAAATTTTGTGCCTGTTTTTATCTTTGTTCTTATCTCTTTCTAATTTTCTCCGAAATTCCCTCCATCGTGCAATAGTTTGCGTGCTTTCACTTCCCAGTATAAGGAGCATTTGAAAACCAACATTCCGGTATCTTTTGGCACTGCAGTTTTATTCTTGGGGATTTAAGCTGGGCAAGTAGAAGATTTCAACTCTCATATCAATCCATGGCCAATATAATGGAGTTCAATCAAGTAGTTATGGCATGGTCTTGATTATCTCGCTCGATTCCTCTGCACTGGCATCACCCAATGGTTCTGTCTCTCCCCGATGTACTATCAGAAGAACTATTTTGCTGCTTCTATTGCTGAAGGCAATGTTTGATCAGTTATACCTTTCGCATTTACTCCTCTTCCTATACCAGGCATTGACCTTTAATAGGTTTTCGATTTCCGATCAAGGTTAATCGCTTTACACATGTAAGTTATTCGTTTCTTCTCTATGTCTCATGGTTTTATCTTTCTGATTAATAACAAAGAGACTTTTATTTTCACGTTGTCTCATGAGCATAACATGCATAATATCTATTTATTTTGATCTTATTGCCTGAAACGATGTTTAAAGCTCGGGGGATCTCCTGCGTGATTTCTCCTTTTTCTGTTATTAGGTTTCAACTTCAATGTGTTTCTATCTTCATATTAGGTTCATCGAATTGAACTGGCAGACTATTATTTCCTTCCCGATTTATCTAAGTTTTTTGTTTATGAATGATTTATTAAATATAGAAAATGAATTTGAACGATGGTTTGGGTACTATATTTGTTTGTAAGCAAAAGAGATGTTTGTGTAGAACATGGCAGTTGTACTTTGCTAGAGCCCTGTCCACTTTGTTGTGTGTTTCCTGTACTTTATTTTTGTTCTTTGCTTAGCTATTGAAATAATAAAATAAGATCAAAATGAGAAAAAAAGTTTCTTTTCAATTACAATATTTCCGCTCATATTTGATTTTGTGATAACTAATGTTCTCCGCAACCATAATTTTCCTCATTAATTTTTATTCTTATCTCACTAATCAAATTTCGATATTGTTTTAGAATTAGTTAGAAATTGAGCTTTCATGCAACACTCTAGGAGTTTGAGGTGTTGAACTTGGAGTAGAAGAGTTAGGATTGAGTTTGAAAATGAGAGTGGTGGGGGGAAGAAAAATTCAACTGTAGCATGTTAAGGCAGAGAAGAGGGAGTTACCGAGGGTAGTGATCGAATTGAGGAGGGTGTTGAAAGACGCGGAAGCAAAACTGAAGCAATTAAAGAGAGAGAAGTGAGAGAGGATGAGGATATTAATAAAAATGGAGAGAGTATTGAAGGACATGGAAGTGTACTGAAGCATGTGAAGGCATACAAAGGGGGAGATGAGCATATTGATGGAATTGGAGATGAGTTTTGGTTTTAGCGAACTTATTACAACTGGCCTTGAGGAAGATGAGTTGGCAAAACACAGGAAGAGGATTGAGGAGTAAAAGAGCGAGTTGACAAAAACCCTAATTGGAAGAGAAATTGAGGGTCGCAGAGAGAAGGTCCATCAAAGTAGCAGAAATGGAGTTGCAGAAGGAGGATTAGAAAGTGAATGTTTGGTTGAAACATATGCTTCTTGAGATTGAAGATAGAGTAGATAAAAATTTGACCGTTCAATGGAGAGTGGTCGCTATTGGATCATTAGGTTTATAGTTTTTGCAGCTACCACAACCTATTTCTATCTTAAAATGAGTAATCATTGATTGATTTAATGAAGTAGGTTGATTCTTTATTCAACCTACTGGAACTGATAGATAAGGAATGTCTAATTTTGCGTCATATTACTTTGATCGAGTCTATTAGTATATTGGAGGTAACCCAATTTACTTTGATCGTTTGCTCTCAAGTTTTGATGTTCCACTCTTAGCCGAGTTGTTAGTATATAGTTGACTTGAACCTACAATTATCCATTTCTTTTTTATTAGTGGCATATTGCCCCCAAAATGAGAGCATTGAACCATTTACGTAGGGTTGTGAGTTTTTAGATTCAGTTTCAAACTATCTATGGGTCGTGTGGGAATTCCAGTGAGCTTTTATACTCTATCTTTCTTAACAATCAACTAACCAATAACATATTAACTGGGCTTAATTATCATTATGAAAATGAGATCAATCATCATTTTTATGTTTTATTTTCTCAAATGATGATGATATTTCTCTGAATGTTCGACCTATATATTCTTTCTTTATGTATCATCTCGAATCGAAAGATTGCCAATAAAATTAAACAGGTTGATCGACTTTAACGTAACATAAAAAGTATAAAAAATAAAATATAAACATTCCGACCAACGGGCCGGATTATAAGCTAGTATAATCATTAGAGACAAAGATGTATTTAAATGTAAATATAGTTGTTTCAATAAATACAATGAAAATAAGATGTATCTTCTTTTAAAGTATTTAATAATGCGAAAAATAGGTAAAGAAAGTAGATTTATCATCAAATAAGCTCTCTTTTTTTTTACATAGACATCCCAAAAGGGAATATCACTTACAATATACAACAATATACATAGATTTTTGCAAGTCAAATAACAAATACAGAAAGAAAAGACCTTTGAAGGTGTGACAATAATAGGACTTTCATACCACGACATGGACAACCCTATAATCATGTTTTCAGAAATAAGCAGAATCCATGACTTAATATCATCAAATAAGCTTAAACTGTACAAATATGTTCATTTCATAAGTTCACCAGTACACATACCAATCTCATCAGAACTTGCTCTATCCAAAGGCTTAAACTGTACAATATGCATCCCCTGCAATCTGAGGTCCGTTTAGTTGACCTTTTCAATGAACTTGATGCCAACTGCTTGTAAGATCTCCAGTGCTGGGAAACCGCAAACAGAAGTAATATGAAAAACAAGAATCTTGATGTACATTCAGTGCAGTAACAAGCTTGTTTTCAGACTTACCTGACTCATAAACTTCCGGTTCAATTGGCCGGAGCACACCTCTGCTCTTGATCTTGTTCTCTAACAACAGCTGCAGAGGGAGATGAAATTGCGAAGGTGACGTAAAGGGGCGAGAAGTTAACTACTAATGCAACCTGACTAAACGGAAACACTGTCCATAATGAATTACCAGAGCTCCAATGGCTACTGGAACACCAACAGTGAGAGCCATGGCTGTGGTGGTTCTCCCATCGTTGGTACTTCCGAATTCCAGCAACGTGCCTCTATGACTCTCTGCAGGCTGCCCATCAGGGAATTCCACCTCCAACTCGTGATGCAAAAGCACCATATCCTTGTCAAAGTGAAAGCAGATTAAGAAATTACATCAAGCTGTGGCTTGTGAGGTGCACAACTCAAGTGAAGTGAACTATTAAGGGAAAATACCTGTTCACTGCCCGAATAGGCCAACCTTTCTTCCATTCGGGAACAAGCAACATCAAATGCAGTCTTGCATGTACTAGGCACTTCAGTTTCCTCATGAAGTCCTAAACACCTGATCCAAAAAATAGGAATATGCTCAATGTCACCCTCCAGAACAAAAAGAATTTTGGACTAGCTTTGCAAAGATTGTTTTTTTCCCATCGTTTTCATCAACAACTGGAATGAGTTGTACATACATTAATGTTTTTGCTACCATGGCTGCAGTTCCTGGGTCCTTGGAATGTCCCAGTTTGGTAAGTTTTTCAACAATTTCTTGCTCCCCAACTGGCTTTTCCCTCTCCAGTCCAAAAAGATCACACAGAAACGTCTTGTAGGTTGCACTTCCTCCGTTGACAAGGAGGGGATGAGGTTCAGTGCCGAAAAGGCCGATTTTGGCTAGGGTTGCCATTATCTTGCCAAACCCTACGAAGAAAAAAGGACTAAATGAGCAACTTCCACAAAGTGTTTCAAGGTAGTCAAAGCATTTGAAAGGTCCATCCATATAATGTAGTATTTCTTCCATGCAACCATTCTAGAATTCCAATCAATATATCTCTTACCTTGGTAGCGGAGCGTTCCACGGAAGATGGTTGCAGCTTCATCTTGTATCCTATACAGCTTCCCATAAACCAACGAGTCACGGTTTGGAAGACATTCCAAGGAGAAAGCTGGAAGGTCAGGGATCCTGAAAGTGGCAGCTGAATCGTACAGGTCGTCACCTGCAAGATTGATTTCACCTTAAGTAGAGATTCGTGGTGAATAATGCATTGTATCAGCAATAACCTACAGTATATGCTCGTGCGTGATTGTGATGAGGAAAGGAACAAGTGGTTGTTTTGGCTTTAAGAGGGTCATCTAAAACAAAATTGGATCAAAATCCAAAACACTCTTTTCCAATCTAAATGAGTTGACTTTTAGCAAAAGCGAAAACAGTCATTTTATCCATATGCAATGACTACTCTGCATCCTCCATTTCCTTTTTTTTTCTATGTACTGAACCTCTCAGCAAAAGCTCACCATCAACATGCACGATTTGACCATTATATCTGTAGGTGGCTGGATTGCGCCCAGCTCGGATGGCTCCTGCAGGACTCCAGCTGAAAGATTAAAAGGAACAACATCATTAGTGCAAAAATACTTAAAAACAAGACCTTCCTTCACATATAATATCTTCACATAGTTTGGTTTAATAAGTTTCACAATTTCACCACAACAAAAAGAAAGTTTCACAAAAGTACCTAAACTTGTAGGCCAAAGGGTTGTTTGCCGCGGCCGGTGATGGAAGTCCCCCACAATAAGAAGTGAAGGATTTGATTCTCCCATTGCGCATACGAGCTTCGTTTATCATCTTCATGGCCATCATATGATCTGTAAATTTGTATGTTACTGGAATAAACAACCCAAGTTTCAAGAAGTCCAACACTGACAGTTATTGACTTATAGCATTGGGCTTTGTTGGGACAAGCACACATCTGAGCAGAGGCTAGGTTAGGCTTCAGTTTCAAAAAAACGTTACCCGGTTAGTGTTCTACAGTAAAAAAATTACCTATTCCAGGATCCAATCCCATTTCCCCAAGGATGGTGATATCAGCCGCTTTCGCATTTGTATCCAGTGCTAACATACGATCATCAACGTAGCTAGCAGTGACAAGATGCTTCTTAAGCTGAATCAATAGATGGAAAATATTCACAACTTTAGAAGAGCTTAGAACGGTGAGGATATGCTTGAAACGGACTCATGAGCCACAAAAACATCAAGTCTAGGTTTAAGGGACAAGGGTAGAAATGTTTGGGATGAGTAAGGGTGGTGAACTAGGTTTGCCTAGAACAGAGAATTACCTTTATGCACTCATTAGCAACAATGACATGACAACTAGCAGGCAGTAAGCTAATTACAACCTCAACCTGCACAAAAACATGTGAAAATGCCACCACAGACAGATCATATGTTAAGCGATTTCTGATGTTAGTTCGTTGCATACTTGTTTAAAGGACAGTCTTGATCACAATGACAATATACCTGTGAAATAAGGTTGCACAGGCTTTCCTGATCTGAGACATCTAGCTGAACTGCTGTGGCATTTGGGATACCTTCTGTGATCTGCACAATATCAGTTTGTGTTGTTGTTAAAAGCCCTCAAATTACACAAGAACATGAAAACTCCTGAAATCCTGATAATAGCAAAAATGGTTTAAGGTTTTCCCCTAGAGTTACCTCTTGTGCATCTTTGACGAAGAGGGATGCAACAATAACTTCAATATCTTTCTGTTCATCAACATCCAGACATGCTTCATACCACTCTGAGGCTGCATCACTCCCAACTGATGCTAGGAATTCAACAGCAGGTCGACATACTCGGCCAGCACCAATAAGAAGAACTGAAGCTTTCCTTTTCCCATCACATTCTTTTTTCATGTCATTTTCTTGGATTTTACTGACTTTGACAGAAATATTGTTCTCTTGTTTGCCAAAATGTCCTTGATGTTTATCGTGATTGGCTAGAGAATTCAAAGAGTCTATGATCTGATCCAAAACTACCTTGTCATCTGCCTCAACCTGTACACATTTTAAATAAGCTTCAGTTATCAAGAGAATCATGATTGAATTTCATTATCAGCATCATATTCATCTTGTAATCCAGAAGACAAAATTAGAGGTCCACGTACTAGCACTTCGGACAAGGATGTTTCATTAGCACTTTGACCGACTTGACACTTCACCAAGTGAAAGGAGCCTCCTTTTTCTTCAATAATATCGAGTGCATCATTTATGAGAAACTTATCGAATAAGTGACCACTAAGAGAGACCTGTTAATCAAACAGAAGACATTAGTAGCAAATAACACGGGCTTGAAAGTAGTTTAATAACCAAAATTAATCACAACTCCTATAAGAGTTATCATATACAGCAGTTATCAGCCTTACCGATATATTGAATTTCTTCCTACTAGAGTTTGAACTCACTGCGTTATCTTGTACATCTCTGCAGTAACAAAAAATTTCCACGTTTGTCATCATCAGATAACTCACACTGGAGCTTTTACTGAGACTAATCAGGATTCCCTCTGCCTCGGTATAAACTGCCAGATTCAGAATGCATTTTATAACCAACCAAACTACAAAATACTATGAAAGTAGCTGAGGAAGAGAAAAATTATTGCCTCGTTGAATTTATCATACAAAGGCATGGCCCAGGATTATATTTAGTGCTGAGTTACATAAATGTAAGTGTGAGTTAAAGAGTTCCAAAACCATTACCAATAAATAAATTTTCTACCAAACCTAGTAGAGCAATTAATTATTTTTTATTCAACAGTTGTAATCATAAAGGAAAGCAAACAGGGTAATGCTATGCTTTGAAGAACATACCCAGATTCAGATTTTCTGATACGAGGAATATATTCGTATAATGAAGTGAGTTTTCCTCCATGGGCTATGCAAGCTCTCCTTAAATCTGCGGGTAAGTTCTGAATGTTGGTGGTATAGGCCAAACTGCGAACAAATTGTGACAGTATATTTCCAAAATGTTGGGATGCCTGTTGTACATTGACAGCATGATATAAAATCCATCATAACCAATTACATTGAGGCCAGAAACCCGAATAAATTTGAATACTATGGTAGATGCAATCAGAGTAACTCAAACCTCTTTCGCGAACTCTGTAGGAAGGATGTCAACAGAAGAACAGATGACTCCACTACCCTCCATATCATGATGGTAAGAATCATTTTCCGGGTCATATCTGAAAATCGTAAATAATGCAGCACAATAAAAACTCGGAGATATAGTTGTAGTGTCAATGCTAGTAGTAAAAGATAACTCAGTACCTGAAGAATGGTGAATCAATGGTTGTTGTTTGGTTTACAAATTCTAAGGAGCCATTAATATCACAAGTTATATCAGCAATGCCAACTAGTGGACATTGCTTCCTCATTAGATCTTGAAGCTGTTGAGTACTCAGCAACCGATGAAACCTTTTCTCCCAGTACATGCAATTGACTGCAACAAAGTGAAGTCAGCAAGTTACAACAAGAAGAAGCTCCAGAAAATGTGTTGAACAGAGAATGTATGATTAGGTATTTGGATGACAAGGTCAGCATCTGAGTACAAAATTATGCTGTAACACAGAAGTCTTTAGAACCAAGAACAAATTCTATATATAAATCTGCTCAATCAAAGGACCACCTTTTCTCATAAATTCACAGTTGGAATGTCTATTAACAATCATATATGACAAAATAAAGAACAAGCGGTTCCAAGATGATTTACATGAACTATAGTAGCAAGTAGAGAACTGATTGACGCACCAATCACAGATGCATATGGGGCTATACGCTCATGAAAAATCGGTTTATAATGCTCTGGATGAGCATAATAGTCTGCCTGAAAAAAAAAAAAGCAAAAATTTCTGTTTGTCAAAATATGCATCACTTGGTACTCTAAAGAGAACATAGAGGCATTTTGCAGTCACTAACTTTATCAAATGGTTTCGAAGAATCAATGTGTTGGACCATGTCTTGGGAAGTAACAACACAACCATAGACTTTGAAAAATCTCTTTGTTGTCTTAATTGATGATGGAACATCCTTTGCCTAATCAGAAAAAGAACATTAGTTAGAACATCACCATATGCTGTAGCATCATAACTAAGAGCCATTACTGAATAAACTGAGGACACAATCACTAGTTCTCCTGAAACTTACTAGGGAAAATAGTTCTGGGAGTTTGCTTGGCTCAACAAATGTGTGGGGAAGGAGCCTAAATATTTCTTGTGCTCCTTGCGAAACTATTGTTTTGATGACAGTCAAGACCGGGAAAAAACAGCATAAAAAGGAATGACGTCTTAGAAATACATAATCATCTCTTTTCAAATAGATGCAATGAGACAAATGCCATACCATTTCCTGAACCAGTGAAAATGAACACCAAAGGACAGATTCCAGAAGGCAATCCAAGACTTGATATCTCTTCACCAACAGAAATCACAGCAGCTTTAGCAGCAGCCAGTGAAGAGTACATGTACGACGCCCCCAACGAAAGGAACGGAGTGGAATAGCCAAGGCTCAGATATCCTGATGAACAAACAAACAAACAAACATCAAAATAGCCCACATTTAACAACTTCTGTAGCAAGAAAACCATGAAAAACAACAATCCACTGAGAACTGAAACTTCTGCTTACTCTGGCCTAAACCATGCAAGAAATCGACCAATCCAGCTCTGCCAGCATAATTCCCAAAGGCAAGCTTCCTTTTCCCAGTTTCAGGCTTCACGATGAGCTCGTAATCGTACAACGTTACCCTTTCGGCTAGAACCTAACATTAACAACATCATCCAATGATCCATCATGATCCATGAGCAACCCAACTCATTGACAAGCAAAAGAAGGAACCATTTTTTAGTAGATAGTGGCAAGAATCCTATTTACCTTGTCCAACAAAGGCATGTTCTCTTTCTGAGCCTTGTGAGTGTGAGAAAAGAAGGCATAAGCTCTATCAGGCAGGATCATCTCCAGCTGTCCAACCATAAACCAGACTACCCTTCAAGTCCAAGCACTAGCAGAAAATACTATATGCAAAAAGGGTGTAAATTCAATTTTATGCACCTTGGGTTGTTTAATGCCGACGATGAGACCGCACTGGGAGAGATCTTCTGAAATCTGGCAGCCGACTTCTTCATACATAGCATCGTGATGGATCCGCCTCGTGGATGGCTGCACGATTATGCGAGCCACTCCATTTGCATCCCCGCCGTGAAGAAGCCGAGCGCAGTGCGCTGGTGTCAGTGGCGCCCTTCTCTCCCACTTGTTCACTGACTCTGCCAGTATCCCTATCACTCCATTCCCCAGCATTTTTTTTTTTTTTTTGCTCACAATCTGTTCGATGAAATTCCTCAATGGGACTCGATGATCAAGTCGGAAAACGTAAAGAAACGGACCAGTTGATCAGTGACAGTGCCGTCCTACGACGTGTACGTTCATATAGATGTATGGGTCTGATAGGGGGATAAGAATTACAGCACATACCCAGAAAAATTAAATAAGGGAAGGAATTGAGGAGGAAGGAAGAGCACGCAACTCCAATTCACTGGATCGTTTTGGAAGAAAACAAAAAACAGAGTACTCTGTTCCGACTAAAAAAGAAAAAGGGAAATTAGAGGGGAGAGAAAGGGACGTGAAACCAACCAAGCCAATCAATCAATAAACCCGGCCATGGCAGCAAATTGTTTGTATTAGGTGAAGCTCAATGCAATTATTGGAAGTACGATTAGAAAGAAGGAACTGCATTTGCATGGATTTGGAGAGTATGGGGATGGTGGGTCGGGTCTCTGAGATCAGCAATTGCAGAACCCTTTTAACTAAACCTCTGTTTTGTGATTCACATGCAAAAGCAATGCAGGAGAAATGGAAAAGGGAGATGGCGTGGCGGAAGTTTGCGTAATCAGCTTTGCTCCCTGCCTGGCCTTTTCCTCTGTATAATGTAATCAAGTTGTCGTGTTCAGCCAGAAAAGGACGGAACTTTTTCTTTCCTTTCCTAGTCAAATTTTTACAGTACAGATGACAATCGTGGATGCTTAAATGAGGCACAGCCAAATTGGCGGGGTGAAACGGCAAGATCCGTATCAGCTGGTGATGAATCAATGAAACCGAGAAAAAGGTGAGAAGCTGCCAGCCATGCCGCACAAGTTTTCAGTGAATCATCAACTACGTCTACGACTGATCTGGTCAAGTGTGGTCCACGGTTCCCGTGGTAAACCGCCATGGCTCGGGTCGACTAGTGACATAAACCCTGCGGCTGGGTTTTGGGTTTAGGTTTGTATTATTCATCCATCCGTTCTCGGCGCTTAGCACAACTGCGGGAAGTGTTTCCGATGGCTGCAGGAGCTCAGGAAGAAGAAAAGCTCCGAACTTTCCTGAAATGGCTGCTAGTACGCTCTCGCTCTTCCTATTTCACTCCGCTAATTTCCCCAAGCTTTCAGAACGTGTCGTCTTGCTTATATTTGAAATGGTCGAGTACTTGAGATTAAGTACTTGAGCCAAAATAAAGGGTTCGGCTTATTTTCCTCCGGCGACGTCTCCGATGATGGTAATACATCAATTCCTTTCTGTTGGATAGGTTCTGAAAGATAATTTGTTATTTTGTTGAAGTTGGTTCATGTTTTTAAGTCTTGCAATACGTTCCATTGTTATGAAAGCTTCCATGAAGGTTTTGGCTTTGGATTTGGATTGAAGATGTTTGATTCTCTGAAATGGCAGAAAGTGTAACTATCAATTGGATTGGAGTTTGGATTGAATTTCACATTTGGATCAAGTGATTGGTTGTGTGATTGCTGAATAGATTCTCGATTCGAATTGTTTTTGCAGGAGTTGTTCTGGCTGTTCCATTGGATTTAGCAATAACTCCAATGAGGGTATTGCAAGATTCCCTCATTGGACCGGATTGTGGAGCGATGCTTGAAGAAGGAGAAGTGGATGACAGGTTCTTGATGATTCTGTTCCTTGTGGTGGAGCGCTTAAGCGAAAAGATCTCTTCTTGGAAGTCTCGAGTACACACAGCTAATTCTGTTTTGTATACAAGTTTGAGTCCTGGTCCTTCTTTGGCGGCTGAATATGTTCAATATGTTTACACTAGGTACCTCGACATGCTTCCAACTACATTTTGGGAACCCACTTTGGTTTACTGACGATGAGCTTTTAAAGCTGGAAGGCACAGCACTGTATCAGGCAACCCAATTACAGGTAAATCATGCCCTTTGGCTGTTCACTAATCACTGTAATGTAGGGTCCTAGAATTGTGGATTGTGAATGCCATTGTATTAGTTTTCCCAGAGGGCTATAACTGAATGGGGAAAGAAATGTTTCTACAGAAGAAGCCTTTGATGTCTCTCTTCAAAGACAAAGTGAAGGGTCTGGTGAGGAAACTTCTTGTTCTTGATAGGAATGCCGAAAGGTGAATTCCTTTATGCGAATTTTCACAAATTCATCGCAGCAACACTCGATATGAATGCATCTTTCTGGTGTCCATCAGTAGTTGAGTTGTTGCAATGCACATCATCAATTGCATATATCAACCTGAAAGAACGTTAAAAAGTTGTTCTTGTTTCTCTTGACAGGGGCGCCTCGTTTGAAGACTTCATCTGGTGTGTATTTGCTAAATCAAACTATGATATTTTGCAAATCTTAAATTTGGTTTCTCCATTTTTTCCCTTCGTTGTTGAATGGTTGAAGAATCGCAGTGTTGTTTGATCTATTGCTGGGGTTTTGCCGCTGTTCTTGCTGCCTGTGCTCGCCGCGAACACTTATATTTCCGAAAATGCACTCATGCCAGGTCTGCTCTGAACTGCCCTTCACCACTCAATTTAGCTTGAATGTAATTGGGTTTCCATGGTAGTAATATAATTCGTCTGGAATTGTATCTTCCTGATGAAATTGAAGGTTCTGCGAGTAGTTTTTTGTCACTTTCATGGCTGTAGTGTAGACTTGCTTCCTAAGCACAAACCTAAAAAACCCACACTTCTTCCATTTATTATTTTGGCCAACAAGAAACCTTTTGTCACAATAGTATGCTTTGATAAAATAGAATGACCTGGTGTTATAGGGATGGTTTGTGAAATTGTAGTCGAGATTGAACCGAACAAGTTAAAGGAATCCGATGTTCAGTAGTACATTTGTAATTTAATTGGTTGCACATTGCTAGGATACAATTGTTAAAACAGCATCAAAATAAGATAATATTCTGCCGATAATATACCGACATACGATACGACCGATCAAATTCGGTAAAATTGACCGGTATATTGTTGGTAGTATGTTTGACAGCATTGTATAGGCGAGTACAGGCTTTTCCTATGTATGTGTGTCATACTGGTCTGCTGTCAATGCACGATTTTCCTAGTCATATGGTCGATATCCTACAATTCTAAAATTCATGTTTTTATAGTCCGACCCTCGATACGTTATAATTTCATAAACCATACTTATAGGTTTACCGTATATTCACGAGGTAGTTTCAGACATCATATAGAAGAAAAAGGGTAGTCTTTACTGATTAAGAAGGGAAGCAGGAAGGGCTCTTAAGCTGGGGGTAGGGGGTTCAGTGCCCTTTTTCCTTTTTATATTCTGTGAAATGAAATCAGAGGACTGATGAGAGCCAAAAAGGCCTATTTAAGGGGTAGACCTTCTGCAAAACCATACTTGTAAACATCTCAAACCACCCCCAAAAGAAAAAAGCATACAAGGAGCTGCCAGCCTGCCACCCAGCTTCCCTCTCCCCTGCCTTAAACCTCTGTTCTTCTTCCCCTTTCCTTTCCCTGCCTTGCCAAGTAAAGAATCCTTCCCTTAGAATAGTTTTTTCCTGTTGCCAACCAACAAGAAGCTCCCCTCCCACTTTCTTCCTTCTTTCTTATATAACTCTTCCTTCCCTTCCCCTCAAATCAAAATCCTTCTTTTTGCTGCTTGCCATAAATACATGCAAAACTCTAATAAAGCTAGCTCCTTTAAGCCAGTTCCCTGTTGTGTGTTGTTCACCTTTTGTGTTCATCCCCTTTTTCCTTTTTCCCCCACCTTCAAATATCTTTGTGCTTCTTTCCTGTTTGTTGCTTAAGTTCTCTAGCTCATTTGTGGGTGACTTCCTTTTGAGAAGCTCTTCAAAGTTGAGAACTTGGCATTGGACAAGAGAGAGAGAATCAGAAGATGGGTATTGGAGGGACTTTGGAGTACCTGTCAGACTTGATGGCAAGTTCAGGCCATAAACACAAGAAGAAGAGGAAGCAAATGCAGACTGTAGAGCTCAAAGTCAGAATGGATTGTGATGGGTGTGAGCTTAAGGTCAAGAATGCCCTTTCCTCACTAACTGGTAATAAACTTCTTCTTCTTTACTTAACTTTTTCTTTTCTCCTCGCTTTCTGATACTCATTAGTTCATAGTTATGTAGCTTCCAAGTGACTGATAAAAGTTTGTGGGTTCTTCTTTCCTCTTCTTTGTTTTAGGAGTGAAGAGTGTGGAGATAAACAGGAAGCAGCAGAAGGTGACGGTAACTGGGTTTGTAGAGCCACACAAGGTGCTGAAGAAGGCCAAATCGACAGGAAAAAGGACAGAGATCTGGCCATATGTGCCCTACAATGTAGTGGCACAGCCATACGTTGCTGGTACTTATGACAAGAAAGCCCCTCCTGGTTATGTGAGGAAGGTTGATCAACCTGCTGCTGTCTCAACCGTCGCCAGATATGAAGACCCTTACACCTCCATGTTCAGTGATGACAACCCAAATGCTTGCTCCATCATGTAACAGTCAACTAACACCAATACTACTGATCTCTACTTTTGTGAATGGTTTCCAACCAAGCAGTAGGTTTTGTAGTAGAGAGAGAGAGGCAAAGTCTTTTGGTTTTTTCTTGTTCAGTGTGGTTTAGGAAGTACTGTGATGGAGACATTTTGATTTTGATGTTCCTATTTGAGTCATTATTATAAAACAAGAGGGTTCTTGATTCTTTCTTTCCTGCAAATTGTATGCTGTCATGAGTTCATGTATTTTTCTGGGAGGTCTCTGTTCAACAGCTGGAGTTAGCATTGAATTGGGAGAAGGGGGAAGAAAGAAAGGGAAACAGTGGTTTGATTTCTGGGATGTTGGAAATGAAAACATGAACAGAAGATAAAACTGACATCACCAGAGGGAAATAGTTTTTCTTTCACAGTTTCAGTGTAGGGTTTCTGTTATCAAAGAGAAAAGTGAAAACATGACCAATATAAGAATGAATGCAGTGAGCAAATGATACAAACCAAGAGATTTTGTGAAGATCCCAAGCGAGGGAATATATTATACATTTGAATGGGTCAATCATGATATATGTTTTGCATATTTGCTTTAAGGTTGGAGGAGGAGCCTTGGCCATGTTCAGAAAAAGGTCTTTTTGTGCTCTTCTTTTATAATATCAGAGCACCATTTGGTTGAATTTGAATGAAAATGATGCATGATATGACAATGCCCTGCCTAGCAATACAATTCCATGACTGCTGTTTTTTCATCACTGAATTTGAGGATTTGAGCTATTTAATGGTTCAAGTAGATTTGGTAAATATATGCTTGACATCATCTTGTTGGTGAAAATACTCTTTTGGCTTAACCATGATCTAGCGTTTTATATTAATTTCAAGAACGAAACTAAACTTAGTAATGAAGAGTAAGGTATTCTAGTAATTTATACTCAACTCGAACTAGATTAAATTAATCATTAGAAAGGGAGAACCAGTAGTATAGTTATAGGTATGATGGAGATTGAGATTGGACCGAGCAACCAATCTGGTGAGGATCAGGTATGGATTAAGTTCTCAAGGCAACATGTTCGAGTCGTACGAGTTGAACATTAATTTGAACAAGTCCAACAGAAGACTACAACTAAAATGAACTAAGTGACTATCGTGTTAGTCATTTCAAACTTTGTCTGACAATTTCAGTGGTTGGTTTATAAAGAACCCCATAGTTTGGTGACCATATCTGTAATTGACCACCAAACGAAACTCCAGAAGACAGAATCTTTCTTTTCCCTTTTCAACTTTCCTTTTCCCCCTCACTCTCTCCTCGTGTGATCAAAAGGGAAGCGTAAAGGCAAATGCATCACTGCTCCTGTAAAAGATGATGATAATCTAATAAGATTCATTAGCAGAAATCAACACAGTGCTTCCTTCCCACCTTTAATTTCGCATTCGAACTTGTGAAGGTGAAGCATTTCTTCATACAGTAGAAAAGGAATAATGGAACTGACGTCTCCAGCAGGAAGAAGGAATGAGGCCTAAAAAGAACACATTAGGAATTTAAATAATACCTTCTAATCTCAGCATAAATTAGGAGAACAAAGAAAAAGGAAAGAACTCTACACAACATAGCCGTTTACACGTAAAAAAATATTGACTTCAGTATGTTCACCAGAATACTTATTGTAGAAATGTGTTCCACCCCCTTCCCTTCCTGTCATCTAGATACTAATGTGCAGACTGCTTTGTCTGCAAACTGTTTCCGAATTCAGCACGAAAGCAAGTGTCCACAAGTATGGATGATGCTGTTCTTCTGTATTCAATATGCAAATGCTAGACTCTTGGGATTTTGAATGTGAATCAAGGTGTAACAAGGGAAGGAAACACCAACTGGAATGAGGATTTACACCGAGGAAACTTGTTTCTTCCGCCTTGAGTTCTCTTCCTATATATATGCCATTGTCGTCAGACTTTAGGGATTGCTTAACTTTCTGTTTCCGGAGTAAATCTCGACGAATTTGATGTCGTAGACAAGAGTTGCATTGGCAGGGATGTTGCAGTCGCCTGCATCAGTCAACAAAATAGTTAAAATGGTTGTTAGTAAAGAATGCAGGTCGAGTTTCGTCGTTGTCATTTCATCCTAATGAGCAAATGATAGTCCATTTCAATGCTTTGGCACTGGTAAGAAATCACCTGAGAAGCAGCCTGCAGGTTCTGGTCCATATGCTAACTTTGGAGGAATGAAAAGCCTACGCTTCCCACCTGTGCGGAGTGTGACAATACTGCTTTTAGGCCATTTCAACGAGCATTTGCATACAACAAATAGAAGGGATCAAAAGAACATTCTCCAATCTCCCATCTTTCATGATCTTGGTTATCTTTACCTATGTGCATTGGAGGTACTCCATCACCCCCGAAAATCCCCTGATCCAGACCTTTAATCACCTGTATAGAAACGCCAAATGCACGCCGGTCAATACATCTTGTTCTTAGACCTCATACATTTTAGATTTCAAGCATAGCTTTGAGACTTCTTCTACGCAAGAACAATTCTTTTGGAACAAATGTAGGCTTTAAGATTATCTTGTTAAGCCAACAATTGTACAATGGGTGCAAACCATTTAACTCAACTTAAGCATCTTTCTTCTCTTTACTGAAGCTTCAATAGTCTGAACTCTGAAGGAGCAGGTAATCAAACAAGCTGCAAGCCATTAATCTCTCACCTTACCGACTCCAATCCGCATAGTGAGCGGTCTAGCCCGTTTATAACTGCTATCGAAAACCGTCCCATCGCCAAATCGAGCAGTGTAATGTATCTACAGGAATTCACATAAATACCATCATCCATTAAAAATACAGGACATCCACCAAGTGTATGAGAAAATGACCCACTGAAACCCCGCCAAAATTATGGCAAAACGAGACACTCCAACCCCAAAATTTGGGTTTACAAATCAAGCTAAAAGAGCAAAACTACAAAAACCAACCCTAATCCTTACAATGTTGTTCATGAATCAACTCACATTGATCAACTCAGCATAAGGCGCCTCTTCGCCGGGACCTTCAATGACGTCACAGTAGCCGAGCCCAGACCGGACGAAATTGAACTCGCACATAGGCTCTCCCACCGTGGCGTAGTACTCGATCCTGGTGGCGTCGGCGTCCATCGGAGAAAGAGCGAGAATCGAAGCCGACAACAGCCCGATGCCCGCATCAACTATGCGATTCTTCCGCTTGGGAACAGAGTTCAAAGAGGGGTTGCTGTTGGCATTTCTGTCGAATTGAGGTTGCGATGAGGAGAAGCAAGAAAACGAGCAAGTGGGTTTTGAAATGGAGGGAAGGGCTTGAGCGCGGAAGAGGGATTTGGGGCTTGCGATGGCGGCGGAAGCAGAGAGCGCCATTTTTTGTTTCTTGAGCTTTCTGAGAGTGAAGTGAGTGGCTTTGAAAAGTAGTTAATGCACCGGGGGGAAGAAAATTTTGAGGAATTCAGAACCGTTGGAAGTGGATAAGAACGTCTGGGGTTTTTTTCATTTCAGTTTGGGCTTCTTTATCATTCAAAGGCCCAAATTGATTCCATGTCTTCAAATTGGGCCAAGTTGAGGCTTGGAGCAGAAAGACGGGCCAAACTAGCTTGAGGTTTCCCCGTTTTCCCTGGACTTGCAGGGATACTGTCTAACCAAAACATGTGGAATACTTCTACCCAAAAAAAATTTGGAAATTGGATTACAAAATTTTCGAGAAATGATGTATTTTGCAAGTTATTATGGCAAGAATTCGTGGAATCTTACAAATGTATGGTTTTGTAAAGATTGTAATGAATCTTTGGAACTTTTTGAGTGCGTGCAAAGAGTATTTAGGGTATGGTGAGTGATCCTTATAATAATCCACAGATTTATATGAATTCCACATCGATGTAAACGAAATTTGATTAATTTGATTTAGATCTTTAGTAATGACCATATATATATATAGTGCCTTCTACGGTACCCCGGGTGAAATCCGGGGTATTACATACTTTGAGTATGAAAACGCTATTTAGACCTCGAATAAACATGATTTTTGGGCATGATACTATACCCTAATCCTTAATGAGTGAACCCTAGGTCCTAATTATCTAAATCATAAACTATAAATCCTAAGATGATGCATTGATTTTTTTGCCTATATTTGGACGAATCATAACCGTCGATTATTGTTTCTAATTAAATTGATCTTGGGGTATAAGATTTAGAGAATTAAGACCTAGATTTTGATCTTTAAGGGTTAGAGTATATTATCATGTCCGAAAGATCAGTCAATTCAAGTCTCGGATGGCCTTTTCTTACTCAAGGTATGCGGTACCCGGAATTTCACCCTGGGTACCGTAGAACTCCCCATATATATATATATATATCAAAATTTATAAATCATCAAGCACAACACCACTACATCGTATTGTTGCTTTGATATCACTGTATTACTTACAACTTTGTTGATTAGAACTAAAACGAAATTAAACTGAACTCGAAACTAATTACGATATCTCGCGTATTGGTTAGTTCGAAATTTCCCCCAATAAACTTCCATCCATTTCACCACAAAATTCTCTTTCTTCCCCATCCATCTTCAAAACAAACTAACATCCACTCTTCAAGGCAGAGGAAATCAACAACAACTTCAATGACGACCCTTTCCTTTCCCGCCTTTCTTCTCATCGTTCCCTTCTTTTTCTCAACCCAACCATTTGTCTCCTCCCTCCTTTCTCGCCATTCCCTTTGCCGACCTCTCCTCCCGCAAACCCCAACACCCTCCGCCATTGACGATCACCAAACAAACAAACACCAAAAAATTTAAATACCTTTCAGTGAAAACCATAACACAAAGCAAACGCAATATCAAGAAGAAGAAGACAAAAGGAAATGGGTCGTGTAAAGCTTCAGATCAAGAGGATAGAGAACGTCACGAATCGGCAGGTCACGTTCTCCAAACGACGAAATGGCCTCATCAAGAAAGCTTACGAGCTCGCCATTCTGTGCGACATCGACATCGCTCTCATCATGTTCTCCCCTTCCGGCCGCCTCAGCCATTTCTCTGGCAAGCGAAGGTTCGCTCCTTTTTCGTTTCGTTGCAAACTCTTTTATACCTCGTGTCATAGTTAATCGTTTTGTTTCAATAAATCGAATGTCTTACTCGCAGAATCGAAGATGTGGTTGCTCGCTACATAAACCTACCGGACCATGATCGAGAATGGTAACATCTTTCGATTTTTTTTTTTTTCAAATCTTTTTATTTTCTATATTGAGAATGAGCATCCCAACTAGCTAACTCACTCCTGCCAATTTCATTTCCATAAGCAGTGAAGTGATGGATCGTGAGGTAAGCCATGCAGAAAGAAATCCTTAATTTGTACTTTGATAATTACTGTGAATGAGTTTTGATTGATTCTCCGTTATTATCATATATTAATCTCCCCATTTTATGCTATTCGTTAAACAGCATTTGCTCAAAATTCTCAAGAAGCTCAGGACTGACAACGACATGGCCCTTCAAGCCACCAAGTAAGGATACCAATTTTTCTATAAAAAAAAAACATATAGTGATCTTTCTCGACGAATTGAACTATAAATTTCGGTGCACGAGTCTGTAAATTTTATCAAACATTTTGTTGTTGTTTACGAACTCGTTTCTCGATAATATTTAGAGAATTCCTTTTCTTTTTTTCCGCTCTAATATATTTTTCATGGCCAACCTGCAGCCCAGAGGCAACAAACTCAAACATTGAGGTAAAAAAAAAAAAACAGATTGAAACTTGTTATCTAATTAATGAATTTTAAAAAATGGGATGTGAAAAAGAATCTGAAATGTTTTTCAATAATAGGAGCTGCAGCAAGAAGTCTGCAACTTACAGCACCAGATACGAGCAGCAGAGGACGAATTGAACCTATACGAGCCGGACCCTTCGAAGTTCTCGTCGATCGGGGAGCTAGAGTCCTGCGAGAAGAACCTCTTGGAGAAAATGGCCCTTCTAGAGGAGCGCAAGGTATGATTGCAATGAGATTCAAAAGCCAATGGAAGATTGAGATTTTGATATGGTAGCTCAATATGATGTGTTTGCATTTGTTGCAGAAGTATCTGCTGAGCAACCATGTCTCCACTTATGATCCTGCAAGCATGCAGATCTACTTAGATGCGCAAGAGGGTCTACCGAATTTCGACAATGACCTCGCGAATTGGCTGCCAGCTGACAATGGTGGGCACAACCAGCAGAACTCTGTTCATCATGTAGTCTCAGAGTCATCCTGCATTCCTGTCAGGTTGGTGACAAGAGAAAAGAAGAACTCAAAACTTTTTTTTTTTTTTTGGCTAATCCTAATGCAATAAGGATTCGACTTTTCGCGGTGTTTGGCCAGCAACCAGTCATCCACCTCTATATTTGAAGCACTGTCACAAGGGAATGCAAATGTTGGGGATCCTTGTAACAACATTGGAGGAGGAGGAGAGAACCATATGAACAACAACAACAACAACAACAATAACAGTAATAACAACAATGAGAGCATCTCATCATGGCAGCAAGCTTTCTCATCGATTTCGCCGACGGAGCTTCTTGCTGGCTTTTTGCCTCCTACTTCTTTTGCTCCCACTATTAAGGTTACTCTCCCCCTCTTTCTTCTTTGTGCTTTGTTCTTGGTGCTTTGTTCTAACTCTGGTTTTGGTGTTAAATGAGTAGCAGCAAGAGGTGGAAGGGCCGAGCTACACATCAATGCTGCATCAGCAGCAAGCTCATGAGGCTCAATCAAACTGCCAACAACAGCAGCATCATCAAATGCAATCATCGAACAACGGGGAAGGGTCGGATTATCATGATCATGATCAGAAGTTTATCACACAGCTTCAGGTTGATTGATTGACAGTGATTGACCAATTTTTGTGCCACAATTGTTTGAGTGAAGCTCTTCTTGAATTCAGTAAAGAGGTTCCCTTCTTCTTCTCTTTTTTTTCCAGTTTCTCCAGTTTTTGTGTGTTCTGTTCAATTATTTTCTTGTTGTAAACGAATGAGCAATCAACTGCTTGAGCGACAGGAAACCGCAAATAGTATGATTCGAAATCCTGCTTTTCTGAATAGAGGTCGTCACATCTGCACATAATTTGTTTAATCAAAACTCACATAAGATTGGATTTTCAGCATGCTCTTTTCACAATTCTGATTAATTTGATTCACATAAATCATCAGATTACCTCAAAGAGAAGGCCATTATGAGAGTTAAACGTTTTGGTAATTCTGAAACATCACGGGAATATTGATGATTGACCTAGTGATTCGATCGAAGACACTCATGTTCTTCTCACAGAAAAGAGTTCAATTTTCATTACAATCTAACAAGGAAAAGTAAAGTATTCAACCAAAAATGTTAACAGTGTCGCATACCATGGGATGTACAGAGGAAATGAAGTTGTGGATTCCCAAGATTTTCTACTACCATTTCCATTACAAACTTTTTTAGATCTTAAGCTAACGAGTCATGATTATTGGTTGATCTCACTGCAAAAATGGAAGCTTGGTGGGTGTAAGGAGAAAGAAAGTACCTGTAAGGAGACAGTATGGCCTTCCATCTATTTCAAGCACAACCCTTCTCTGGAAATGTACTGCCGATTGAGACAAACATTTCAATGCTTCACTCTCATCCTTTTCTCCATTCCCAGTGGAGTAGTATTGGCTGCCAATTGCCATCACCAGCTGCTAAAAATCCCCATCGTGGGCATGAAGCGTGCAGCTAGTCCCTTGCCATATCTCGCAGCCGACTTCACCCAATGCTTCAGTCTCATCCTTTTGTCCATTCCCAGGAGCAATAACCCGTCCAGCTCCTCGATTCCGCTCACCTTGGTCAATTTGGTGCACCCCTCAATTTGAAGCTCCTTCAACTTCCTGAGACCAGACAGATTTCCCAACTTCTTCACTGAGCTGCAATCAAACATGAACAGCATTGTTAATGATCCCAACCCCTCCACGCCCTTGACCTCAGTCAAGCCTTCGCAATAGCTGAGGTCCAGAATCTCCAGATTGTTGAGGCCGGATAAGTCTGGCATCTCTGTAATCAAACAACAACCAAACAACCGCAGCTGTGTTAATGACTCCAATCCCTCCATCCCCTTGACCTCAACCAACCCTGTGCACTCCTCAAGGTTCAGTTCCTCCAAATTATCGAGGCCGGATAAGTCTGGCAGCTTCGTAATCGAATAGCAATCGCACATCACCAGCTGCCGCAGCGATTCTAATCTTTCGAACCCAGTTGGGAGATCAATCAAGCTTTCGCAATGTGTGAGGTCTAACCTCTTGAGGTTCCTTAGCGCAGACAGATCCGGCAGCTGTCGAATCGAAGTGCAACCCTCCATACCCAGAGACTCCAATGACACCAACCTCTCCAACCCGTTAACCTCACTCAACTCTGGACACCGGATGATGTCCAACCGTTTCAGATTGACGAGACTGGAGAGCTCGGGAAATGGTTTCTCTCCAAACGATTGTTCTGTCAGAGTCAGAGCCTCCAACGACCCTAGAAGTCCAAGTCCATCCAAGCTAGCAAAGTTGGGACAATTTTCTATTTCCATACGGGATAGAGTCTCCCCGAGGTCACCCAGGCCTTGTATCTCTACGAGAAACGGGCACTGGCAAACCGTCAAGTCCTTCAGTTTGATCAAATTCGCTACACTCGGCAGTCTCTCCAGCTTCTCGCACCTTCCCACGAAAAGGGTATGGAGGAGGAGCAGATTCTCAAGTCCAACGAGGCTTTTCAGGCTCGGGTAATCGGATATCCACATCGTCTCCAGCGCCCTCAGCTCTCCCAGGCCCGAAATCTCGACCACCCCAATATGCGTGAGTTTGAGTTGGGTCAGATTTTGCAGATTCGCTAGATTGGGGAGATCATTCAAAGGGCCGCATTCCTCCACATGAAGGCTGGTTAAAGATGGCGGCAGAGCAGCAGCAGGGGAAGCTGCCTCCTGGTCCTGCTGCAGTAGTGGACCACAGACGCTGCATTGCTTTAAAATCAGTTCCTTCAAATTGGGCAGCCGCCATAAGTCTCCTGGGATCCACGGATTACTAGCATTTAGGTAGCTCAGTGACTCCAACTCCTTGAGATCGAGCAGATTTGGGACCCCTGATGGAGATGAGATGGATAGCCTCTTCAAACTACCCGGGAGCTTGGGTATCTTCATCTTGTAGTTATTCACCCTGCTGAGTTCTGATTCCATCAACAGGATTCTGAGAGAGGATAGTTTTTCCATCCCAACGGGCAATTCTCTCAAATGTGTCAACCTCATATCCATTTCCTCCAACAGTTGAAGCTTTCCTATGTTACCTCCGCCGCCGGGGACGATCAACTCTGTTATCTTGGTGGAGGAGAGCCTCAATGTTTTCAGATTCTTGAAATTGCGGATGTGCAGTCCCCCTTCCATTTCTTTACAATGCTCAAAATTTATCAACTCCAGGCTTGCGCACGTGGACAAGTCGGGAGTTCTTGTCAGTTTGGAGCACTTGAATAAGTTTATAGCTTTCAGCTTCCTTGCCGCCTGTATTCTGCTCCAGCACTTCCAGTTATCTTTCACACTGGAACGCTCCAAATCAAGAACAATCAATTTCTTGGTGTTGATATCAGTTGGGATAGATCCACAACGTCGAAGTCGAAGGCAACACAGATTTGGAAGAACATGGCTGAAATCCCCCTTCACATCTCCACCGTGCACCTCTAAATATCGTAATCTCGGTAAGTTCTTGAATCCCTTGTTGTTGAGCAGTTTTTCATGATCATCTCTGAATCTCACGTTTATCCGAAGAACTTCAACCCGTTCACTTCCCTGCAAATGTACATGACTGGCAACTAGTTATTACACTTTGAGCATATATAAGTACAATCCAAAGAATGACAGAAGAAATTCTACCTCTCCGTTTCTTAACATGTTGAGTGCATCGTCGGTAGACCATATCCTGCTACAGTTATATGGATGTTCAACATCTTCCATTTTAATAATGGCTCTCCCAAGATCTTTGATGTGATCGTGCATCCAAAATTGGTTTCTTTTGTCAACCTTAATCAAAGATCTATTGATAAGAGTGGTGATGCTACTTTCTGGATAGAAATCACAGCCACTCCACATATAGTAAGGTAAATCTTTGGGGCTGCCTGTGAAATGAGAAGCAATATCAAGAAAGATTTGCATTTCATTGTGTGTCAGCTCGTTGCAGCTAATCTTCAATCTCTCATGCAACTTATTCTCAGTAGTAGAAGGTATGTTTTGTAATTCTATCAACTTTTCTTTCCAAAATTCCCTCTCTCTACGAAACAAAAGTGACCCTATCACCTTGAGAGCTAAAGGAAGTCCAGTAGCAACTTTTACGAAGTCATCAGATATTCTTGCATCTTCCTCTGGTGGACTGTCCATCCCAAAAGCATGTTTGCTAAATAGTTGCAAGGAAAGATGATAACTCAGTTCTCCTGGTTCATAAAACTTGCATTCTGGAAGAAACTCTAGAGCTCTCTTATTTCTTGTTGTAAAGATAAATCTACTATCTCCTGAAAAATCATCTGGCTTCCCCAAAATTTTATCAAATTCAAAATTGTCATCAATGTCATCAACAACAACAAGCACTTTGTGCTTGCAAACTCTCTGTTTTATCATGTTGATCCCTTCGCTAACACTTTTAACTTGACGATCATCCTTCAAAACAGCAGATAAAATCTTATTTTGTAGAGATACGGCTCCGTTGCTCACTGCTAGAGCTTCCCGTACATCTTCCAAATAACAACAACGATCAAATTGGGCACAAATCTTGTTATAGACAGCTTTGGATAACGTTGTTTTACCTAGACCGCCCATACCATGAATGCCAACGATGACTTTCTCGCTGGATAACCCTAAATTCAACAATGTCATCACTTCTCCCACATGTGTATCGATTCCCACCAACTCATCGGTTACTAATGTGTACATACTCCTCAAATGTGACTCAACATTAGAAAGGACCTCGCCTATAATAGCACCTTGACTGTGGCATAAACCGATGATTCATCAACATACATCACAAAGTAAGCAAGTGGTAAAATAATCTAAGAGATGGGTACATAAAAAAAGAGATCTAACTACTACTTACCCGTGAGATTCGATAACGTGCCATCCTTTCATCTCCCCTGCAATTTGGAGGGCTTCCTTCCATTCATTCACAACTTCTGAGCTATGTTTATGAGAGTGTTGTTCAAACGCTTGTTGATAAGGACCCTTTTGATTCCTCACATCTCTCGGGTCCACGAAGTAGAAAATTGGGAGGATGAGGTGTCTCTTGTCTTGCTTCCAGCACTCCACCATTCGAGCCAATTCCAGAAGGCACCATTTGCTGGAAGCATACTGTTCGGTGAAAATCGGGATGTAGATCTTCGACTCGGGGATGGCCCGAGCAAGGGAAGGCGCGGTCCCTTCTCCCTTTCGGAGCTCTTCCTCGTCCCTAAACGTGCGGAATTTGGCGCGCACTAGCGAGGTGTACAGATGATCGGCAAACGTGTTGCGGACGTCGGGACCTCTGAAGCTCAGGAAAACCTCGTACTCGCCTGCTGGGAGAAGAGGCGAGGAAGAAGCAGCACCACCGGGAGAAGTGGCGCATTCCATTGTTTCGATCTTCGCTGCGGATCGACGAGGAGCCGATTCTCGCCGGAGGAGCTCGGCTCACTCAGCCTGGATGTTCGGATTTTGGCCGGGATGTCTCAAGTCAACGCAAAGGGGAGGAGAAGTTGCCCAGAACTTGGCAGTCGACATTGCTAGATTAGCAGATAGCTGGCGCGAGGGGACGGTGAATTGAAAATTACTAAATTAGTCATGCGACGACTTAAGTCTTAAGGTAATTGGGTGGGCCTTGAAATAGGTTGCTCGGGCTGAACTATTACAAATGGCAAATGGGCCTCGTGTGTTTGAACCCATTATGATTTATGCAAGACATTTCTTAAAAAAAAAATATTTCAAAATTTATGTCCATAATAAATTGTTATTTGGATCAATTCACTATTTTTTTTTTATTTAAAAAAAATATTTCATTCACTAGTAGGGTTTTCAACAGTTTGCTCAGCACCAAATCGCACTTGATCATACTTACATTAGGAGCAGACTGAATATAGTGTGGTTTGATCGTTGTCCTCGTGAATTTTATAAATATTTGAATGGATATTTGGAATTTTTTTTTTACAAAATATAATCATATATTGATACTAAAACAAAGATAGTTACACCCTGGAACCCAGCCAGGTCCGAAAATCAAAGAAACGACTCATGGTCGGGTACAAGGAGAGGGCTTTTCTAGCCACCAAATGGGTCACCCTATTTCTACTCCGGCCTATAAACCGCACACTAAACCCTGGGCTAATCACAAAAAAATGTAAGACTTCTTCCAGAATAGCACCCAGCCGACTATCCCTAGCATCCTTGCAATACAACACCAAGCCAGATTGAATACAACACCAGTCTGATCCTTGGCCCCAAATTTTTTTTTTTTACTATTGAACCGCAGTTTTCATTGAGTGTGCAACGGTTTGGTATGCACTAGCTCGTACTGGACAGCACCGACATTAAGACCAAACCGAATGTAATGCGGTTCGATTCTTGACCCCATAAATTTTACAAATACTGCAAATTAAGACCAAACCAAATTATTATTTGAAAGAATCAAACCAAACTAGATGCAATGATGGTCCAATCCTAGATCTGGTCTGGACCGTTGCACAACCCAACTTTTTCAACTTGCACTTTTGTAAATGAATGAATGAGCATTCAATTGCTTGAGGTGCAAGAAACCAAAAGGAGCCTGAATCAAAACCTTGCCCTTTTTTCTTCTAAATAGAGATTTCACATCTGCCCATAATTTTTCCTACCTCAGTACATGAACATCTGTTTTTAGGTTTGGTGGTTGTCTCATATTATGATATCAAGATCATCCAAGTTAAGATTCTCAGCCAGAGGGAACCCATCCCACTCCAAGAAGCCATCTTCCTCGTTCTCTTGGTTGGCTGTAGTACTGCAGAACCCTTCCTCCCTTCCCATCTCAGCCTGATCAATGAAAAAAACTCACAGCAAGATGAAATTTCAACATGTTGGTTCTTTCACAATCCTGAACAATTAAAGGCAGAAGAAGGGTGCAAACTAAAATGATGAAACTACCTCAAAGGGAATGCCATGATGATGATGATGATGATGGGGAGATGGATCTGTTGATAATTCTGAAACATCCCTTGAATGTTGAGCAATGGGAATAAATCCAGGGCTTAGATTGAAATCAGGCATGTTCTTCTCCTAGAAAAGAGTCAAATTCTTCATCACAACTTGACAATGGAAAAGGTTTATACTATTGAAGCAGAGAAGTCAATCGTTTCACCTACCAAGGAATGAAATGTAGAGGAAATGAAGCTGGATTCCCCAAATTGTCTAGTGCCATTTCCAGCAGGATGGAAGCCATTGATTATGTCGCGAAGCATCGAGTTACGAACTTTCGAACTAGCACGAAGAGATGACAGGTTAATCTTAAAGCTTTTAGATCAGCTATGGCTTCATTGCACTGCAAAAAGGGTGTTCAGAGAAAGAGAGAGAAGACCTGTAAGGACTAATCCAAGGATCCAGTTTTAATATCAGCTGGCTGGGATTCGGACACTGGCTGGCTGCCCTATTGATGATCCCATTTCCACGAAAACCGAAAGGGGATAGTGAATCCAGCTCTGGCCTTCCGTCCATTTCAAGAACTGCCCTCCTCTGAGAAATGTTTCATCGAGTGAGATAAATTAGCAAACCCAGAAAACATTGAACGCTACAAGATACATTTTCCATCGAGATTCAGAATCTGGCCCTTTACCAACCTGAGGAATGAAGGGACGAGCATTGTAAGGAGCTGCTGAGCAGTTGCCAAGAAGCAAGTTCTGTTTGGAGAAACAACCCACAAAGAAACAGGGGAAGCTTGAGATAAGACTGAAAACAAAAACAAAAAAGGTCCTGAGATGGGTTGAAGTCACGAGCCGAACCTTTCTGTGGATGACCCGCTGCATCGCCTGGTTCAGGTTTCTCTCACACCATAACAGCTGAGGCAGAGTATAGCTGCTGGGCTGTTCTGGATCGACCTCGTAGTCACTTTTATTTGCATGAATCAAACGACAGAATGCGTCAAATGCTAGTGCTAGCTACTTGACAGAACCCTATTTAGAAAAGAAGGGGAAAAAAACACACACAGTTACCTGAGATTGGCATCGAGGATTTCAATCTCTACTTCTGATTTCTTGATCTGCAGCTTCAAATGCTACGAATCGAGCGACGTGGAAAATTAGAGTGGCAGCTTCAGGGGAAATGCAGGGGGAAGAGGAATGAATGACAGTACACTTACGTGGATCCTGCATTGCATCGGGAAGGACACAGAAAAAGTGCAATGTCAGTGTTATAGTTGATGGATAAAGAGGAAAATGGAGCAGTTTTGGATGAAGGAGAGAAAGGAAGAAATGTACTGATTGGAAAGGTAGTGTGATTTGTTTTCATCTCCTTCGATAATGTGATCAAGCTGCTCTAACCTCTCCAGCTTCTCCTGTCAAAGTGTAAACCAGAGGAAGTGATCACTCCTCTCTATGGCAAATTAACTTCAAATTTGGTACCCCAAATTAAAGTGCTTGCATAATTAATCCAACAAAAATTTAGATCAAAACATACCTCAACATCCTGTAAGTTGCTGTTCAATACCCAAATTCATTCCATATATAAAAGTAAAAAATTTCTGGATTAGCAAAGAAGATAAAAGTAGAAATGGAAGGAAAAGTTCAATTCAAAACAGTGCCGTTTCGTACTAGTATCTTTGGTATGCTGGTAGATCAACATACTGCTGGAGAACATCTTCAATTCTAGCAACCCAAACACACATAACAGTGAGAAAAAAAACTGTTAGCGCTTTGCAAAATGATACAACCATTTAGCGACCGGTTTTGCGAACCTTTCTCCGCTGCTAAACTTGGTGGCGAGCCCTGATGGAGAAAAGGCGACGAGCGCAACGTCGGCGTCGCAGAAGGCAGAGATCTTGTGTGCTTTCCTTACCAAACTCCTGCTTCTCTTCGAGAACGACGTCGCTCGCCGTCTACTAACGTCGTCGTCAATTCTCTTCGTAGCTTTCTTCTTCTCCTCCTCATCCATTAGTCCTTCAATCGTTGATCGTCGTCGCCGTCGAGGAAGGAAACTGGAAGATCAGCTCAAGCAAGAAGCTGCAACTTATTGCAGAAATGATTCCTCAAACAAAAGCAATTAATGGGTTCAGATTGCATGATAACTGAAATTTATTACATGTGTTACGCGATAGCCTGTTTTTTTTTTTGGATTCTGTATACTGACACGTGTCGCTTTTTTATTTATCATGACTGGTCAAAGTAAATTCTCTGTTCAAAATTGCATGGATCATGGACCCGACAACAAGTTGCAAAGTGGGCTGGTTTGGTGTCTCCGTGGGCTCATCATCTTGATCTCGGCCCAATACTCGTTTGTACCCTTCCTGCTTTCAAATATTCCCGCCAAAGCTAACAGAAATTAGAGACTGTAGATTGTAGAACATTCCGTCCTCCTCTCACAGCTTTCCTCACGCTTCCGCATCTCTCGCTCCCCGCACATTCCCCGACGCCACGCTCCTTCACGCGCCTCCTCCAGGTAACCGCCTGGCTTCGCGTATAAATACCAGGCTCACAGCGATCGTCCCCTCCAGTCGCTCACTCGCCATTTCTCTGCAATTCCTTCATTCTCTCTTCATACTTTCCCTCTTCTGTTTAGCTCCATACTCCCTCCCATGGCGACTTCTCGCTCAATCGCTGCCGCTCTTGCGATCCTGATCCTCTCGTTCTACCCGTTGCGAGCTGCTTCCGCCGTCGGCTTCGACCAGTCGACGATCTCCCCGTCGATTTCCGCCACCGCCGCAGCGTCCTCGACTCTGTTCCAGCCGTTTCCGCCGATCCAGTCCCCGTTCCCGTCGTCGGCTCAGTCGCCGCCGATCCCACAGCTTCAGCAGCAGCTGCAGCAGCAGCAGACGGCCGTCTCTGGTCGCGATTCCGGAGGCGATGAGTCCTTCATCCACACCGCTCTCCTGGCTCCGATCCTCGCTCACCTCGGCTACAACGAGCTGGCCATGGCTGTCCCGACTCTCTCCTCCGAGTCCACCGCAACCGCGTGGTCGGGGCCTTCGACTCTGTTCGCTCCCTCCGACGCCTCTCTCCACTCCTGCTACTCCTGCTCCGTCCCCAGCCTCCTCCGCGAGCACATCGTCCCGGGCCTCTTCACCATGGATTACCTCCGCAAGCTCGCCTTCGGCACCAAGGTCGAGACGCTCGCTCCCGGCAAGTGCATCACCGTCACCTCGAGCTCCGTCAAGAATTCCACCGCCGATCCCCCCTCCGCCGCCAAGATCTTCATCGGCGGCGTCGAGGTCACTCGTCCAGATCTGTTCAACAACGGATTCCTCGTGATTCACGGAATCCAAGGCTACATCGCGCCTCTCTCGCCGTTCTCCTGCGACGTCGAGCGTCTCAACTCGCTCACGTTCCCGTTCCAGCAGCCGGATCGCGTCCCCGTTGACGGCCTCTCGCCGCCGCTCGTCCAGCCCGCGGTCATGCGATTGATGATGAGAGACGCGATTCTCCGCCTCCGCAACAACGGATTCAGCATCCTTGCTCTGGCGATGCGAGTGAAGTACGCCGAGCTGGTTGCGCTCAGCAACATGACGATCTTCGCGCTCGACGATTTCTCGATCTTCTCCGGATCGTACTCCTACATCAGCAGCGTGAGGTTCCACATCGTTCCGAACCAGCTGTTGACCATCGCTGACCTGGAGCGGCTCTCCGTCGGATGTACTCTGCCGACTCTGGAGAGCGGCCAGTCTCTGGTGGTAACCACCGCCGCCGCGACCGCCGCTTCTTCTTCCGGTGGTGGTGGTGCGACTCAGCAGGCAGCGCCGATGAGGATCAACTACGTCAGGATCAAGATGCCGGACGTGATGCGGAACTTGAAGATCGCTGTGCACGGGATCTACCTTCCGTTCCCGAGGATTCACCCGTCCACTACTCAAGCCGCCGGCACCGCTCAGAGCTTCGACCAGGGAATGTTTGGATCATCAGGCGCGGGGGACTCTGCTGCTGCATCCTCCGCCTGTGCTGCTCTGTCGGAGGAGGACGGAAGCTGCGCTATGGTGCCTGTCCCGCCGGTGAAGGCGACGCTCGAGGTGGAAGACAATCACTACGGCCTCTGAATTGAGCCTTAGGTGAACGATTCGTTTGCCTGTCTATCATCAATTTTGTGATTCTGATTTCAATTTTCCTGTTCGTTCAGTTTTTTTCTCTGTAATTCGGCTGTGGAATGTTCAATTGGGAATCGGGAGGAGCAGCGAGTTTCGGTATCCATTTTAACTCAGCTGCTGCTTCCTGGTGAGTTAGCCGTACGAGTTCTGTACGTAGGCCAGCCGCAGGGGACGACGACACGTGTGGGCAAACTATCTTTTGTCAGCCCCTCTTTGAATTGAATAAAAGTTCCTCTTCTTTCTGCTCTCATTTTCTGTTTGCTTGCAAGTTCATACTATCTGTTTCTTGCCAAGGTGTTTCGATGGCGAAACTCGCGTGTTCAATGCGCTCTGATTTCAAGGAAACAAAAAAACCCAAAGTCAGCAGAATCGTCAAATATCCGCCGCCGATATCGGCGTCGTTGATTTGATCGATTAAAGCAGAAACCAAGACGATCGTCAAATATCCGCCGCCGATATCGGCGTCGTTGATTTGATCGATGCACCTTTGACCTCTAGTCAAACAACCGTTACTCGGTTCACCACCTCTCCAAACTACGTTCGAACGAGGGTGTTCACGAGAAACGAGAAACCAAACCGGGAGTGTTCTAAGTTACGTTACCTCTACTCCTATGGAGGTTCCTCTGGAGAGCTCCGCAACTACGACTACGACTACTACGACTCTGCAAAGGAGGTCTTTGACAGAGAGGTTCTACAAACTAGAGAGAAAAAGATAAATCTGCGTAGATGCAGTTTGTGATTTGAGTTTGCCCTCCTGAGCTTCTCTCTCTTCCCAATCTTTATACTTCGCGCTTCTCCCCGTCGTAGTAACTGCCTTCGCGCCTTTGTCTCCCACGTCTTCACTCCTGTCAACCGTGCAGGTAACTTCCTCCTTGTTGCGTGATAGTCACGTGCCCTTGAAACCGCTCTTGCCTTGCAGAAACTTGGCAAAACGACCTACATCCTTGTCCAGGTAACGATGCCGTTTCACCAATACCACGGCATCGCCCTTACCCAACCAATGCCGTTTCATAATCCAACTCAACTGCTCCGACCCGGTTTAACCAACGACATTGTTAGTCTACCGCGATGTCGTTTTGCTTCTCCGCGGCATCGCTTTCATTAAACGACACCGTCTAAAATACTCATAAAATACTGATTAATTAAACCAGCCCTTATTGTTAACTCGCCGTCGAACTTTCACCCCTCGGCGTCGTTCTTAATTAAACGACATCGTTTCCTTGTCCCGCGATGTCGTTGAACTTTTGAGCTTCGCGACGCTGTTTTAATTTTAACACTGTCGTTTTACCTGTTGCGGCATCGTTTGGCCTACTCGCGGTTTTGTTTTATAATCCGCGATGTCGCTTCTTTCCTCTTGCGGCATCGTTTCCAACTAAACGACATCGTCCTAAAAAAAATAATTAACCATATTAGTTAATTAATCCGGCCAATAACTAGTCAAACCGACGACATCATTAGCACCCAAAACGGCTCCGTTTGCCTTTCCCTTCGCGACATTGTTTTTAATTTAAACACTGTCGTTTGCTAATCCGCGGTACCGTTGAGCTTACTCGCGGTACCGTTTTGAATTAAACGACACCGCCGATATAGCCAAAACATACTAATCCATGGAACCGCCGCAGTCGGCGCTGGGCCGGGTGAATTTTGGTCACTTGCCCGATATGATTTTTTAATTAATCGGTACCGCTTACCAGGCTCTCGCGGCACCGTTTTTAAATCCGCGGTACCGCTTTAGCTCTCCGCGATACCGCTTATCTCCATGCGGTACCGATTTTCCCCTTCCAACAAGGAATCAAAATAATAATTAAATAATCAAAACTCCTCCTCCAACCTTCATTAAACGCGCGGCCCTTTTTTTATTCTCGGTGTCCGGTGTCGTTTCCAATGCCGCGGTACCGCTGAGCTCCCTTGCGGTACCGATTTTCCTCTTCCGACAAGGAATAAGTAATAATTAATTATAAAACTCCCTTCTCCAACCCAACTACACGCGCGACCCCTTTTGTTTTTCATTAAGCGGTGTCGTTTCCCATAACGCGGTACCGCCGAGCTCCCTTGCGGTACCGTTTTAATGTTTCGCGGTATCGTTTTAACTCTCCGCGGCGCCGCTCAACTCCAAACGACACCGTTTTTTACCCACGGCATCGAATTAAATGCCGAGACTAATTGATGCGGCATTTAATTCAGGCCAAATTAATTTTAGGTGTCAACACAAGGTTTCATTCATTTTCATCTCGTTCGTAATTTCCAAGTAGTGATTCTTGAATACAATAGCGGAAATCGGTTCTTCCATCGCTTCATCTTTTACGAACTCCTGGAAATGGTGACCGCCGGTGACCATTATTATCAAATATAGAAGAGGATCTGCTGTTAGACCTTGCCCGTTAGGATTTTCTCTATTGGGCCAAGTAGAGCTTGCCTTCTTTCCAGTTGTTTCTCTGATTTCGGTCTGCCAAACAAGCTATAGTTGGACCACGGCCCATAAAGGAAATTTGAAGACTAAGCAACAAAGTCGCTAACATCACATATCGTGGTTGAAGTCGATCACGATACAGTGGGTTCGTGGTGATGCGGCCACTGAATCATCCACAATATGTTCACAATTTTATCAATCTAAACTAATCTTAGAGCAATTGTGATCAGTTGACTCTGCAAAGATGCACAAGATCATTTGCGTAATTTACTAAAAATGGAGATTAGTGTGTCGCATTTTCAACGGATTTTACTTGTACTAATAATGATGTTGAAAATGGGTGCTTCAATTGTACATTATTGTTCTCTTTTGAGTCGAGTCTATATGGATTTATTTTGGGTTTTTTTTCTCTAAATGCCTCGTACTATAGGTGAACAGTTATCAACAAAGGGTCATTTCCCTTGTATTGGCGATGTGAGACTTGGATTAATTGTCTCATAACAAATGGCGCGACTGTGGATTTTATACGATTTCAAATCTATTATGTATATAATATAGTATAAAAATCATTCTCTGAGCGAATAATGATTTGATATAGCAGTATCATCTCTAATTTTCAACTTAGATATTGCATGTTTGAATCATATAGTGGCTTGCTCTTCCCTCGACGCTACCCTTTTAGTAGCAACTAACAACTATCATCTAACTTATTGAAAGGGTTATGGCTCTCTCTTTGTGAAGAACAAACATTATACGAATAGTTATTTTGCTTTTTTGAGTGAAAAAACTTATACACACTAGGTTGTAAATCAAATAACATTTGTGGAAACCAATTATCGTTTGATTGAACCAATTACAATTTAGTAATTTACATTTTGAGGGGAAAAAAACAATTGTACTACTGTAAAGTGTACATTAATGATTAATGGCATAATATATTAGTGGTTTTACAGAACAATGACGAACCCATCATCCAAGGAGAATAACACCCTCCGGTGGAATGATTGAATTATGAATAATTATTTGGTTGAGTATATTAAGAGAAACATCTTTTCCCTGATTTTATATATATAGTTTAAAATGTTTTAAGAATACAAAAATATGTCATCGTTATATGGAATCAACAAAAATAAAATTATGATATGTATTTTTAGCAATCGTCCCCATTAAATAAAATTCAGAAATCACAGATAAACTTATGTACTTCTTTTTTGTTTGAGCATATTAATTGGGACGTGGCTCACAATATAAACGAGAGTATGTATAGTTCGAATTTTTTAAAAAACCTAAACAAACTTCTCAATTCAAATAAAAAACCACATTATGTTAACCATATATACCAACACTTTGCACCATGTCTATCAATAAATTCTTATTAATTATCTTAATATTAAGAAGACAAACAACTTAATGAAATACAATCACAATCGACATAAAATCCAGAGTCTACCAAATCGTACCGTACCGATGGCCAGACCGACAAAAAAAACCCGCCTACCGCGAATCCCAAATTGTGGTTTACAATCTCACCGCTACAAAACGATTTTACACACAAAAACACCCTACTGCTGACTCATCCGATACGATTTAAAATAAAATTATTTCCTCCCCCTAATCCATAACCCTAAAATCGATTAGGCAGCACAAATGTCGTAATCGCCAAACAGCAACGTACAAGTCATGTCCTGCTCGTTCACCCTCCCGCCGGCGAAGTACCGGCAGTTTGTCTCCAAATAAATCTTCGCCGCCACCAAGCACTCGTTGCAGTAGCTCGTCGATGGGTCGTTGTGGCACTCGGCCCGGGCCCCCACGGTGGACGTCCCCACCGTCGTCCTGACGCACGTCAGCTGCTCCTGCCGGTGCCTCGGCGTCCAGTGGAGCTTCACGACGTCGGTGAGGATGTTGGCTCGAGCCCGGCCGAGGTCGCTGCGCGGATCGATCGCGGCGGAGCTGCAGAAGTGGTACGGGAATGAGAAGCCCCTCACGTTGGCCGGAAGAACTACTTTTTTGTTATGATGGTCGGCGGCGGTGGACGTACCGACGATCGCAATGAAGATCACTGCGAGAAATCGTAGCGGTAGAGTACTGATCCACATTTTTTCCCCCCGAATCGTTGTTGTGCGTGCTCGCAGGAACTGTGACGAATTCGGAGATTTCGTTTTCTTGGAATTCGTCTGGGTACGTACTTATATAGACTGTAATTAACAAACCTGTTGCGCGTATCGTGTGATGAATTCGATCGCAAGATATTCAAACAGGTTTGTTATGGTCGTACTGAATCATCCACAATGTGCGCCCGCGACAGATCTATTTTTTGGGCTGGATAGTTGGATCTGAATGACTAGACTATAACAAATCTTCAAATGTTATTTTTTGTAACATGTTAGACTAACTAACGTTAATTGAAAATAAACACCAATATATATTATTATTTTCGTGGTATTTGATTAGTATGACACTAATGCATTGAGAAAATCTCCCATTAGGTTAGTATATATTATTATATGGCTCAAAAGTCAAAAGCCATTGTACGTTATTGTTAATGACAAAGAGATACAAGTCAAAGGAAAAGCTGCACATGGTCCATTCAACATAAATAATGCAAGAAATAAAAGATGGTTGGCACTTGGCAGTACTTTGGTGGTCACATTAACATTAATGCCCAATAAATTTCTGAAAACCATCGATCGGTCTTTTCGTGGTCACATTTAACACTTGTATATTTATAGTTTGTTTGTTATTTGACTTTCGAAGCTGTGACGTGACCTTTAGGTTCAAGATCAGTAATATTATCGTTACATCAAGTCCGTGATCGCAACATGTCATATTTTAACGGAAAATTTTCGGTTTGCCAAAGTATAAAATCTGATGTTAAATTTCTTTGTAACACGAGAGTGAGGAAATTTTGAGTTTGGCAATACGGATGTGCGGTTAGTGTACGTGGGAACTCAAATACCAAAATATTGTAACATTATTATAGATATCATGTCATAAACCAATTGGTACTTAATAATTTGAGTTGTTAGGAGAGTCGTTCATGTATGGATTTTAACCATTATCTTATATATACAACCCCTTTGAACGAAAGTCACCTCGCATGGGATTGAAGTTCAAAGAAGCGCTCCCTCGACCGATAACATATTGTTAATCAACTACTAGTCCTATAATAACTAGAGCTAGCTAGCTGTTGGGAAGAAGTCCATGTATAGATCTTAACGACTTCTTTGCATAACCCCCTTGAAAAAAAAGCCAACTTCATAACCTTTGAAATTTGCACATGTCTGTCATACTATATACTATATGCTTTAAGACTTTGAACAAGTAACCTCAGGATCAAACGAGCTCTGACACCATATTATTACTTATAAACCAACGAGTTCCAATAACACAAATTGCTGGAAGATAACCATGTATGCATCTCAACCGCTTACTTCCACAACGGTAGCTGGGTGCAGGTTCGATTGCCGCTTTTCCCGATTAACCGGTCGGTTAACTCGATAACCGGAATTTGGTCGATTGTCGGAGGCTGGACGAGATAATTTTGGGCCTGGAGGAGGTGCGGTTAATCGATAATCGAAGCCTATTACTATATATAAAGGAGCTCCACAAATGAAGCTTGTGTGTGGTGAACGGTACAAAAAAAAAAGCTTCCCAACTATGGTGACGATGCTGGTCACAGTTGCATGGCTACTTCTCCCACTGCTGCTTCTCGCCATAACCTACCGACGACGACCAACGACATCCCCCCGCCGCCGTCTCCCTCCGGGATCCTCCGGCCTGCCGTTCATCGGAGAAACCCTCCACCTGTTCCTCCCCTCCACAGACTTCGACCTCATCCCGTTCCTCAAATCCCGGCTCCGACGGTACGGACCGGTATTCACGACGAATCTCTTCGGGAAGCAGATCGCGGTGTCGGCCGACTCCGAGCTCAACCACTTCCTCCTCCAGCGCGACCAACAGCTGATCGAGACGTGGCACACCGACACGTCGGCCGGGCTGTTTGGTGACGTGGACATCAACCTCGCCTCCGTGCACAAGTACGTGAGGTTCGCTACGCTGAGGAGCTTCGGCGTGCAGGAGCTCAGGGAAAGGCGGCTGCCGGAGATGGAGCGGCGGGTGCACGTGGCGCTAGGGGATTGGTCGGAGCGGGCTAGCGTGGAGGTCAAGCATGCCACTGCCACGGTAATGAGAAAATTGAATATTTCTAATGTTTTTTTTAAATTGCATTATACGCGCATATTTAAACTCGCCCCTATTACACGACGAGTATGGGTATCTAGATACTTTGCCCCGATCTGTTCCATGGTTGTTCCTAATTTCGTGAAATTAATTGTAAAAAAAAATGCTAGGTGAATTTTCTTTTCTCATATGGTGTTATAACTTACTTACAAGAAATTAAAGCTCATGATCACAAGTTTTTTCTTTTATCGTTTATTATAAAGAAATAGAATGTCGATTTCGATGACTCGGGCTGTCTGCCAAAATAAATGTTGTAATAACAAACTCCTTGTTATTATCACCATGGTTAAGTCAATGATAACCACATAGATGAATAGATATATATATATATATATATATATATATATATATATATATATATAAAATATAGATCTAAGGATCTATATTTCAATATGGTTTTTGTTTATACAATTGATTTGGTCACAAGTCAACGGAGCAGCACCACAATATTATTTTTACTCAAATACTCATTAAATCTAAATTTTGATTGAGTACCCTTAATTCAAGATATAGATAACGTTCTGTCTTATTAATTACATACGGTACTTTCTAGATTTACCATGATAAATCGTATCCTTTTATTATAAATGATTTTAATGCATGTAATATATATCTAACGTACTAATTATACTTGTAGATGGTGCTTAATTACGGGGCAAAGCTGGTGTTTGGTTACGATCCACAGCAATATTCCAAGGAGAAGCTTGTCGATCTCTACTCTTCCATAACAAAATCCCTAATCTCCATCCCCTTGAAGATTCCCGGCACCACTCACTACAAATGTTTGAAGGTAATTAATTAATTAATTAATTAAGTTTACTTATCGATCTTATACGATTCTCTAACAAATCGCTTCCCCCTCGATCAAAAATACACAGGAGAAGGAGAAGGCAGTGAAATTGATCAGGAACGAATTCAGAAAGAGGCAGCAGGCTTCATTTTCTTCGACGAAGGAACCATCTAAAGGGGATGATTTTCTTGACCATGCAATCAGAGAGCTAAATAACGATGGGGAGAAGAAACCATACTCTTTGTCTTTGACAGAAGATTTCATAGTGAATTTCATCTTTGCACTTAATTTTGTGAGCCATGACACCATTGCCAACATAATGACCTTGGCGGTCAAGTTGATTGAAGATCACCCTTTGGTGTTGGAAGAGCTAGTGGTAATTAAGTAATTAATTACCTATCTCTCTCTCTCTCTCTCTACGTTTTGGGATAGTTATTTTTTATGTATCAATCAGTCATTTTTGTTTCGTTTTCGGTTGAAAAGGCTGAGCACGAGGCGATTTTGAAGGCAAGAGAGAGCACTAGTGTGGGGATCTCGTGGGATGAATACAAGTCCATGACTTTCACCCTTCAGGTAATTAAATTTTGACGTGTTTCGTCTATTTTCGTTTGTTAGCAGGTGTTCGAATCGCGCGCGTCGAGAAATTTCTCTCGCCTAGCTTAGTAGATTAATTCGATCGTCTATTGTGTACGAAATAAATAATGAAAAAATTAAACAGGTTATAAACGAAACGCTCAGGCTGGGAAATTTGGGGCCAGGAATCTTGAGGAGAGCTGTCCAAGATATCCACACTAATAATGGTATGTACATACATCCCGTTTAAAGTTCAGACTATTCCCAATAAAAAGCTTTACTTTATGCAGGAATCACATTTTATTTACAATATCTTTGATTGTGCAGGATACACCATCCCATCAGGTTGTGGAATCCTGATTGCTATTAGTGCTATGCATTTGAATCCTGAGACTTACAAGGATCCTCTGACCTTCAACCCTTGGCGTTGGAGTGTGAGTTCGTCGTCGTCACGCGTATATCACTCGATTGTATCGATTAAATCGCTTATCAATCATATAATATCGCGATTTCGTTTATCACGCGATAAATGTATGTTTTTTTTTTTTTTTTACTTCTTGCAGGGGGTGAGTCCAAGTGATAGAATGTACAAGGATCTGATGCCGTTTGGATGGGGAATGAAACAATGCGCAGGATCCGAATATGCACGACTGTTCGTGGCCACATTTCTACACGTTCTCGTCACCAAATACACTTGGAAGAGGATCAAGGGAGGGAATTTGCGTAGAAACCCACTTCTGATCTTCGACCAAGGCTTGCATGTCAAGTTTATGGAGAAAGAAATAACTCAACAGCCTCCTTCAAATTGACGAGGGTCGTGCATCGTCAAATTTTTCAATAAGATACGTGCGACGAGCAATAGTAGTAGTGGCCTTAGCGATCAAGAGATCAATAAACTGTTCCTCTCGTATTACAAATATGGTGGACACATGTATTTCAATATATATGCTTTGTTCGATCATGAAAAATAGGATTAGCAGCAATGCGAATGGAGAGAATCCGAGGCTTGACTCTTGCTGCATTGTATCAGAGCAGACTCTTGTCGCTTTTATTATCACCATCGTATAATAATAATAATAATAATAATAAGTAAAAATGTGAATAGAACTCGAGACATATATATCTATGTAGGCATCATACGAGTTATACCCAAATCACCCAATTAAGAGACAATGTAACCACTCTAAATTCGGACACAACTTAAGGCATAGCTCGATATTCTGTCTACATGGATGACTTAGATACTCAATCATGTTTCGTACTTCAAAAAATAAAATTACCACTCAAACAAAATAGCAAACAAATCAGTCAGTAACTGAACGTTGTGTATCGAAGCATCCTGCATAGTCATCAACAAATCATGTCAAGATATATATGTATCGGTGCCTGATTTCTATAGGTATTCAAAAATTGCACATGATCGTAAATACTTCATTGTACACTTTAACTCGTAGTTTTAAATTTGAGCTGATTTGGTGCAAAATTCAAAATCTACAAAACCTACGGAAACTCATGAGATAGAAAGTGGACTCAGTGAGTTGTGGGCTTTTAAGTCTGCTAACTTAGCTGGACCTCTTAAGCCCATTCCTTTCTCGCACAAATTCAGCCCACTCTCTTCCTCTACGGTGCCGTCTTCACAAACCTAGTGTCCGAGTATCGGACCAACTCGAGCGGGACGGGAAATTCGCCGAATTCACTCACCCGTCGCCGTTCATCTTCTTCCGAGTTCTGTCAGTTTCGGCTCCGAAAAGAGAGAGGGTTTCTGACTTTCTTCACACTTTCTCAGTAATGGCATCCAAACCCAGTCCTGGAGTTCCCACAACGTACTCTCCGACGCCGTCCTCGAAAAAAACACGGCTCGATGTCGATTGGGTCCGACCCGACAGCCGTGGATTCCATCAGTGTCGCCCCGCCTGTATGATTCCCCTTTCTCCGTCTTCTTGTTTCCTTTACCAGCTGGATAGAAAGAAACTGTTCCCACCCTTTGTTCCTTTGCAGTTCATCAGCGAAATCTTTCCAATTTATGTTTTTTTTTTTTTGGTGTTTTGGTTACTGGGTGGTCAGTGTTTTCTTGAACAGTTTCAAAGTTCTTCCATTTAAGTTCTCCCTGGTGGTGAACAAGGCATATGCATGGGGGACTTTTAGGAGTTGTTTGGGTGGTTTAGCAGAAATGCCTGCGGGCATTTCGTGACTAGTTTCCCTTCATTGTCAAGAGCTTGTTCACAATCTACGGTGCTTTGTTTAGTATGAGGTGTCCTTATGATGTAGTTGAACCATTGCCCTTGTGCATTCTGATAGTCTTCCCTTTTTTCAAGACTCTCAACTTTGGTTTTCTTTGTTTAAATTTGGTCTCCTTGCTAATGTGTCCGTTTGCCTCTTCCTGTTACTTTTGTTAGTTGAGAATTTTGGTTTTGAAGAACAGAACAGTTCTTAATTGACTATTTGTTGCTGCATGGTTATCTTTGTTGGATTATTAGATTTTCAGAATGTTTTGCTGCCACTGGTTTCGATGTAGATTGATGTTGATTCCATGCATTCAAGTGGCAGAATTTATTTCCTAGGGTTCATGAAGCTTCTTGATCCTGGCAAAGGTTCTCTTGAGTTCACAAGCTTATCAAAAGTTCACAAAATCAAGAGGGTCCTCAGTTTTGGTTTGTCAATGGATTTGTACACCTGTTTTATCTGCCAGCATATGGATATTTGTACTTGCTTATGTTGCACTACAACTATTGGATAGTGAATCAACTCCAGTTGAATATTGCATGAACTATCTCCTCTTCCAGTTTTCAGGACAGCTGCTGTAAATGCTGCTGCTGGATCTGCTTATGCAGAGTTTGGAAATACAAAGGTCATTGTTTCTATGTGAGTATATCTTGTATACCCTGTTGGAGATCTGTAACTTAATATATAGGGACTTCCGATCTCCTTCCATCATCTCTATGTTTCGTCATCTTCCCGATTTCAACATTTTGTTTGCTTATAAGACTGGAGATATGGACCATCATTGTAGTTTATTTTGTGGTATGAACTTCCTAACAAGCTCTATATGACTTATCTTTTTCCTTGTTGGCATTCAGATTTGGACCCAGAGAAAGCAAGAAGGCAATGTTGTATAGTGATGTGGGCCGGTTAAATTGCAACGTTAGCTACACGAAATTTGCTACTCCAGTGCGTAGTCAGGTATGAAATAAATCAATAATCACATCCATTCTTGTTGCTTGGATTCAAATTTGGATGAACCATATTATATCTGATATGCAAGCCTTCTTTCATTTTTATATAGGAGGCAGACTGTAAAGAGCTGTCTTCAATGCTTCACAAAGCTCTCGAAGGTGCCATATTGTTGGAAACTTTTCCAAAGACAACAGTAGATGTTTTTGCTTTGGTGTTGGAGTCTGGAGGCAGTAAGTCAGCTTTATATTAAGCTTTAAAACTTTTGTTTAGATTAACACTATCTGCTTCTTGAATGGTCCAGAAAACAAGTCTCTTTAGCAAATTTGTCTCGTTGTTTTGGCAAAGAAAAGTTTTATAAGTTGTGATCTGATATTCCGTGAAGACATTTATGAGCTTGTCGTTATGGTTTCTAGGTGATCTTCCTGTGGTAGTGTCCTGTGCAAGCCTTGCCCTAGCCGATGCAGGGATTATGATGTATGACCTTGTTGCTGGTGTTTCTGTGGTAAGCAGTTTTCAACTTTCCAATTGTCGGATAAGCATTATTATCTCACTGCATTATGGCATGGCCGGTCACTCTTTTATTGAAGTGCTTTGCATTTCTTCACATTGTCGGCTTATATTTGGATTTCTGTTTCTATCTTATAGGCCTCTCTCGGTAGAAAAAACCTAGTGATTGATCCAGTACAAGAAGAGGAAAGCTCTCAAGATGGAAGCCTAATGCTGACTTGTATGCCATCAAGATACAAGGTTACCCAGCTAACCATTACAGGAGAATGGTCATCGGCAAACCTGAACGAGGTATGTGCAAGACACGGAAACTCGTTGCTCTCCGTGCGTTCATAATTGTCAATGTGTTGTGCTTTCCTTTAACGCTTGTATTTCTTGGCTAACAGGCCATGGAGCTATGTCTCGATGCTTGCTCTAAGCTTGCGAAAATTATGAGGTCTTGTCTGAAAGATGCTGCCTCTTCAGTTTCCCACGATTAGAACAGATGAAATAGGTACAACTCTTGTTTTTCTTCGTTGCAGTTCCATTTATGTTCTGTGAGCTAAAGGAAATTATGGCTTTTGCTGCCATTTGTGCATACTGCAGAGATTCTGACCTCTTCGTTGGTCTTTTTTACTTGCTTCTCCCCCAGCTAACTTTTTGTAGTAAAAGCCAATGAAGGAAAGTGGCAGAGTGGTTCGAATTTGAGTTGAATCCAAAGAGACCTGGTGGAGCTTGGGACGATAGATCGAGTCCATTGACCCTTTCCGTGGGGAAATTTTGAATGTGATTATTATGTTTCCATTCAATAGAGAGTTATTCTGTCCTTTGAATGCTTCCCAAATCCAACAATTCTTGTTCCATATTTGAGCATTTAGCAATTCGAATCTCTCCATAGGTAATGGAATTACGTTGTAAAAAGGAGTGACAGAGTCATGTTCTTGGTGCCTCAAACCAGAACCTTTCTGCTTCTTAAATCATGAGTTCTTTTTATGAGTGCCTCAACAGTGGGGGAGAGGGGAAGATGACAAGCATTAGAAAGAATCGATCCTTATCTTATTTCTGGACTCTGATATGGAAGAGGTAAAAGTGCAGAATGTGAGTCAAGTGAGATCATCAGATCAAAATGTGCCGTTAAGCTTTGCACCTAACTTGAAACGCAAGGCTTGTAACACAAAGAGATGCACATACCAAATCCAACAACTTACATTAACTTGACCACATATTATACAGACATGAAATACTCAAACTGGAACAGCCGGCCTGAGAGAGACGATTGCCTTCTTGATCCGCTCCACAGCTGCCTGCAATGTGGGGAGGGATGCTGCATAAGAGATCCGTATGCACGTGTCGTCTCCAAATGCAACTCCCGGGACCAATGCAACCTATACAAGAAGAAAACGATAACTCACCATTGAAACACAACACACATTAGAAACCTTCAACAATTGACAGAGGTAGCAGCTTCTATTGTTCACCTGAGCCTTGTCCAACAGGTATCTACAGAGGGATTCAGAGTCCGCAATTTCCCCGAAACCTTCAACCACTGACCCGTAGTACGTGCTGAAATCTATGAACAGATAGAATGCACCCTGCGAAGGAAATGCCCCATTTCAAGTTATATATGGATGTGGGTTTATTATAGCAAGGAGGAAACCAAAGTTTTGGAGATTTTGGGAAATTTATTTTTCACCTGAGGTTCAGAAATCTTGACCCCTTCGATTTCTCCAAAGCTTTTAACCAAGAAGTCTCGACGCTCCCTGAATGCTTTCACCATGGCAGCCACTGCTTCCCCACCGGCATAGCCTAGTCCCAATGCAGCAACTGCAGCTTTCTGTGATATACTGCTGGCCCCAGAAGTTGACTGCAAAAAGCAAGCACGGTACTTAAAAGAACAATGTACACAGCAAACGGAATAGTTACAGAAAAACTAGGGCTCTAAGATTTCTTTTGAATGCTTTCAGTAAATCAACAGAGACCTAACTAGGTCTTCAGCAGCTTCTAGAAGAAAGCTTGTATGAACAATCATACTTGTTCTGAAGTTTGGATGCCAATTGGCAATCTACATCAACACATTGGGCACTAAAATGTTGAGAACCAATGCGTAAAATGATTTTCAGAAGTAATACAGGTGAAACAAGGATGAAAGTTCCGTATGTCAAGTGCTCAGGCAAAGATTGTTTAAGCTCTAACGACCCTATTTAGCACAAGGATCCAAATGTTCCATAATCTAATGTCACATGACTTATCTGGTAAACCTTAGAAGATGTAAAGACAAGAGCAAGAACAGTGATGAGAACCAAGCATCACTGGTCAATGGTCAATGCATAGACAAATCAGGCAAGATAGAACATTTCAGCCTCAGGGCAACATTTTCAAAATTTTCAGTAGACATTGTTAACAAGTCTTGACATTCTTGGAAAATTGCAATACCTGGCTTTGTATCTTGTTACATGCTGATACGAAATGCTTAGGACCAGCAATATATCCAAGTCTCCACCCAGTCATGGCAAAAGCCTGCAAATTTTAATCTCTAAACATCAGAGCCCTGGGATGACCTAGTCTTCCTGTTGAAAACAGTCTTACAGAAAAGTTTGTAATCACCAAACAGAATATACAAACGCATTTCGGTTTACCTTGGAAAATCCATTTACTGTGAGAGTCCTTTCCCACATGCCTGGCAAAGACGCAAAGCTTGTGTGCTTGGAAGGTTCATAAATAATGTGTTCGTATATTTCGTCAGACAGAACCTAAAACCAATCAATAAAACATTTAAAATGTAAACATATATAAATGAATAGGGAGAGGATTTCATAGTGCGTAGATCAAGCATACCAGAAGTCTGGGATGTTTAGCTACAATTTTGGCAATCTCTTCTAGCAATTCCCTGGGATAAACAGATCCTGTTGGGTTAGATGGAGAGCAGAGTATCAATAGTCTCGACTTCTCGGTAAGTTTGGATTCCAACACTTTTGGATCCATAAGAAAGTTCTCAGAGATAGAGGTTGGAACAATCACAGGTTCAGCATCAGCCAATCTCGCCATTTCCGGATAACTAACCCAGAACGGTGCTGGGATGACAACCTGAAAATAGTTGTACAAAGTCGTTATAATTCACACTAGCAGGGACTAGATTTTCAATTGATCAAGAATTTCACCTCATCCCCTGGGGAACAAACTGCAAGTACTGCTTGAATGATACACTGCTTCGCTCCATTGCTAACTACAACCTGGTCAGGCGAATAAGAGAGACCGTTCTCCTCTGAAAAATGTAGACAAACTAATAAGCTGAAATCTAACCGTCATATTGCAGTAATACATGTAAGCACAAGTATGAAGACACACCTTTCAGCTTCTTACAAATTGCTGCACGAAGCTCCTGTGTGCCAGCATTAGGGGAGTACCTAGTGTAACCTTCACGGATAGCATTAATGCCAGCCTAACCATCCAAGAACAAATAAAGTACGCGACGATTAATGAAACTCCACAGAGAAAAGAGAGGGATACAGGCTGATTGACAAGAGAAAGACCATTATTACCTCGGCAATCACAGCTGGGGTGTCGAAATCGGGTTCTCCAGCAGCCAGCCGAATCACAGGAACACCAGCTTCTGCTAGAGCAGTTGCCTGATCCGTTATGGCCACAGTTTTCGAGGGTTTCACCGAATTCACTCTGGGGCTCAATGAGATATCCAATTCCACAGCTTCCGCGGCAGTATCAGACTTAGCCATTGCCCTTACTGTAGAGAAACATACTGACTGTGATGTCTCGGTTGACCTATCAAGAAATGCAATTGATCAGCGAAGGAAACAAGAAGTACCCCAAAAAGACTGGGATGAATATATGCTTTTCAACCCCTCAGAAAGCAGACAGGATATCAAACAGATGGCCGGACACATTGATCCCCAATTTCACCAAGCTTTCTCAATCAAAGAGCAAGACCAAACTAGATGCACCAAAATAAACAAAGCCACGAAGGTAGACTCTTTCTGGCAACAAATTGTTATGCGCGATGAGGAAATTGGAAACCCACTGAACCACTCCCCCGACATTCTAAGAAAGCAAATTCCTTTTTCTTTTCTTACACATTAACATCACCAAATCCAAAACTTTCAAAAATGAACTGCATTGAAGGGAACCAAGATGAAGAGAGTTCAGGCTTACTTCAGATTGAGAGAGGGTCGCTGGGAAGGGAAGGAAACAGAATTCCCATAGCAGTGTGAAGCCGGACGAAGTGGCGGGAAAGGTTGATTCCTGGCAATCCCAGGAGTGGAACCAGCTTGCAGAGAAGCAGCCATTGTGAGAGAGAGAGACGGACAAGAGAGTCGTTGGGTTTCGTAAAGCTTGGAACTTTGTTTCCTTTTTTTGTATAAAGGTGGGATCTCGGGGGTTGAGGGGTTGGTGGGAAATGGAATATTGGAAAGGGTTTGGAGGGGTTGGTGGGCGGTGGCGGTAACTGGGTAGTAGTAGGTAATATATACCAAAAGCCTTTGAATCTTCGCTTCCACGGTGTACAGCAAGTGAAACGGGGAAGAAAACAGATTTAGGAAGGAAGGACAATTGGCCGCGGCGGTTTCGTCTCTACGGTCTCCGGCGGGCGGCGACGGCGAGAAGAGATGAGGTGGAGCGTTTGGTAAGAAGTTCGAAGAGGGAAATGGAACGGAACGATTTCGAGACCTGGGCTGCGGTTGTTCTTGCTTTAGTGATAATGGGCTCAGCTTAGGCATTTAAAAAACTTAAAGCGCAAGACAAATATTGGGTAAAAGTACTAAACGACTTGAATGAAATGGGCCGGGCCGGACCAGAATTGTGATCTATACAAAGTCCATCGAAAAGACAAAACATAATGTTGGAGAGCCCATCTACTTTGTATTGGTGCTTTGCTTTCAGCCTCCATCGTAACGACAAATATACAAGTTCAGTTTGCATCATAAATGAAATTGTACGAAAATGTATAGATGCAAACTGAACTTGTTGCATAACGATTGAAGGCAAAGTAAAAAAAAAAACCTTCGTCTATGCATTCCACAATGAGTTAGAAATCACGAACATAGCAGTGGAGTACACCTAGATGTAACTAGGCGAAGCTAGGCAAGCAATAACATAATGGAGAAATTAACATCAACTACAAATTCAATCTTTTCTCTCAATATTTTCGATAATTCAAGAACTTTGTGAGTGAAGTACGACAATACCTAGGTGTAATTAGGCGGAGCTAGGCAGCCAATATCAAAATGGAGGAATTAACATAATCCACAAACTCAATCTTTTCTCTTAATTTTTTCAATAGTTCAAGAACTTTGCAAGCTATTGAGCTATGATTCTATAAACTTATATTGTTAAGTGTCGAGTTAGTTATTAATCATTTGAGCCGAAGCAGAAGATACGTAAAATAATTATTTCTTTCGCTAATTAGTTACAAACTTCTATTTTTCCTTACAACGCTTAACACGCTTAGTCGATGTTTAGACAAGACATACGCTAGATATGATCGAACACCTAACTACTTACGTCATTGCCTAGACGCACACAAACTATACCTAAACGATCTAGTCGCTTGTTAATGACCCCAACACCTGCCTTACGCCTAACAGATGTTAGCATGTTGTTGGAAATTAGTAATTAATCAAGTGTACTTAATAATTGTGGGCAGCTGTACTACTAAAATAATGATCCTCTCCCTCTCTAAACCCTGCTTTATTATATACCCTGCATGATCACAGGCTAGCACGTGGTGTGCTCGATTTTGTGGAACACAGATTGCTGGTTAAAGCAGTGGACAATCGAGGAAACTTGATTGGCAGCTGGCTTATTGAGAAAAGCAATCAACTACTTGCAATTCCATCGCCCCAAAAAATATGCTAAGGCAGCAACTTGCCGATTGTGCAAAGTCATGTGTGTTTATGCTAAGTTAGTGTGGTTCAGATCTTTATCAGGGAGAAATGAAAAATATCTGCCTTTTGATTACAAGGCACTCACTCTAACTAATAATATCTAAGGTATCTTAACTTATTATCTTACATGCCCCTTTGAAATTAATGCATACTCATACAGTCGCAAGGATTCGAACATCAGGCCTCTGAGTCAAAGGCTCAAATGACATGTCGGGAGGGAGGATTGGTCTCGATAACTAGGATTGTGGAAGATGTCCATCTCTACGGTTCCTTTTCAATAGATACCATTATAACTTATAAGTAGGTCTCTAAACTTCCTTTTTCAATTTATACCCTCTATCAATCGAGTTTTGGAGGAGTTACATATAATTTCTTATGAGCCGCATCCAATTGGCTCATTTTGTTAAATGACTCTCATGGATGTAGCTCCTTAATTAAAACCCATTAAAGCCTCCATATGTCTCACTTGCCAAAGATATTACTAGACCATGAGCTGTGACACTCTTTTGGAGCATCTACAAAAGAGAAGAAGACCAATTGAGAAGGAAATTGAAAGTAGAGAGAGAAAACGACTCATTTAACAATATTAATGGGTAGTGTTGTATGGAATGAAGTTTCTTTTTCAAGGCTCCCAATGATGTGGTTGATGAGTGCATCCACCTCATGCTATAGTACATAGTGCTTGATTATGTAATGCCACATTATTTATAAGAGGGGAAAAACTTTGTGTTAGTGGGTCTAAATTGGTTGGTTGGAGGGATCGATGTGTCTTTTATGAACCCATTATTGCTTGCCTTGTCTAATGTTGTCTAGCCTCTCTTTTTTTTTTTTCACTCATGGGTTGGTATGGTAGGAAACATCTATTATTACTCACCTCTCCCTCACTCACTCTCATTCTTCGCATCTCTTCACTTTTGGAATGCACAATGATGCATTTGATTCTGAGAGGTTAGGTCTAAATTACTATGAGTAGTGTTGTGGGTGGTTTACCAAGGTTCTAGATCTACTTATGATCACTTGAGGTTGTGAGTAGGAAAAGGTTGTACTCCCGTTGAATATTTTGATCGTTATTACACATTGTGTCCATGTCTCCTAGATCGTACATGGTATGTTGTCTTCATTATATGTCACAACCATTAGATGTATGCTCGTAGAAGGGTGGACGGTCGGTCAATCTTATTCACATGAATACCTATAACTGAGTAAGCCATACTTGTGATATCTATAGTAGGACTGGGAAAATAGACCAGACCGTTAGAAAAACCGTGGTCCAAACCGTACCGCACAGTTTGGTCTGGACTGTAGACCGTTTTAGTATGGTTTGGTCTGGTCCATGGTCTGTATTATTTTATGTTTTGATCTCTTGGTCTGATCTGGTCTAGACCGCGGTTTACCGGACCAAACCGTGTACCCAACCGACTTGTCAATACGTGTTAATAGCCCATTCGATCACTCTCCCAACTCCCACAATGACACCCAAGTCTCAACCTTAATTTTGAGAATTCGTCAATCCTTCATTCACAACCACATTTAACCAGAGAGTAGAGATAATCGTGCCTCCATATGACATTATGTTAATGTTTATAACGTTATGGTGCAAGTTGGGATGCTTTTACTTTGTATCTTTGTTATGTACTAAGATTTAGGGTATCAAAATTATTCATGCATGTTAGGATTAATGTGTTAAGGCAAATAACAATTATTTTTCTTGGTTATTGGTACAATTTTTGGTGTGGTTGACTAAACAAATTATTCATTTTTCTTTGAGTGTTGTCTATCTGGACCAGACCGGACCGAACCAGACCGCACAGGCTTGGTCTGGACCAGACCGTATAGTCTGTGGTCTATACTTCAGCCTCTCGGTCTGGAACATAGACTGTATATATGGTGTGGTCTGGATCAGACCGCACCGTTTCCCAGCCCTAATCTATAGAGCCTGTTTTTACCCTATTGCTACCAAGTTTCTCAATTATGTTAGACAGATTAGGAACTTAGTTCTGAATTCAACAAATAAGAAGAGTAAGTGATATTATGTGGTAGAAATAAAAAAGGAGTAGTGATCAGAAGAGTAATTCAAGTTTTTATATGGGAAAATTGTTTTGATTTTTTCCCCTTTTTTCCTGACCAGAAATCGATCAACCTCCCATATGACCTCGTCTTACATACATACACCTTGTTTTGATGGCCGAAAGTGACAACCATTTCTCACGTCGATGTCAAAACTGCTCCCATTTCCTGGTGACCTTATTAGTATATAGTCTAGTGTTAATAATCAATTGGATTAAGTAGCTTTCTCAATTAACCCCTTTCTTGACTTACCTAACACTCCAGTGCTCCCTTAGAATTCTTGGTAACCCTGTAGAACCAATCATCTTATTTCGAGACAAATAACTTATTTCTTTAATGATAGTGACAATCTAAGTTATTAGGACGAACATTCTTAATTTTCTTTTATGAACATCAGGACGAATATTCAACAACAACAATATGATTACACAAACTTTCATATTGAGGATGTATGTATGAAGATGTGGTAATTATAAGTTAGTGTTGATCCTCATTCGACAAATCCAATATCTAACAATCTGAGTAAGGAAATCTAAATCAACAAGAGAAATTGTTGTGACCACAATTATAAAATCTCAGAATTCTCATTCCATCTCCTCGCGGAAAATGGATTTCATCTTCTTCTATTTTCCCACCCTTTAAAAGACTAGAGGCAGATACAAAATTTTCATACTTTTTGTAATCACAAGCCATCATCCAAATGAGCTATAATAGAAATATATATGTTATAATGTTTAACCTGTTTCTTGTCGAGAACTAGTTGATCCCAATTAAATCTTCAAATCGTTGAAAGAGGTTTCATAATGGATCTTTATCATTCTCTTATATCATTTGCTTACACTCAATCAAACGTAAACCAACCCACAAGATTTAAGTTTGCATATAACCTTCATATTTTTTGCTTAAATCAGCTGTTGATATATATTGAGAGTGGTGGGGATTGTAGTATAATAATTCTTGGTTATCACAAACTCTTCCACCATGTCAAGAATCGGTTAGTCCTAGTAACTCAAAGTATTAAAAATATTACAAAATAAACCTTATATAATTCTTTTACACTTCTCACTAGACACATTCCTTTTTATTTCTCATCAAGTTTGATTAACCTAATTACCCTCCATACATATACCATATCCAATTTTGCTAAAAATGCTCACAACTGCTCTGTGAGAATGTGTTCACATACGTACAGAGTCGTCAAATTGAGAGCGAACAATTGAAAATCGTTGAACGAAGACAGTGATAACTTTCTAAACAATTTGTCACTCCGTCCATCCAACCGTCTCGCCAACTGCCCACACTCAATCCAACGATTCGAAAAACATGTGAGCATTGTAGTCGGATTGTAGCAGATCCAGAGCTCGACCATGACCACTCTATTAACCTGCCTTTTTTTTTTTATTTAATTCTTCTTGTGAAAGATATTAACACAGCCAATTACTATTTGGCATTTGGCAAAGAGGAGAAGAACCTGAAAAAAGGCGGGACAGAGAGACAAGAAGACGAAAGAGGGTGTGGTGACGTGGCCGCAAGCAACGGCCAAGATTCGCTCCCATGTCCCCTTTCCTCTCTCTCTCCCCCCTTTATTTTATTATTAATATTCCTTTTTCTTCATTTCTTTCGTCCTTTTTTCTTTTTATTTAATTTCCTTTTGCTGCGCCTTCCACACATCACCGCCATTATTATTCATTGTCCTCTCTCTGCAACTCACCCACTCTTCTTCTTCTTCCTCTTCCCCTTCTCCACAACTATAAAACAAAAGAAAGGGAAGCTAATTGAGATGATGCAGCTGGGGAAGCGGCCGCGGCCTGATATGGCGATGAGGAGAACCACCAGCATGACCGGCATCACCGTCGTCGTCGATTCTCCGCCACCGATCAACGGCGGCGGCCCACACAACGCCGTCGATCTTTCGTCGACGGTGGAGAATCATTACTTAGCCAGCATGGTTTCTCCCAGGAATAATCATAATCATAATCATCCCCAGCACCACAAACTGAGAAGCGTGTCGATGGAATCTCATTTCTTGAGGACCTGCGGTCTCTGCCAACGCCGCCTCGCTCCCTCCAACGACATCTACATGTACAGGTACTTTTTCCTCCTCCTCCTTCTTCTTCATCTTCTTTTTTTTCTTGTCGCGAATTATCTGCCGTCGATTGGAAGTCATAAACGTTTTGGGGTTTCTTTCTCAATTGCTGTAATCTGTATCTTATCGCGATTGCATTGAGAAACTGGTTCTCTACTCCCTCATGCTCCTGAGTTAGCTAAACAACCATCGTATTAGCGAACTGCGTAAATCTGTGTGTTTGTCGAATTTCTGTTCTGCAACTAATGGTAGAAAGGTTTAATGCTGAGAATTTTCATTTTTGTGGGTTGCAGGGGAGATACGGCGTTCTGTAGTCTAGAGTGCAGAGAGGAGCAGATGAAGAAGGATGCGAGGAAGGAGAAGTATCAACAGCGCAGCAAACTAGCCGCGGTTACTAATTCGTCTGGTATTAACAGAGACGATATTATCATGATTGGTGGCGCTCATCATCCTACTTCATCTCCGGTTCCCACTTCTACATCGTAGCTAGGTCGCCTCTCGGGAAGTCATCATCTGTCTCTCTGTCCTCTAATGGACATCGCGCGGTCGAGTTTATAATATAATACTTTTACTCGATCGAACGATCGTTCTTGTTTCGAGGATCGAATCTGTTGAGTCGTGAGAGCGAGAATGAGACTGTGAGCTCGAAGAGCGGAAAAAAAAATTTCCAAAAAAAAAAAAAGTTATGCAGGGTTATAAGAAAGAAACCAAATCTGAATCCCTTGTTTTCGATGTTAAACTGATCATGTGATGCCTCTTATCTGTATTTTGCCTTCTCCTAGAGTTTTCTTAAGAGGGTTTTGTGACGAGATTGAAGGGGGAAAAAGGGGTGAGAGGAAGAGTTTATGAATGTCAACTAAGATTGTATGAATATGTATGGGAAGTTTGTAGATCTTGCAAGTGTATGAAGGTTTCTCAGCCTTTGAGACCAAATGTATTTTGGAATGAATGGATGGAGATTGGCGAAATGACGAGAAATTTGAGTATCTCTTTCGAGATAATATCGTAGGATGAATATGTCGATTTGTTCATATGCTTTTGGTATGCAACACTTTTTTATACCATCAATAGCTTTTAGTTATTTCTATGAAATTTTGGTTACTTTTTCTTTGTGGGGTTTTTTTTTCGTCTGAAAATCAAATGTGTTTTTTTTCTTCTTCTTCTTTTTGCATTCCTCCTTTTGCCACTTGACGTGAGGGCATCTTTCTTCCTCTTTCTTTGTTGATCTTTATTTCTAGTTGACCTATGAAAATTTTATCATCGCGCGTGTTACAATTAATATCATTGTCACCCGTCGGATCCCTTTTTTTTCTATTTCTTGTATGGTTCCAATCGTTGAAACAACATGTTTACGAGTTGGCACTATTGTGTCAATCAAATATCGAGAGAGCCTATAAGGGATAGTTTCTACGGAACATCAACATATAATGATCATTCCCGAGTTGGAACGCTAGCGTAGTTTTATCGACAGTTGTTATTTGCTTCATTTATGAAAAAAAAAACTAGAACTAAAAGAGTAATTTCCCCCTTTTTTTGTGAACATATATGAAAACGATTGAATTGAAGTACAGGAACTACCATCTGAATTAACTACATTACTACTACAGAACAATGACATTATAAATATTTGATAAATATTCACATCAAATTCACATTTATTAAATATAGCTCATTGAGTGGGAGAATCCAGTAGCTTGGATCTGGTGTCCCTTAGCTTGAGGGACTTTGTCTGTAAGCATGCACTCAGCTATACCTTCACAGTACCACTTTTCATTGCAACCAGCAGCTGTCAGAGGAATCTTTCGCCATAATTTCACTTAACAGTTAATACAAATGGTGATCCTTAATTAAGTTAATTGAGAATCTCACACATGTACTCCTGGCCTTTTTCTCTTTTTGAGGTGTTCATTAGTAGGATACTTATAAGATCTCAATGCCATTCTCAAGGGCTGTCTACTATGGTGAATTCGTCAAATGATATAAGATACATGATTAGTTAGAGTAACATCTATAATTTTTTTTAATATTAATATTAGATTTTCTAAGTTTGGTTAAAAGTTATGTGGAAAATGCACATGTTATGATTTATGTCAAACCGTTTGATCGTTTCTACGTAGTTGTTTGTAGTGTGTGCGCAATGTAACGTTGGTGATATATATTAGAGTCAAAACGACATCAAAATGTAAGCTCAATACTTTTTTTTCCTTCTTCTTCTTCCTTTTAGACCTGAGTTGACTCCTCTTACATATTTTCTTATGTTAGTCACGTTTCCCTCTATCGTGTCCAATTAAGTTGCCTCTTTTCTTTTCTTTCTCATCATTAGAAAGATCCCCTCCTTACGCTGTAACGATCACTCACAGTGATCATACGCCGAGAATCTTTGTTTCTCATGAGCGCACAGAGAATACACCCGTGTGAATTTTCGTCATGGTACAAGGGAAACCTCGAAGAGTCTGGATCGATCTCTTTGCGTCACATCAGAACGACCCAAACAACTTACCGATGTGTGTTTACAACCAAAAAAAAAAAAAGATTCATTTCACATGCTGGTGATTTATAGTGAATATAATATCACCGACAGTGCACACACCACAACTATTGGAATCTTGAATATGAAAAATCCAAGAACCTAGGGACTGCACAAACACACATGTATAGGGTAGTAAAACTGAGGGAGAGAGGTGAATTGTCGAGTCGTCGTCATCATAATCTCTACTGTTTTTATGAATTAACTAATGACACTTGATGGGTTTTGGAAGGATTTGTTGGGTGGTGATCATGGTTGTCACGCCGCCCGGAGTGCCACTGGTTGAACCTGATTCAACCTGTATCGATCATAAAATCGGTATGACACCACCGGTATGACCGGCATGATCGATATACGAATCTCTAAGTAAAATGATCTTCTATTAGTGAATTTATTTGATAAAAAATAATTTATTATTTATTTTATGTGTTAAAAAAGTTAAATGTTGATGTTATTTATTGAATTCAAGTACAAATATTTAGGTATTGACGTTAAATGTTGTGCTTAAATATGAGTATTTGTAAATTATCTGTAATATTAACCGGCATGAACCGGCACAAACCAGAATGTACCAGCGGTCGAACCATTCCACTTGCTAAACCTGCACACTGACACAAACCGGTTTGACAACCTTGGTGGTGATTGATGAGACTTTATTTGGTTTTGGTTTGGTTTGGGCAAATTGGGGAATTTGGGTTGGTGTAGTGTTTGTGTTGTTGCTTTGGAAAACTCCAAGACGCTCCCCGGCGGCCCCTCTCAATTCCCCATCGATCGGACCCGTCCAATAACCATTTATGGTCCACCACCCATCCCTTTTGGTTGGGTTTTTGGGGACCACTACTGTCCTTCGATTCGCGCGCGACTCGTTCCACCACCACTACAGTCCGATTATGGTGCTCACAGGAGTACCGCGTGGGTACGTACGTGTTCACAGGCACCACGCGCGTACCGTTTGATCGGAAGCGAACGATTCGTGATCGTTGGATCGTTCGCGTCCGACTCAACGACTTGATAAACACAATAATAACTTTTTCCGCTACACATTCAATGTAAATCAAGATATGTCTTGTTAAATTTCTTGGTTATCGTAGAAAGATACGACCTCTCTTGAACCTTGCACCACCTTTCACTTGTATAAAACTGAAATGTGAAAGGAGACTTGTTCGTTGAACATGCTTCCATCGGAGCTCCATATATCAACTTCAGCCCAGCTACATTATTTTTTTTAATTATTATTATTATTATTATTATTATTATATACACTCACTTCACCTTCAGGAGGTCAATGTCTCACTCCATTTTCTTAATAAATAAATTAATAAGAATCATTCAAGCCAAATTATTCCAATTTTGTAATAATAAAGCTATAGGGGGACCAAAAGGAATAATTGGAAAAAAAATCCAAATTTGATAGCTACTTAGCTAGACTGGTTCAATAATGATGCGTACCTGTTTCTTTTAAATGCCAATATTTAATTCTTAATTTCCCTCTCAATCTCTCCATAAGTACGCAAATTTTTTTTTTAATCAAACCATAATATCATCATATTATTCTAAAGTTAAAGTGGCTTAAAATAAGTCGATGATATCAAGGTCGAAAAAGGAGCTAAGCGTAAGGTAATTGTTGAGATCTTATCTTATGCCTCGATTGTCTATCAGTTGCCTGATCGTGCCTAGTTGTGGGAAGGGGGGGGAACTAGTTTGTACTAAAATTATAAATGAAATAGCAGTTTACTAGTTATAACACTTTCGCAATGTAGTTCAAGTGATCAATGACATACTTAAACTCAACAATAAGGTATAATAATTCATGAGTTCATATAATCTTAGTTCAATAGTTTAGAAAATTCTCAAGTCATTAAAAATATCGAGAGAGAAAATTGAATTTACAGATAGTATCATCTAATTATGCGTAGGTGTCGTCTTATTCCGTTTCCACGTCTGAATATTTAACACGCTACAGAACCACTAAACAAGGAATTTTGATGTTACCTGGAGTATCTACACGCCCGAGGAGGAATAGAAAAAATGCCAATTTGAGGGCAAATCTTGAGGAAACGAAATCTGAAGGATTTGTTTGTCAATTCTTTTTAGTTTTGGGGTCAATGCTTCTCTTTAATTCGCTCCCTATATTAATCCACCGGCTGCCCAATAATGCACAACCAAACGTATTGAAAAATACAGAAATGAATTATTCTTTGATTGATAAACACACCATACTTTGTTGTCTGATTGGCTTCTTCCAGCTTTGATGATTGCATATGAAAACTATGATTTCCTTCAGATTTATTTGTGGAACAGCTATGAGGGTGCTTGATTGTTATTATTATTATAATTGGGGCTCTTGTAAAACGTCCGACGATCTATCTATTTGTCGATTGTCATGTTTGATTACTCAGTACTTTGTAAGTATCTATTTTTGAACCCAGTATTTCTTATTAAAAAAGTAGAAATATGTCGAGGCATGAGTAAATCAACACTAAATAAATAAAGGAAGGAGGGAGTTGAGTTTTGGTTATTTGGGTTATATAAGAATCTTAAGAAGTGAAAATGAACTAGGGGATTGACAAGTAGTCACAAGAGAATATTATTGATTTACTAAAAGCTTTTTTATGTGTTGTAATTTTGAAAAATCTCTCTACCAATCAAATTGTATGAGAAATTTTGTAAGAGCTAATGAAAGAGAATTCATTATTGTTTTTATGAAGAGAAAAAAAAAAAGTGAATACAATGAAGACAACGGTTGTTAGGAATTTTTCCTACCATTAATTTTCATGGTTCGATTAGTTGATAAAAACAAGATCTGATTGCTCATAGCTCACGAGTAAGGTAACTGATTCTGGTGTAGGTATATCATCTTAACCACCAAGTTTAGGTATACAACATGTTCTCACTTCTGAAGCGACATAAAAATTTTGACGGAGTTTATCTCTAACAGGTGTGGTATGTCTCCCAAACATTCAGATGCCATATCATAGCAACAAGTTAATGTCTTTCGTATAGGTAAACTAGTGACGAATTTGCGAGACTCGGGCGATATTCTTATCGATCAACAAACAAGATCATTTTACGTGTATCTCATGAAGACAATGACCGACAATGACAAATCAAACTGATAAACGCGCTTTCAAAATCTGTTTATCAGAGACACTTAGATTTAACTACATTGAAGATTAAAAAACCTAATATGTTAAACAATCCCTCTAATGCTTACCACTCAACACTTAATCATCCCTTTTCCCACTTGTTGGGCTGTTGGGTGTCACCCCCATCTCCTTGCTTCCTGCCTTGGATTGTGGGAGTTGGGAAATGAGCCATCTACAAACCCTAATTAACATAACCCATTTAACTAATCAATTCCACTAATTGCTATCGTCTTTGATGGCAACCTTATGATTCATTTCTTTTTTTTTTACTTAATGGTCTTTGGAATTACATATTGTTTCTAAGTTCTCACCTTTTGTCCTTTTCCTCATTAACGTATGCAATTATGCATACAAGAAGGGTAACGACAGTTCATGATGATAAGGGTTTTCCCACAGTCTATAACGTAAATTGTGCGTAAAGTGCGATTGCTACGCAATTTTTGTTTTTTTGTTTTTCTCAAATGCAAACGTAGACTTCCACCCATTTTATTTACCTAAATTTCACAGTCTTTTCTTATATGATGTCACGACGGTTTAATTAATCGTCAATTACTTTTGGTCGCGTATGCGGTATATAAAAGTCAGAACTAAACTCTAAAGCCATGCTTTTGGGAAGAGGAAGTTGTCCTTGTGGAAGGACGAGCGAGACAGAGATCCTGCTTCGATGAAAGTATACGAATGAATAACAACTTTTAACATAAAATTTAGCCTGCATCAACTGAGCTCGTTTAGAGTTATTTTCGTTACTCCGAAATCTTGACCGATATGGAATCACATGGGATTCTATCAGTTTAGTTACGGTGTAGTTATAGATATTATTGGCATTGCATTCAGCATTCTTCATACGTGCCGTGAACACACAAGTTTGCAACTTTGCATAGACTTGACTTTGTTTGTTGACTAGAGTTTCATATCGAGTTGAGGACAAAATAATTGGGCTTTTTTTCTTCAGGGTACAACTGCAACGTCCTAGAGAAGCTGGACCGGTGCCTCGTTTCCAATTCAGCCCAAAAGAATAACAGAGGAGTGGTTTACAATACGGCCTGCTTACGCATTTCGAAACTTAGGCTGGCCCAATATCAACCAAGCCCATCCTTGTGTAGCCGGCCCAAGCAGCCCAATACTTCAACTCGAAAACATCAAAGTGATAATAAAAAAAAGTGGAGATGCGGGGTATCGATCCCCGTACCTCTCGCATGCTAAGCGAGCGCTCTACCATCTGAGCTACATCCCCATTTGATGTTATTTTACTTCATAAAAATTATCTATATTAAAAACATTAAATCAAGAAGAAAAAAACGACAGAGTTGAAATCCAGCTTCAGTGAGATTCCATCAACCACTCAAATCACAGGTTTTTCAACATTGATGAGCCATGAGGGAGAAAAATACTCCTCCACTAATCCTTACTATCCAAGATGGGGAGATCAGGTGAGGTTCTCTGTTCCTTCCAAGCAAACCAAAACCACTCACTACCCAATGCCACAGAAAAGAAGGGAATTCCTTTTCAAGAATCCCGCAACACAATCCTCTCGATAGAATTGACTTTCAAGATATGTTTGTACTGATAATAACACCAAACGGAAAGAAAATTCGCCACGTATGCATAACTAGTTACAGTGTTCGAACTGAAAGATGTGGAAGATGTTCGACATAAAGAAGAGGAGGCATCTTCGAACCACACGTACCTTGTTTTGTGCTTTCTTAAGCCGAGTATGACAATGAGATTTTTTTCTTTTCTTTTGTGAACTGACAATCCAGAATGCAAGTTACTATCTGTTTCATTCCATATATACAATCAAGTGGTGCATGTGATAGCACGTACTAACTCCGTGACCTGGTTCGTTAACGAGCTCTGTCGTGGGCCAGTCACTTTACCCTTGATATGCAACTGCCTCTCCATCTATGTCTCCACTTACCCAGGCTATGTCGACCATCTCTGTTGCAATCCGGTGGACCATAATGCCATTGCTTTTCTCCACTATGGACTAAAACAGAGTAGCATGAGTACAAATGAAAGTTAGGGTTTTCAGTTTTCACCCATTGAATGTGTTTCTATGAATGGACCAAACCAATCTCTTCAAGAAAATCTATCCAACCAACGATGTGATTACTGATTAGAAATCTCAAGATTTCAACTGCTGAGTGTTTTGGTTGTTTTTTTTTTTTTTTTTTATGTGGACCTAGGCTATTCAACACAAAAGCACAGGCCAATAAGCATCCCACATGTATGGCAATACTGACATGAAAGTGAGTAGCAATACCAAAAATATGAAATAAAAGGAAAGAGTGGGGGACCTTGTAAATCAAAGTTGGGGACCATTCAAAGTAGTTATTTTACCACTCTTGTCGTGATGTTTGAAACGGTCGTTGTACTTCTCTTCACTACGACACACCTCAGTCGGTACATTCTGGATGCAGAGGTAATTTTGGCGATTAGGATGTGGTCAATGACGTTTTTTTACGCATTCTTAACCATTCAAATGGAGAATTCAACAGATAATTATCTGAAAAATCTCTATACGTTATCGACCAGATGTTCGAGAGGAACGAGAATGTCCTTTCATTTTTACGAGAAGGGTGATTGATGATTTAACTTTGATTCTTTTTCTTTCACTTACGAATCTCTTTCATTAACTAGCCCCATGAACATATTCTTCCATTCCACAGCTGGCCAAAAAAAAAAAACCTCATCATCTTCTTCTTACTGCTAGGTGGGTAAGTAGGTAAAGCAAAGAGCTTTTTTTCTGCCTTCAGTTGGATCCCATGAACATGTTGCTCGTCAGGAGCCAAACTAACATAAGCTGACAACATATTCATTAACTGCAGTATGCTTTTATGTGGACCTGGCATTCTCGTGAAAACAACACCAAGCGGCAAGCACATAAAACAATAGGCCAATAAGAGCTCCACATGTATGGCAACACTGACTTGAAAGTGAAATAACAATACCAAAATTGAAAGAAAAGTGAAGAAATGGGGACACTCCAGAACCCAGTTGAAACCATTCAAAGTATTTTTCTTTTTGCACTTCTGTCGTGATGTTCATTGTTCAACATGGCACTGTATACTGCATCTTTCACACCTCAATCAGTGCGTTCAGGATGCAGTTTTCAGGACCAACTTCATGTCATGCCATCGATCATGGCGGTCCATCTTGCTCCTTATCAGGATAGGAAGAAACTACCCTTATCTAAGGTGGTTTAAGAGAAGAGAACAGTAGAAAGTAAGAAGTACAAGGCAGTAGACACAATTTTCACAGAAACTAACTTACATATATATAATTTATCCATTCTATTACCAACACAAGGTGCATCATGGCCAGAACAAAGAGAGCCAACAATCACACTAAGAGCCTCATGATGAAACCATGATCACCCTTTTGAGAGGAAACAAAAAGAAAAAGGCAGAAAAGAAAGGGAGATCATTTTAGATCATTACAGAAGAGGCCATTTCCACACACAGACATTAAAACATGAACAGAGGAAAAGAGAAACTTGGAAAATGGGTCTTCTTCTTCCTTCTAGTTTTTAAAAAGAGTCTGCTTGAAGTAGCAAATCATCTTCCACAGCCACAATTACCACAACTACTAGGTGGGTAAGTAGGTAAGGCAAACAGCAAACTCTTGTTTTTCCTCCCTTCACTTGTACTCCAAGATCATGTTGTTCTCAGGAGCCAAACCAACACAAGCTCTCAGGATGTTCTCCAGCATGGCCCTCTGCTTTGACAGTGCATTCACCACTGGTGTGCCTGGTGGAACCTGTTAACAAAATGACAATTAACAACTTGGTCAAACATTGGGAACATCAAGCACCTCTTAAATGGAGTTTGGTAACCCCCAAAAAGTCACATTTAATCAATGTATCCACTTGTTTTTTTTACTCACCAGAGGAGCCTTGGTAAGGTAACTGAGAATGGTTGCCACAGGGTGGAAAGAGTGGAACTTGCCCTGAAAATTCAAAAAGCAAGTTAATTCAGGTTACAATTCATCAACTAAACAACCATCTATTTGCTCTCAAGTATGTTTCAGAAACTCACCTCTCCCTCAGCTTTAAGCTGAATCCTGGTGCTGAGCTCAGCAAGGAGGACCAAGTCCAGGATGATTGGTGCAGCCAAGAGGGAATCCTCACATGTGTTGTGCATCACAATGGTGTTGGTCCCGCCCAAGAAGATCTCTGATGTGTATTCATCCATAGCTCTCTTGCTGTCTGCTACATAAGGCACATACTGTACCAAACCCAAAAAGAGATCCTCAAAACTCAGTCAAAGATTCAACTAAACCCAAACGAGAGGATGATTTCCATGCTTGAGAGTTTTTACCTTGATGACCACAACATGGTCAGGGTGTTCACCAGGCTCGTAAAGGATGGCATTGCTGGAAACCATGTCATCAACAACGTTGCTCTTCGAGATCTCCTTGGATCTAAACGTCTGTGGTGCTGAGAGATTCATCCCGTCATTGTTCCCAAGGTGATTGTAGCTCACAATTGATGTTGGCTGTTCATAATCAACAGTGGTAATTTCAACTACCCATTAGCATCATGGACATAATGAAGCTAACCAGAAACAAACCAAAGTTGAACATAAGTATCATCATCTTTGTACTATTGCACTATAGTAGTACTGTTTTTAATGATTCCACTTCAGTAACGGTAGGAATTAATCAAAAAGCACATACCTTGATACCAGCACCAACAAGGAAATCAACAAGCACTGATTTCATCTTAGTCTGGCCACTCTTAAAGTCATCACCACCAATCAAACTGTTCCTCTGGATAGCCAAGTCAATAAGTCCTGTTCAACAGTCATACATAAGCAAACCTTAGTTTAGTACAGGTAAGAAAAGAGCTAGCAACATTCCATTAGTATTTTCAAAGGTCAAAAGAAAGAAAGGCAACCTGGAACAAAAGTGTTCTGTGGGCTTCCATTAATGAAAGGGATCTCTTCCATAATGCAAGCCAATGCATAGAGGGTAGATGGAGAGATCTCAGACTCATTTCTGTCAATAGCAGCCAGGAGGTTCTCTGTGGTGTCATTCAGACCCACAACAATGTTGCTGTACCTCTCGGTGTTGGCTGTCCACAGTACAACAACCCTGTCCACCTTGGTCTTCTCCTTGAACTCCCTATAACCCAATATTTTACCATGCATCAGCAACAAATTATAGAGGTTTAATGTTCAAAAAGGTGAAATCACAGTTAAGTAGAGTAAGGACGGGGTAACTGAACTACCTAATGTCCTTGATAACTTGCTGGACCTGTTCCTTCTTGGTGCCCTTGATAACATTGTTGGCACGGGAGTCTTGGTTAGCAGCAATGAAGTCAGGGTCATAAATACCAGGTAGTGGGACCATGGATTCCATGTAGGGCCTCAACTGTTTCTGCAGATCAATGTCCAAAACCCTGGCCCTTGCCATGGCATCAGCCAAATTCATGTCGCTTATATCCCAGCCTCCAAACACTATCTCATCTGGGTTCACCTGTTTTTTGTTGTTGTTGTTTTCCACCCAAATTCACAACATCCATCATCAACCATTCTATAAAACAAAAAGGGACTCTGGAATGGTAAGCATAATCTTTATCTATAGGTTTTACCATGGGGAGGAGGCTCTTGAATGGGGCATAGATTTCTTCTCCATTGTAGGACCCAACTCGGATTGCTGATGCTTGGGTGAGAGAGCCAAAGTAGTTAGCCTGCTGAACCTTATCCTTGGTTGCCCATGAAATCCCTCTACACCAAACAACCAATCAATTTTAGGAAAAAAGATAACATACCCAGAACCATAATAAACCAATCAAAACCCTTTCCCTAACAAAAGAATCGACCAAATAACAGTCAAAAGTTGGAGTCTTTCTTGCTTACTCTCTGTTGGCAATGATTCCACCAGTGAGAGTGGATCCATTATTTCCTCCCCACCCAACCAGCATAACCCTGCAAGTAAATCATCATCATCATCATCATCACCATAACCCAAAACCCAGAAACCAGCATTACACAAAGATTAAAGCTTCATGCAAAGGGGGCATCAGGACAACAGAAAAGCTAGGGTTTTGAAACGAACCCAAGTTTGGGGACACGAGTATCGGTCTTGAACTCGTATTGGACGGACTTGGGCTTGACGACCCACTGGTACGAACCATTCCTGTTCTCGTGAACGAGTTCAGTGGTCTCGTAGTTGTACACGGACTGTATCTCAGTCTCTGTGTACTTCACATTAGGACTCTCCACCTGAAACTTCTCGATAAACATCTTTCCCCCTCTCTTCACCGAAAGAAATTGAAACTCAATAAGAAGAAAGGAGAAGGCAGCAGAGGAGGAATCTTGGGCTAATTGGGAAGGGCTGTGTATCTCGAGTGACTCTCTCCAGCAGCGGCGAAGCGGTAAATTTATAGAGGAAACGAGGCAGAGGCATCATCGACACGTGGCGTCATGTAGAAGAAGAATGGACCTCACTTTGGCTCTACCTTGGGTTTGGGTGCGGTCCAAGTGAACCGTGTCCGTGCATGGGCAAGTGTGGTCATCAGGAAGTTGAGTGAGAGTAAAGGGTTTGAGACCACAATCAATTCGAGGCGGATTATCGAGATTCGAACACGAAATTTTTTAATTAGCTGTTAAGTCTCTGATACCATGATAATGATCGATTCATGTTTCTAATTCGATCTGTTGAAGTTCAAGAATGAGTCTTATATATCTTTTCCTCTTACGACAATTCGTCCCGTATAACGAATGCTTGATTCATCTCCTAGCTAGCATGAGAAACAAACGGATGCAGCAGCCTTGATGTTATTTTTGTGTGGCTCTGGTAGGTGGGAGCTTTGGCGCCCCAGATGGCTGGCCCGGGCCTTTTCTTCTTCTTTTCTTGCTGACCATGAAAATTATTGAAACGAACTAAACGGAAATTAGTGAGGAGAAAAAGCAGAAGTACGTTACTCCACACCATTCTAGATCGACCCCATTGGCCATTACTGTTCTCCCCTGCCTTCTAGATGCATGCAGCGGTTACAGGACAAAAAAGCCTAAACTCTCTCCTTCGTATTATCTTGCTGCTACTTGGTTCTTTTTGGTGAGGAAAAAAGAGGCAAATAGTGTCTTCATGGTGTTGGTGGGTGAAGATCAACGAGGCACTTCCCATGTGAGCTTATTTTCTTAATTATATTTGGTAATTGTTGGGTGTTACTAGTGCCTCTGTTTTTTAGGGAGAAAACTTTTGTATTAATATCAAAGAATTTCCTTTTGACAACTATGATACGGTTCAGATAAAGTTTAAACGAGAGTGTTGGATATTTTTGATGGATTTTGGGACATATATAATAATGTTAAGTTATTCTTATTCCTATGAATGTTCAGTGAGAACTCCAAACTAAAAGCTAAGCGCGATTGTTACACTGCAGAGAAAAGATGAAGTTGGAGCCTTAGGGACCTCTCGCCTCCATCATAGTTGGTTTCGTCTTGGTGGCCTTGACGTCGGGCTGAGTTGGTGTTGAGTTGAATTTCATCCAAGTCTTGTCATCTCATCGTGACTAAGGTGGTGTTGAAGTCTCGTTGCCTTGCTTCCATGATGAAGTCTTGATCACATCAGTGATGCCCCCCCCCCCCAAGTGGCTCCATACTTAGCTTCTTTGTTGCTCTCGTCTTATTGAGCACTTCGATGCAACTGTCTTGTTAGTTAGGCCTTGGTACTCGCATTGATGGATGGCCCCTTACCTACAAAGATTTCATGCTTAGTTTTGGAGAGCTCAACCTGGTACCATCTTGTAGGTTTGGTACCACATTCATCTCGTCAACTTGTCACCTAGATAACTTGCCACCAAGCTCATCTCATCGGCTTGAAACCTTTTGACTTGCCACCAAGCATATCTCGTTGAGTTGATACCCTGCCATACCGCCTTGCCAAAAAGTCCATCTTGCCAATAAGTTTGTCTCTTCGGCTTGATACCATTCGACTCGCTAGCAAGTTCATCTAGTCAACTTGTCAACAAGTCTATCTCATCGGCTTGATATATACCATCCTTCTTGCCACTAAAACCTTATTGCTAGTTTGTTAACAAGTCCGTCTCGCCGGATGGTACCTTGCTTGACAAGTCTCTTCCTCTAGGGTTTCATACTTAGTATTGCGAAGTTAGGTTCACACTATCGGGCTTGTCACATAACCCAGGTGTGACCCTTCTTATGAACTAGCCACCAAGCATGTGCCATCAACTTGATACCTTGTTGCTTGCCGGCTTGATACCATGCCAGCTTGCCACCGAAACCTTATTGCTAGTTTGCTAACAAGTCTGTCTCATCGACTGGTACCTTACTTGATAAGTCTCCACCTCTTAGACTCTATGCTTAATTTTTTGGGAAGCTAAATATTATACCAATGGGTTTGTCATACTTTCATCTTATAGCCTATATAGACGGGCTAACCGCCTTGGTCAGGAGTGACCACTTAGGCTATAGAGAGGTAGCTCGGTCATTTAGGTCCAACAAACCAACCCAATAATGACGAAGTATTCATTTAATATTTGATCTTGATGTGGCCTTATAAAGTAATTAAATTCCTTGTAATTAATTAATGCGATACAAAGTTAACTTTTAGGGTAAAATGACAGCATGATACAAATGTATGATAAACCCGACGATAATATAGATTTTGGATACGAATCCGCACATAAATTGTTTCTACCTCTCAAGTCCTCCAAGCAATTGAACTCAATCTCTACTTCACGTTTTGTTTCTTTCTCTCAACGTATTTCAGATCCCGAGCTTTTGGCTAGATCGTTGGGGGGTAAATCAAGAGTTACCTTCGTCTTTTCTCAACTATCCTCCACCCTGAAACAGTCGGATGATCGAAACGTGAATGAGGGCCCTTACATCGAACCATTGTTCCGTCTCAAGAGTTACTAGGTATAAACCGTAGTTGATGAGTAAGTGTTATATGAAGGAAATTTGATGGAATATCGAATCTGAACTTCAAATGTAATTCAAGTGACTTCAACACTTTAGCCAACAACCGAGCATGAGAAGAAATATATGGTTCATGGTAGTGCTGAAACTTGGTTTTCATCGTTTCAATAATGGCCCATTCCATTGCACCATAAAGACTGGCTTTGCACAAGACACAGAAGGACTCCTTTTTCTTTTTTCTCTGTTGCTCCAAGGCAGCAGGAAGGACGAGGAGATCACATGGAAGATTTTGGTCCACCTTCACCAATTCTCTTCCATTTAGATCCACATATCAAATAATTGTCTTTCTGAGGCTGTCCCATTCCTTTTCCCTTTTTCATTCATCGTGGACCTTCTTGCCATTTCTACACACACAGCTTCTCTTCCCATCTTTTCCATTGTCTCAATCGAGATTTCATAAGAGGATGCAAATAATGCAAAGCTGGCCACCCGAGTGAGGGGGCTCACAGCATTCATCGTTGCAAAATAATGAAGGTGGCCACATGATTTTTTGTCACATGACTTGCCATTAATTATGTTTTGGTGGCCCCTCGAGTTATTGGGAGTGTTTCGACAATGGATCTTGTATCATTTGCTAACATGCTCATTGTTACGACGGAATGAGAAATGGACAATACGAGAAAGTAAAGAACACATAGATATACGTGATTCACTAAAATGATGTGTGATACCTAATCCACGGGCAAGAGAGATCGGTTTCACTATACTTGAGAAGATACAGATTACAGAGAGATGAGAACACACACACACACACATATATATATGGTGGCGTCTTTGGTGCACTCACTTTTTTTGGTGCATTCAGTGCACTCGCTTCATAACCGTCATTTTAAACATGCGATCAAAATTATGTCAATCATCACTTATGATATGACGAACAATAACGCACATGAATTTGCACAAAAACCATTGAAGATTTACTTTAATTTGAAGGATTTAGAGTTTAGAGATTTAGGGTTAGGCTTAGGGTTTACAATTTGGGGTTTAGGAATAGAACTCAAAATGGGAGGTCTAGGGCTTAGGGTAGTCCGCTAATTAGTTGTTATCATATGTTATATCATAATATTACACTAATTCTACAAATTAAAATTCAAAATCAGACACTTTAAAACTAGTTTTTGAGTTGGGTGTATTGAACGCACTCTTTTTTGTGAGTGCACCGGAGTAGTCACCATATATATATATATATATATATATATATATAACACTTTCTCCACATGGCCTAACCCTAATCCAACATGAAAAGGAAAAATGGTAAAACCAGGCCGAAAATAGAACATAATGGATCTTATACTATTTGCTAACAGTGAGGCCCTCGTGGCTTCCAGTCAGTGAAAGATAATCTATTTTCGAACCATAGCAACACCCTCGCTCAAGCGAAAGTCAATTCATATGATCTTGAAATTTGCACATATAACAAATGAAGGTCGTCGGGATTCGAACACAAGACATATCGACCATCGAACACTCTCATACTATGTCAATAACCGCTTAGTTCTAATAACTCGAGCTATTGAGAGATGCCGATGAAGAGTTTTTTTTTACCATTACCAACAAAAGACTTTACTCACCCTTCACATAAAATCAAAGAACGGTTGTTAAAGCAAAATGACATCAAGAAGAAACCAGAAGGATCCCACTGAAATGACTGTTAGCTTCATATGTTGGACATGCACGTGTTGTATATATATCCTCTCGTTCACACAATGGTTGTTACAAAAAAAAATGCCCAATTCATAGTGTCCAATTATATTACTGGCTGCTGGAAACACAGTTCCTTTGTTACACTTGACAATGAAAGGGCAAAGGAGCTAGGTTCATGTGATAAGAAGAACCTCATATGTTCGAAGACTCGTTTTACTTATATAACTTATTATTTCTTTTCCTCAATCATTCAATATCACGGGGCCATAATGTCTTGGAATTGATAGAAGGACAGATAGTGATGGCGGTAGTTGGAGAAATAGTACTAGTTCAATTATGTTCTCAATTTGCAATTGTTCAATCGTGTTGAGGTAGAAAACATGCATGTGAATTTTGGCATTGCTAACTTGGATGGTTCTACGGTGTTACCACTAGATAGATAGAAATGAAAAGCACGATTCAAAATTGTTGGGGATGATTATTGGGACTCTATGTGCCACCAATTCGAAGAATTGTTTCATCCATTCGATAGACAAGAACTGGGCGTGTTGTTTACTATTGATAGGGTCGCTTATTGAGAGCCTAGACATCAATGTGGAGAGTAATAAGTCGGGTCTTCATATTGCTTATGTATATGGAGAGAGGGGAACTTATTAGTTGATTGTATGGTATTGGTGTCATAACCTTTATTAGTGTAAATGCATCATTCTTTTGGAGCCCATTATTGGCAGAGCCACGTTAAAGCTCCTCACATTTCGAATCTAGGTAAAAGTATACATAAAATTTGTGACACATTTGAAAAATAGATTAGTTACGAGGCTCTAGACCCTTGCCAATAACAAAAAAAAATTTAAATGAAAAAGTGATTTCATTCATTCATTTAACAATTGTTGTACATGGAAGGTCATTAAAGAATACAAGACACTAAATCGATATATAATGTGGATCCACTGAACAATAAGTGATCCTTTTGCAGCCTCTTTTAGTCCTTAGCAACCCAATCCACCTTTTTGTTTCTCGCCCTAGGCACAAAAATCACCTTGATCCTATCACGGGCAGTAATGATATGATGCATACATTGAATCCACGCCATAAACTGCCACAAACATATCGTGTTCGGCTGGAGAGGGGGAATTGATAATAACTTGACAATCCAAGCAGTGATCGTCGAAACTCCAGATGCCTCTACCAACCTAATAGCAATAACCATGACTTTAGCTTCCGAAACACTCGACGATGAACAAAAGAAAGTGGCCGCCCTACCGTCAATAACTTGCCCATGCAGGAGTTAGACACAAAGAACTTCATAAACTGTCACTAGTAAATTGTAAGACAAAACCTCCACCATAGTTAATTTACATCAAGTAACTAAAAATTCCTCAAATTTAACATTTTTGCAACTTATGCGATGGTCTCTTCCTTGTCTTAGGAAAATTTTTGTACTTAATTAATCCAAGTGTGGGGGGCATCTAAATTACCATTGATCATGATGGAGATACTCTTCACAAAAAAAAAAAAAACATTCATGTGAGACTCGTGAGGTTTGGTTGGGCATCCGTAATTTTCAACCAAACATATTCCATTTCTCTTCTTTGTCTTTCCCTTTATGGAGTAAATTATCAAATTAGCAAAATGCTAAAAATAAAGAATGGTTGGTACCCTTCAATAATTATTAATTGATTGAAATTATTGTACTCACGTGTGAGACCCCATTAATGGTCACCTTAACTATTGATGAAATATTATTGGTGATCATTCTCAACTTGATTAAATTTTGCCTCTTAGTCTCTCTAGTTTCTATCAATAAATGTAAGGTACACATCTTTATCATACATAGTTTTGGAGGAATGAGAGGAAGCCAAGCCAAAATCAACTTCTATATCTCCCTCAACCTCCCTTGATTTGTGGAGATTAAGAAAACTAGCCAAGAGGAAAAAAGTAGGAAATTTTTGGATTGATGTGACGGTGAAGTTCTTCATAGCCATCAAGTGTACGACGTATTAGTCGAAACTAAAGAAATTAATTTACGGTCGATCAGTGAAAGAATTGAGAGCGAGAAAGTGGATTCAGTTATATACCGATCAGTCTGAAATTAATTTACGGTAGATTTAGTAGGATCAACCTCACAACAACCCTCGTCGAGCATTCCCCCAATCAATCTACGTACGATTAACTGTGACGGATCATTTGATAGCGTTTCACAGGAGGCGGCTTTTGGAGTGGTTATTACCAACTCTGAAGGGCAGATGTGCGACGGAAAGGCTGGAAGGATTCTTTGTTCTTCCCCAATTGAAGCCGAGGCGCTTGCTATCCTCGCAGCTTGCCAGGTGGCAGCGGATGACCATGTCCCTTCAACGATCCTTTCTGACAGCAAGGTTTTGGTGGACGATGTTCAAAGTGACCCTTCTTTGTGGCCTTGGCGATGTTTTGCGCCACTGAACTCTATCACCAAGATCCTACGATGCTCTTCTTGGATCCGCCTTTCCTTTGCGGGTCGCCAAAACAACAAGAAAAGTCGATTGGGTTGCACGCAATTGTAGAATGAATTCCCTTCACCCGGATTGGCTTTCTGTTCTCATTGTAATATCTGACTTGTCGTAACTGCCGAGTTTCACTTGGGTTGGAATGAATGAAAGTATGATTATTAAAAAAAAAAAAAAAGCATTCCCCCAATACATTAATCCCATTGCAAAATCCAAAGTAAAAGTATCTCTGTCGATTAAGCAGCGAGAATCCTGCAGAATATTACTAAAGAACACAAAGAGAATCTTACCGAATATAATAAGTTCATGGTTTGTTGTATTTTAATGGCGTGCATATGTATATATATTATTCTCGTGGCTGCAGTTGGTAACAAAGCTTCTAGAAGCTTTCCCCCCAAGCTTCTAGAGACGTCGAGTATCAAAGCAAATGGGTTAAGGCACGTTTGTTTCCCAGTACTCTGTAGCAAGAGTTTGGTAACATAAATTTGCAACAACGTAAATTAATTTACGTATCTATTTGCAATAATTTGAGTTATTACTATGTCGAAATCGGTTTTGGATAACTTAGGTATTATTTGTTTGTGAGATTTAGCTGATGGATTTGGCACCCAAATTCCAAGCATCAAGGATTTGTTTGTCCAGAGACACAAATTCGTGGGGCTCATGGATTTGGACCCCTTTTTTTAGATCCAAATCCATGGACCCCACGGATTTGCAAATCTTATATTTCATTTGGAATTTGATCATGGAAGACAAAGTTGTGAGACAAATCCATCATAAATCCATGTTAAAAATTAACTAAGCAAACAATGTACTCTTCCAGATCTATAACGTAACAAATCCATCGTAAATTCAAAAAAAAAATTAAAATTCTAAACCCTTATTTTTAAATCCAACAAGCAAACGAGCCCTTGAGAGTATTATACTTTGACACTTGCACATTACTCTCGTGATGCAAAGGGTTAGCAAAGCTTCTCGAGACTTCTTTTGGGTAGCTAGAAAAAAAAGCTTCCAGAGACTTTCAGATTCACAGCAATTAGGCTAGGGCTGCCTAGCTATTTGTTTCAGCAGCCCAAAAAGGCAGTGCAAGTGGCTGCATGAGTGCATGTGGTGGTTTCTTTTTTCTAATAACAAAGTTGCATGTTGCAACCCTACTAATTTCATCACTCATTCCAGGTTGAAATATGTATAATATTCAATGCCCCATCTTAATAAATAACTTGAGTTGTTGAGATCTATCGCGGTTCTTAACTCAAATCTGTATTTTTTGTCAAATCTTACCACTTTATAAATTCTACGCAAAACTTAATGAAGTTGGAATGAACACATTGCGCTCCTTATGAATTCTTCTGCATCTTTCTCAACCACACGTGTTGACCACTGAGTTTTAGAAGAGTCTTCTAATTAACCTTATCATCAGATGTCTTCCCTGTAAAAAATATTAACGACCATTTTGCTAAGAAGTTCATTTAAATCACCAATTTGTCATAAATGTATCATTGTTGTTAAAAAAAACAAATGAATGACCACATTTAGACATTAACCCATCGTTTTAAGTAGTAATCTCATATACGATCTTTTGAAGATACGTCTTTTTCGCTCCGTTCTAGCTAGCTAGCTAGTGTGGTGGTGGAAGAAGTCCTTTTATTTTTTTGTACTTGTGCATGTGGTGGAAGTTTGGTCCCCTCAAATAATGAACGATCTAATACATGTTGGGATGAAATATCATAGTTTTGGCCTTGAAATGTACGAGTGATCAGCCTATTGTTAAAATGAAATGGTAGCCAAATAAAAAATAAGAAGTGGTGCCTAACCAAAGCTCTCCCTCTCTCTATTCTATGTTTTAGCTATCATACGATCTACCCCATGGATTCTTTGGGCTCGTTGGCCGACGCTTATTTGCTTTGGTTCTTTGTGCATGCAGCAACTTGACCTAATAATTTAACCAAACCAATAATGAATCAATCAACTGAGTGTGGAGTATATTCGTTTTGGTTGTTAGATGTTTCATACACAAAACGGTTTCTAATACTTATAAAACAGGTTGAGCTGGCTTATATTACTTCCGAGGATCAGACAACTGACTTGCTGACCAAGACTGTTGCTACCTCACGTCACTGGTTCCTAGCTTACAAATTGATGTTGCGTAAGCATCATCAATTTGGGGGAGGGTGTTAGAAGTATTAATGAGTTAATTGTAATTTGCCATTGATATGGGGTTATAAGGGTTATATTTCTGGGTTTGTACGGAGATAGGGTTTGGGACGGCTAGCTTAAATAGGTGATGCTAGTCACGTTGTAACCTAAGGATTCTCGGTGAATACAATTGACTCTGAGAGGTTGCTCCTCTCTGTGGATTAGTCTCAACGATATACGTTGAGGATACCACGTAAATCTCGGTGTGTTCGTGTGATTATTCTTCGTTTGGAATTTTGTTTAACACTTGTCATAATGATGAAAGTGCTTAGTAGAAGTTCGGGTGCATTTGAACAATTGTACTTGAAATCTTCATCGGGCGAGTTGGGTAAATTTCTATAATTACACAATTATCAAATCTATAATTGGAACTCGAGATTTATAAGATTAGAATTCGATAAGTAATCATTATACCAACTTGAATTCAAAACCTCACACCCCTCACCTTACCTACCACACTTCGTCGTGTTGAACTTTGGGCTGGACTACGGCTGGCGCGATTGTGGGCTTCTTGAGTTTGTTTCCCAAAGAAAAAAATCCAAATTCCCATCACGAGCCCAGCCCAAACAAAACTCTCCTGATCCACACATCCATCTCAAAGTCGGTTAAACAAAAGGCCAGCCCATCCCACGTCAATATCCCCGCAGCGCACGGATAATCGATCTCAGCCGTCCACCTGTCATCCATCCGTGTACGAGGAGAGACGTTGGCGAAGCAGACAGGTTTCCTTTTCCGAATTAAATTTCGATTATCATGATTTTTATTTATTATATAAAGCAACCACCCTTGGACCCTTCCCTACCATTAACGCGAGATCCGTGTGTCACGAAAAGAATATAAATTATCATTAAAACGAAGCTATAACCCAAAAAGCTCTCAACAGAAGAAAAAAAAAAACTCAGATTTGGAGCCCTTTTCAATTCCATTATTATCAGATCTCGTCTTCTCCCCCGCTAATTTGAATTGGAAACTGAATGAAATTCAGCGGACGGAGACAATAATTCTGGAACTTGAATCGTCTTTTTTTCCGATCTGGTTCTCCTTTTTTTTGTTCCCCACCTGAAAAACCCTAGGGGAATCGAGGTTTCTAGGGTTTGGTTGCCGGGATCTGATTTCTCTGCTGTTTAGTGTTTTGTTTTTTTTTTGAATTGGTGTGATGAATGATCAGGCGCAGCAGATGATGATGGGCGGTGGTTCCGGCCGGGCGGGTCCGGTGATGAACCCGCTTCCGGCGGGACCTCCGATCATGAGCCAGGCGCCTCCTCCGCCGGTGATGGCGATGACCATGGGGCAGCCGGGTCAGCTGATGAACCCGGTTCAGCCACAGATGATGAACCCTACCAACCAGCCTCCACAGCAGATGCTGAGCCATGGCCCAGCCATGAGCCAGCAGCAGATGATGATGAAGAATCAGCAGATGGGGTATAATCCATGGCCGCAGCAGCAGCAGAATCAGCTGCATCCTGGGAAGTTCGGGTATTTTGTGCCGCCGTCGAAGCCCAGAACGAGTAACAACAACTGGAAGGGTAAGAATAAGGACAGAAGGATGTCTAATAACAAATCCAACAACAACAACAATGGCAACGTTAGTGGTGGCGGCAGCTTGACTGGTTCCGGTGGTGTTGCTGGAGGAGCGAGTTACATACCGCCCAGTCTTAACGAGCTGCAAAACCAGAACTGGATGAAAACTCAGAAGCACTATCACCATGGCAAGAAGAAGTATAACAACCGTTATGCTCCGTATGCTCCTAGGAACAGTACGTCGTTCATTATCCGTGCTAAGAAGTCCGGTGGGATTGCGTCGCTGGTGTCGCCTTGTCCTGTTACCCCTGCTGTTCTGCCAACGCCGGACATTGAAATTCACCCGATGGAGGTGCTTGGTGATGTGGCTAAGGAGGAATGGGGAGTTGATGGGTACGGATCGATGAAAGGTTTGATTAGGTTGAGGTCGCCGGGTCATGAGATGGAGGTGAATGAAGATGACGAGGAAGATGATGGTAGTGGGTCGAGTGAGAGTGACGTGGAGGAACATGTGGAGGTGGAGAGAAGGTTGGATCATGATTTGAGTAGGTTTGAGATGATATATCCTAGTAATGCTGGAGGGGAGTATAGTTATAATAACCTTTTGGAGAACAGGGTAGATGATCAGGACACTCATATAGCACAGCTAGAGGAAGAGAACTTGACCTTGAAGGAGAGGCTGTTTCTGATGGAGAGCGAGTTGGATGATTTGAGGAGGAGGATGGAGTTTTTGGAGAGGCAGCATCATCATCCTCACGGGCAGGGCAATAAGGGTGGTAGAGTTATGGAGGAAGTTAATGAAGAAACTGTGGAGAATATCTCTGAGAATGATTTGAACGAGTCAGAAGGTCATGGTGAGTCGGATGATGTTGCTGATAACAAGGAGATGCCGAGGATGGAGCACCTCGATGGAGGTAAAGAGCGCTCTAATGACGAGACTAATGTTAATGAGAACAATAGAGACGATGTCAAGTCAGAGACCAATGATATTTGTATGTTGGAGTCTGGTGATGAAGTTGTTGAAAAGAAAGAGGTAAAGTGTGAAGAGGGTAGGGATCCTTTGGCGACAGATGCATTAGTATCTAACAAGGAAGAACCCAGGGATAACGTGATGCCAGAAGAGGTAACTGCATTGGGTGGAAATTGTGGCGTGAAGGACATCTTAGAGGACAAAGTAGATGGTGGATCAGGATAAGTGCAGGTATAAGAGAGTGTTCCCTTTGAGAAGAGCATTTGGCGCTGGGTGACTAATCTCTAATTAATTAATCGACCCGCGTTAATGTTAGTCTCTTCCGACTTACATAGGCAGAGTGTTTTACTCTGCGATTTGCACAATGGATAGGGGGTTTGTACATGGTTCTTTTCGCTTGTTTTTGCTGGTCCAGGAAGAAGTCTGAAGAATTCTGCATATGCTGTTTTTCATGACACTCCCTCTTAGCTTTCACTTTATCCTGGAGTAGGGTTTTAGCTATTACTCTTTTAGCTGTAGTAGTACTTCACTACTTTCGTTGGGATTATGAAATGTATGATTGTTAAAGCTTAGACAGTCCCTTCTTAAGCCATATGGTCTATATTTTGTTCCAAGTTTGTGTAGAATGTTGGATTATGGAACTATGTCTCTGACTCTGTTTATGTACTAGTTCTTTTATCATATTATTAATTATGTGGGTTTGTTTTTCGAAATCTTCCACCAGAGCTGCGGTTCAGCGTCCTGGAGGTTTGTTTTACCATGTAGCTGGAGGTCTGTGTTTCATCTCATGTGAATGGAGATGTTCTTGTATTGATGTTTTACTTGTGGGTTTAAGGTTGATTGTTACTGTGCTTCAAGATTGTGAAGCCTAATTGATGGTTCTGAATTGCATGTTGATGAACATCAATAAGTTCTTTCTTGTGTTTAGGCGGTTCAATTGAGTAGAGGACATGAATGATTGAGCATGTTTCTGTCCCCTGTTATCATCCACGTCTTGCTGGAGAACAACTCTGATCTGTGACGATTTCGCCTCTGGAGCTTCAGTCTGGTCTCTGGTGGATGTTTATGCTCTGGATCTGATGAAGAGGCTCTTGGTTTGGGGCTTTTTGATGTCAGTTACTCATTTCCAGATAGCGAAATCGGCACAGCGAGGCATTCGAGTACCCTATTTGAGGCTCCTCATCCTGATTGTACGAGGTAATCAAAACACTACCTGCTGGTTCCATTCAAGCTCTGCGTGTGATTTGCTCTGTTTATTTGCATTCCAGGCTCTCGGCAGATCCTGACCTGGCCATATTACACGACCAGTGAAGTGAGCTTAGCTGGTTCTGTGAAACTTGCTCTCTGACCAGAGTGAAGATGAAGGCCACTTGACGAGGACACAATATGGCGCAGAACTCGGCCATAAACTTGACCAGCATAGTGGCTGGATTCTTTGCTGGATCATGGAAGTCATTTTTTTGGGCTGCGGATTGTTTTCCTTGGATCGGCCCGCGAAAATATATATGGGCTCAAGTGATAATTCTAGGGGTGGAAATCGGTATGGTATCGGTATACCAATAATCAAATACCAAAATGCCGAATACTGAATCATACTCTAAAACCAATCTCAGTTCCTAAATAATTTTGGTATTCCAATTCCAATCCCTAAATATTTCGGTATTCCAATTTGGTAATTGGTATTATGGGATACAAAATTAATTATTGATGTTATTAATAATTAAATATATAAATTAGATTTGACGTTTAATTTAGGACAAGAGACTAAATAAAGAATTCTGAGTTTGTTTAGAGCTAGGATATAGATAAGGAGAATGGAGGGGGAGAGGTGATATTTCAAATTCTTGTCATGGGTTTCTTTAATTTTATGAATTGGAGGCTAAGAGACGACTAATACTAGTATTTGCTTTTGCTGTTATGAAAATAATAAGAGATCAGGTGAGAGATGAGAATGACATAAACAAGAAAGTAAAAATTGAGTTAGATGAGAGATTCTAAGTTGTGAAAGTGAGAGATGAGAATGACATAAATAGGAAAGTAAAAATTGAGTTGGATGAGAGATTGTAAGTTGTGAAAGAGAGAGCAATGATCAAAGGTTGTTTGCTATATTTTTTTTTATAGTATTTAACAGTGGTAAGTTGCTCTTGCAACTTGTGGAAATTGTACGATGACGATAAGTAACTAACAAATGCACGTAAACCATCTAAAAACATACTTTTTTATCAGCTAACAGTTAAGGGGACAGTTGAAACAATCACGTTCCTTCTAAACAAACTTTTGTACTTTGAACAACCATATATGTCACTAAAATACTATTCTTTCTTCTACATCTTGAAAATTTGGTTTGATCCACGAACTACATTAGAAGTAAGGATTTATTTTATAAGGGCGAGCATTTGAAGTAAGAATTTTTTTTGAATGACATCAACCAATTTGCTCTAATTCATAAAAAGGTCGAAATTCACCATATCCAAGCTTGTATGAATTTGTGAAGCTACTTTCTAAGCTGTTCATGCATTCTTACTTAAAAAAAGTGAAGCTTCATGACTTCGGTCTCATTCCCACTAAACCACCCTAAAGTAATAGAAATTTGCGCACTATTTGTTGATTCCTTGCGTTGTGTTTTAAGGTAAGATGATACTTTGTGCACCCCTTAAAAACTCAACAAATTCAAAAGGCTTTTTTTTTATAGAAGAAATTCAAAAGTTGAATAAGAACCACTTATTGTAATTTTTTTTTATATTTGATTTTATTTTTGTGTCTTAGTAGTATTATATTTTAAATATATACGACCAAGTTGAACTCACAAATAAACTTTGCAATTATTATGTATAGTTTGGACTAAGTATAGAGGATCTTGTCCTCTAAAAGTTAATTTAAACATAATTTTCAAGAAAGTGATTGTCAATTTCTAGTGATATGATATATATATAAAAATAAGTGGCGCATCCTTTTCTACAAATTCGTTTTAATCCCTTATTGATTGTTTGATTTGATTTAAATTTGGAGTGGTGTTATTTGTCATAGTAGGCAAGTACAAGAACAAATATATTCTCTTTATGAAGAAAAATCATACTTTCTTTTAATATATGGTGAAAAGGACATTCTAACCTGCATTATTGATAAACTTAGGATCAATACATATTTAATCGAATCTCCAACAAAATTGCACAATAATGAATCTCCAACAAAATTAATGGCTCTATCTCAAATGCATGGTGTAGGAGACTAGGAGGTACTTCAAAATGTTGTGTATGGATACACTCCTTAAGAAATCTTCCTTCAGTCTCTGTTAACAGGGTTATATTTTTATGACGTGACTAATAGATAGGTCGGAGTCCTGAGATGACGGCTCGTAACAGTAGTACCATCGCCACCCACTCCTCCTACGAATATGAACAAGCAAAGCCATGAGCCCACGAGAAGGGGTACTGATCCCGATGGGCTCTGCCGCTCTGGGATGGGATGAATGAGGTTGACAGGAGTAGGTCTAGGGGGCTTGGGTTGTGAGCTGGTCTGGGCTTTTGTCGTGTTAAGTTTATTCGGTTAATTCAGTTTTTTTGTTCTTAAACCTAACTGGACCTGATCGATTTTTCTAGCTAACAGACTGATCGAAAACTGGACCAAATCGGAATGCAATCCAATTTTGAATTACAACATGAATGGTTTAAACTGTCTGTTTTCTAATTTAATCGAAAAATCAGAACCGAATTCCCATCCATATTAACAAACATCACGATCTACCATCTTTCCAATAATGCTTGCATATTATTGTTCATGGTACTTGATGGTTTTATGGTCCATTATTTCACATTAATAGTTTCTTAAAACAAAAAAAAAAAAAAAGATTCTTCCTCCTCTCCCACCACTGAATTTGCTCCTCCATCTCCTTATATAAAGCTATCCAAGTCGAAGCTGTTCCTTCACTTAGTTCCACACTACTTTAGCATCCTTCTCCCACCACGTATACCTCATTGCCATGTGAGACACCAGTTGACCATTCCCCTTTCAATCTCAGCCACCTCTGAAGAAATTCCCCCGACCAGTCCATCAATGCATATGTCCTCTCCCTCCCACCACCTATGGTAGAAAAGCACCTTCAAAGGTTCTCCCAAACACTTCAAACCAACAAACCCATGGCCACTCACGACCTCGAGGAAGCCGCAGGGCAGTCCCATGGTCGCGACGGCGGCCAAAACTCATCCCAGTGGGTGCTGGAGAGTCCAGCACCCCCGGGAATCTTCAAGGCGACTGTAGATTCTCTGAAGGAGAGTTTCTCCCTCAGGAACTATACCCGTCGCCCCGGTCTCGAGCTGCTCGAGTCGGTGTTTCCCGTGCTCTCCTGGGCCAAAGGCTACAGGATCGGGATGTTCAAGAAGGACCTCATGGCCGGCCTCACACTCGCCAGCCTCTGCATTCCTCAGGTAATTTTTTTTAGAAACCGCGTCGGTGCTGCAGCAGTACTCGGTAAAAATGTTAAACCGAATGTAACAAAAAAATATTCTTGATTAACTCATAATTTGTAATGCCAGAGCATTGGGTACGCGACGCTCGCCAATCTGGATCCACAGTACGGTCTCTGTAAGTAAAAAATCCGCTTCCCAAAAAAAAAATATTTGTCCTTCCATTTTCCACCATTATACTCTGTTCTCAATTACTCTGTTTTTCTCCAATTTTGCACCCCTACATCAAACAAAGATACAAGCGTGATCCCGCCGCTGATCTACGCGGCGATGGGGACGTCGAGGGAGATGGCGATCGGGCCGGTCGCCGTGGTGTCGCTGCTGATATCGTCGATGGTGCAGAAGCTTCAGGACCCGTCAGCGAACCCGGTGGCTTTTCGGAACCTCGTGCTGACGACGACTCTGTTCGCCGGGATTTTCCAGGCAGGGTTTGGGATGTTCAGGCTGGGCTTCCTCGTCGATTTCTTGTCCCACGCCGCCATTGTCGGGTTCATGGCCGGAGCGGCGATCGTCATCGGGCTCCAGCAGTTGAAAGGGCTGCTGGGGATCTCTCACTTCACTAATAAGACTGATGTCGTCTCTGTCGCCGGAGCTATTTGGAAGGCCGTTCACCAATCTGTAAATATTTGATTGGCTTTTCTCTCTCTTCTTTCTAAAAGAGTCTTACTAGGTTGAATTTGGATTACTAACGTTGAAACGTCAGATGAATAAAATGCTATTTTTATCAAGACTTGGGTTAAAGTACAAAATTTAGGGGTTACAAAAACTTGTATCTTATTACCTTTGATACAAGTCAATACCATGGGATGATATGATTCGTATTAATGGGTAGTAAGACACGAATTTTATAGGGTTTTTTTCAATTTCCGATTTTGTGTGCTATCATTTTTTGTTTTTATAATGCCATCGTTCAGAAAGTCAAAAATCCGTGAATGGGCGATTCTGTTGTATCAGTCCATGCGCACACACTACTACGCATATGTCAGTGCCAGAGTCGAATTGCTTTCGATTTTCCCCCTTATGCTGCTGATTTTGTTGAATCTTTGGCAGTGGAATCCGTACAATTTCATCCTGGGATCTGCCTTCTTGTGCTTCATCCTCATCACCAGATTTGTGGTAAGTTGCATCAAGTTTTTTATTGTGACTGTTTAGGTAATTAGCCATATACTCCATTGCTGATCTTACTCCAAGTTATTATACTTGAAAAATACACGTATCTCAGGGTAGGAAGTACAAGAAGCTCTTCTGGTTGGCTGCCGTTTCACCTCTAATCTCTGTCGTCGCGTCGACTCTCATAGTTTACCTGACAAAAGCTGATGAGCATGGAGTGAAGATCATTAAGCACATCAAAGGCGGCTTAAACCCTAGCTCGGTGCACCAGCTACAGCTCAACGACCCACATCTAGGAGAAGTTGTCAAAATTGGTCTCGTCGTCGCCGTTATTGCTCTCACTGTGAGTATAGATATGGCTGGCTTATTAATTTGCACGAATGATTGATACCAGTTCGATTCATTGGGTGATTTGATCTAAATTTTACGATTCATATATGAGTATTTGAGTTGGAACCAAATGGATCAAAAACACTTTTGATGATTTTGGGTTTGAATTGAGTTCAATTCGTGTAGAACCCAAATGGTTTTATTTGGATCCGTACGATATACACACAAAAGGATAATATCAACCATCTAATAAACTGCCTTTAATTCGATTACAACTTTAATGTTGGTGTTTCCATTTCGTGTTAGGTATTCACTAATATGGTTCCAATTTAGCCAAATTGAAATTTTGGGCATGGATCAGCCCCAAAAGTAAAAATACCCAAATATGATTTGAGAAATATCCAAATATTAGGTATTCTTGGTTATCCCTGTAATAATATCTCTAATCAAATTATCACTTTTTAATCCAACTAGGAATCCCTAACAACACGAGAGAATTTTTTTATGTATAAGAACGAAAATATTTGTTTTTATAGGAAGTATTATTTAAGATATTCGAATCTGATACCTAAAGATTCGAAACCAGTAATAGTATCACCAGAAACCTATATAGTTTTTTTTTAATCCAAGATAAGCCCCGAGGGCATGGCTGAACAACAAATATCTATAACCGACAAAATTAAAGAACGGTAACCTGTATGCAATCAGACTCCCGATGAAGGAGTTTTTTATGCCACGAGATGGGCAACATCTGAGAAAGCTCTGAGGAGCAAAAGGACACGAAACTGACACAGGGGACAAGAAGCGATCGCGATTTTATGCCACATAGTTTGATGGTTGGATTCCTCTTTGCTTTTTGACTGATTTTGTAGGAAGCGATTGCGGTGGGGCGGTCGTTCTCCACCATGAAAGGCTACAACATCGACGGGAACAAGGAAATGGTCGCCATTGGCTTCATGAACATTGTTGGTTCCTTCACCTCTTGCTACGTCGCCACAGGTAAAGAAATCATTTTTTTTTTGCGACCAATTACATATGTGTCACTACAACAAACACACTTCTTTTTTGCGTCTGAGAAAAAAATTCGTTGTTAAAAGGACAAAAATCTGGTCGCTAAAAAGGTTTTGCGACGAGAAAGCTAATTCGTTTCAATGATCCATGTATTTTCGCAGGTTCGTTCTCTCGCAGCGCGGTGAATTTCAGCGCGGGCTGCGAGACCGCGGTGTCCAATGTGGTGATGGCGGTAACGGTAATCCTGTGCCTGGAGCTGTTCACCAAGCTGCTCTACTACACTCCCATGGCGATCCTGGCATCGATCATCCTGTCGGCTCTGCCAGGGCTTATCGACTTGCATGAAGCGGTCAAGATCTGGAGGATCGACAAGTTGGATTTCCTCGCCTGCCTCGGAGCCTTCCTAGGCGTCCTGTTTGCTTCTGTCGAGATCGGTCTCCTAGTCGCGGTACAATTTTTTTTTTTTACATCTAGTAGTTATAGTTCAATGCTAAACAAAAAAAAATTCCCCTCTTCTTTTTGGTGATGTTGTTTAGTTGGATTTTTTTTTTTTAGGTGGGGATATCGTTTGTGAAGATAATCCTAATCTCGATTCAGCCTGGGGCTGAGATTCTAGGCAGGATTCCTGGGACTGAGGTGTTTTGTGACGTTCACCAATACCCAATGGCAATTGAGACTCCTCCGGCTCTTACAATCCGCGTCAAGTCAGGATTGCTTTGCTTTGCAAATGCCAATTTTGTCAAGGAAAAGTAGGTTCACTAATTACTATGGTTTTAAGGGTAGTTATTCATGAAATGAAACTATGTTTAAGGGGGTAATCCTAAAGGGTGTTGAAAGCTAATTTTGTGTTTAATTTGCAGGATCCTGAAATTGGCGACTGAAGTGGATGAGAAGAGTGACAAAGTGAATGGGAGAAGGAACATTCAGCTGGTTGTTCTTGACCTATCTAGTAAGTATACTTAAAAGACTAGTTTCTCTTATAATAGACCCAGGGATTGTGAAATCGCAGCCAAAAGTAGGGGTGTTCAAATGGTTACCATAGTAATTACCAAATCAAATGAACGTAAATTATATTAAATGTAGAATACAATATTATAACCAAACCGCCCAAACTAATACAACAACCAAATTAACCAAACTAAAATTTGATCGGTTTGGTTAATTAGTTAACCAAAATGACCAATATAATATCACATCCGCATTAAATGAGAAAAATATCCGTTTAGTGCATCAGTTTGCAATTTATATATGAATAACACATAATTATAGTTAACCCTTAGCATAAATACAAGTAAAAAAAAATACAATTATCTTACATTTAACTCTTGAGTGGTTGTGCAAAGTATTAAGTATGTGTATATAATATACGTTAGATATATGGCTAATTACTTAACTGGTTAATTTGGTTTGATTGCTTAGGAGTGTCTTAAACCAAACCAAACCAAACCACCTAAACCAAACAAGCTAATTTTTTTTAATTAAACCATTTATCCACAATAACCAAATACTACCAGTTAAAACGGTTACCACGGTAACCACACCGTTTGAACACCACCACCCAAAAGGCAAGTATGTATGTAATAAGGGTATTTTGTATAAAAATCTGTGGTTCAACCATTTTGTACAGCTAAAACCACCTACCAGTTTGAGGTTCGATACCTTAAATTTCCGATCGGCCGACATGGTTGGTAAGACATTATTTTAGACTTATGAAAAGTTTATTATTATCGCCCGTTAGAGGTCCGAAGTTCGAAACTAGTAGCTAACAACAGAGACTACAATAGTTATTTGGTCATTAATTGTTGGATTCTCATACTAAAACATATTATTGTTCGTTTTTCGATAAACTGATACAATACATATGACGATACACACCACATTTTGCTCTTTTTTGTTAGTGGGTCAACTCCGATACAACACAATCTCTTTCGACTCCTAATTATTTCTTCTGACATGTGCGGGTTATATCTTGACAGATCTGATGAACATCGACGTCTCGGGAATCGCATCGTTGGAAGAACTACACAAGAATCTTATCTCCAAGGGAGTGGAGGTATGGTGGCAATTACACCCCACATGAAATTTATCACCATCGTACAAGTTGATCATGAAGTTTCCCTACTCTCAATATGATCACCTATCAACATATATATTTAATGGCTGCCTGTTCTCTTGGATGTGTTTGTGCAGTTGGCCATCTGCAACCCAAGATGGGAAGTTATCCACAAGCTAAAGGTGGCTAACTTTGTGAGCAAGCTCGGTGGGAAGGTGTTTCTGACTGTTGGAGAAGCCATTGATGCATGCCTTAGTGCTAAAGTTATGGCTGTCATTTGAGTGGAACATCATCTGATTGGTCAATTGTGGTGGCCCTCCAAGAATGTAATGCTCTATTGTTATGGGACTATATGTACCTTAGCTATCACCTTGTGTAAATTGTGTAATATGGTTACTAGGAAGAAGAAGAAGAAGAAAAAACATGAATAAAGGGAAGATGCTTTTTGGTGGTATGGAGCTCTAGTTGAAGCTCCATTAACAGGAAGCAATATATCTTCTTTTTAAGTTTTGTGTTTTGTTTTGGTTAGGTTTGGTGGTGAATAGACATGAATCTTGTAAGTCCTTTTGTGATATGCTTGGTAATTGGAGGGCTTGTTACATGATTATCTTAATTAAGATATATGGATGGATATTCTAATAGACGGGTAGTCGAAATAAGCGAGTTGTTGAAATATATGCTTATATGTGTTTCTGAATGAAATTCATTGTTTAGATTATTGCCCGACGGTTTGAATGTGTGTTAAGGTTACTAACTAGTTAGTATTGTCGAACACAATATTTTTCAACTTCGATATTATGTGGGGAAAAAAATCAATATTCCATTAGCTCAAATAATGTATTGAGGAAATGAAGGATTGAAAAGAGAATCAATGCCTTACTCATGATTCGTGAAGAGGTGGTTTTTTTTTTGACAAAAGATAATCTTGTATTGATCAGAAAAAATAGATAGTTACATAAAGGCGTTCAGTCAGGCCTGAAAATCAAAGAAACGACTCTGAGCCGGGTACAAAGAGAGGGCTTTACGAGCCACCAAATGGGCTACCCTATGCTACGCCGACCAACAAATCGAACACTAAACCCCGAACTATTAAAAATTTGCAAGAGCTCCTCCAAAATAGCACCCACCCGACTATCCCTGGCATCCTCCTGATTAATTTTATCAATAAGCACCTTAGCATCCCCTTCAAACTGTACTTCCGAGAGGCCCATTGATAAGCACCAGAACACCGCCTCCCGGAGGACAAGCAATTCCACAACCATAGGGTCATCCATGCAGGGAATATGAATCCCCTTCACCAGCCAGACATCTCTTGTCGGAGTCAGCAAAACCGCACCGCCTGCTGCATGCGACCCCCTCCTAACCGCACCATCCCACATACAGACCAAACTCCCAGTCCTAGCAATGCCTCGGGACTGCCCACCATTTGGAACAGGAGGGACCTCTCGAGAAATCCTATCCTTAGGCAACCGAACCCACTCCTCATACTGCTGGTGGAACTGACGCATTAGAGCTGGGAACCCAAATTGCTTACCCTCAAACACGACCCAGTTCCGAGAGCGCCAAATCCTCCAAAGGACAGCCACTACAGCCATCAACAGAGTAGGTTGGTGAAGCAATGACAACAACTTCTTCAAAAACAGAGGGAAAGTATGGCGAGGGAGCCTTTCTCCTAGATGCCCTAGCCCCGAGTAGTCCCAGAGGGCGCGAGCCACATGACAATCCAAGAATAAATGCTCAACGTTTCCACACTCTCCCAGCACACCGGACATCTGGGATGCACCGGGACGCGTCGCTCAAGAAGTGCCTCCGTGGTTGGAAGAATTCGGTTTAGGATTTGCCAGACAAAAACTTTTAGTTTTGGCGGAATATCCGCATCCCAAACACGAATCCATGACTCCTTATCCATCCAACCAACCATAGATCGCCATCGCCCTCTCCTCCTATCCAGGTCCACAGCTAAATGGTATGCGGATTTGACCGTGAAAACACCATCGGCCGACCCATGCCAGATTTGACCGTGAAGAGGTGGTTCAATGATAATTAAATTAAAATAAAATTTTACCTTGTAAAATATACAGTACCGTGAAAATTTTGTAAAATATATACATCGTTTATGTTGCAAATCAATGCTTTCAGGCGAATACAACAAATAAAAACCGTTCGGAAATAAGTCTCTCATCCGATTCCGGATGTTATTCTTGATTAACTTTGTGGTTGCAAAGGTGTGGAATTATAGCAATAATTTGCTTATAATGTATTGGAAATACATACAAATAAAACCTAGAAGGGTGTCAAGAGGCACATACTCTTTTTTTCAGTACGTGACATCTACGTTACTATTATCTTATTGTCGCCGATACCATTAAATCAATGTTTTCCAAGGACATTATGTAGTTTGGTCACTTGTTTTGGTATTTCCAATTTTCTTCTCGATGCTGACCCAATTTGTTTGTAGCAAAGTCTACTAGTTTCCTCTCCCACACTCCTAGGTCAAATCTCCCCACAAACCACAACCATTCTTTCTAACTAAGTCCACCTCTCAGTTCCTCGAAAAAAAACTGTGAATAGTTCCTCCCAATCACAAGATCAAAGAGTCCCCTCTTCCATTTTTGGTAAGGGCACAAACATGTATTGTAGCGCTGAATTATTTGTTTTTCCTGTTGCAATTGCTGTGTAGCTAAGCTACGCCACAGTTTCATATTCAAACATCACAATTAATAGATAGTGACGACTTGGTGTACAAAAAAAATCGATTTTTATTGGTCAATGTGGTCGATCAATATACAAGTTATTTGGTTTGTGTTGTGTGGCTTATGACGATTGACCGATTTCAAAGGAAGATGTCAGTATCAATAGAAGTTGCGTAGTTGTATTTTATGTGTTATATGAAAGTTGATCGGAGCATCGAACAGTCGACCTTGTGGTTGTCACATCGGTTGACTTGCTGTGTAGGCCAACCGTACTTTTTTTTTTTTGCGTTTAACTTGGATGTCGCCTTTCCTGTTAACCGATCCAAGGAACCTACTCAACAGACTCATAATAAGTTTTACTGGACTTTAGTTCAGACCAATTCAACGTATCAAAGTACAGGAAGAACAAGTCGAAGTTTGGAAAAGCGTCGAGGTTTGAAAGTTTATATAACTCAAGTTTCTAACTCAAGTTATTAACATGTATATGATCGCTGACATCAACAACGTGACTACTCGACCACATGATTACTAGACAAGACCGTTTAACCTAGAAGTCTCTTCTTAAAATTCTAACAATATTACCAATACTTGATTTAAAAGTTGAATATATGTAAAATGGACCCTGTGCAAACTTCACTCCACCACCCAACCCCTTAGGACTCCATTCTCTACCATTCTTTTGATTTGTTTAAACTGAACAAGATTGATATGTGTCTAGATTCATTGCACCTGCAAATGGGCAAGTAGGAATAAGGCCATTTGATTGATTCCTTCCACCTTTGTTAGGGGAAGAAATGATGCCTCTTTTAGATTAAAGAAATGATGGCCTCAATGACACTAACCCTTTTTTCTGGTTTTCCACTTCCCTCGAGCTCTAGCTTACCCAACTTCCTTTCGAGTTCCATCGACTTACACTATAGCCTTATTGTTCATGCACGCTGCCTACAATGGCGTCCAGGTTCATTAGCCTTTTCTCTCGTAAGTTTGCTATTTAACCTATTCATAGAAAAGCTGCTTAATGCTTATATACCAATGGGAGGGAATATAGTGCTCGATTGGCTTTAGTGGATTTGGTGGTGAGATGAAGCTGCTGATCAAGAATCTTTGTCTATGTGCAGAGTGATATCAGTGAGGTCGTTCATCATCTGGTGCTTTTTTTTTTTGGACAGCCTCGTGGCCAAACTAAAGAGGGTATCGTCATTACCTAAGAAATTCATCACTTTGTCTCCTAGTAGATTGACACGAGTGCGGGCCGAACTTTAAATTTCTAAAGTCGAAGTGCACCTACTCTAACCCTAACAATGACAAGTATAACGAACAAGGGTTTGGTCTAGTGGTGATACCACTAGCCTAGAAACTGGAGGTCTCAGGTTCAAATTCCTTTAGTGGAACTTAATCACAAAAGTAAACCTATATCACCCTTATATACAAAAAAAAAAAAAACAACAACAACGACAAGTATACCGATGCTAGGCTTGTAGTAAAGTTGCCGATCATATTCCAAGGGAACCTTAGACTTACTATTACTTCACTCCGAACTACTACCTAATCAAATAGGAAGTTTGAGGGTACAACTTCAACTAATCTAACCTAACCTAGCTAACTAACTAATCAATCAATCAAGCGGTTGGGAGGCCGCTAGAGGTGAGATGATTGTCTAGGATCGAATCTTTCTAGCTATAGGTTGATATGAGCGATAATCTAATGATATTTTGAAGTGCGGAGATCATGAAGGTGGGAATGGACTCCATGGTCATGGGATCGAACCTCCTCATATAGCTAGGTTCACCGGCCTAATGTCACCTTAACCGGTCTACCCAACTAGGAATTTGCTTCTATCTCCTCTAAACGGATTATATCCGTCCACACACAAATCGGGTAAGTCAATGATCACACAATTACCCCACAACATCAACTAGTTGAGAATCTAACTAAAAGGTCACCTTGACTTCTCTACCGGCTCACGATCCATCAAATAATTGAGGCTTTTTAATATAGTCCTCGATATGTATTGGCCCCTTAGGATTCCATTTTCGACCACAGCCCAAGAATTCACGTTTTCCTCGTCACGTCAACTTTTGAGCCCAATGGATTCAAGTCTTGTAGCTGGCCCAATGAATAGGCCTACCGGGCCCAAATTCAGTTTATCAGACGAAGAGTCGAGAGGGTAACACAACACCTTCTCATTTGCCGACGGCAAGTCAAGAGTAGCGAGAGCCTAGTCGGCGGCAGAGCTTGGGCAACAAGGCAGAATACTTGGCGCGACGACATGAAGGAAGCCAGCAGCTTTCCATAAAGCTGATCGATTTCCACAGGAAGCGAGGAAGACCCATGGGAAGGAAAACCTCTCTCTAGACGAAAATGGTGCCCGTTTCCCGGTTTATTTTCTTCGCATCCAAGCACGCGCCAATGCAGCATTCTCTCTCTTTGCTTCGAAGGTTCGCCCTCAAACCCTTACCCCCCTACCCTGGCCTATCTAGCTCTCTATTACACCGTCGCTTTTGAAGTTGATTAATGGGGTTTTGGAGCTTCGATTTCGGGGTTTTGCTCGTTTGCCCACTTGCCCTTCTCGAGGAGGCTCGGCCATTTGTGATGGGTTCTTAGGCTGCTTGATTTTTTTCTGTAATCACCGGATTTGGCCGCTTCAGTTGCTTCTTTTGTGACATTTTCTTGCGAGGGTTTATGTTATGTATGCTTTGCGTGAATTGATGTAGGTTTAGCCCATCGAGGAATCCGCAATCTCGTAGCTATACGAAATCAACCAAACACGGGGGTGAAAAGCGGGAAACTCAGCATGTGTACACTATTGAAGAACCTCAGCGAGAGAAATCTTATGCTACTTTCATCCTTGTATGTTCCTTCAGTCAGCTCTTTCATTTCCTGCTGGCTGCTGCTTAGATTCATTTAGGTCACTAGTTAGGTGCCCTTTTTCCCCAAACAATGTGCCATTTTTATCAGTGCTTTCATTTTTTCCTCAGTTCTGTGGAAGGCTCCAACTTTAGTGATGCTGTGTGATTTTGCAGCCTGCTGCTTTGCTAGGATTTGGAGGGCTGGCAGCTTTCCTCCGATACAATGATGAGAGGAGAGCAATTCCAAGAGGTACTTCTCTCAGTTGTAAGCTAATCCAAGTTTCTATGATATCGATATGGACATGAACATCTTTTACTGGGGTGATCACAGTTCTGCTTTTTAATGAAACTTCTGATCACCGCATAGAGTGGAGATAGGAAAAAGAATATTACTATGAACCTCTTTACGAACTTCTGAACGCAATATGCTGTTTTCATAGTTTAGACATCACATGGAAATAGAAGAAAAGAAGGTGGGTGCTCGCCAGAACTATGGTTCTTTTGTGTGATCTGCTTTGGGAAAGTCGAGTTGTCCGGTTTTTGTCTTGCTGCTTTGGGTACTACTAATTGGTCATTGATCAAGAACATTGTCTTTAGAGGTTCCAGCGTTGTGGGTGTTGAGACTAGGTGTTTTCTGATTGCCATTGGATAAATTTGTTATGTACTGAGGCTGGCGAATCTAAGACTGTATTCTGTGAATACAAATTGCCTGTGTATCTCTGAAAATTTTGAAATCGCATTGGATAGTAATTTTTTAATGTGAGCCATGAACTATCCCAGTAAGATGCATGGTTCATTGGTCATGCTTTGCTAGTATCAGTATCATTTCTGCAGAGCACAGGAAACTATGTGAAGGTGACAGATCAATAGCAATGCACAGTAATTCACGGGATAGTTGTTAGAGATATCATGCCATAGGCTGCTTGGTTTTCATACGTATCTTCTGCTTGATACTTATGATACAACCTTCTATCTAACAGTTTCCAGATTCTTAGTAGATTTAATGGGTGCAGAACTACATCCCAGTATACATTTGAGATGTTAAGGCTGAGAAAAGACTGCTTATCTTTGGTGAGCACTAACTGCTACACTAGTTTTGAAGAAGAAGAGTTTTCTATGTTCATCCGGAACCACTGCCCTTCAGTAGCAATTTCTAACTTTAGAGTCCAGAAGCAAACCCGATGACTGCCCCACAACCATGCTGGCAGTTGGATGTTTGCTTTAGCTTCTTGGATGGTGCTTCTGAGTTATTCTATTATCTCTTAGTGACACATAAGCAAGTTGTGTCAACATGCTTATTCCAGACCATTGTCTGTATGATTAGATAGGCTATGGACCCTACTATCTGATGAAGAGATAATCTTGGATCAACTTCTGAATTGGTAGAGAAGGCCAGTAAATTATATGCACTTCTGCCCCTTTCATTATTTAACCGAGATCATCTCTGTCTCTTGTATACTATACCAGGTGAAACCCAGAAGGAACAATTTTGCCCAGGTCCTGTTATTGGCGGTCCATTCTCTCTGATTGATACCGAGAAGCGAGTGGTAACAGAGCGTGACTTTCTAGGGAAGTGGGTTCTGCTATACTTCGGCTATACATCCTCACCTGATATTGGCCCCGAACAAGTAAAAACCATGGCCGAGACCATTGATAAACTAGGTTTGACATCTCCAACTCACCTTTCTGCAATGTGGCATCATTTTCCCCCTTATTGCAGCAGTGTATCTGATATTCAACTCTTTTGGGGATCAAGAATCACAGGAAAATCTCAAGCTTTTGCCAGTGTTCGTCACACTCGATCCTCAGCGTGACACTCCTACCCATCTCCGTGCCTATCTCAAAGGTATGCATTGATCAGTGATGTTCCAAACATCAAACACACTTTAGGGTTGTTCGTTTGACAACTAGGGATTTTCCCTGTGATCCTGAGAACACATCGGTTTTCCTTGTCTGAATCTGCTATGAATACCATATATTTGCACTATGGGAATCTTTGGGTTTGCCCAGTACTTTATTCTGAAACTGCCCAAGTTCCTACAATCCCATTTACAAAATGCACTATTTCTTAAAACACATGCATTCCACAATACATGGCAACCAAATGGCGTATTAAAGGCTATGATGGTTCTTCTGATTGCCTTGCAGAGTTTGATCCCAGAATCGTCGGATTCACAGGCGCACCTGGTGCTGTGAGGCAGATGGCACTGGAGTACCGGGTTTTCTTCAGGAAGATTGAGGAGGACAAAGATGATTATCTTGTGGAGGCAAACCACAACTTGTAAGTCATACATATACGATACTTATGTTCTTACTACCTTCCATTTACTGAATGACCCATTTTTTTTACCACATTGAACTTGTAAAAACAGCTATCTGATCGGTCCTAACAAGGAGGTGGTGAAATGTTTCGGGCCGGAGTACAATGCAGAGCATTTGACTGAAGCGATAGCCAAGGAAATGAAGAGGAAAGCGGCATCTTAGTCAATTTGGCTGCCTGGATTTCCTGGACAGGCTGTTGATGATATTGACCCTAGTTCATAACTTCCATTGCTAGATTGTTTGACTCAAACAAGGGGAAATTTTTGGTTATTGGAGAAAAAGTCTCCTCTAGCTTAGCTAACCAAGATCAGGAGGTAGTGACCACGGTGGAAGTGGAGTATATGTGCATATAGCCAAATATCAAAACCTTCGAAACAAGTACATTCATCCTTGCTGCCATTTTCACTTTTATTCTCTTACTGGGTGACTCTAAACTCCAAAGTTCAGTGGTTGTGTGTGAATTTTGTTTGAGGGTTTTAGAAATGCAGTACCCTTATCGAAGAAGGGCTGCAGGAGGTTGTATATATACCTCTGTTTAAAACCAACAACAGTGTTTTGCCACATGTCAGAGAGACATTGGCTATTACAAAACAGTCTTACTGTTAATTAACGGTTAATACAATATTAATGAAACGACAGCGTGTGTTCCTTCTTCTTCCTTTCTTTCTTCAATCCGACATCGTTTCCTTCTTCCTTCATAGCTGCTGCAAATCTCTCTTAGTCTCGGATTCTTCATCTGCTACTCCTTCAACTTCTTCTTCAGTCAACACCCCGCCTTCAAGTTGTGGACATCATTCTGATTCCCAACTTGTCCAGTAGTTCTTTCAGCTTCACTCTGTGCACTGCCTCGTGAATAAATCTGCAAGCTGATTCACAGTACTAACATGCTGCAACTTGATTAATCCCAACTTAATCCTTTCTCTTGTAACATGGATGTCTATCTCCATGTGTTTCGTTCTTTCATGGAACACAGGGTTCTCTGCAATATGAATTGCTGAACGATTATCACAATAAATCGAGATTGGTAGGGGTACCTGCACACTCATTTATGCTAGCAAGCTTCTTAACCATTGCACCTCACAAGACAATAGAGCTAATGCTCTATACTCAGCCTCCGATGATGACCTCGAAACAGTGTTCTGCTTCTTTGTTTTCCAAGTCAGAAGTGAGCTTCCAAGAAATGTACAGTACCCAGTAGTTGATCTTCTTCTTTCAGGGCAACTAGCCCAATCTGAGTCACAGAAACCCACAAGTTTTAGATCTGCTTTGCTGCTGAAGTAGATTCCTTGTCCAGGTGAGCTTTTCAAGTATCTGAGCACTCTATATGCTGCTTGTAGATGATCACTATGAGGGTCCTTCTGGAATTGACAGAGTTGTTGAACTGAGTATGTCAAATCTAGTCTGGTGATGGTAATGTAGTGCAACCTTCCAACCAGTCTCCTGTATGATTCTGGATCCTCAAGTCTAGTTCCCTGAGTTGGTGTCAGCCTGATCTTTGGATCTGCAGGTGACAAACAACTCTTTGCATCAACATATCATGTGTCCTGTAACAAATCCATACAGTACTTTCTTTGACAGACTGAAAGTCCCTCTGCATTTCTTGTTACTTCAAGTCCAAGAAAATACTTTAGAGGTCCCAACAGCTTCACCTTAAACTCTCTGCTCAACAACTTCTTCACCTGTTCAATATCAGTTGGTGCATCACCACCCACAATAATGTCATCTACATAAACCAACACTATCACAATCTTTCCTCTGATCCATTTAGTGAACATAGAATGATCTGAGTTTGATTGTGAAAATCCACTCTTCAAAAGGAATCCAGTAAGCTTGGCAAACCATTGCCTAGAAGCTTGCTTCAACCCATACAAAGATTTCTTCAACCTGCAAGCAATCTGTCCCTCTTTTCCCTGTAAAGCAGCTGGTATTTCAATGCCTTCAGGAACCTTCATGTAAACTTCTTCTTCTAGGTCTCCTTGTAAGAAAGCATTAGAAACATCCATTTGATCCAGGGTCCAGTTCTTAACTGTTGCTATTGCTAACAAAGCTTTTACTGTGTTTATTTTAGCAACATGAGAATATGTATCCAAAAAGTCTATTCCATACACATGTGTGTATCCCTTAGCCACCAATCTAGCTTTATACCTTTCCACAGTTCCATCAGGTTTCAATTTTATCTTGAAAACCCATTTATAGCCTACCATCCTCTTTCCTACAGGTAACAACACTATCTCCCATGTTTGATTTTCATCCAAAGCTCCTATTTCAGCTTTCACTGCTCTTTTCCACTCAATAAACTTCACAGCTTCTGCATAAGATCTTGGTTCCATCTGTGCCAAAACACTCAATGCATACTTCATGTCAACTTTGTTAAGTTGATCAACATGTAAACAAATTGGATATATGCTTACAGTTGCCACAGAACCAAATCCACCAAAAGTTAATCTGGGATGAAATTCACAATCATTATACTTAGCTGGAAGATGATGCTGTCTAGGTGGCCTGCCATTGGGTTCCTCATAATCTGCTTGAGGTTCCAATTCAGGATCATGTTCACCATAAGAAGCAGAGAAATCACCTTGGACTGGAGACTCTATGATGTTTTCAACTGGGGAAGGAAGTTCAACTGTTTCAGAGGGCTGCCCCCCATCATCAGAGAGTGTAGGAAAAGTAGGATGTATGTCTGGTGAGGAAGAAGGTACTTGTATTGGTGGAGAAGGGGAAACTGGTATAGGAGATGGGAAGACCATTGGTGATTCAGTAGGTGGTTCTGGGGAGTCATGTCTAAAGGGAAGTATGGTTTCATGAAACACTACATCCCTAGAGATAAAGACTCTATGATCCTGAAGATCCAAGAGCTTATAGCCCTTAATCCCTGGTGGTATGCCTAAGAATATACACTGTCGAGCTCTTGCATTAAACTTTGTCCTAGCATGACTCAGTGTACTGGCATACCAAAGACTACCAAAAACTTTCAAGTGTCCAAGGAAAGGAGGTTTACTGTATAAGATTTCATAAGGGGATCGATTTTGCAACACTGGAGTAGGTAGTCTGTTAATGATATAGACTGAGTGAAGCACACAATCACTCCAGAATTTCAGTGGGATTCCTGATTGAAATCTTAATGAGCGAGCAACATTTAATATATGTTGATGCTTCCTCTCCACCCTAGCATTCTGTTGTGGGGTTTCCACACAAGACATTTGATGCTCAATACCATTTTCCATGTAAAACTCACACATATTGAACTCCCTCCCCTGATCACTTCTCACTACCTTGACTGTCTTTCCAAATTGGTTTTTAACCAGTTGAAAAAACCCTTTAAGTAACTCTCTGGTTTCACCTTTGTGTTTCATTAAAAACACCCAAACTGCTCTAGAGTAATCATCCACAACAGTAAGAAAGTAAGCATAACCATCATAGGAGATAACAAACAAAGGGCCCCAAATGTCAACGTGTATAAGTTGGAACAGATCACTTGCAGTGCTAGTGCTAACAGGGAATGGAAGGCGTTTGTGTTTAGAAAAATGGCAAACATCACAATGGGAAATCTTGGAACTAGTTACAGTGGAATCAGTTACTGTAACAAAGAAATCCTATCACTACTAGAGTGGCCTAGTCTCCAATGCCAGAGGTCAAACTGGTGAGCATTGAAGTTGAAGGTGGTGGCTGCTTGAGGAAGTGAAGATGTGTGCATTTGGTCTTGAGTTGGTTGGAAAGAAAGCTGGTACAGACCTCTAGACTCTTTGGCTAAACCAATCTTCCTCTTGCTTAGAAGGTCCTGGACATAACATGAATCAGAATGAAAGTGTAAGGCTAGAGGGGAATCTCTGGTGAGTTTACTAACTGAAACCAGATTGAAAGAAAAACTGGGAACTAGAAGGACATTGTATAACTACATTCCAGATGGCAACTTCACTGTTCCTACATGTGTAACAAGAACCTTGGTTGTATTAGGGAGATACACATAAGTGTTGACAACTGGTTGACACTCAGTGAACAAAGCTAAGGAACAAGATATATGATCTGAAGCTCCTGTGTCTAGAATCCAGAAATGCACTATGTTGGTATTGGTAAGGTTGTTATGAGTGGAAAGCACATAATTACCTGAGTAATTGGGAAAAGGTGGGAGATATTGTGAAACTGAATAAGCATTGTGGTGAATATAAGGTGATGGTGGAGGTGAGTTGGCTATGTTAGCACTAGATTGCATCATGAACCTCAGCTTATTCATCTCCTCAGGTGTAAAACCTACCACTGACTTAGCAGTACTCACAGGGCTCCCATCTGATGTGTCTCCAGTCACACTTCCTTCTCTTTGTGATTCACCTGAACTTCCTTGTGACACAGAACCAGCAAATCTACTTGGTCCACGACCTTGTGTGTTACCTGCATTGTTACCATTTCTTTGTTCCTTGTCTTTCCTCTTCTTGGTCCAGCATTCATCTATGTTGTGACCAGTTCTTTTACAGAACTCACAATACTTCTTGCCTTGCTGCCTCTGCTCTGTATTCTGATCTGAATTGACAGCCAAAGCCACACTTTGAGATTTCTTACTGTTACCCCCTGCTTCTCCTTTCAACTTCTGTTCATGCTGCAACAGGTCATCCACAACTTCATATACACTTGGGAGTGGTTTTTGCATCAAGATCTGAGTCTTGACCACTTCATAATCTGGGTTCAATCCTCTGAGAAACCGGATCAAGTAGTCTGTCTCTTGCCTTTCTGTATATGCTGTCACTGCTGCACAAGGATTAGGATTTCCAGGTGCACGGTTACATGGAACAAGTGGGCTAAATTGCATATACTCCTCCCAATAACCTTTCATCTGGGTATAATACTAATTTATAGTAGAATTCTTCTGTTTGCAAGCCTGGATTTCATCTTCCAGGTTGATGATTTTGATGGCATTTGGTTTACCAAACCTTCTCTTCAACTCATCCCACAGAACTTTAGCATTGACATGATTCATGACTGATCTTCGCAGATCTTTGTGTAAAGAGTTCATAATCCATGACAATACTGCTGTATTACAAGCATCCCACAGCAAATAACGATCATCTGTAGCTGGAGGCATCAGAATGCTTCCATCCACAAAACCCAGTTTGTGTTTCATCTTAAGACCCATAATCACTGACCTACTCCACATAGTGTAGTTCGTTCCATCAAATAGCTCAGATCCAATGGATTGATTGAGCGCTTCGTTTCGGTTCAGGTAAAATGGGTTTCCAAAAGTGATTACCTCGGTTCGTTGATCTTGCTGTTGAGCATCAAATGAGCCAAACTGAAATCGAGCACCTGACCCTGTTGCTGTTGCATCGGATCTTGGCGTTCCCGTCGGCGGTGTCTATGCGCCGGACATCTTGGCAGCCTTAGATAGTTCGCCACTCTGATACCATGTGAATTTTGTATGAGGGTTTTAGAAATGCAGTACCCTTATCGAAGAAGGGCTGCAGGAGGTTGTATATATACCTCTGTTTGAAACCAACAACAGTGTTTTGCCACATGTCAGAGAGACATTGGCTATTACAAAACAGTCTTACTTTTAATTAACGGCTAGTACAATATTAATGAAACGACAGCGTGTTTTCCTTCTTCTTCCTTTCTTTCTTCAATCCGACATCGTTTCCTTCTTCCTTCATAGCTGCTGCAAATCCCTCTTAGTCTCGGATTCTTCATCTGCTACTCCTTCAACTTCTTCTTCAGTCAACATTGTGGCCTGTGGGAATCCAAACAATTAATTTCAATTCATGTGAATTTCAGTAAGTAAATTTAAAATGTATATATTTCACATACAACCATCTGACCCCACGTTTAAATAAAATAAATTATCATCTAATGTTATATATTGATGTACTAGCCAAAAGGTTATTGTAATTTTTCCATTTGGTTTGTTGAACATTTTAGAGAACCACCCTCATGATAAGAACGAATCTTTTGCAAAAAAATCTCAACCCTTCTACAACGACAATAAATTAACAAAAATAACTGAAAAACAAAAAATAACTCAAAAGAATAACCATTCACCTACCAACACCTCGGACTTGCTAATAGTTTTTAACTAAAAAAACCAACTCTACCACACTCTTCTTTGTTAACTTTTATTGTTAATACTTTAGGTGTTAAGTAAAACAAAATTTCAAAGTCGTCATTATTCATTTTCTAAAACATTACTTTAAAAACAAAACAATAGCAAGATTAAGCAAGAAAGAAGGAATTTTTTTTAGAGAATTTCTTGTCATTCCTTTCACCATTGTGTTACCTAATAACATAATATTCTACAACCAAGAGAAAAATAGAGAGGTAAAATATATTTCTTATATTGGCTTCCAATGACATGAATTCCTTTCTTACCGGTCTCCTCTTCCTCCGGCTGAGATTAAAATTTCAAACTCTTCCATTCCTCCTCCACGGAGAACGTTGCCATTGATTGCTGCCTCCTTCTATAACGATACATATCCTCGATTTTGCATTACTATCAACAGGTCGTTCCTCTAACATCCCATTTTCCAAGATAATGTCTCATTACCATTCTACGTAACATCAACAATAGGAGAAAGAAGAAAATATTCAAATTTGTGTTTGACCCTCCTCTCATCTTGTTCACAAGCCTTAGAGAGGAGGTGACATAACATGGCGGGGACAGAGGACCCTTCTCCTGATAAGAGATCTGGTTGCGGGTTACTAACCGCGGTGTTCGGGAAAAAGGGAGGGGGGATGTGGTCACGGAGAGGAACATCTACAGGCTCCATCCCACCTGTTGTGACGACAGTAGAAGCCAACCCCCGCAATTTGGTCATGTCCCCGAGTTTCGCAAAGAGGCGAAAGAACTCAGAAGAAGCCATGATGAATGGATCAATGCAAGGTCATCATCATCAAAATCCAATCCCTATTAATCATCATCCCACCAAGGTCCCTCCCTCGAATTCCCATCCATACCACCAACCATCATCAATAGGCAGAACACCAAATGCAACAAGAACGACAAACAACAACGTCAATGGGACATATGCAAGTAAGAAAGTGCCTAAGGAGAAAGTTAGCATTTCTGGCGAGCTGGATAGCATGATCAATGATCATCAAAGGAACAACAATGGGGATATTCATTTGGTTCGTGCTTCCTCCAGTAACGTGATGCTCTATGGAAATCTTGGAAACTTAAGGCAACCGCAACAACAAGGGGATGATGTAGGGAATGCATACTATCAAAGTAGTGGGATGGCGAATGTTGCTATGAAGAAACAAAGTGAATATAAGAACAATGCGCCATCGTCTCTTTGCAGAGCTCTTTCAACAAGAATGGACCCTGAGCAATTGAAGATCATGGGGAACGAGGATTATAAAAACGGGAAGTTTGCAGAGGCTCTGGCTCTTTACGAAGCTGCGATTGCTATTGACCCAAACAAGGCCTCGTACAGGAGCAACAAAAGTGCTGCATTAACAGCCCTAGGAAGGATTCTAGAGGCAGTCTTTGAGTGCAGGGAAGCCATTCGAATCGAACCCAATTACCATCGTGCACATCACCGCCTTGCTAACTTGTACCTCAGGTGAAACATTTTGATGATACACTAAATTTTCACGTTCTAATCGCGACATTGAAACATTTTATCAAACACCTTGCGGGCACATCTTGCAGATTAGGAGACGTGGAGAAATCGATCTACCACTACAAACACGCAGGTCCGGAGGCGGATCACATCGACATCTCAAAGGCGAGATCCCTTCAAACTTGTCTCAACAACTGCACGGAGGCGAGGAGAACGCGCGAGTGGAACAATCTCATCAGAGAAACAGAGGCTGCCATAAGAGCAGGAGCAGATTCAGCTCCCCAAGTAAGCCCCAATCTCATTCCTTTCTCCAAACCCAATTCATATTTCAGTGATCGATTTATGGGTTTGATGTTGTTTCCCTGGTATGGATTCATTGAAAGATATACGCACTACAAGCCGAGGCACTGATGAAGCACAATAAGCACCAGGAAGCAGATGATGCGATGAAAAGGAGCCCGAATTTCGACGCCGACGAGTGTACGAAGTTCTTTGGACCAATTGGCAGCGCCAGCATTTTGGCGGTGCGAGCTCAGGTGGACATGGCAATGGGAAGGTTCAATGATGCTCTGGCGGCAGCTCAGCGGGCGGCGGCGTTGGATTCGAACAACAGGGAAGCCGGTGCGGCGATGAGGAAGGCACGAGCCGTCGCGGCGGCTCGTGCCAACGGTAACCAACTGTTTAAGGTCGGGAAATTTCATGACGCATTGGCGGCGTACGAGGAAGGGCTGCAGCACGATCCTCACAACTCTGTTTTGCTCTGCAACCGAGCCGCCTGTAGATCCAAGCTTGGCCAGTTGGAGAAGGCTGTTGACGACTGCTCCTCTGCTCTCAATGTTCGCCCCGGGTATGCCAAAGCCAGGCTGAGAAGAGCCGATTGCTACGCTAAGGTAAAGTACGAAATCTATAACTTCAAAACCTACAAAATCTCGTGTCTTATCACCCATGATACAAATTATACCACCATGATATGATCATATATCACGGAGTGATATGATTCATATCAAGGGTGGTAAGACGTGTGTTATATAGCTCCTGAGTTTTTTTTACTGTAACCCAGACCGTTCTAGAGATCAATGTTTCGATAGAAGATGATGTTGTCTGAAATGGGGTTTGTTTGTACTATTGGTTGCTTGGTAAAACAGTTGGAGAAATTGGAAGCTTCAATGGAAGACTACGAGATGTTGCAAAAGGAATCGCCAGATGATGAAGAGGTGAGGCGGGGTTTAAGGGAAGTTAAGGCAAGATTGAGGAAACAAAGAGGAGAAATGTGATATAAATAGTAGAAAAATGTTCGAATTGAAAACATTTGTTGTATATTTTAGATGGAGACCTGTGTTTTTTTTTACAAGAGATGGATGAAGATGCTGCTGTAAATTAAAATTTCTTTGGTTCGATAGAGTTGATTTCATGTACAATGATAAAAATTGTGTATAGAATTTGATTATGTGTTCAATGTGTTTGTCGGGATTAATGACCAATATGATCACTATACTCGTCCATATGAAATACATTAGGCACTAAACTACACAGTATGTAGTACATAGGTGGCTCTAAGTTAGTCAGATCTAACTTAATATTTGAATTTGGAGACTATTTTTATTTTCTATCGGGGTTGTGGACGAAAATTATCGGTCCCAATTTAGTGATTTTCTCATAATATGGATGGAATATTGGATGAAGTGTTTGAAATTAGTGGTTTTTAAAATTCAATTGTTAGTGTCACCGTCTATTGTGAACAAGCTAAGTGATTAGATAATCTAATTGGATTTAAGCAAAGACAAAAGGAATCATTTATTATCGAACTAAGAGTACATAGAGTCGACACTACTACTGCCCACACTCGATAATTTCCTCAGTACACATAAAACCGGGGGGATTAGATTAACAGCTAATCTAAGCGGCGGCGACCACCTGTCGCAACACGGCGGAGGCGGCCCTCCCGCCGGCGGGGGAGGAGGAGCTCCGCTGCCGCACGTCGCGGACCTTCCTGTCCCCGGCGGCGCCGAGATCGTACGGACAGAAGTTCCTGACCGCGGAGAGTTCGTACGGCGAGACGTCGGTGGCGAGCCACTGCTCGACGGTGAAGGTCTGCTGGCTGCAGGAGCCGTGGACGGCCGTGACGGCGGTCTCGACGTAGTTGCAGTACCAGCCGTGGTGGTCGCCGGATCCGTCGGAGGTGAGGTTGAGGGCGCAGATCGGGGCGGTGAGGCAGGGCGCCCGGCCGCTGAAAATGTCGAGATTGCCCCTCTCGTAGTAGTTGTAACCCGGGCCCATCAGCCCGGCCCACGACTGCAGATCTGAGATCTTGAGGTAGTATCCGTTGGTGTCGTAGAGCCACGCGCCGATGGCGGAGTCGGTGCCGCCCTTGAAGATGGATCCGGTGCGGACGAAGAGCGTGTAGACGCAGTCGTCGTCGTCTGCCTGTGCAAAAGAAAGAGGGGGAAAAAAAAAAAGAAACAGAGAAGGATCGTTAAATTGATTGATCAGGAAAGGAAATTATTGGTTAGGAGATTTCAATTCGATGATTGGATTTTGAGGAGGACTGACGGAGGATGGGACGGCGGAGATCGCGAGAAGGAGGAGGACGGCGGGGAGGAGGAAAAGACGGGACGCCATTTTTGGGGAGATGTTGAGATTGGATGATTTTGGGTGGGAGTTAAATATACAGAGAGGTCTTTGGGGAAGGAAGAAGAAGTGGGGAGTGATGGGGAGAATAGGGTCGTTGGAGGGAAATTAATCAATTACTAAATATAAATAATTATAATAATATTCAATTTTTATTTTTGACAAAGGGATTTGCACTTTGAATAATTGGATACAAAGTAAAAATAAAAGTCTGACTTCAACACAAAATCAAGGAAACAATGGAACACACGATGATACCAAATCATGCAAAAGAAAATACAACTAGAGGAAGCACGACACAGAATGAACATCACTCAACACAAACAACCAAGTTCTTGAGACAAAGACAGAACATTTATAATCCCTCTTTCTTCCAACCAAACCAAGAGCAAGAAGATTAGAACAGCTTGTCCTATCACAGCGAGATCCATGGTATTGGACTTAGCAAGCTATTCGCCGTCTCCTGGGGAGTGCTCAAAGTCATCCATCACAGTGAATCTCAAAAGAGATTGCCTGACAGTGGAAGAGGCTGTGAAACAGATTGCTCCAAGCTGTTAAGGCAGAGGGGGCCAAGGTAGAGAGGTTCGGTTCAAAGGGGAGCAAGCTTCCAAGTAGATCCACAGACCACCACAAAAGAACCGACTCCCACCGCACCAACCGGAGATGACTCACCTCTCCACGATCCGACAACCATCCAAAGCAACAACACCACCTTGGGGAAGCCAGAGGGGGGAAGATGAGAATGGCTTCATCTTGCAGATGAGACCACCAACCTGGAAAGAACAACCAAAACAAAGCAAAGGTCAAGCTTCCCAAGCTGCAACCTCCAAATCCTCAAACGAGCAAGCCTTGAACCTGCAAAATCCTAGATATGGAATGCCAAAATGGCTGGAGACTGAAAACTTGAAGGTGAAACGCCTAGAAACAAAGGCTTGAAGATCAAAAGTAAGTCAAGCAAGAAAAGCGAGAAAAAAGAGAAACTTGGGCTGCCGCCTGTCACCTGAAGGAGTCGGCGGCTGCCATGAAAGGCTGGAAAAAGGAGACTTTTTAGAGAGAAGGGAGAGTAAATATAAAAAAGGTAAAGTTAGAGAGAGGTGGATTTTTTTTGTTTTAATATTCATTCAAAGTGGTAATTTGCAAATGAATCACTATTAATTATTAAATGCTTCCCCAAAAAAATAAAATTTGAACTTAGGTGGCGAATTTTCAGAAGATCACTTATCATTGCATTGCGTCACACCGTGCACATTTAACTTCAAAAATTATTACAAACAAGAATTCTTCCAGTTCACCAAAAATGCATCTTGTTAGTAAATGTTTGATGTTCCTTATGAATCATAGATCTCTCCCGCACTTTGTCGATATGAGATTTGTCTTACGTTACATCCCTAAAAAAGTGATTTTTTATGAGTACTAATAAGTAATAAGTGAATTCTTTTTTATGGAAGTGAACGTATTTGCTATTTTATTTGTGTAAATCACATATGATTTACTTTACATATCTCAATTCAAGCTGGTTCAAACATCACTGTAAATGGACAAAGCATGATTTTAATATGGTTATGATCATCTCTTGTTCTTTAATTTTGGTTCATTATTATCTTAATTTGAATGGTTCTAGATCGAATGAGTCGATAATTTCTGGTTCATTATTCTTTAATTAATCTCCCAGTAAAATTTCTGGCTCCGTCACTAATAGGGATCAAGATTGCGGAATATCCCGTGGCAGAGGATTGTCTATTAATCAGAGTGTGAAACTTAGATCTATTCTTGCTAACTTAAAAACATTTAAATCTGTCGGCCAGGTGGCCATGTTGCTAGTAGTCTTTTTTCCATCTAATCTTTGATTATCGACAATGAGACAAACGAATAGGATTGAATTTGAATGTTTTTAAATGGGGATTAGGTGGTGGTGTTGACAAACTTTTAACTACATCCTTTCGTCCTCTTGCTGCCTTGCACATTAAAACAAATCTGGCACTGCTTTAGCCGGTGATGCTGATGGATCGATCGGATCGAGTTGCGAAAACCCGCAACAGCCCTCTCAAGAGTAAATATCAAACATGTCGACTAGAGAGAGAGAGAATATGGAAACATATTCGATTGGTAGGGATCATATTCACATAGATGGTATCATGGGAAGGTGATTGGTACTAGGGCTGGCTATTTGGTCCCGGACTGTTTGGTTTTACTCGAAACCGGATCGTATAACCCGGATCGGGATCGGATTGGGACTGGATAGCAAACAATGCAATCTCATATTAGGGCTTAGATTTGAGGTAAAAAAAACCGGATAAGAGACCCCCAACACCTAAAACCAAGATAAAATTGGGACCGAACCGGGTCAAGACCGTACCGGATCAAGACCGGACTGTATCCAATCCAATCTTTGATCCTTATATTCCCGAAAAGACCGGACTGAGACTGAATCAATTTGGTCCAATTTAACCGGACCGGACCGTATAGCCACTCCTAATTGGTACTAAGGTGAACAAAACAAACCGAAAACCAAATCAACATCATCTAATCCAAACTGATCACCAGTAATATATAAGAAAAATGATTTTATGGGTCGGTGCATGTATCATTTTTTGAGAACCGAAGCCTTGCGGTTGGTTCAGGTAAGATGGGAATTCGATCAATGATTTTCTGGTTAAATAAAAAACATGGTTCGTTTAACCCAGTCGGGTTGCAACTGGAAACCAGATTCCCTACAACCCCTAATCCTATTGTTGGTCATTAGGGCATGAGAAAAACCGGTATGGTCCGATATTAAACCGGATAAACTGAATGGCGACCCCATAATGTCCCAGACCCCAGTCCAGCCATATTCCATCTAGACTCAGCCCAGCCAAGTGCCTGACCTACACGTCCAACCTTCTCAGTCCCACGGACAGCACAGCGACGGATCCAGGACAGGGTAGATCACACTGAGCTACCTTTGAAAAAAGACGGAGAAGGCTGGACCGTAATATGAAAAACACTGAAACGAATACCAAAAATCAAAAATTACAAGTGATATACTAGCTTGAGATCCAAATGAGGGCTGAGTCGCGACCCGGGGCGCCCCTGTATCCGCCACTGGCACAGCAGGAAGCCAGGTACAACCCGATCCACCAAAAAAATATGAGAAACCATAATTTCTCCATCTACCGACTGATCTCATCTCTTGGTCTCACCTCACTCACGACCGCTGCTTTACTGCTCTCACTCCATACCTCTTGAATATTTGTTATGTTATACAAATTGTGTATGCAAGCAAATACCTCAAATATTGGATACAAATGGTAAGCACAAAATGCTCTTTTAAGTAGCTATATATATCTAATTGACTCAGTAAATGGTCATCCTAAAATCCACAAAAAAATGAATTATATCCACCAAACAAAAAAAAAAAACAAATCATTTTAGTTTTAGGAATAAACAAGAACAAAAGTAAAACACAAAATCAATAGAAGAAAGAGAACATTAAAAAAAAACCCCTAAAAACACCCAACCTCCCATGGAAGGCTGCAATTTTCCCTCTTCCTCTCTCTGTCTCGTCCATGCAAGCCACACATTCTCATGCAAACCCTAATTTCCTTCCTTTTCCCCTTTCGCCACCCTCCCAACTTCCCCACCCCCTAACTCCTCTTCCACATTCTCATGGAGGATCGGGTCTCAGCCACCGCTGCCGCCGCCGCCGCTGGCTCCGACCCTTCCCGCAAGATCTCCAAAGCTCCTTCCTTCTCCTTATCCCTCCAACCCCGAACCACCTACGTCATCCAGATCCCCAAGGACCAAATCTTCGCCGTCCCACCACCGGAGCACGCCAAGATCGTCGAGCGCCACCGCAACGAGAAGAAGTCCTCCAGCCAAACCACCTCCGCGTGCTGCTCGTCCCGATGCGTGTCCTGGACCATCGCCGCCTTCGTCGTCATCGCGGCCATCGTCGAGGTGAGCTTCGCCATCGCCCACGCCCTCATCCAGCCGAAACCCCCCGTCATCCTCATCAACCGCCTCAACGCCAAGAACTTAACCAGCTTCAACGTGGCGGTCACCGTCAAAGATGACGGGAAGATGGGCATTTCGCCCGATGGAAATGGAGACGTCACTTTGATGTACAGGAATGTCGAGATCGGATCCGGCCGGTTCCCCGGGGTGAGGGTCGGGGTGGGCCAGACCAAGGCGGTAGGGTTGCGGCTCAAGTGGGTCGGGAAGGGGAAGATGCCGACGGCGGTGAAGGCAAGTGTGGCGGACAAAAAGGGGAAAGCTCCGGTTTCGTTGTCGTTGATGATGAGGATTCCGGTGGTGATGAGTGCCTCCGGGGTGAAGTCGCGAAGCAAAGAGATCGACGTCAACTGTAAGTTGAGGGTGAGCTCGTTGGGCGCGATTCGAGGCGTTGTTACCTCTCAAAAGTGCCAAGTCAAGTTCTTGTAGGTAGGAGAAGAGGAAAAGAGGGAGTTTAATTCTTTGTTGAGTTTTGATTATGTAGACATTGATTAAAAATGGTTGAAAAATGTTTTTTCAATAACAATGGGGAAAATGGAAATTTGCATGCAATGCCATGGAAGGTCAAATTCTTGGGCAAAAGAAAAGAATTCACTTAATTTTTTTTGTTGTATTGGGTTCTTTTCCTGTTTTGTTCTCAATTTTGACCGAAAGTATTGATGTAGTATGATATTTCTACATAATAGTCTATCTGAACAATTCATCTTATTAATGTACAACACAAAGAAGAGCATTGATTGAGTTGTTTATACTCTCCCTTTTAACATTTTAATAATTGATTAGAACATTTTAGGTATCTAAAGGAAAATAAATAAATAAATAAATAAATAAATTCCTTTCTGATGAAAGTTTATGATCTATAGGTTAACGTGGCAGGAGTTATTAATGAAATTGGCCATTGTTAAACATGAAATCAATTAAAATTTCAAAATGGCCTAATTCTCTTCTCACTTTTAGGTTTATGAAGCTAAAAAAAAACTTACCATTCAATTATGAGATATGTATCGTATATAATATAAAAAATAATTACAAGAATGATAGTTACACATCTTAACTGTTTTGATATCCTTGTAAGTTTTACCTTTTAGAGTGAAGCCTAACGGAATAAATTAGTGCAACCGAAAACTTTCATGCTATTATGAAACATGGAGTAGTATTGTGAATGTCCAATACGAGTTTTTAATTTCCTCGATGAATATCTTTAAAAAATTACAATTACTAATACGTAAAACTAGTTTATTTCCATATTTTATAAATAAATTTTAAGCTTAAAGCCTCATAGTTATAAATTATATAATACTCTACGGAAATGGAATCCTACTTCTACCAAAAAAACGGCTCTACCAATATCCTTCCCTTCACCATATAAATTAGCTAAGCTACCTTAGCTTGATTCATCTTTCTACACCTAATTACAAACCCTAGACACGTACGTAAATACATATACACAATGAAGAAACAAAGCCGTGATTTCGTGCTGTTGCTGCTTCTCATGTTGCTGTCGCCGTTGTTGGTGGCCGGAATTCGACCACCAGCCGATTCGGCATCACAGCCGCCGCCACCACCAACATCATCGCCCGACCTCGCCGCCGCCCTGCCGAGATGCTTCAAGAATTGCCTCAACCGATGCAACGACTCCCTTCCGTCGCCGCCGCCGTCGGACGATGATGACGAGTGCATCAACCGATGCTTCAACGAATGCAGTACTACTCCTCCTCCTCCGACTCAGCAATGCGGGACGTTGGACAGAAGGACCATTCGCTTTTTGGTTGCCGCCGCCATTGTCAACATTGTCTACGAAGCAGTTTTTGGCTGTTTCTATCTATGCAAATGCTGTATCAAGATTTATTCATTAGATTGATATATGTTACTTTTTTTTTTAATTAGTTACCTCATCTCTATCCAATCCCCAAGTACTTACAATAAGTACACAATAACGAAAACAAAGCTAGTCACATGCTAAACCTACCATAATCCAACCACTTATATATAGAGGTTCTCCGCCAGAACACAAAAAAATTAGATTATTTGTCGAGGATACAAATTTAAACTCTACCCTAATAATCGGCTGACAAAAAGACATATATATTTTTTTTTAATTATACACGAGACTATTAGCTTTTTTGTTTTATTATAAAGGTTAAGTGTTTTATTCAAAATCAAATTCTTTTTAATTAGTCAACGGTTTATAGACTAGACAATTTAGGATTAGCCATTTTTTGTTATAAAGGTTAAGTATTTTATTCAATATCAAATTCTTTTTAATTATCACTTGATTTTTAGGGGTTTTAGTGACCGAATTGAAAATTGCTTCTTTCTGCTTGGCATACATCTTTCTCCTATTAAATTTAATGGAATAGTTGTTTCATTTTAAATTAAAAATAATTTTTCATTTGAAATTTAGATTAATTGTTCTCTTCAAAATGATATTCACTTTAATATATTTTGGACAAAAAATATTTTCTACACCATGGCGGTAATACTTATAATTACATAAAATTATATCATTGTGATATGGAAGTGTATGATGGTGGTATAAATAGATTTTAGTGTAGAATTGTTGTATATGTGATACTAGAAATATATTAATCAGCATTTATCACCTTTCACTATCATCTTCCATCACTTACCACCTTATAAAGGGTGGTATATAACTATATATTTGGTCCAATAAAGTTTTTTTCATAATTTTGTAGATCACAATAGATCATGATGAACCCGTTCTTTCTGTGAAAACTTTTTCAAGATTTGAATCAAATTGAAGGTGGTGATTAATGTTGTGAAAAAGTCTAAAAAATATAATTTTGGAAGTCACAATGAACTCGTCTTATATGTGTAAAAAAACTTACAATCCCAGTTAAAAACAAAGAAGATACAAATCGGTTAAAAAAGTAAAATAAAGAATTTGAACTTAATTCAACATCAAACTCATTTATTAAAATAAGGTAAACCATAAGAGAGTACACAAGAGGAATGAGCAAATATGGGACAATGTTCAAGACATCCCAGTTAAAAACAAAGAAGATACAAATCGGTTAAAAAAGTAAAATAAAGAATTTGAACTTAATTCAACATCAAACTCATTTATTAAAATAAGGTAAACCATAAGAGAGTACACAATTTTGAAGATAAGAGGAATGAGCAAATATGGGACAATGTTCAAGACTTGGACGACGTAATTTTTACTTGCAGGGAAATGATATTTCATATTTAGAAATATTTTATCATTAAATTTTTGCATGAGAATTTTTATACTTTCTTCTATATATATTCTTTTCTTATGTTTCTAATAATTGAATAATTTTTTGATTATTTTTTAATACCAAATGTATCTTGCTTCCAACAATACAATTGTTGTTTAAACCATTTACAAAATGCATCCGGCCAATGGGCCGGGTTCAAATCTAGTATACACAATAACGAAAACAAAGCTAGCCACATGCTAAACCTACCATAATAATTAAGCAAATAATGTATCACAACTACTGCTAGACAAGTTTGGAAGAACTCCATCCACATATCAAACTAAACTCACAATTATGTAATGGTTGTATGGTTGTATAAAATATAAATAGCCTCAAATGGAGGCATTGTAAGAGATAAGCGAGCTAGAGCTAATAGCATACGATGAGAGCTCTTTGTAAAGGTAACAATTGCCTATTTGTGTGAGGGATAAATAAATATTAGAGTGAAATAATTTTCTCTATTGTTGATGCCATTGCCATCTCACCATATTTCCGTTGCGCCCAAGACAATGTACCCTAGTTTGTTAAGAGGGGGGAGACAGAGAGTAGGGTTGGGAAACGGTGTAGTTTGGTCCGGATCATATCATATTACTTTCATTCATTAAGCACTTTTATTATGATTTAAAGTATTGATATTTTAAAGGACGCCTTGAAGTTGTACTGAAGAGTTTGATAATGTAGAATTGAAGAGAACACAATAGACAAGGGATTTTACGTGGTATTCTTGTTCTTGATTGAACGAGACTAATCCACGGTGAGGAGCTCACGGCTGGCATTTTATTATTTGAGGACTACATTTTGACAGCTTGCTTACGACAAGAACCGGCTAAGCTATATATAGACAAAGGCTTTGGTAAAAACATAAGGACGACCTAATGTCCTTCTCCTTCTAGGACAATACACGAAAGGCCAAAGACAAGTAGGACAAGAACTCTGTTACTTATTGACCAAGTAACATAAGTAACCACAACACTCCCACTCAAACGAAGACATGAATGACAAGAAATTCGAGGTTGAAAAGGAAATGTGAAGAACAAGCATGACATGCTTGTAGAACTAAAGACAAGATGAATGACATCTCGGACGATGTTGATTTGGAGACAACTGACTCTTTCTGAACAAACTGATGAAAATGGTTGACTGTGTCTTCTTGAACCTCCTGACGGAGACTATTGAGTACGCCTCTTGATCAACTTGAACTCACTTGGAACATCGCGGTCAACTTGATGACTGAGCTAGTCGATCGAAGTATGTTGACTCCCAATTCTACCCCTCAAGCTAGAGCATGAACGACGTGAATGCCCAGCTTGAAAGTCAAAATGGTGAAAACTGAAAGTTGACTGATTCTGAACGCAGACGGGACGATATCTCCTCTTTGATCGTGACTGTCTCGCTTTATGACTTGACAAACTTTGTTGACAGAAGCTTTTCTATCTCCCCACACTAGTTATTGAAGGGGCAATCAACGTACGTCATGATTGTCCTCAATGCCATGACATTGTTTAGTGAAGATTTGCTCTTGACTGAAAACTCTGCTCAAAATTGGAGACTATTCGGAGAGACAGGGCACTCACTGAATACTGGTCACCAAACACCATGCAACTCTTGAATTCTTTGTGACACGATAAAGGTGACCCTAGTGCTGCCTTCGACTGAACATGGTTTGTGATGATGAAAGCATATGAGAACCTTGAGGAGGCAATATGATTGCTGCTGTTGATTCCTTTGACACTTGCAATACAACTCTGACTCGTAATCTTGGGGGCTTTCTTCAAATTGAGAGTATTGAGAGACTAATCAGATGAGCTGCGAAAAAGCCATGATTGACCACCTCTTTGTAGTCAAAATCATCACCATTGAAGTCGTTCTACAACGCGTTCTGTTTAAGATAATTGTGTGAGTAATGCCATGACAAAGACAGGCTCGTCCATACACCTGATCTGCCCACAAGAACGAAGGTCGAAATCTCGTGGAAGTCACCGCCTCCAGGATCGGTTACTCTCAATTCAGACGTAGTGATGTCAATGGGGTGGGGCGGGTACTTTAATTCTCATGCCCCGCCCCATGCTACTATGGGTCGGGGCGGATAAAATCCACGCGGGTACGAGACGGGGCGGGTCGACCCACTCTTACATATTATTTGGAAAAGATACACGCAAATTTTACTTTTTACGATAAAACAAAGGTAAAAACACTTTGTGGAAGAAAAATGTTGTTAATAGAATGGGCAATTGAGTATAACAAGTTGAAATATCGACTCTTCATTACTAGTTCAATAAAAGTCAAAACAAAAGAAATATGTATAGGTACCTTAAGAAATTGAGATAAAATGGGTCTATAACGGGGCAAGGCGGGTCGAAAGTAGATATCCATGCCCCGCCCCACGCTGCTGCGTGTCGGGTAATACCCGCCCCATCGTCGATCGGGTAGTACCCGTAGGGCGGGTTTAAATTACCATCACTATTCAGACGACTCTGTCATTCGAGAGTCAAGCCACGACACAGCTGGTGGCCTGATTAGAAATCATACACGATGTTGCCTCGCAGCATTCGCCAGTAACTTGAGAATCAATTCTATCACCCGAGCATAATTGAGAGACAGTGTAGAAGGTTTTCAGATGGCCCGGGAGCGGGGCTACCACCAAGTTCGTCTGGAGCTCAATTCTCAGTGTGCGATCCAACTCCTTTAAAGCCCAACGTGTATGGCTAGCCATGGTCACTCCCTTCCTTTGGGGTTTCACCTGTTCCGGTACTGTTGGATCCTGTTCTGGACTATTTTATCTTGTAGCCAGATCGTCGAGGGCCACCACAACGAGAAGAAGTTCTCCAGCCAAACCTCCGCGTGCTGCTCATCCCGATGCGTTTCTTGGACCATCGCTGCCTTTATCATCATTGCAATCATCATCAGGGTGAGCATCACGAGGAGAATGGTGATTGATTTATATTTCCTTTGGTTTCAATAACTCAATTTGATGAGAAAATATTAATTATTAATTTTATATCATTCTCTAACGATAACCTTTTAAATGAAAGTCAACTCACGGAGAAAATATAAAACTTATCGATTTTTACTATTACACCAACAAAAAGGTTTCTACAAAGTACATGGTTTTTCGGGAGTGGATCCCCTCAGTAAACTTATATTCAATAATCATGCATAACCTGGCACATCAACGACACATTATCATTTATGGAAGACTTTTAACAGTTTTTTAAATTTTAACGGGTATATCTCTTTTATTTTAAGTCAGAATTTTTTTTAGAGATAAATCAAATTAATTTAATTTTTAAAATGATATCCACTTTGATATATGTTTGTAATAAATAATTGAGACATTTAGTATGAGTCTATACCATGGTGATATTGTTTGTTATTACATAAGAGCATACCACGTGGTATGAAAGTGTATCATGGTTGTATGAACATAACAGACTGCAGAATTGTTGAACACATGATAAAATGAATATACTAACTGTCATTTATAACTTTCAACATTGTATACCACAAGATACTACTCATATACCAGGGTAGTATGAGGTGGTATATTTTGATCCTGTATTTTTTTCTCATAAATTTGTAGATCCAATATATTATAATGAACTCGTTCCACCTGTACAAAAAAAACTTCAAAATTGACATAAACCCGAAGGTGTTACATTATGGTATGAGGTGTTAACGAGTGTTTTGAGTAATATGAATTTTTTTCTCGAAATATATTAGAAATGGAACTCATTTTGTAGATCACATCGAACTCGTTCTATCTGTGAAAAAAAAATTGAAATCTTAGTTAGAACCAAATATAGTTATGCAAGAGTCCGCATTCGGGTTTTTTCCCCTAGGTTTTTTTTTACGGATAACCTACTTTAATTCATTAAGATGAAAGTGTGGTTGCATCATCCCGCTGAAACTAGTCAACAAGAAAAATTGGTAGTTTGTTGGATGAATATTAAAAAATTATTTATACGTAAACTAGTTTATGTGCATATGAATAAATAAATTTTTTTATTTTAATAAGCTTAAGCCTAATCTACACATAATATAATACACCGAAGGGAAAAACGGGAGCCCCATTTCAAATTTCCTGCAACGAGAGTGAAAGTAGGAAGGACATTTTGGTCTTCACAATTACTTTTTTTTATTCATTAAAAAGGTATGTACTGGGATTCGAACCATGACCATTTTAAAGAAAGGCAAGGATCATAACCAATCACACTAAGTACACTTGTTGTATCCTTTTAAATTAAAAACATATAATAGCAGGGTGGAAAAAACTCTTCCCCCATTTCAAATTCCCTGTTCCATGAGCGTTTGTAGGAAGGGTAAAATAGGGAGTGTCAATTTTTTCTCTTTCCTCTATGGAACGGGCCAACTTACCGTACACATGCGGATTTAAACGAGTCAAGGAGTGTCAATTTTTTTCTTTATACCCTTTTATTTATCCGTGGTGATAAATATATATGAAAAGGCAAAAATAATACTCCTTTTTATTGTTAAAAATAAAAAATTTAAAAATAGACTAATGCATGGTATCTAATGGGCTAACCGCTAACCATAAAATAAAAGAGTTGAATAGGCCTGACCTAGATGAGATTTGGTCATCAAGTAAAACAAATGAACATCATGGGTTTGCCATTCTAAAACAAGCTATTTTCTCTGGCATAATATATATTATGCTATTATTTTATATCTTAGTGGCTAAAATATAATGTATTTTAAAGTTATTCAATGGTTCAACCTCGACCAACCCAATTAGTGCAATTTTTATCATTTCAAATATATATTTTTATAATTATTTGACATCATAATGATCAAATTATAGTGTATTTTATAGGGAATCGTTTGGTATTTGTTAGTAAAAAACTAAACATAAAAATCTATTTGGGTATTTTAAACATTAAAACGATCCTTAACATTTTCAGTTCCTTTTGAATTTATATGGTTTTATTCCCGAATAAGTGATGTGCAAATGGCGAATTGTAGTCGTCTTTTTTCTTTCACTATTTTTTTATTTTCAAATAGAAAGTTTAAAAGTAAAGAATAATTAGAATTTGGCATGGGTCGGTCAAACAGGTTGAATTTCAAGTTTTGGCCCATTTGTTTTATGCATTGCAAATTTATTAGCATGTTGATGGAAATGGCTTGGAAAAAAGACATATAAGTTGTATCTTTGCAGAAATGTCCTCAAATGTTTGAATGCTTTGTGAATCAGGTTCTGTGACTTTTGTGATGGTGTATGTGCTTGACGATTGCTCGATGTTGTAACTACTTAATTTAAGAGTAAATCTTTTGACTTTCCCTATGAGTTGTGATACCAGTTCTGGTGGTTGCAGCATGTTGTCGTTGTTGGCCTGTAAAAGTTGTTCCGCCGTGATGCTAAATACATTTCTTTCTTTTTTAACAAATTGTGTAGTAGTGCTATGAAACAGACCACCCATGAACGCTACGCTTATTATGTTCTGTTCTTACTTCCGGTGGTGAGAAATTGTGAATTGAGAATCATATTCGCCTACCGCACTGTGTCTGGTTGGTGGCTGCTTACTGTGCTCTCTAGAGTTATGAAACAGACTACCCATGAACTTTACCCTTAAGAGTCCACAACTTTGCGAAAAACCAAATATAGGCAATCAAAGGTGGTGGATGTGTGATGATTTTTTATGGCTTAATTGTTTGTGAATTAGATATCTGATCTTTGTATGATTAGAGGGGATGTTTGCTTAATAGAATAATCCATTTTAATTCATGTTTATTTTTAACATAAACTTTTGTAACTCAAAACCTTTGAGACACATATCACCTACTGCATTGTATCATTTTGCCTAGGTGCTTGCTGTGTTGTCAAACTTCTTTGCTGCTGATGCATTTACACAAACAGGGGAGTTAAGAACCCATGAATGTTTCCGTTTGACACAAACAAGAGGACTTACTTCTAAATCGTGCACTAAAGATGATTGGAGGAAACATCTCTGTTGCAGTTGATACACTGGAGACCATAACAAAAGCAACGTATAACATCAAAACCAACCATCTGAACTATTAGCATTGTTGCTTTACTCTTTTTTCGTGGTTGAGTCTCCTTCAAAAAATTTAGTTTGATTTTAGAAAATTTTGCTTCTGCAATCCTGTCTTGCCACCAACGCGTTCAGTAGATGGAGATGGCAGAGGCGAAGGCTATTTTGTGTTGTTGTTGCTGGTTTAGGGATCGGTTTGTGAAGAAGAGGGAGAAGAGAGGGGGAAAGGGAAATGCATGAGAGGGGGATAACTTTTTCTCCGACAAAAATGGAGTGAAGAAAGGAATTATGATCAGTAAGGATATGGTTATCTTACATAACTGTGTCTATTCTGTTTGAATTGAGCTTGGGAGGTAGTGATAAGGACGAGCTGCAACCAATTCATAGTGATAAGAGTGCTATGAACTGTGATCATGTCTTATTTCAAGTTAGAAGGTAGTTTCAGTATAAGGATTATTTAATTTGACAAGTTGTTTCGTCCATGATTCTTGGTAGTTTCAGTGCCATTCTAGCCATTGTTTAGTCTGTAATTTTTGAGAATTGATGTGCGAGTAATGACTTTCACTTAGCTTCAACTATTATGTGTGTATTTATTGGCATGTGATAGAATTCTCTTTTCCTTTTCTTTGAATTCAGTTTCATACTCTAATTGTATCATTTGTACATAGGCAAATCATGCTCGAGATGACAACTCGCTGATATGGCTGGTGCAAGGAATGAAGCCATCATTAAAATTCAGACCGACAACGGGGAGGGATGCCCAGGACTAATTCAATGATGATTGATGATGGTATGATAAAAACTGCAGTCTGCATCAGCACCAATTTCTAGGCCTAAGTAAAGTTATTCAACCCAGAACTCTGCTTAGCGCTAAAAATTGCCCTCACCCAACCTTTATCCTGTTTGACCCACTTCTGAAGAGTCAAGATATATTACTAATTCTCTCCGTTCGTATTTTCTTATTGGCTCTTTCTGACCCTTTAGGTTGGGGCGGGTCGGGAAGAATCGGATTAGTGGGCCGGTCCTAATCAAGTGGAATCCCAATCCCTTCACTCTCACTTGCTTTCTCTCCCATTCTACAAGTGGGTAACATACAGTAATCCGGCCAACGGGCCGGGTAATAAGCTAGTAGTTATAATACTCTACGGAAATGGAATCCTACTTCTACCAAAAAACGGCTCTATCAATATCCTTCCCTTCACCATATAAATTAGCTAAGCTACCTAGCTTGATTCATCTTTCTAAACCCTAATCACAAACCCTAAACACGTACGTACATACACAATGAAGAAACAAAGCCGTGGGTTCGTGCTGCTGCTCCTTCTCATGTTGCTGTCGCCGTCGCTGGTGGCCGGGATTCGACCACCAGCCGATTCGGCATCACCGCCGCCGCCACCACCACCATCATCGCCCGACCTCGCCGCCGCCCTGCCGAGATGCTTCAAGAATTGCCTCAACCGATGCAACGACTCCCTTCCGTCGCCGCCGCCGTCGGACGATGATGATGACGAGTGCATCAACCGATGCTTCAACGAATGCAAAAGTACTCCTCCTCCTCCTCCTCCTCAGCAATGCGGGACGTTGGACAGAAGGACGATTCACGTTTTGGTTGCCGCCGCCATTATCGACATCGTCTGCTACACAGTTGCGTGCTGCCTCGGTCTATGCAATTGCTGTGTCAAGATTTGTTCATTAGATTGATATATGTTACTTTTTCTTAAATTAGTTACTGCTTTTTTGTAATAGTAAATAGCTGTTGCATAATTTTTACTAGAGTCCTGAACATACCCTAGTTTGCTAAAGAGGGGGAGATAGGGAGTAGGTTGGAAAACGGTGTAGTTTGGTCCGGATCTTATCACATTACTTTCATTATTATGATCAGGAAATTTATATCTTTAATGTTATGATACAACTTTGATGATTTCTTTGACCGTCATCTACATGATTGAATGCATCATCGAGATTTCTTTGATAGTCACCTACAAGATTGGATACTGTATATAACATCCACAGCGAGCACACTTGCGCCTTGATTTTTGGCATCAATAGCTGGTCACTCTGGAGGACCGGAAACGACAAGAGTCTTTACAGGCAAAGTCGTCACCACCACGTACTGAAGCCTTTCTACAACGCGTGTCTTGGTTTGGATAACTGCGTGAGGAAATATGTCATAGACAAAGACAGGCTCGTTCATATACCTAGTGATCTGCCTATAGGAACGGAGGGTAGAATCTCATGGAAGTCGCCGCCAACGGAGTGGGTTACTCTCAATTCAGACGCGACTCTATCATTCATGAGTCAGGCCACACCCAGCAGCAGGTGATCTGATTAGTGATTAGAGATCATAAATGATGCTACCGAGCAGAATTGAGAGGCGGTGTAGGAGGAGGTCTTTTTTCAGATGGCCTGGGAGCGGGGCTACCGCCAAGTTCGTGTGGAGCTCGATTCTTAAAGCCCGACGAGTACGGCTAGCCATGGTCACTCCCTATCTTTGGGGTTTCACTTGAGCCTGGCTCTGGGTAGCGATGTTGGGCCGCAGTGCTAAGAATGAATGGGGTGGGCTGCTTCATAAGCGGGCTGTTGACGAAGTTTAACGTGGAGTGGGGGGTGGCCCAATTTACGTTCTCGGTACGAAGAAAGAGTTTTGAACCAATAACCACGGAGTATTGAAAGGCTGTCAACTTTCAAGTTTCAATTAGAGGGCAACTTTGGGCGGATTCAGTACTTAACAACTGGGCTTGTTATGCAAAATCTGTAGGGTTCCGATCACATGGTCAGTTGGAAGGCATGAATCTTTTTGCAGTGTGCCTTTTTTTTTTTTTTTGGAGGGTTGCCCAATTTTTTACAATTATTAAGGACTAATTAAGCGCTTTGGCCATAACTATTATCATAATTATTATATAGTTGATTTATGCCTACTTATTGCTCCTCCTCGACTTTAATAATTCCATTAGTGTTCTGCCGTTAGGGCTCACACATATTGACGAAAAAGGGATCGATGGCCATGGCTGCATTTGTTTGTCTCGAGGAGGAGCAATAATTAGGCATAAAAAACTAATAAGAACTATTACTCTTATAAATGATTAGTTTTATAAAACAAGACAATTGATCAAAATTGCCTCATGGTTCTGAATCGACCCACCAAAACAGCCCCTTAATTACATACATCGTGAATTGTGATTATATAGTTATGTATATTCTACTTATAATCTTACTACCTATGAAACGACGGTTAATTAGTCACCAGTTTTTAACGATTTGATACCGGTTAAACCAGTCAGATATGAAAACACTCGCTACACATGTTCATATACCGAATCGATTACGCGACAACATTGGGTAAAACTAGGGATGGCAATGGGTCGGGTTGGGGCGGGTTTTGCCAAACCCGAACCCAAACCCATGGGTTTTTCCGTCAAAAAAACCCGGGGTAAAACCCGCTGGGTTTGAAAAACTCAAACCCAACCCAACCCGCTGGGTATCCGCGGGTTGATGGGTTACCCGCGGGTTTTTTTGGTAAAATATTTATAAAATTATAATTAACAAGAAACTATTAAAAATAAAAATATTTATACTGATAGTTCATAATTGCTACAAGAAAGGCAGAGAACGAATTTGGATAAGTTCCAGTAAGCTCTCTGAACCGGCATACACTGAAGAGAAGGTTTTCAAAGCTGTCTCTTGCATGTTCTTCAGTCAGTGTCCTCCATGATTTCACACTGGCTTCATTACCTGTGACCATCAAAGGGTTCAGATCAAGATCTTGGATACTTTAAACCAATCAACTTCGATCACAACACTAAGAAAAGTGGGCAGAGCATGTTAGGTGCTTGGTTAATGCAAAATTCAATAACAGTTAAGTCAGTGCAGTATATCTTGATTATAACAGGCCAGGGCCAGCCTACATAGTAAAGCAGCTTAGCACAAACCCTGCTGCTTGGAAAAACTACTAGAGCCTCTTGAGCTATCAGGAAGAAGTTCATCAATTGAGAATCATAAAGCATGATATAGACTGATTCTGGAAAGTATCAGAGAACCTGAAGACACATGAAAAAGCTGCTAGTGTAACATATGATCAAGTACCGGTAGGCTGTCTTTAACATGAAAGGGAAGGTATCACACTCATTGAACATTTGTGATTATGAACTAGCACATATACCAACTGTTGGGAGAAACTTGCTAAGTACAATTTCAATAATAGTGTCATATTCAATCCAAAAAGAGTTGACAAAAAATGAAGGTTTCCTACGAGTCAGGAGCCAGAGATCCTCAGCACCAGAAAGAAGTTCACAACTAAATTCTCAAAGGCAATCTATTTGGATGGAATGGAGAAACCATTTACAGTGCATGAATATATATAGACTGCTAAACAATGATTAGGACATAAAAGCTGAATAAAAGTAGGGTCCCTTGGCACTAATTACTTCTTACTAGAATATCGAAATGGCCATCAGCCATAGTCAACTAGGGAGTTCATATAAGTTGGGGAGGGCATATAAACAATATCTTGTAATAGTGCTGCAGACGATTTCCTAAAGACTTGAACATCCTGAAAGGGAGAAGAGAGGAAGAACTCTTGGACTTGCGGGGCCTTTTCACAGCGGCTGATTCTAGATCAACAAAATCGCCCCTTGGATATGCATTGAAAGACTTGGGGCTGTTGGCATAAATGTTCATGATAATGGTAATCCAGCTCTCGAGCTGCAATACTGGCCGAGATCAAGCATTACCCAGATGCGAGTGATTGAGCAATGCACAATGAAAGAAGAAGCAATGGGATCATGAGGCTAAGAGCACGAGAATCTCGATACCGATTCAAACCATCATGGCGCCGGTGGATTGGACGACCTGAAGAAGAGGAGCAGGGAGAGTGGCGTCTGGCGGCGGAGTCGACGACTGACATGTCGGGGCAGAGGAGCAGGGAGAGCCGGAGAGGCGCGGCCGGTAATGGTGTCGAAGAGGCGGAGCCGGAGCAGGGGGAGAGAGGAGTCGCACTGTCGGATTGGGAGTCGGGACTGGAGATGGAGAAGAGGAGTCGTGGTGCCGGTCTCGCCGGAGAGGAAGAGGAGTCGCACCGTCGCAGCTCGCAGAGAGGAAGAGAGGAGTCGCACTGTCGCTGTGTCGCAGCTCGCGGAGAGGAAGAGAGGAAGAGAGGAGTCGCGCGCCGATTAGGGTTTGTGAATTTGTGTGATCTGCGATTTCCGATTAGGGTGGGAAGGGAATTAGGGAAGTGGGCTGGGCCTGGGGAGTGGGGGTCTGGGCTGGGGGACGGGTAAATTGGATTTGTAGGGTTATGTCCGGGTATCCACGGGTCGGGTTGGCCCAAACCCGAACCCGACCCAACCCGCCCAACCAGCCACCGGGTTTAAACCCGAACCCGGCCCGAACCCGGTCAACACGGGTTTTACCCGGTTTGACCGGGTTGGGTCGGGTCGGGTACCCGCGGGTCCGGGTTGAACTGCCATCCCTAGGTAAAACCCATATCTAGGGTTTGGTTTCGTGATGATGTATTTTCTTTGATGAATCATGGGTTTCTTTCCCTTTCTTGGTCTCCCATCGTTAGTATATAGTTAGGTGGCTGTGAATGACAAAACGACGGGTCGAGAACCTGCCCAAGTTCCCTCTGACAGCATAGCACATAAATTCATGGCTGCTTTGCATACTGATGAGTCTCATCACCAACCCAAAGGAGAGGAAAAGGGAGGCATCCATCAGAAGAACTCAGAAGGAACAAAGAAAGAAAGACAAAAAGAAATGAATTCGCAAGTCTTCACATGCATGCATGAAACTCAGAAACCTACATAATTCAAGCCCTATTTTTGCAGTGTTCCATTTCTCCATAAATAGCTATGTCGGCATGCAATGTATATAGTAATTGGTCAGATAACAACAATATATGATTAAAAGGTATTGATATGAGTTATAGTTCGAGAGAATATTGTTATAGTTAAGAGAATAAAAGGTAATCGGAAGATGAGGTAAAATAAACTCATGCCCCACTTCACATTACTCACAAGCCGACTTATTGTTTGAATAGTGTCGATTATGATATAAATACTAAATTACAATCTAATTCACGCTCGCTAAAACATTCATGTAATTTTTTTACAACACAAATCCTCTAGGTAGTTTATATGTTTTAATTTGGATACGTGTTAGCTAGCTCCATCACCTTCTTCCTACATAAAGTCATGTAGTTATTGTTCATAAGAATAGCCCATTTATCGAATAAAAAAAACGTCCTCAATGCTACAAGTACAAAATTCATAGAAACTTACAAATGAAAGAAAATGAAACTTGAAACTGATAGACATCTTCATCGATTTTGCATCTCTCTAATTATTTTTTTATGAACCTCACAATTCACATGCATCTCTATTATTATAAAGGTGCATCCATCAAATCAAATCCAGACTAGTTAGCTAATCAAATAGTTTTCTTCCCCATCACAATCCCTTTCTGACTCGAGTGACCATTATCTGACAAATCACCAGGGGCCAGAGAGAAAGGGAAAGAGAAGAGTAGTTTGGTGGGAAGTTATGAAGCAATGAGACACCAGAGAATATGCATTTACACATATGCAGAGACTGCATTTGTTCCCCAAAACAAGGGCATCATGGAGTTGCCTTTCCTTCCATCTCCCAATGTCCATGTGAGTGATCCCAAATATAATGGAGATAGATATTGGCTAAGATGGATCGATGTGGAACTCTCATGTGTATAGTAATCTACCAGCTGTCTCTACTGTCACTCATAATGAGATGTTGTAAAACCATATTGAAGGTTGCGAACGAACAAACTATTCAGTTCCAATAACTCGAGTTGTTGAGAAAAGAGTTTGTATGATTTTTTTTTAATCTCTTACACGACCCATCTAACGAAAGTCTATTTGTGGGTTTTTAAGTTTGCACACGTTGAACATATCATTGTACCGCTACCATTAGGCTTTCAGTTTGCACAGGTTGAACATATTATCCCTTGTGCTAAACCATTGTTTATATTGGGGAGTCGTCATAAGGATTTGAAATCATGACCTCTCAGACGAAGGCTCTAATACCATGTGAACGAATATATAAACTACTTAGTCTCAATAACTCGAGTTGTTGAGCAAAAGTATGTATGAGTTTTTTTTTTAAAATATCTTACAGAGGTTGTACCAGATAAATCAGTGGTAGCTTTTTTATTGTTGTTGTTAGGGCTGGCTATTTGGTCCGGACTGTTTGGTTTTACCCGAAACCGGACCGGGACCGGATTAGGACCGGATAGCAAACAATCCAAACTCATATTCGGGCTTAGATTGAGGTAAAAAAACCGTTTGAGACCGGATCAAAAACCAGATTAAGACCGGATAAGAGACCCCAACACCCAAAACTTAACCAACTCCTCACCCTTTGAGGCCTCAAGCCACTCAAATCCCCACAAGCTCAATCTAAAATCAAGACCAAATTGGGACCGGACCGGGTCAAGACCAGACCGGATTAAGACCAGATTGTATCCAATCCAATCTTCGGCCCTTATATTTCCAAAAAGACCGGACTGGGACCGGATCAATTCGGACCAATTTAACCGAACAGGACCATGTAGCCAACCCCTAATTGTTGTTGTAACTGTGATTAAACCCTTTATCAGTAAAACTATTAATTAATTTGAGTTTCGGTAGATAATTTTTCTGATCGGACCACCAACTACACAGTTATTGTAGGATGTTTGCAAACTCATCTCATAATATACAAATTGCACGAAAGGAAAGCCGTATATGGCTACCTAGCTGGCTGCCTAGCTCGACCTTCAATGTGGGGGGGACCGATTCCTTAACTCAAACCACAGGTGTCGAAACTGAGTATCTCCACCAGCCAATGAGCCAACACGTGTGTGTGAGACCACCACCAATCAAAGCTGCCTCCTTTTCTGACTCCAAAAACCCAAACCCATTATAGGGTTTCTTGCGATCTGGTTTTAAGTAATGGATTTGGTCTAAGTTTGAGCACATGCATGATGAGAAAGAAGATTACATCCAATTTGATCTCTAGATACGAGGGATTTGGTGGTTGTGGACACCCTCATGGCCAAGTTCATTTTATTCCCAAATGCTGCAATATAATAAGCAAAAAGCATTGCAGTTAGCTAGATCTGTGATAATATGGTCAAGAGATCGATCGATGATGGAACCGAAGAGAAGGGGCTAGAGATGGAATCGTGCAACCCAAATGATGAGGATTTTAATATAGTAGGGAGTAGTTGTGCATTGGAAGAAGGGAGCAGTTGCTTTTGCTTCTCCCTAGAACGTCTTCACCCTAGCTGGCCAGGGAGCAACCAATAATTGAAGCTTGCTAACATATGTTTAAGACACAAGGGTGGGTTTTGTTATATGTCACTAGCTAGGGTTTGTCGTCATTGCATACGATCTCACTTATAATGGGTACACCGACAAGCGTGAATTTGTTAACCACTCATCACTATAGGTAATGACCAGTATACTTCGATACTATCGTGTATTCCATAGGTGATCTGACTCACTGACTGTCAGATTTACTTCGATGAGCTCCGACCAATATCTCAACGGTCAATTATTATTATTTCTTAAATCGAAGTTCGGGTTTGAGTTTAGATAATCGGGACCTGAGTTTTATCCGTTAGAAGTTAGGGTATAATATATCATACCCCAAACTCTGTTTAATTCATGGTCTAGATAGTGACATCTCACTAGAAATACCTGAAGTATAGTATATTTTAGGAGTACATCAGTCTGACCCTTAGTAGTTAACAACTAACCACAAACATCATAACTTTACTAACCATGCCCAGCCCATTATTCACAAATTGTGGGTGTGGATAACCATGATATATGTGATTTGGTGTGACTTGCAAGTTATCTATGGACCACAAACCAAACATTTACTTCTAGTAACGATACCGATCATGATGTGTACCCGCCTTATTTTTCTCGTTATCAGGTTTAAACCAACAACAATAATAATATGGGTATGGTTTTTCATAATTTCGATGAAGGGTCCCTGATAAAAAAACTACAATTTGTGTGTGTCACCAAGGCTGTCAAACCTGTATCCGGCTGGCTGGTTCAACCGGGTTTGACTAAAACTTGTAATCTAAATGGTGCAATACACTCTGGTTGGATGGTTTTAGAAAAAAATCAAAATAGGGTTAAACCAGTCAGATTGAGTCTGTTAAAACTGGGAGGTCTGACCAGTAAAAACAGGGTTTGAAAATGATGACTGATAATTTTGTAATAGATATTTCTTTTGAACAAATATGAATGTAGATTAGTGAGATTTTCTTTGGATATGTCATAATATACGCATAATCTATTTGATATTAAAGACTTTCTCACATATTATGTTAAAACCAACTTGAACTGGTTGAACCAAATCCAACAATTATACTTCAAATAACTTGTCATACCGACTTAATAGCTTAATCCAGTTTGACAACCTTGTGTCACAAAATTACGTACCCTCATTAACTACATCATATCAAAATGACCATATTTTATAGTTTAGGCTAAACCCCGATGATGAGTGTTGGAAAGATATAGCCTTAGTGGAGTCCATCTTTCCACGTCCAAACTGTGCTATAATTACTCATAAATACACACATCTAAGTTAATAATATATAGATTTACACATATTGGATCAAAGCTAGCTCTTGGACCTATATGTTCTTCTTTTCTATGAATCTTGGTCCTATATGTTTTTTTAGATGAATGCCAATTTCTTCTATATTCCAAAATCCATGTGGGGCTTCTTTTCCACCCTTTTAAGTGGATTCCAACTCCTCTCTCAACCATATTATTGGCCAGATTCCTCTTTGGCATGCTTGGTGGGTGGTGGGTTTCCCTTTCCAAACCCTAATAATTAACCCAAACAAAGTAGGTGCTCTTCATATCCCAATATCTATTTTGTACTGTCTCTTTCTCTCCAAACAAGTTGCCCCTTCCAGTTCATATCTTCTGCACCCAATGGGTATGTAGCTTTGATCCAAGTATACAATGTTAAGCAGCAAGCTAAGATTGAGTTTTCAGTTGCTCATTGGTTTTCAGCAAGCATAAACCCAACCATGCTGTTAAGTTTTGTGCATATATTTCATGAATCAATTACTAGAGTTAGAAACATGCACATCTTCAAATATCTCCCAAATTCAACCACATTGAATGTTTTTATGTCATTGTTATTTGTTTCGAAATCACTTTGAGATCAGTGAAAATGATTGGATATATTCAAACGAAATTAGATGATCTCAATGAGTTCAGTCAATGATAATATATGTGAGAATAGCTGCGTCTATGACGCCCCGTGTCAAATTCAAACGGCCTGATCTTATATCCAGATGAATGAATTAGTTTGTTAGGAGATCGATGACATAATTTTTATTTTGAGCATTCATATGGATTACAAGTACAAAAAGGTGGGGCAAAAAACACAGGGAGCCCATGTCTGAAAAAAGGGAGTATGCTGGTGGTTGAGCATTCCAGATAGATATAGGCATATACACCTGCAAAACCAGACAACCAATTAACCAACTGATACATTAAATACCTATAATATAACAAAGTTCAAGATCCTGATTAGTAGTACATCGGATCTGACTCTTAATTTTGGTAATAATTTGAGGGTTAGATGCCTACATCCTGGGTTCATAATTGCAGTTATAAAATTTTATTAATTAAGTACCACTTTGCAAAGTTAGCTAGCATAATGCCAGCCTAGCTAGCTAGTAGCGACTATGCCTAATTAAAACATTTTGATTGCAATCATTCCACAGAACGGATTGCACATAATGATGGTGGTTATAATCATAGTTAAAGACCACTCTCTTTCATAATTATCAGAATTAAGAAAAATGCAGCTTGTTTGAAACCACTTTTTCCTTTTCGTGTATGCGGTTGGGGTTAGACATAACGTATAAGATTGACCTACCATTTTGGCCACAATTATTGATATGGGTATGATGAGTTGACCGCTCGAGATGGCATTCAACTTTTTTTTTTTTTTTTCGTGGATTGATCGATTTCTGTGTACTGATTTTCATCGAGATTGTGTTTGTGTTCAGCGAATGTTTGAATCTTCCATCGAAGTTCTGTTCGAAAATCTCGTCCGAGAACTTTAACGTTCTCTTAACTAAGAGTCAGCAAATAATCTAGGTATCTCCAATGAGATTAAAAAAATGTATATTTGTGGTTTGATTTGTAGAGATGAGATAAAAACAAAAGAGGTCTCATGCAAGAAGAGGGATGTTTTTGTTTTCATCTTCAAGCTATTATGGTGGTGGCCCTTTTTCATCATAGCTAGAGTACATTACTCTTTGCAACTCTCAATCATAAAACGACCTAATCCTTAACGACCCAATCATAAAACGACTCAATGATCTTATCCCTGGGTAAGGATTTGTCCTTAAGTTAGTAGCTATGGGAATATCTTTTCTCCTATTACCCTATCGCACATAAATGAATTTATTTACTAAAAAAATATGCTTTTAACATAATCTCCTAATTCTTTGGTTAGAAAAGTTTCGAGATTAAGAAAAATAGTTAGGAACAATCAGTGGCGGACCCAGAAACTTTTTATAGGGGCGTCCTCTTTTAAAAAATAAATTTAGCAAAATTAAAAATAAAAAATTATTACAAATAAAATTGTAAATTAGAAAATACCTTACTCGTACAGGTTAAAAAAGCTCATTATGTGTTCTCATATTCTGAAATAATTGTAGAATACATTTGGTGTCTATAGACCATAGTGTTAAAAAAATTGCTATGTTTTGAAAATAATTAGAAATAGGGAATGACATTTTACTATGATACAGTGTTCAAAATCAAACAACAAATGAGTTGTAGTTTAATGAAAATTAAGTTTATTAATAATAATAGTGCTCTAGGTTTGAATTACCCAACCTATCACTTATATTCCCATACACAAATTTAAAAAATGACATTAGAATAATCATTTTTTCAAATGTTAGGGGTGTCCCTCACTACCAATTATAAATTTTTTACTCATACGTAAATTACTACAGTGGGTTGAATAATCGTTTCCCCAAAATTTAGGGGTGTCTCCGTGCTTCCGCCCCTGGGAACAATATGGACACCACGACTAATAGATTCCGACATAAAACGTCTCTCTCTGGGTATAGCTCGAAATTCATTACCTCGTTTTGATTTCATCCATCTACACCTTCGATCAGATGATATTAGTAAAAAAACAAAAACAAAAAAACAATTTCGATAGAATGATAACGTTGTAAACAACAATCCATTAACCATACAACTAAAGTATCTAATTTCCGAAACGATAAGTCAGATACTAACATATCCATTATAAGTGTGTTATAAACTAGCCTTATAGCTAGGTTTTCCCGAAACATACCGTGTTTACCATAAATCGTCAACTCTGAGATCTCAAACCAACAAACATTACAACATCGAAGTAGGGCCATAGAGCTCTTAGATCAATTATTGCATACAGCATATAGTTTGCCTGATAAGAGTAAAGAAGGGAAGCACGTACGTGAAGAAAGAATGTTGCCTAATGAGATTCTTTTAGTGTGAGAATCAACCTGTTGTATCTCTCTCTCTCTCTCTCTCTCTCTCTCTCTCTCTCTCTCTCTCTCTACAAATATGGTCTCACTCTGAAGGTGGAGGGGTCGTCCTTTTTATGGGAACATATTGATGCAATGTATATATAAATGGTTATGAAGCTATCTATGTAGCATCTATCGTACATAGAATAGTAGGTAGTGTAGTTGAGCAAGTGGCACCTAGATGTGCACTACTCTGGAATATGGTGAATTGGTGGCCATTCGTGCTTTCAACATAAACAAAATGACAATCCCATGTTCTAGCCAGAATCCCGCAAAGGTTCTGTAATGAATGTAGATGAAATTAGTATTGATGTGGTGTTTGTTGCTGGGATATGGAGAAGATTGCTGATAGAAGAAAAAGAAGAAACATGAGGTTTTTTTTTCGTTCTTTTTCGTCAACAAGCAAACTCGAACGCGGACCTGAAACAAGGACGATAGAGATCGTTTACCCAAAACATAGTCGTTTTGATCATAGCTACTGCTGATCCAGAAGTCATGTGCCTCTTAGGGGTTAGAGAGACATCAGCCGGCCAATATATGGATTACCACTTTTATAACGATCTAGAACGACTGTTTTCACTGTTTTTCTTATTTCATTTTTCACAACTGTTTTTACCAACACTAGTACACGACTAGATGTTATGGCTTGTAGGTCCACTATATTTGATCAATTTGAAGAAGGGAAGAGGGCAGGTTGAAACCTCTAACCCTATTTGGCCTAAACATTGGTAAGCGTTGGTCTTTTATTAGTGCAAAGACATTTTTTTAGATTGGTATGTTTTTTTTTTTACAACTCAGATTGGTGTGTTTTTTATGTAATTATATATGTTGCATATATTTAAATTGAATCTTTGTTATATATAGTTTAGACCAATATGAATATTAAATGAAGGTTCGTAGAGGAGTAATTATTAAACACTGAATACGAGTTCTCCTCACTAATCTTTTTTACAACTCATATATGAACTGATGAACATTATGAGAATTTTTTTAAGAAGAACCCATCATTTAATTGTTATGCTACATTTCTTCTCTCTTCAACTCATATTGATTTCCACAAAACTTGGAAGCTAAATTACTTTGAGTAACCTTAGTACAATTATAGGAACAAATAAAAAGATGGACAAAAATGAAACTCAAAAGTCTTGCTTTTCCCATTCATATATAACCACAAACAAGTGCCTAGTTACAAAAGATGTAACCCCCCCAAAAAAAAGCCATTTACTAAACCGAAAGACAAAGAGTAAAACACCAAAATGGTTAAACCCTCTTCCCTCCTGTTAATTTCTCCCTTAATTACATGGATTTAGTCCAACTTCCCCTCTAACAAAAAGGAACTTAAGGGAGAAATTAGAAATAATAAAAAAAACCCTAATATTCTCCCACCCTTAGTTACATTTCTCTTGGAGGCTTTTTTTTTGTCGTAATTATACAACTTAATTAACTAATAAAATATGCTAATTGATACAATTAAAAACTCCATCCAAATCCAATCCCCACCCACTGATCAATCAACCTACATCCTGGACTCCTGGAAAGCCAGCTTTTTCCAGTCTACCAATCGTTGCAAGAAGTCCATAACCTGCAAGGAATCAACACAATCTCCCACAATTAGCCAAAGTGGTCATCAAATTAAGACACTAATAATAATTATTATTACCCACAAAAAAATTTAATAATTATGGAATAAATCTTGGGAGGCTTGCCTGGGTTGGTTCCTGGAGGGAATAAGAAGCATTAGTGTCCTTTGCAACTTTGGACACAAGAATCCCAAATCCTTGCTCTCTCTCTTTCAATACCTTGAATGCATCCTCGTCAGTTCGATCATCTCCAATATAAACCGGGAAAACATCGGTACAATTAGCAAATCCTGGGAGAAAACAACATGCACAATATTAGATACCAGAAAATTTGTATTAATTAACTACAATTGATTAGTTAAAAATGAGTTTCACTGATTTGATAATTTGACCATTAACTAATCAAGTGGGAATAAGGTGGGTTCGCTTTTTGGACAGTTGATGCTTTTCGAAAAGCATCGACTAAGAAACTTAACAAACCCACATAAAAAATAATAATCAAGATTTAATTAATTTAAAACTTAAATACTCACCAAGAGACTCCAACAAAAATTCCAGAGCCTTGCCTTTATCCCACTTAATCGTGGGTCGGATTTCCAGTACCTGTATTAGCAAATAGTAAATAGAGAGAGTAATTAATTAATTAACTAATCACACTCCTTTTTTTTTAAATAATTCATTAATCCAATAAGTATCATTATTTACCTTTCTTCCTTGAGAGAGACGGAGCTTGGGATACTTGTTCAAAACGGACTTAACGGCCTCCGCCACTTCACTCCATTTCTTCTCCTCCACGCACCGGAAGTGAACCGAGACGCAGAACTTGTTGTTCTCAACTTTGGCTCCGGGGGTCAGTTTCGTTTTCGCCACCAGCTCCTTGAAAACCTCGTCGATCATCGGCAGGAACTCGCTCGCCGGCTGGCATATCACCGGCTCAGTCCCCTGAGTTTCCAAAATAGAAGGAAAAACAGAGTGTGATTGATTAGTCTCTGGTTATGGCGGGTTGAAAGCTCGCTGCTTTACAGTGAAGTAGATTGAAGTCACTTACTTTAGTGTACTTGGAGCCTTTCTCCGGACCCTTAATGTCCATCCCGTGGCTTCCGGCGTAGTAAAGTTCCGCTAGCCTCACAAATTTGTACACCTGCGCCAAAATTGAAAAAAAAACAGGGGAAGAGACAGAGTTGAGAAAACGGTGATTTCAGGGGGGAAGGAATTGATTCAGATTTTGTTGTTTGTTGTTGAACGGCATTAATGTACCTTGTCTCTGCATCTTCCGCTCACTATGGCGGTGGGGAAACAGGTCGCCAGCCTTCTAACAGTCGTCCTCATCTGAAGAAAGGGGGAGAAGAAGAAAAAAAACAGAGCAAATTTCTCAGTCAAGGAAACAGAGCAATTTTTTTTTTATCTTTTCAATTTTTGGTTTTCCGGGGAGGAGTCGAAATGGCGGACCTTTTTGGACATAAAAGCACGATCGGGGTCGTCAACAATGGGGGAAAGTGTGCCATCGTAGTCGAGGAACATGACGATCTGCTTCCCTCGAGAAGCTTCCATTATCTGGTCGAAATTATCCAACGCCGACGGCAGAGTAATCTGCTGCTGGTGCTGCCATGGGAGTTGCTGATCTTCCGAGAGAGATTGGGAACTCGATTTCATGTGGGTCGGCGAGGAAGCTCTCATGGAGTCAACCCAGGAGTTAATTTTGGCGGCTCCGCCGCCGCCATTGATTTCCAGATTCTCGAGCAGGAGCTTCTTCTTGGCCGACAGGGAGATGCAGCCCCCGCCGCCGGTGCCAGGAGCCGTCGGCGGCTTCTGCGCCGTCGCGGGGAAGATCGACGAGCCCGAAAGACGGACCATTGGCAAGCTGATCCCCGATTTCGTGTCCGGCACTACAACATTTTGGTTCGTCATCTCTGTAACAATAACAAATCGCCCATGAGATCGAAAAATCCCAAAATCGGAAGCAAACTAAAAAAAAAAAACAGAGGAAGCCCATTTGAACTTAGATTTCCACCGAATGGAAGACACCCAATATCTGGGTTCCTTGCTAACAAATTTACCTTATAAGAGACTGAATTAGAAACTTTCTTTGAAGGTTGTAAACGAAATGGGGTGAGCTAACTGGACGAAAAAGCAGAGTGCTCTGTTTTTCTTTCTCTTCCTTTACGGGTTTTTCTCCCGATGAACTCTGTAATCGAGCTTGAGAAGAGCGGGACTGAATAGCGCCGATCAGTTTAGAAGCAGAAAGCGAGAGTGGGATCAAGGAGAGAGCTTGAGACCGAGAGAGAGACAGAGAGAAGGAGAGGAATTGTGGGTAAGGAAGAAGGCGAAGGGTGAGTGTGGATTTTATAGCTGCAGCCAGCAAACCCGATCCGCTAGCGGACGAAAAAACGAACTGTGCCGGTCGGACCGATTGGTCGAGCCTTGTTTGTGGGACCCGCATCCGATCTACTCGGCGAAACGTGGGGCCTACTGGACCTTCACCATCAGTCCGCACAAGAAAATTCGGGGGAAATTTGCAACAACGCGGTACTGGATTTCATGGCGACAACCAAATTCGTCACTGTTTTTTTATTTTTATTTTATTGATAACGACCTCGTGACTCGTGAGTCAATTTTGAAGTAACTAATTTAACAGTTAAGGTTTCAATTTAGAAGTGTGCAACCTTTTGATCCGCACCGGATAGAAACCTGCCTTTGCAATGGACCACCGAATCGAACAAAAATGTGGTTTGGTCCTTGGTAGTTGGTACAATGAATTCTTATAAATACAATGGAGCGAACTGATGTTTGGATCGGATTAAATCAGACTGAAAGCAACGATGGTTCGATCCTTGATCCTAAGTTTTCAGTTACTATTAAACTGCGACAGGTCAGATCTTCGCACACCCCTCCTATTCCATTCTTTATAAATTTTTCCGTATGAATAGTTTGTCTAGAATTCTTATAAAAAGAGCGTAGGTCCAAATCCCACTCTTAAAAACTAGTTGTATACAAATTTTTTTAAGTAAAAAAGTTCAACTTATCTTAATGTTAAGATTTTTTATATTAATTCCGAAGAGAGAGGCTGACAAAATTAGTTAAACTAAAATTTAATGAAAGACTTGTTAAGTTATCAAAATTTAGTGATCAAAGTTTAGTTACCTTAAAGATCGGTGGCTAATTATGTATTGACCCCGAATAATATCTGACGACCCTCACCATCTTGACCCCAAATACCCCACGCTGAAAGTGGGCCCCACGGCAAGGGGGTTAAGCAATTGCCATGTAGCCGTCGTTTGCTATTTCTTTTTTTTTTTTTTTTCTTTCCTTTACTTTTTCCTAAAAGATTCTTTAATCCCAACGAAATTCCGTTTTCCTCCGACGTTGTTGCCAGCGAACAGTTAGTCCACGTGGAGTGCGCTGTTTGGCCATCCTGATTTTGTATGGAGATGGGTCTTCTGCCACGTATACAATACCCCCTCCCACACTTGGCAGTTGCTCAGTGCGTAGTTTGATCTAGTGCTGCAAAAGAGCGGAGCCGAATCGAGCTCGAATTAGGGGTGGGCATCGGTTTGGTTCGGTCGAAACCGAATCGAAAATGAGCACACCGGATCTCCCGACCTCTACATGTGAAACCGAATTCGAACCGAAATATAAATCGGTTCGGTTTGGTCGAACCGAGTTATATTTCGGTTCGGGATCCCGACAAAACCGAAATTCCCCAACCTTCCTCTTTTCTTCCTCTGCCTTCCACTTTTTCTGTACGCTACTTCCTCTCTCTACCCAGAAGACATGCTTCCTCTTCCTCTCCCTTTCTTCCACCTCTCCATCTCTGCAACTTCTTCCACCTTTTACCACCACCAACCCCTCCACCAAACCCTCTTTCCGATTCTGGTCTCCCTACTCTCTCCTTCCATCAGTCTACGACTTCTCTCTCTGGCATCTCTGCTCTCTCCCTCGATCTCTGCCTCTACAACTCGCTCCGGTTATCCCCCTTCCCCGTCGCCACTATCTCCCTCCGCAGTGTCTCTCGCTCTCCGGGAAGAATCTGCAGAAGACGAGATCTGTCTCATGCTCGCCTCCGCTCTATACTCCGCCTCCAACTACAAGAGTGCGGCGTCGCCGCTGATTCGAGCTCCGAAGACAGGGACAACAACTTAGAGGGAGAACTCAGCTTGTTCTCTTCTTCGATGGTCGTCGGTCGCAAGTCGCAATTGGAGAAAAAGGTCGCGATCGGAGGTCAGGGAAGATTCCACCTTCAGTGGGAACGATGATTCTAGTCGGCGGTAGGGGTTCGATTGGGTTGAGGAGGAGCAGGGATGGGAGTCTATTAGGGTTAGGAATTTAGGGTGGGCTCTTAGAGTTAGTGAGTGGGTTGGGCTTGCAGTAGAGAGGGGAATTGGGTGTCTGGGTAGTCATTTTGGGTTGTGACTTGTGAGAGAGTGGGCTTCACTTAAAATATGAGTTGATTAGTTTAGTTCGTTTTTTCGGTTCGGTCTATCGGAATTCGCGTTCGGTTGGCAGACCCTGGTTTCCGAAACATGAGCTTCTGCCTTCTGATTTCCGAACCGATCAATGTGAATTTCGATTTTGGTCGGTTCGGCTTCGGTTCTGGTCGGTTCGGAGAGTTGAACCCGAACCAGATGCCCACCCCTAGCTCGAGTTAGCTTGTTTACTAAAATTTTAATTTTTATTTGGTACTTCATTTTCTATATCATGATACATATGATTTGTTTTATTAGCTAATCACATATTATACTTTGTTGGTATCATATATCATTTAGTTAATAAATTTTAATTGCTCCAAATCATATTATTTCATAGTATCGAAGCAATCTATAATATAATTGTCATATAGTTCATATTCCAGTGTTTATTTTGCGCCGAATTGTGTTTCCAATGTCATGAACCAGTTGGTCCCAATAACTCGAGTTGTTGGGAGAAGGTTCTGCTGGATCTTATACCATACTCTTACACGCCCCCTCAAACGAAGGCTTGAAGTTTGCACAGGCCCACCATACCTTGTGCTTTAATAAACTGTTAATATTGGGGGTCGTGGAGACTCGAACACATGACCTTTCGGTTCTAGGCTCTGATACCATGTCATGAACCAGTTGGTCCCAATAACTCGAGTTGTTGGGAGAAAGTTCTGCTGGATCTTATACCATACTCTTACATCCAATACGTTTTTACATAAAACAATAAAATTAGTAGAAAATCATAAAATTACAAAGTTACCCTTTTGTATCTTATAGAGGAATACAAAGGCATTTTGCATGTATTGTACTATTTTGGGGTAGAGAATTCACTCTCACAAAACACACTCCAGCTAAAAGTTAAGATTGCATGAATGTATATTCTTTTTATAAAAAATCATAAAAATAATTAATTACAAACAAGACAACCAATATCAATCTCTCACCCAACAATCACGTAAATCAAATCACTCATGACAATTGCTTTATTAGTGTGATTGGCTTGAGTTTAATTATTAATGCATGTATTGTATTTGGGTACGGTATCCAAAAATACCCACGGATCGATCGTTATTTCCCTTTAATTACTATCTTGTAATCACCAAATAATTAAACCCAATACAGTCAAAAGCGCGATTCTACTTAGAAACAGAGAATGGGTAAAATCGTAAAGCGTAGAATTAAAGCGTAAAAGCGTAAGTTTTTTATGCATACTGTACAATAACTAAAAACATGTTAACGACAAATACTAGGTACAATATGAGTGCACCGAATTTAGATAAGTTAATAAATATTTGCAATTCATGTCTAAAGTAGAGCAAATCATAGAATCTTAACAATGAGTTCATAAAGATAGATCTTAACAATAAGCCACCTTCCTATATATGCTAATGAATTAGGGAAGGGCCTAGCTAGCTTGTGAATTAGATTACTCTATTGAAGTTGAGAATACATTCAAGTACATGGTATGTATATTTTAATCTCAAATGTATCATATTGTTAGTAATTTACCTTTGAAATATACTTATTATAATTAATTTCATAAAAAGAATACCCATTTACTAAACTAAAAGCGTAAAAGCGTTATGATGAACTTGAAGCGTAAAAGCGTAAGGTTTTAAGTTTTAAAACGCAATTTAATCCGAATTTATGCACTAAAGATTTTATATGGAAACAAAATCGTTTTGGTAACCTAAAAGCGTAAAATCTCAAACTTTTAAGTTTTAAAGCGCGATTTTGAATGCGATATCGTACGTACTATCTTCTTTGATCGTCTGTTTTGGACACATTTGAGTTCCCTGGATAACTTCTTCGTACTCATCGACCGACGTCCCTATTCTCTCCAGCTTAACTTACTCAGCTGACACCATAAACGACAGGGTCGATGTCATTCTCGTCGAAACCAAACAAAAGAAGCTCGAACAACAACAAGAAGAAAGGAATATAGTATACATATACACAATAACGAAATAAAAAAAAAAAAAAAAAAAGACCCACACGTAAAAGAAAGACGTACTTAATGGAAAGTGCATGATTAATTCCCTCTTGGAATGAGAAAAGGCTGAATAATGAACAAACAAATCAATAAATAACGGGAGATCTAGCTAGAGCTAGAGAAGGAAAAAAAATCGAGTTTCTTTTTCTACACAATTTCTCTCTTCGGGAAAACGCAACGTAGAGCAATGTCATGGAAAGAACACATCAATTAAGCATGATTTAGAGACACAAAAAGATATATAATATCAGCAATCTCATTATATATCTTCAACCCAATTGTACACTTCCAATGCTAGCGTTTCCACTTTGTCTCCTAACGTAAAATAAAGAAATAACTGTATTAATTAAGATTGGGTATGTATTAATTAAGATTGAGAGTTCTTTGAATATTAATTATTGATGTTAGAACGTCCATTATGCTAAACCAACCCTTGGAATTTCCGGTGTGATGTTGATTTCGGAGGATTATTTTATAGTGGTGTTCCAAAATTTACACATCACTAGTGTACAATGCCATGTGGGTTTTGAGTAACAAATTCCAGATGTTATTCCTTTATAAAATAATAATAATGATGATTATTATTGTAATATATTCCAGTTGTCATTAATTGGACGCTTTTATTATCACATATATATACACCATATCCAAAAAGGTTATGCTGCCCTAATTAGTGGAAACACATTGGGCCTCTTAACTAAGGGCACCTCTTAATTATGTTCATTAAACCATCGTTTGTACCAGTTTAGCTTTTCTCTAGATGCTTATACAACGTATTTTAATGTTTCTTGGTGGAAAATTTTGTGCCCTTCATTGATTGATTGATGTATATTCTAATTTCGAGCAAGATGATTCGTACAATAATTCACATACTTTTGAGCCAAAATGTAAATGAGAGCGTTTGATGTTTATGGAAGGAGAGTTCTCTACACACCTATGATAGTAGATAACAAAAAAAAAAAAAAGTGTAACAATGTGTTGTCTGAATTGATTGATTTCGAGTTTTCTACAACAATTAATAACACCTTTTGAAAAACGTATAGATGAGAGTGTTTGGTGTTTATGGAAGGAGAGCTAGCTAAACAACTATGACCATTGAGACTGAAAAAGATAAAATTTGACAATGTGAGCGACGTTTGGAGTTGAAGTTTCCCGAGTTCTACTCTTTAATTAGTCTCCTCGTGGTATATTATATGCAAACACATGGAGAGTCGAGGAAGTAACCACCGTGCTGAAAATAGGAAGGATAATTTCTCAGTACTCATATATATTGATGAAAAACTCTCATATCATATATACCCGTCACGCCATCATTGAAACTTCGATATCAAGATGACAAGATTGTTTTATATTTATTTTCACAAGCATAATATAAATTAGTTTTTATCATTAGATGCTACTTAAGATATTCGAACATTCGAACATGGATAACTAGGACCTCCAAGTTGAAGTCCAATAATAATATCAATAGACCAAACCTTTGTTCGCGATCTCGGATTGGTGTTTTCGGGCTGGGTTGTTGATGTTGGCTTGCTTTCCCTACCTTGAGCTGGTAATCTCTATACCTTGCATGTGAATGATTGGCCTGGTAAAAAGGTGTTCTAGAAGGCGGACTAACAACATATATTTTGTAGATGATTTTCGGATCTCTCTTGGTTCTTCTGTATCTTGTTTCTTTTCATTTACGCTAAAATGTTAGGTTAATTATATTCCCTTCAATTACGACGACTTATTTAACACGGTAATTATATTCCCTGTCATAATTTGTGCTGCTTTGATCTAGAAGCGCCAGGGTTAATCGATAATGATTATTGATTGGTACCATATAGCTATTTTCTGCGTCTAAGTCGAGCACGTGCTCATTCTAAGGATTAGTGAACACGACAGAGATCTGACCAAACCTCTTGACTTAAGTGACCTCAAACAAATGAAAAGACTCGAGAGGAAACATCATTAGAACATTCTAAGCATTGCTGCCATACCCCTTAATCTCAAGCTGGATTACCTCTTAAGCTTTGCAGGATATGCAGTTCATATGCTAATCAGTAATTATATACGTGTCATAATTGGACAATCCATTAGTACGATATTGTCCGCTTTGGGCCAAACCCCCACGGTTTTACTCTTTGGGTGTCCTTCCCAAAAGGGTCTCGTACTAATTGGGCTAGGTGGACACTTATATACAAGGGTTCCTTCCCTTGTATTTTCGATGTGGTACTTGGAATTGTCTCATAACAATACGCTTTAAGACCCACCTGGCAATTAGTAGTTGTATGCCGAGGGTATTTGGTAGCCAGTCTTGTTGCGGCTCTTGTTAGTAAATGATATCATTTTCATAACTGAATACCTCCCTAAAACTCGTGTTATTAAAAGTATTAACCGGTTCCTGACTTGATATCGGAGTCATGAATTATCGAGAAATATTGTGTCGGCCGGATCCTGATAATAACCTCAAGCACATGGTATTCGAACTTGTGCAATCTTCAAACCCTTATGAGTTAAAAAAAAAGACTTCAATTTCTCACTACCATAGCAAAAAATTATCAAACTTCGTCTCCAAGTTTCTTTTTTCCTCTCTCATAGTTAGTAATACTAGCTAGTTAGTACTCTAATAACGATGGAAGAATAATGATTCCTTGGTTAGTTTCATAATATACCCTTTAGTCAATTTAGTCTTTGGGCTACACTCCCAACAAAACATGCATTTGTCAACTTTGGCATATTTGTGCTAGTTAGGTAGCTACTTTCTTTAATCTCCTTCTCCACGTTACGGGTGCATGCAACTGACCACTGCTGCCCTAAAAAGACTTTGACTAAGTTGGTACGGCGCGCGCAACCGTGTGAAACGGACCAACGACAGACAATTATTAATCAGAAACCAGACATTATTAACATTCAGAAACCAGAGTTAGTGAGGCTAATTATGATTAGCATCCTTCGTTGACAAGAAACAAATATCGAAGTATCAAACCCTCGCGCGCGCGAGCAGCCTCCCTTACTATAAGACGGCGAAAAATTGTAATTATTTTTCCCAGTTGTCGTCAAAAGCCCGATTAACAAAGAAATATTATTTCTGATTTAGAAGCCAAAATTGATACTCTCGGTTCATATTGGTACTAGTACAAGCATCCAATTATATACACTTCTCATCTGTTTTAAATATTCGTTAGGAAGATCACTTTTTGGTAAAATATTGACTATGGGGTTGGTAGTCCAAACGAGTGCATGCGTTCTTTAATTGGGTACTTTTGACGCTTCTTAACCGGGTTTTTCTTTCCTTTGATTCTTAAACCTAGTTTTTTTTTTTATGGATAGCAGATGACAATTCGAACTTATTGTTGTGTTATCAAATACTAACTCTCTTCGGAATATACGTACCCTTCAAGCGGAAATTGATCGGATTAAATTAATACTCCCGATAGATTGGGAAGAGGTTCGACGGCTGGAGAGTGAGTTGAGTAGGCAGTGGGAGGCGGAGGAATTTTATTGGCAACAGAAATCTCGAGTTCACTGGTTGAAAAAAGGAGATAAAAACACTGCATATTTTCATACGGTCACCAGAGCTCGTAGGAAGCGTAACTATGTGGCGGGCCTGCGGAATGAGGAAGGTGAGTGGGTCACGTCGGAGAATGGGAAGGCTCACACTGCCAATGATTTTTATCAGACCCTATTTACCTCTGAGGATAGGGGGCTGAATATTTCGGATAGAGTGGCCTCTCTCCCCATTTCGCACTGTGTTACGCCAGAAATGAATGCTGGCCTCACAGCAGAAGTTCTTCCCAAGGAGATTCGGGATACGGTGTTCTCAATGGGCTCTAAGCAAGCTCCAGGCTCGGATGGTTTCACTGGGAATTTTTTCAAGGCCTTTTGGGACATTGTGGGGAATTCTGTAGTTGAGGCAGTCACCTCTTTCTTTGTGACCAGTAAAATGCTCCGGAGCTTTAACCACACATGGCTCACTCTGATTCCTAAGGTGGATACTGTTGAGTCTATGAGGCAGTTACGTCCAATCAGCTTATGCCAATTTGTGTACAAAATTATTACCAAAATCATGGCGGGACGTTTGGCTACCATTTTGCCTCAAATCATCTCTGGGGGTCAAAATGCCTTCATTCGAGATCGACAGATTGTGGAAAATATCTTTCTCGGACATGAGTTGATGCATTACTTGAAAATCAAAACGCGAGGTAAGAACGGGTTCATGGCTCTAAAGGTTGACATGGAAAAGGCCTATGATAGAGTCGAATGGCCATTTCTTCTTGCGGTATTGGACAAGATGGGTTTCAACTCGGTTTGGAAAGGATGGATCCAGGAATGCCTCCGCTCCACCTCTTTCTCGGTTTTGATGAATGGTACCCCCTCGGGCTATTTCACCCCCTCCCGGGGACTCAGACAAGGGGACCCCTTATCACCTTTACTGTTCGTTATTTGCACGGAGGGGTTTGCGGCGCTCTTGCGTAAAGCCATTTCGAAAGGAAAATTGGAAGGCACTAAGGTGGCTCCTCGAGCTCCCAAGATCTCTCATTTATTCTTTGCTGATGATTCTTATCTATTCCTGCGGGGATCGCTCCAGGAGTGTGAGAATTTACTAGAGGTCCTGAATGAATATGAGTAACTCAGTGGTCAAAAGGTGAATCTGGCAAAATCAGCAGTGTGTTTTAGTAAAAATATCCGTTTGCCGGACCAAGAGTTTTTGGCTCAGATTCTGGGGGTGGGAGCAGTAGGAGTACACGACAAGTATCTGGGCCTCCCTACGCTCTTCTCCCGATCAAAAATGGATACCTTCCAGTACTTGGAAGAGAAACTGCTTGAGCGGTTGCAGGGTTGGAAGCAGCGGACGTTGTCTTGGGCAGCTAAAGAACCTCTGATTAAGTCAATAGCTTTAGCACTCCCCTTACATGTTATGTCTTGCTTCAAGCTTCCCCTGTCTCTTTGCCGGCTCCTTGACAAGCATGTGGCTCGCTTCTGGTGGGGGGCTGTGGAGGGGCAGCCAAGGATCCGGTGGATATCCTGGCGGAATATGTGTAAAAGTAAGCATGATGGGGGGATGGGGTTCCGGCGCTTTGAACAATTCAATCAAGCTTTGCTGGCAAAAATTGGATGGCAGATTCTTACTAACCCCCAGTCCCTTCTGGCTCAAGTCTATAAAGGGAAGTACTTTCCTAATGGGACTTTTCTTAATGCAACTACGCGTTCGCGCCCCTCCTGGGGATGGCAGAGTGTCTTATACGGGCGTCAATTACTGGAGGAGGGGTTACGATGGCAGATTGGGGATGGGAGGACGGCGTCTCTCCTGGAATCCAAATGGATCCCTCTCACCCATCCTTGGCCTGTCGTTTCCAACCCTTGCGTGTTACCAGATGGGGGGGACCCTAAGGTGGAAGAGGTCATATGTCCGGGCGAAGGGCGATGGAATGACGTCAAGCTAAGCCAGTGGTTTGCCCCGGCTACGTGCGCGGCAATTAAAGCTATTCCCCTGCCCAGGCAAAGTGTGGCGGATCGCCTCATTTGGCACTACTCTTCTGATGGGGTTTTTACCGTAAAATCTGCCTATCATCTTGCGGTTAATCTTGATCAGAAACGAGGTCGCTGGCGGTCCGTGGTGAGTTGGATGGATAAGGCCAGTTGGATTCGACTTTGGGAGGCAAACATTCCGCCTAAGCTCAAAGTCTTCATCTGGCAAATTTTCCAGCGCATCCTCCCTACTACAGAGGCCTTGCGGGAAAAGGAGGTTCCGGTGCTTCCCCGTTGTCCGGTTTGCTGGGCAGAGTCAGAAACGATGGAACATTTATTTCTTGACTGTCCAGTGGCGAGGGCTTTGTGGGAGTTTTCGGGATTGGAGTTTCTGGGAGAAGGGTTGCCGTGGCATACTTTCCCACTGTTTCTAAAAAAATTACTCGCTCGGGTGAGTGAACCTTCTATGATCATGGCAGTGGTTGCTGTACTATGGAGGATTTGGCGGTCCAGAAATTGGGTTGTTTTTTAAGGGAAGCAGTTTGGGGTCCCGGTGCTCCTGCGTCAATTCCATCAGCAAGTCGAGGAGTGGGTCCATTTGCCAGTTGAGTCGGTTTCCCGGTTCGTGCTTCCCCTACCCCGGACGTCCGGGTCTGCTCAGGCGGACGCAGTGGTGTGTCAGTGGGATGGGGCTACTAGTCATGGGATGCATTCGGCTGGTGGATTTGTTCTTTTCAATTCGGCTGGGGAGGTCCTCTTTGTGCAAGGAATCCAGTTCCCAGGTGTGCAGGACCCTGCTGTGGTGGAGTTACTGGCCCTGCGAGAGGCGATTTTAAGATGCTTAGGTCATGGGGTCGAGGTTGTGAGGTTTGAAGGCGACGCAAAGGCTGTCATTGACAAAATCAACCAGGCGGACTCTAGAGATAGCAGGATGGGTGCTGTGCTTGAGGAAGTTATTCATTATTTTGTAGCTCATCCTGGGTTTTCGATTAGATTTGTAGGTCGGAGGAACAATAGAGTAGCCCATCTAGTGGCTCGAAAGGCCCTTATATTGTATCCGGCTACGAGTCGGTTCTTTGATTTCCAGGCCTGACTTAATTCCAGGATGTAACTCTTATCTCTTATCAATCTACTTGATTATCTTTTGTCAAAAAAAAAAAAACCTAATTAAATTGAATATGGCAAAAGTGATTCCATGTTCTTCGCCTAGATCTACCTTGATTTTCTTCTTAATATTCTGATCAATAAATAAAATATTCAGTTTGTGGGATTTGGGTAAAGGAATTAGGAGCCGGCTCACGCACTTAAAGTTATGATCAAAGCATCTCGACCTACCGTCGTTTTTTTTTTAATGCAAGGGTAATTGTTGGTCTCAATATATAAAATTATGCGTGGGAATGTTATCATCCTCGTTAATAATAGGCCAATTTTTTACGAGGAATTTTACAATGTTTTAAAGTATTGATGCTTTAGTTTTTGTTTTATGGAATCACGACCTAAAACCTTGCTCCATTTGCGATGCTGCTCCTCCGCACCAACAACGTCCTCCTGAGTCAGATTCCTAATTTCGCTCGCCAACAATTTCGACCTTTGATGCAATAAAACAACAATTTGCATGTAAAAATCTTGAAATTTATAGAACTGGAACCAGTCTGACTTCCATGCACTTTCTCATTATAGTTTCACGAGTTTTCATGCTCGCATTTGTCTAGTTTGTGGTCTGAATTGTGATGTTTTTTTGGTGTATATTGTTTTGAGTTTCTTGTGTGATGATGCTACATATTCTTGGTCTACTTCATTACATATCTTGTGCAATTTATCGGCTTCCTGGTATGTGCTATGAGATTTGTGGCTTTCATTGTGTATCGCACTTGTGGTGTACTTTATAGCATTTCTGGTTCGCTACGTGAGGTTTTCTGGTGGGTTTTTGTCCTTCTGGTCTACTTCATGAGAGTTGTGGTGTGGTTTCACATAATTCCGGTATGCTTCATCAGGTTTCTGATGTGGACCAGGAGTTGTGGTGAGCTTTCCAGACTACTTCAGAAAACTTGTGGTTGGCTTTGAGTTTTCCTGTTCCAACACCGACACCGTTCAGCTCGGAGTTCCAATTGATATGCGATTTTATCGATATGAAATTATTGAACCACGTTTTAAGTACAAAATACCCTACTACTGGATTCTCCGATTGATACGGTTCTTTCCCTAGCCATCACATGCATCATGCATGCACGAGTGAGTAGTAAACTAAGAAAGATGTTGATCAATTAGTCAGATGTAGCCAACAAGTGACACGTACGAATAATGATGAAGCCCTAATATAAATTCCGCTCAAGCAGGATGCCATAGGACATGCAGTCTGCCGGTGAAAGCTGACGACAAATTTATAGGAGGACAGTGAAAGGTTCGCCGTCCAGCCAACAGGAAACATCCACGGTTTCTGCAGAATTCCCTAGCAGCAGTAAATTAGTTTGCTGTTGGTTTTTTTATAGAATCTGTTGTGCTTTTTTGTAGAAGTAGATGTAGGGACAATAAGCACGAGCTCTGTCTCTGTTCAATGCGACACCACACGTGTGCTTTATTTGGTAAAGGCTACCTCTCCATACATACTCTTGAGTTACAATACAAAAGTCCATATAGGTTTTGAAGTTTAGAATCCAGAAATGGAGAAAACTTCTCAATCAAAAAAGAGTCTGATATCATGTCAAAAACCAGTCGATCTCAACAATTTGAGTTTGAGAGGTCCAATATATCGATATTAAGCACTTCTTGACAAACACCCCCCCATCAATTGTTCATCTCTACTGAATTAGCAAATCTTTTATGTTAGCCAACCGATAAATGTCTGATATCCCTAACATATTAGATCCGGGAAAACATTAAAAATACATGAAACACTATCAACGATGGAGAAATATATACATAGATGGGTGGTGTCTATGAATGTAACGTGTACACAACGTAGACACATTGATTTTAAAAAGGGAGCTTGTCGTCGTTCTATAGAGATGGATCTAGCAATAATTTGTTGCCCTACTGCACTTCTTTTTTCCCCATGGCATAGCCTTGCGGAATTTTTAACATCTAAATCCCATGCAAATTTCGACGTGGTTAGTGTTCATTTGTCGTCGATTCATGTCTCGTGCTATATATATGTGTCTCTTTGTAAGTTTGTGTTTGGGGAAGGAACTCGATTCTTCTTTTGGAGCACATGGGGATCGGGTTTGGAGGGGAGCATATCGATCCAAATAATGCATTGGTTACTAGTGGTGTTGGTTCAATAGAGACTAGATGTGAGCCTCCATGAATTTATAAGGTTACATATATGTATACGTAGAGCCTAGAGGGTCTCATATATAGTAGTATTGTAATAATTGACATCGCGGTTTTCGTGTATTATAATACTTGTACTTTTGAAATTCTACAAACAGGTGGTCATGACGAATGACGAATTTCAAGTCGATGTCTAATGTTCGTCGTATGTTTAATAGTAAAACTAAATATGTATTTGAAACTCACCTAATGTAGTTGGTCGGTATCCAAAAAAATTTAATGTCTCCTTCGTATCAAAATAAATGATTTCATTTCCTCAACTACCAATCCGACACTAAACGGAATTAAATGGAACTCTATGAACTGGAACGTAATTTTCATATTCTTTAAGCAACAACAAAGCTTTATTCGATCAACTTCGTATCTCAATCCAACCCAACAAAAGTCGGTGAGAAAATTGATGCACCAATTCCGATCTTTTGCATATGAATTTTCTCACTATATTTTACGTGGAGTTTTGCCACTAATAACACAAAAATTACAACCAAGGTGGACCTCGAATTCATGTTTTCAAGGAATGAGAGTTCGGTTTAATTAATAGTACCACAACTGCTTCTAAACCAGAAGATTTCATATTCGAAATTTCCCTTTTCTTTCCATATTCCTTCAGCAACATGTAAAAATGACAACATTTTGAAAGTTACTGTCAAGAACCAATTTGTCCCAATAACTCGAGTTGTTGGGAGAGGTTCAATAGTGGATCATATACCACAACACTAACACGCCCCCTCAAACGAAAGCCACTCACAAGGGCTTGAAGTTTGCACAGGTCTGAAGACAAGAATACCATGTGCTTAACAAATGGGAGTCACCGGGAATCAAACACAAGACCTCTCGGTCACAGAAGGCTCTGATACCATGTCATGAACCAGTTGATCCCAATAACTCGAGTTGTTGGGAGAGGTTCAATAGTGGATCATATACCACAACACTAACACGAGTTATTGGGAGCAACTGGTTCTTGACATGGTATCAGAGCCTTCTGTGACCGAGAGGTCTTGTGTTCGATTCCTGGTGACCCCCATTTGTTAAGCACATGGTATTTTTGTCTTCAGACCTGTGCAAACTTCAAGCTCTTGTGAGTGGCTTTCGTTTGAGGGGGCGTGTTAATGTTGTGGTATATGATCCACGATTGAACCTCTCCCAACAACTCGAATTATTGGGATCAACTGGTTCATGACAGTTACTACAGGAAAAAACACCATCACCGATCTCACTATACTAAGTCCAATTGGTCCAATGAGTCCATGCCTTTCAGATTGAGTCAAAATAATTTTTTCCTTCTATTCGTTTTCCTCCTTCAAACTCACAGAACCACCAACAATAACCTAACTACGCGTGCAAACGTTGTCGGATTTGGTTTTCCTCTCTTTTGGTGTCGGCCCACGTTCGGACACGTGGTCTTGACTCAAATCTGCGTCCTCAAATCCCCCAACTTGGCTTTAATAGAGTAGAATTTTGTGGCAACTAGTTTTCAGTCGTATTATATTGTTGTTTATGAGAAGTGACTTTGGACAGTAGCCAGGGTGTTTATTCGGGTTCGGTTTTTCGGGTTTACCCAAAACTAACCCGATTATATACTTTTTTCAGTTTTTCGGGTTCGGGTTCGTTTTGGGTTTCGGGGTTTTTGGTTTCGGGTTCGGTTTTGCTTATCGGTTTTTCGGGTTCCGACTAAAAACCTCCAATGAATAGAACTCAGGCCGTATTCTTAGGCGTTCGGGTTTTTGAGTTTTGGTTTTTCTTTAACCGAACCCGATAAGAAATTTTCGGGTTTCGGATAACCGAAACCCGCAAGTCCTTATCGAGTTCGGGTACGATTTCAGTGATTTTCGGTTTGGGGTTTTCGGATTTTTTCGATATTTCGGTTTAGATAACCGAACCCCACCCGAACCGACACCTATAAATAGTAGTAGATATTTGGAAACCCAAAACTTGGTTCAATTGGAGGAATTCAACTGATTTGGACTTGAACAATCATAATCACAACAATATTATATTTGTAATTTAATTATAAAAACATTATATTCTGTTGATTCATCACGTGGAAAAAAGAAGAGATGGATGGCACTTGTCTTTGGTGGCTGACAGCCAGTGGCCAGGATGGATGGGAGAAAAAATAATATCCACCTGATGATCCCCCACCATTTTCCATTATATTGCATATGTTTTTAAATATTTTCGCTAATAAATTGATTGATGATGGTGTCAAATTTAAGACCAACACAAAATTTATGTGGTATCCTCAAAGAGTATCGTTGAGATTAATTCATGGAGAGCAACAAATTCTTATAGAGTCATTCGTATTACCTGAGGATTCTTATCGTACAAAATTAGCTATCACAACCATATATTCCCTAGCAGCACAACCCTATCTCACATAGTTATAAATAATTAACACAGAATTAATGACTAATTACAACTAACTACATATTACTTGTAACATATCACGGGACTCAACTAAAAATGATCATCCAAAAGTCCTCACTCCTCACTCATATGTATCGTGTACGTCAGTGACCGTACCTCATGTTTTAATCCCCTTGTATTTTGTAACTTTATATTCTTCTCATACCAGCGAATCCAGGTTCTCCTCTTCCATTAGACGTATCTAACACATGTTTTCGTCGGTGAACCTATGAAAGGAGCCTCCATATTCGGCTCTTTTCGAAATGAAGAAGCTAAAAATTTAGTTTCAAAGATTTAGATTCGGGAGGAGACTGAAGTCTTACCATCTACTCCAATTTTTTTTTGAATCTATTACAAAAATTTATATGTAAATTCCTCCTACCAAGCAACTAACTAAGCTTAATTTGTACAACATTAGCCACACAAGTGACCCTAGTAGTTGAAATAGTAAGAAAATTGTGGGTTTCAAAAACCTCATAACTAAAGGAGGAGAATAATTCAGTAGATTCCATCAACCATATTAAATAGAGCCACATAGAAGAGTAATTACAACATCAATATATCGTTCTCATCATCCCCAAGGGCTCGAATCTTAACGAACAAACTGACAACCCCAACTGAAATAAAACTGCCTTATCATTGGACAATAACCTCACCTGAAACTTTCGGTTTATGCCGGCCCACCACTTTTCCCGATATTAAAATGCCACCTGACAGTGGCCGGCCGGCGGGCCTCTTCCTCATTTCCCCCCGCACTTAATGAAGCTGGAATCTAATCTATGGTTCGTCCTTAATTACTATGGCTGTGGTTGGTAAACTGGTGCTTGAACATGAAGGACGTTTGCTTTATGGCGTTGAGGATGTTGATATATATCGTGCCACATTCAAATAATTATAAGAGGGAATAAAACCATTCTCGGAGATTGTACATAAAAAGTTTTTTCGTGATATTATATTCTATGTTGAAATTGTGGTTTAACCATAGTTCAGATGTCACATACCGCTAAAAAAACGTCTGTTGATTTAGATTTCCGGTAGGTGGTTTCAGGTTGGACCACCCAGTTCGGTACAATTTTACGAAACTTATTGTTATAGAGGTGACATAGATTGATATTTTTAGTTAAATCACTCAGGTATATATATTACGGAAGGATTTGAACATGGGACTTCCAGGTTAAACTAGTAAAGTTACCATTAGAGACAAACCCTTGTTCAGTACGATTTTACAAAATGTAGAGAAATATAACCATGGTTCAACAGTTTCAACTGGCCTATATATATATATTTGGACTCCAACAAATGATTTTTTTTTTAAATCGAACCACCGGTACGAGGCAAACACGGATTATTCAACAAAAAGACAAAGAATACTATCTATCTGACGGCTAGATCATAGATTACATGCATGCAAGCACGCGAGTCCGCAGCCTTTTGCGATTGAGACCTATCCTCTAAGTTCATCCTTATCTGCGCAACGATAACAATGTAATCATCATTGCAAATCGTAATCTTCTAATCAAGATCTTCCACGATGACATCATGATTGCAGTAAACCTCCCCATATATATATATGTTTTATTATCCTTTTGCACGTAGATTAGATAAACGCATCTGTATGATATTTGTCCATATGCCTGCATTTTCAAAAATAATTAAGCAAAATAGTATCATTCAGGTCGGCAGATATAGCATCATTTCAAGTGATCCGAACGCCACTAACTGCATACACATAGATTCTCTAATAACCGAAAAAACGTTTCGAAAATATAAACGAAGCCGCGTACAAGAGAGATCAACGTACGATTCTTTATGCGGTTTAGGGTTTAGAGATTAGAGTTTGCACCGATCGAGAATTTAGCGTAAAATCAAATGGAATAACTTCAGCCGATCCAAGATCGTTATCACTGGAATATAATAATTGAATAGACGTGTTGACATTTGTGTCTAACTAGCTAGCCTAATGTGTTTATAACTTATATATTGCATCGCTTTTTTATCTTCATCCGGTATCCAAATTGGGTGCTGGATATTGGGATTCATTATCAGGTTGATAAAAAGAAAAAAGGCAAGAAGAAGGAGAAAAAAAAAACAATATAAAGAGGGTTTGAGATAAAAGTAGTAAAAATAAAGAAATGATGATCATCCTTTCTTCAATTAGTGCAAATCCTTTCTCTTCTTTCTCTTTTCCAGCTTCCCCTGTTATCTCCACTTTAACATTTTGTCTTCTATTAGCATGTATCTTTGTATATCTATTTGAATTCTAATGACGTTTATTATGAATGAGATTAAGGTGTCGATTGGTTTTGGTGATAGTTTGGTTGGGATAGTTACAATGCATGTAATGTCCATAATGTATTATTTTTTTTGAATTTTCTGCGCAAACAATACATGCATTGTTTGCTTGATTTGACACAAACTATCAATCGAAATGAATGATAGTTAAATCTCAAGTTTTCGTTGAGATTGTTTGATGGAGATTGTTGTGTTTTCTTCTTATTCCAAATATGTCCCTACATTTTTATGTGTGTTGCTTTTTTTAGATTAAAAACAAAGGGTAAAAGTGACATTTCACCCAAAAAGGTAATATAATTCATTTAAATATAACTATCACAGAAACCAAGCGATGTAAACTACAATACACCAATTTTCTTATATACATGTATATTATTATGCATGCAATGATGACAATACACCGATTTAACTATTACCAAAACCAAACGACCCCTAAGTACAAATCTGTCTGGATTCGGGACGCTAATTAATCAAGAATTATAAGAAGAAATATCACCCAACAAGCGACATAATTAACAGGATGAAAGATCTGAATCTAGTTTGGATGGAAAGCAAAACTCTGGGTTTATTTATTCTTTGAACATAAATGCTGGAACTAACCTACATACTTTTGAGTATTGGGATTCCTCGATAGAAAAGAAAAGCAAATTATGGGTAGTTAAAGAAAAGGATTATTGGGAATTGCTTTCCGTTATATGTCAATTTCAACTGAAACAGTTGGTGAGTTTTTTTATATGATTGGGGTGGGGACGTTTCCGCGTCGACTTGATGAATTTCCACGTAGCCGCCGATGTTAATGTTTGGTTTTGCATTTTTTGGGTTTTAATTAAAATTAATCTCGACAATTCGAGTTATCGAGACCAACTAATTTTTAACATTGAGTAGGGGTGGCTATTTGGACCGGGACCGGATTAAAAATCGGAAACCGGACCATATAACCCGGACCGAGACCGGACCGGGACCGGATAGTAAACAATCCAATCCAATCTTTGGGCTTAGATTTGAGGTAAAAAATCGGATAAAGACCGGATAAGAGAGCTCAACACCCAAAACTTAAGGGTAATTTGCATAAACGGTCACAAACCTTTGCACTTAATACAAAACTTAACCAACTCCTCACCCTTTAAGGCCTTAGGCCACTCAAATCCCACAATCTCAATGTAAAATCAAGACCGAATTGGGACCGGACCGGATCAAAATCGGACCGGATCAAGACCGGACTGTATCCAATCCAATCTTCGGTCCTTATATTTTCAAAAAGACCGGACTGGACCGGATCAATTTGGGCCAATTTAACCGGACCGGACCGTATAGCCACCCCTATTAATTAAGATTGGGTATGTATTAATTAAGATTGAGAGTTCTTTGAATATTAATTATTGATGTTAGAACGTCCATAATGCTAAACCAACCCTTGGAATTTCCGGTGTGATGTTGATTTCGGAGGATTATTTTATAGTGGTGTTCCAAAAATATGAACGATGAATATGCTGAGGATGCTATTTTGACGACCTAATTGCTATAGATGGCGCATGTCTCACTCTCATGGCTAACTTCAAAAGTTTCACATCCGACTGCCAACTTCCCACTTTTCTAGCGTAAACCTCCGTCTAATAACCATCGACCCTTCACGTTTGGATTAGTGATGACAATTTTCAACCGTCAAATTCGACCTTTTTTCCAATTTGTTTGCGTCGAATATTATTCAACCTGTAGTAGCTTGGGAGCAGAGTATGGATATTACTTCCATCCTGCCTCGTTCCTTCTCATTATTGAGTTTTCTATTTTGATTTGGGTCTGTATTTACTTTTGTAGTTTCTATCTTAACCTTTCGTGTATCATATTCCATTTGGATGAAATTTTGAATACGTATAAGACTTCATCTTTCAATTATATACTCATAATTAATCAATTTATTTTCACCTTTTTCATTATGAAGTGTTTTTTCTTCATTTAGCCAAATTAAATGAAATTTTTCACTTTTATTTCCTCCAACAATAGCTGAACTTCCCTTGCCCGTCCCTTATCCGCACATAAATTACCCGATCTTACCAATATGATTAGTACGAAACAAGTATTGAGGTATCCACCCGCCCATTACCATTACTATCCTCCATAACACAACAATTGTGTTAGAGGAAGGATCAAATCTCGCAGTCTAACAATTCATTATCGAATATAGAAGTATGTAAAAGCACAAGCTTGATATACAAGTCAATATTTGCTTGCATAGTGTGTTGTCGACCAAGTGGCCAAGTCATTCTAAATGCATAAAAGAAAAAACAGTGAGACATGACACAATTTGTCTCTGGTTGGGGAATTTCGTCTTCTTTCTTTCGAGTGAATTGGTTGGGGGAATCTTGCGTATACACTAAGACTAGAATATATTTAAAAAAAAAAAAAAAAAAGGGTTCCACCGAATATTTGAAAGTGATGGTATCTTCAATGATAGGCAGTGGAAATTTCAAACGATGTGTTATTATTGTTTTAGTTTCGTTGAATGAAATTTCAAGCGTGTCCTCAAGCATATCCCTGTGGGGGAAAAAAAATAAAGAGATGCATGTATATTGGATAAATAAGTCACTTTTGTTATGATTTAGACAATGATGAAATGTTTATACATAAAATGTTAATTTCGAAATGTAAATGTTGTTTCTTGGTTCATATTTTACCACACTATGAGTTCGAACTTTTCAAGCAACCGAATCAAGATAACGAGTCGAAGATAAACGAATCTATTGGTTGATTTTAAGCTCAAACTTTTCTTTTTGTCGAGCATTATTTATTTATTTATTCTTTTGGGTCTGTTTGAGTTTAGCCAATCCTTTAACCATACATTGGTCAACAAGAATGTTAGTTGACAATTATTAATGTTGGGCTATCATAAATAAAGATTGGGTTTTGAGAAAGCCCAATTATTAAAGTAAACCGAGGACGAGGAGCAGTGCTGTGACCAGCATGTGTGATTAGAACAGACCAAGCCTGCATGTGTTCAGTGGGCTTTAGGCTTTGCTTATTGGACCTTTAAAGCTACACACTTCCAAACCCTATTAGAACTATATACCAAATAAAGGCCAATGGAGTGTTATTGGTAGAGTTTTTTTAATTAGACCTCAAACTAAAGCCCAAATGTCATATGCATTAAGAAAATTCTGGGCTGCATTGGGCCACTTTTACTATGCATCCACAAAATTGATGGTATTCTAAATTTTAAATGGTTTTTTACAAATCATATATTTTTCTTAAGTGGAGATTGACATCAATTTGACATAAATCATCTATTAGGATAACGATTATTGAGTTATGTTGCACTCTAAAAAGTGAGTTTACCTCTTTCAACAAAAAAATGAGTTTACCGATGTCAAAATCATATAGATACGGTATTGGTTTGAAGACCTTGACGTCCAACCTAGGTCATGGGCTGGGCTACCAACCGCCCCTAGCATTAGGGATGGCAATAGAAACTGAATCCGCGAGTACCCTATCCGATACAACCCGTTTGGACGGATTTTGGGTCCGGTTTGGGTTTAAACCTGCTATACTTTTTGTGGGTTGGGTTTGGGTTTAGCCATATCCAATCCACGGAACCCGCACTCAAGTCCATACCCACACGATCCACGGAACCCTTAACTAATTAACTATAATTTCTAAACTAATTCCTCGCACATTCATTTAATCATATTGTTTGTGGATGTTTACCTTTAATATTGAACAATTAGTATGAATGATTTGTGAGTTAATATGTATGTAGTAGACAATAGTAGTGAAAACTAGTGTTATTGCATCTTTGTACATGAACCCATGGATACCCATGAACCCGTGGATATCTAGCAGGTTGGGTTGGATTTGAGTTTTTCAAATCGAATGGGTTTTACCCCGGATTTTTTTGATGGATAAACCCATGAATTTGGGTTTGAGCTTGGCATAACTCGCCCCAACCCGACCCATTACCATCCCTACCTAGTATTGTAGCCGAGGTGATGACAACCTCAAAAGGCCAACGTTTCCTTCCCGTCTTGACAACCTCAATGGCCTTGGCAGGGAAATGTCCTCGTTTAGTGATGGTAACGGACCAGATGAGAGATGGATAGTACATACCCACTACCCTATTCTAACTTGTTCAGGTTTTATTCATAACTATACCCATACAAAATTCGAATGCTGAATCAAAACCATATTCATACCCATTCGGATCCCGGTTAACTATGGATATCCAAACTTCATCTAATGTGTTACTATCTGTAAGTATATTCACATTATACAAGTGAAAACATTACAATTACAAGCCACCAATCTTAAGAGAAACAATGAAAAAGACAAAGAAAAAATTCATTGGGATGTTATGTATGTATTACCAATGTCAAATATTTCGGAGAGATATAATGAAGTCTTTAAAAAAAGAAAAAATATGTAGCATCTATAATCGAGCGAGTTCAAGTTGGATAGTAAAATTTTCAGGTTCGAATTTTATCGACAACATCAGTTAACAGATTCGTTTGAGTTTTAACCTATTTGATTGTATCGGATTCTACCTTATTGTTAGACAATATTACACGAATGTCAGGTTTAGGTCCAAACTTTTATAGGAATCTATCACATGCCACCTGTCCAAAGGTAGATATCCATCAATGGAGGCTCCAAATGTCCCAAAGGGAAGAAGGAGAATAAGAATGTAGGAAAGTCTTAGCAGCTTACGCTTGCTGAAGTAGTGTGAATGTAGTAATTAATCCGCACAAGCAAGTGACACATCATTAGAACGTGTAAAGTTGAGATCTTTGTGTGCCAAAGTCGAATGAAGAGCATCATATCGTTGCATTTACATGACATGAGCATATCCAATCCGGTTATAGTAATTACACGACGCTTGTGAGAACGTGCTAACAACTTACAAAGTGTTTAATATTTGTTGGGAGCTCCAAAATCAAGAGCAAATACGATAACGTTTTATTTACAAAATTGTCACCAAACTTATCCAACAATCACAAAGCGTCTAATAAAAATGATCCGATCGACAACACAACATTCTTGTAAACACATTGTCGCAATTTAGAATTTGTACGCACTATAATCGAATTGAACACATATCTGACTCTCTAGTCATCGAATTGACAAATCTCCTATCCACTACCTTTCTTTCATTCTTTTTTCCCTTTTGTCTTTTGTTGATAATGGTTTCATATGTATTGGAAGTAGTTTCCAAGGAATCCATCCAAATCCATCCATCTATCCTAACGGGCCCTTTGAATTTGGCTTTTGAGGAGGAGGATTGCAGCCAAAGCAAAATCCAATCCCGTTCACATTTCACACCCACTTTTATTGTCATATTGTTCCATTTTTATCATCAACCAAATCTTTTCCAGGATATTACCAAAGGCCGAAAAAGAAAAGGAGAGGCCAAGAAGGTTCACAGTGCTAGCTAGCTTTTGGAAGGATTCGTGATGGTCCAACAACAACAGCAAGAACCAGGAGAATTTCGAATAACCGGAAAAAGCTCAAAATGATCGGTGTATTCTTTCCTGCAAAAACCATCCTCACAAAAGGAAGCTGTACTATTTGCAGCAGTTAATTAGGTCTAATGTGATTGCCTGTAATCTCGTTGATTGGCTATGGTGAAGAAAAGGAAGGATTCTAACAACATTTGTTCCAAGGGGAAAACTCAGACTTGCGGACCATCTTAGTTCTTATTTTTACGAAAAAACAAGATTGAAGAAAGCGCTAGGCGGAATTAAGTTGGAGTCTTACCTAGTGCCTTCTTGAATTGTTAATACTCCTTGTTTCAATTTGAATTATTAATAATTTACTTAACACTCAATAACACGCGAAAACGTATGTGTCCAAATTGAATTTGTATCATAACATTCAAAGTACATGTTTTTTTTATATACACATTCAAAATATATGTTTGGTTTTGTTATCATAAAAGAAATTGACAAAAAATATATAGTTATAAATTGAATTTGTACCATAAAAAAAATGTATACAAAAAGTATATTCACATAATTCAATTTTACCATAACATTATAAAGTTACAATTTCAATTTATATCATTTTTCTAAAACGAAAGCATTGATACTAGTTCTTGTGCTTCTTGATCATCATAGGGTGGTCCTCCGGGCGCAAGGGGTCCAGTATCGGGTTATTGAGGATCCTTTAGTTGTGGAGGTGCTTGTCCTCCGAGAAGCTCTCTTTTGGTGCGTGGCCAATGGATTCCAGGATGTGCGTTTTGAAGGCGATACAAGATCATCATCGATAAAATCAATCAAGCTGAGGCTAGAGATAGTAGGATTGGGATGATCTTGAACGAAATCAGGCAGTGTATGGGAAATCAACCGGGGTTTAGTTTGGGGTTTGTAGGACGGAGGAACAATAGGGTAGCCCATGCGGTGACTAGAAAGGTCCTTTCTTTGTACCAGTCTACGTATCGCTCTTTTAATTTCCAGGCCTGACTGTTCTCCAGGATGTAACCGTGTCTATCTTCAATGCGGGAGTTCGGTGGAAATATAAATCAAGAAACAAATAGCCATTTCCAGGCCATTTTCTTTTGGGTTATCCATGTACATTTGATATGAAGAGAATTCACATATACAATAGGGAAAGGGTGGAATGATTATCTTTTGTAAAAAAAAAAAATACTAGTTCTTGTGAAATTCCTCCAATTTCAAAAATCAAATTGTCTTTTATATATGTTTCAAGTCTTGGATTGGAAACCTGGACCGACAAGATGCTGCAATTATTGGAAGCCAAATTCAATCAAATTCTATTGATGCCCTTTTGGTGGTGGTATGGAAATGGAACTGTAGAAGCTGTGCTCTTATTTTCAAAGCAAAACAGTGATTTTTGAGATATGGGTGTGAATGTGATCAATAATTTGAGTCACTCCTCCATTATTGCTCTTCTGGAACTTAGCATGGGGCATATGAACGATTTTCCATGGCCCCAAATCCCACACCATACCCAAAATTCAAAGATGTCAATCAAAGTTTTGGTTTCGTGCAATTGGATTTTGACTTTGAGTAACGAACTGGGTTTCTTCTATATAACCAATAATCAGCTTGGTTTGGTAAGTAATAGAATCTCTAATGACAGCAATACTTGATCAGAACTTGATTCCAATTGGTGGGTTGTTTTTACTTTGCCATCATACAAATTTGTAATTATTGTTTGATTAAGAAAGCTTACTATGCCCTTAATTGGTTGCTGTTAGTGTTGTGGTATATAATCCACGATTGAACCTCTCCCAACAACTCGAGTTAGTGGGAGCAACTGGTTCTTGACATGGTATCAGAGCCTTCTGTGACCGAGAGGTCTTGTGTTCGATTCCTGGTTGCCACCATTTGTTAAGCACATGGTATTCTTGTCTTCAGACTTGTGCAAACTTCAAGCCCTTGTGAGTGTGGCTTTCGTTTAAGGGGGCGTGTTAGTGTTGTGGTATATGATCGACGATTGAACCTCTCCCAGCAACTCGAGTTATTGGGAGCAACTGGTTCTTGACAGTTGCAAAAGTCGTTTTTTTATCAAGAATTCTCCCTAGTTAGGTTAGATTAAACTCTAACTAGGATGATTATGGTCGGGTTAGGAGCGAGATATAAATTGTTTTTCTTGTTTAACTAGCTGGATTTTTGTCGAATTTCAAAAAGGAAGAGAATCAAATTCGAATTACCCACAAATATTGATGTTCTCCCTTAAAACTCAAGCTACTGGTATGAAATTCATTCCTAGTACATACGTCTCGAACATCATTACTCGAAGTGTTTCAAAATCAGTTGAGTTAAATGACAAGCGAGGTCAACTAGCTGAGACTCTAAAATCCGCGATTCCAATTAACTGGATCATCGTCATTTGTTTCTCAAGCCTTTTCTTATAGGCTTTTCATTCCTTACCTGAGCCACCCCATTATAATAGTACCAATATGCGGCCATGAAGGGAAAAAAGCACGACCTCAAGGAATCAACACCACGAAATTTTTGTTAGGTCAACTTAATGACATTCCTGTAGCAATTGGAGTCATGGATTTTTAATTTATAGGGATTGTATGGGCTTAAAGTGTTCCCAAATCAGTTTGGTTTTAGGTGTGGTAAGGTCGATTTTGAAGTATTTAGGGCTTAAAGTGTCACAAAATCCATGGATTGTAGTTGTGGTATGGTCTATGATGGATTTGAAAGTATCGAGTAATCCCCCCTATTTAAAATGGCGAAGTTGATTGGAAGTTAGATCGAGCATTATTCGAATATTACACTCCCAAAAGCAAATAAAAACAACAATTACAAGATAATTAACGACTACAAACAAACACAGCTTGATAATATAATCATATAATAATTAATTACAAAGCTACAATAGCAGAAGCTCCCATAGGATACAAACTACAAAGTGAAAGAAGAAACGATCAAAGCTGGTGATAAAAATTACCAAGCTTATGATCCCTCAAACCCTAACGGTAAAAAGAAAAAAAAATTACAAATAGAGAAGAGAGGAGATAAGACCCTCAGATCTTCTCAAGGCCACAAGCGGGTGAAAAAAATTAACCCAACTTGGACCATATCTTCATCTTCCTATGTAGCATCAGCGCTCCTCTGCAACTGTCAAAAACTCCATTGCAGATAGCTGCTGAACTAGCCTAAACCAAAAGAAAAATAAGAGCGTAAACTAAGGATTACATAACAGATAAAACTCTTCAGATCGCTGCCCAATCGATTTCCACAGAAGGGAACTTCTCCAAACCGAAATTCTCCGCCATTCCCCAGCTGGAATCCGTCTCCGAGAAGTCCAAAAACGACATCTCCGATTCAGGGGAAGAGGAGGAAGAGGAAGATCCGGTCAAGGACTCTTCCACCTTCGAAGAAGACTCCTCGCTCACCGACTCAGACGATTGCTCGACTTTCATCAACGGAACCGCCGGGGTACCGACGGCGGATTTCGCCTTCTTACCCCTTTTGGAACCCGGCTCCCCTGTTTTCCCCTGTTTCAAATCCTGGCAAATCGCCTGGAGCTTGGCTTCAACAGAGGAATGGAGGGGCTTGTATTCGCCGAATTCGCCGGAGACGTGAGCTCCCTGGTGGCGGAGGTTGGGGAAATTGAGCCGGGCGAAGTCGCCTCTCAGCTTGTAAGCTGCCTTGTCGTAAGCCAGAGCAGCTTCTTCGGCGGTGTCGAAGGTGCCCAACCAGAGCCTGGTTCGGTTCTTGGGCAGCCTGATTTCTGCAACCCATTTCCCCCAGTGGCGCTGCCTCACTCCCCTGTAGAGCTTCACCGGCTTCGATGAAGCCACCGCCGCGGCTGCGGCGGATTGCTTCATCGGGACGGGCTTCGGGGCGAGAAAGCTGCTGTACCTCTGGGTTTGCAGAGTGGCGGCGAGATTCGCCTGCTGGAGCTGGAACTGAGCTTGGATCTGGAGCATTTGGGACTGGGTGATCTGGTTTAGACCTAGGGAAGAGGAAGGGTATGAGATTTGGGGGTTGTAGATAGAGTACCCTTGTGAAAACAATTGGGCAGAGCTCGATTGAGATTCAGGGGAATAAAAATTAGGGTAAAAAGAAGAAGGGGAAAGAGAAGGAGATGGAGAAGCACTTTTCATAAAAGGTTCAAGTGCTCTCATCAGCTCTCCACTACAAGGATCTGAAAAATCTGATGAAGAAGAAGAAGAAGGTATGCAGGTGCTGCTATTGTACAAATCTATAGCTGCCGCCATGCCTGTTTGTAGATTAAAAAAAAAAACAGAGGTGAAATGGAAAACAGGGGAAGTGATGAAAAAAACTAGAAAAGATTGAACCCAACTACAGAGGGAACCAAAAATCGACCCTCTTAGCTGAAAGAAAACTAGAAATCAAAGTAAAAAAGAAAACTTGATACTGGATCTCAATTCTGTTAGATCACCTGGCAATCGAAAGTTAAAAGCTTTGAGAAAACCTTTTTTTGACGATTTGAGAGACAGACGACTGGCAGAAAGGGATACAGAGAAACGGGGAATTTCGGAAGGGGGAGAAAAGGGATGAACTTTGGAAGGAAAATCGATTGTTTGGTCGCTGAGAAAATAGGGAGAAGGAAAGGAAAGGTGGAGAGTGTTTTTGCCTCACTTGGTTTTTCGGTGTTTGCTCTCTGAGTTCTCCAAGCTGCTTCGGCGCTCCTTTTATATTACCAGGCAGCCATGGGAAGGGTTTCGAGGTAATTAACCTAACCCTCTCTGGTTTTCAACTTGCCAAAAAAATGCCTGATAAGCCCTCAACCTTTTCCTTTATGTCATGTTGATCACCAAACTTTTTCATGAATGAACATTATTGCCTTACTATAAATGACTCCGTTAGATCTCAAACTCAATATTCGTGAGTAGTGACAATTAAGAATGATTTTTTACATAAAAAAAACTTTTTTTTATTTACGATATGTGAACTATTTTAATATTTAAAATGATATGATGTGACGCGTCATTGAAACTCATCAAACATAATTAAGGGTCAAGAACTCAATCAAATTAAGATGAAGATAAATATTATTGTGTTTATATTCATATTAAGAGACTGTTAATGAAGATAAATATTAAGGTCATTTAGCAGAGAATTTGTTGTGTACAAATTTTACGAAGATAAAATGAGGTATGTGTCTTGTGTGTCAGTGCTTTAATCTCAACAACTATAGTTGAGGGCACCACGTTAATCGTGTTCTTATTTACTCTTTATGCTTCGTTATCATCAATCCACGTAGATAGCCTGATTATCGATCTACATCATCCAAAATCAACCGGTCAATTGAAATTTTTATAGGCAGCCCCAAGGACATGAAGGTTCCTTGAACATGATCTTTGTGGTTGAATATAGGTTGAGCTTCTTAAGCTAACCATTTCTATCAGTCAAATAACTGCTTGATAGATCTACTAATTGTTATGTTAGTGAGAATGAACTTCATTGACCGTAAATACAATTTGGAGGCTTATGTGTTAAAGAGAAAATGTTCGAGGACCAAGTTCGCCTATTGGTCTCTCACTTTTCAGTTTTCACTCACTGAATTGACTAGAAACGCGTTTTCGCGGAAAGACATTTATTTCCCGGGAAAATTTACTTCGGGAAAATTCAGTTTTCGACTTTTCGTGTAATAAATGAACATTATTACTGTTACTGTTTTTTTTTTACTTCTTCTACCGGTCAACATCAGGGATGCCTTTTAAATTCGTGTTCGACATACCAACAGGATTGCGCCACGTATCCCGGTCACCGGCAGGTGCCGGTGACTTCCACTAGATGAGTACACGTGGTGGTTTTTAATTCGTTGTAGAAATGTTTGACTAGGTTAATGGGATGTCAGTCATCAGGTTTTGGGGAATTTAATAGTGCGGTGGGGGGTGTTTTTGTCGTTTTCCCGGTTGCGGCACCATCTTCTTCTGCCACGCTTTACGTTGGAATTTTCAAGTCACACAGCCGAAAAATTAATAGGAAATTAAGCGTTGAAATCGTGTTTTTCTAATAATTAAGAGGTAGAAAACTGAACAACTCTAACGGTAAAGCTGCCGCGACAGTGAAGACTTGGGAGTTACAAATTCTAGGTTTGAATCCAAGCGAGACTCGTTGGTGTTCCCGAGGTACAAAGCTGCTCGGGGCGAAGCCAAACTGTAGATAGTTTGATTACCCTTTGATTTATTAACTTCGATAGTTTGAAGTTATGTTTTTCTGAAATTATATTTAGTCTAATTGCAACTTATTTGTCTAATTAAACGTATGTGGCTTTTTGCAAATTAAAAAAAACGTATGTGGCTTTTTGTTACCCTTTCATAGAGGATTGACACCCCAAGCATCGATTCAGGTCTCGGATCGTCACCTCAGTTAGCGGGTTGTCTCGGTATATCTCGTTGGCAGCAAGGCACTTCCTAATCATAGGATCACTTGACCCTGCTATCTCTCAATGAATGATCCGACTGGGTATTTCGTCAACCAATACACACTAAAAACTCGGTGTGTCTTTATATTTCGTTTGATGTGTTTATAAACCTGATAACAATTACATATTCATCGTTTTATATATATGGTCATCGTGATATACGGAAGGCATATCATGATGATCTTTAGATAAGGATTAACTCAAAAGAAAGAAAAAGGGCACATAACTACAAAAGGTAGTAGTTAGAATCATAAAATTATAAGTTAGTAACACCATTGAAGGGGAGTAATAAAGCCACCACAAACTTAGTTAGATTATGCATATTGTCCCTATCCAAAACCCCCAAATATAATACAAAAGTGAATGATAATGATACCAATGCGCACTAATAATCGAGGATTAGCAATGTTGATCATCACAATCGTCATTTATTTAGTGATGCAAAGAACAATCGTGGTTTGGTATAGATAGTGACAAATGCACTCAATGACTTAGCGGATAGAAAATTTTAGATTGCGGTTTGGGTTTTGGCTTACCGTTTGGAGCTTTTATCACTTCAAACTTTTATTTGATTAAACTACACCAATGTAACGTCTGGCTGACATTTCCTCCTCTTCCTTTTATTCAAAAAATAGGGCATGGAAGATGGGCCAACATTTAAATATGGTAGAACCCTATTATTTCGGATAAATCAATGATAGTGTATTTTGATTTAATCGTGTGATTTAATAATTTAACATTTGTAATTGTAAAATCCTATATTGTCTTGTGCTCCAATAAACTTCTTTTCTTGCTTACTACCGGTATGGTACAGTGAGAAATTTTACAATGCTATATAGTATTGGTGCTATAGGTTTTTGTTTTTATGGTATAACTTAAAATTGTACATTTATGTTATGGTACAACTTCAGATTGTACCTATACTTTTTGTACAAATTCTTTTATGGTACAACTTGAACTTGTATCTTTATGTGATGGTACAACTTCAAGTTGTAAAGTTGTACCATAACATAATGGTACAAATTGCTTTATGGTACAACATAAACTTATAAATTTAATGTTATGGTACAACTTTAAGTTGTACATTAAAGCACCAATACTATATAGCATAGTAGAAGTGCTCCATGGTACAGTTTAGTAAATATTGTTTAACATGTACAATTAATCAATGTAACTTTCTAGATTTCAAAAGTGTTATACATTGTTTAATAAGTTAATAATAACAGTCCAAATGATCAATAGATATTAAAATAGTTGTGCTTTCTTTATTAACAAGGAAACTTGATACAAAATTACAATGGCGAAAAGAATGGTCTACAAACTTTTTATAAAAAATATTATTGAGATGATCTCAAGTACAAAGTCTCTTGAAACGATTTGAATTGCTTTGTTTGAGTTGACAGAGAGAGGTACAAGTATTAAGACATGATGGTCATTTCGAGACAGTTGAATCAAAATTATCTCATTTCTTGAGTGTATCGTCCAAATCACCCCTAATTGTATTTGAAATTTTGCGAAATTCAGCTGTGTAGCTCGTTGATATATTTGACGGCAGTTTTTTTTTTCTCCTTTTTTTCTTTTTCATTTGTTTAGCATCTATGTTTATACCCCTTTTACTTTTCCTCGTGATTCTTTTTGTACTCAATTAGCTTGAGGGGCCGAACGAATAATAATGAAAAGTTTGAAAGGCTGGTTTTGGGAAAGCCGAAAAGCCAAGTTTTGCGAGAGCCAGCCGGAGTTTGGGGGCGAATTTGTATCGGAAACAAGGGACCCGCCGCCGACGAGGGGCCGGACGTGACGGCAGGACCAATGTGAATACGACTCAACTTACTGAAGAAGACGACCTTTGCGAGTGGGGCAAGTTTTCTTCCTTCCTCGATCGCCAATTGCGGCGCCAACCATCGTCAACATGGGCGGGTTTACCTAAACCCAAACCCAACCCGGTGAATAGTGAACGGGTTTAAACCCAAACCCTGTCCAAAACCTGTCAACATAGGTTAGTTTTACCTGCGTTGATCGGGTTGGGTCAGGTGGGTAACCCGTGGGTTCGGGTTTTGTTATCATCGCTGCGTTCCGTCTAACCTACTAAACATGTAACACATCAAACGAATCGGATAAAAACAAATCATATCGAAATTATGAACACTACAATACGTGGAAGGTGCGAGCTAGCTAGCGAGTAAACAGACTGAGTGATTGTTAGGGTTGTGGAAAAGTCAAAGAAACGGCTCCTTTTGTTTTGTTTCATTCAATTTTCTGCCATCTGATCATAAAAGGTGCGATGGTGGGAAGAAGGAAGAAAAAGGTTTTGCGTAAGAAGAAAGCCAAGGACATATCTTTCCGATGGTGATGAGAATCACTCCGGCGGCCCCCACAGATTTCATCACCGGCGCGGCGGGGGCCTACCTTGACGGCGTGCCGCGTCGATTCCGACGTGGAATTTTACATCCAGCTCATCAAGTCATCATGCAAACCGCGTACTGAACTCGCTAGTTGCCGTTTCCCACGTTTCCTTAAATCGGATAATATGCCAACACAGTCTCAACACTCTAATTCTTTCTAGCTTAGGGTTTTGGGATGTTAAGATCAAACTAGCTGCAGCTAGGGTTAGCGGAAGAAGACGACGGCACACAAATGTGGGAAATGCGCAAGAGAGCAAGGGATCTCTCTGCTTTTCTATTTATACTAAGCTGGAAAATTGTTCTTCAAGATACAAAAGCTAGAACAGTAAAAACGGAAATGAAAAAACTGAAATTCAAGTTACAGTAATGGTAAAACAACAGATGGCAGCCATCCATTCGCAAAGTGAAAGTCCACCCAGCGGTCCACTCCGAGTGTCCACAACGTCGTCGTTTTGGCTCTTCGTTTAAGTTGGATGGAGGGAACCCAGAAACGTTTCGTTTCTGGGTGGGTTTTTCTTCTTCTTCATTTCTGCGTTCTGCTCTTGTTCTGCACTTTACTTCTGCAGAGATTGATCTTCTTCTTCCTCGATTGATACTCCCCCACAAGCTGGCGAGTATGCATTGCTTACTCCCAGCTTGTCCAATAAAAACTTCAATCGATATCGGGACATTCCCTTAGTAAACAAGTCTGCAACCTGATCATCAGTTCTCACATGATGCAACTTAACCAAACCAGATTTTATCCTTTCCCTTGTAACATGGCAATCAATCTCAATGTGCTTGGTCCTCTCGTGAAAAACTGGATTCTCAGCTATATGCAATGCAGACCTATTGTCACAGTAAAGAGGAATGGGCAATGGTACCTTCACTCCCATTTCAGATAACAAATTCCTCAGCCACTGAACTTCACAAACAACTTGAGCCAAAGCTCTATACTCAGCTTCTGAAGAGGATCTGGAAACAGTAGTCTGTTTCTTTGTTTTCCATGTAATCAGTGAGGATCCCAAGAAGGTGCAATAACCAGTTAGTGACCTCCTGAAATCAGGGCAACTTGCCCAATCAGCATCACAAAAACCAGACAGCTCAAGCTTTGAATCTGCTCTGAAAATCAGTCCTTGAACAATGGTGTGCTTCAGATATCTGATCACCCTATGAGCAGCTTGTAAATGCTCAACACAAGGAGCTGACTGGAACTGAGCTAATTGTTGGACAGCATATGTAATATCTGGCCTTGTTATTGTTAGATAGTGTAACTTCCCTATCAATCTTCTGTAAACACTTGGATCTGGCAAAAGTTCTCCTTGTTCTGCTGAAAGTTTGACATTGCAGTCAACAGGTGTCAAGCACCCTTTAGCCTCTACAAAACCTGTATCATCAAGTAACTCCAGACAGTATTTTCTCTGGCTAACTGAGATCCCTTTATGATCTCGAATCACTTCCAGACCCAAGAAGTAATTCATTTGTCCAAGGTCTTTCACCTTAAATTCCTTACTCAAAACAGTTTCAATTGTTCAATGTCCCCAAGATAACTCCCTGCAATCAGAATATCATCAACATACACAAGAACAACCACTACTCTTCCTTGTATCCATATCACAAACATTGAATAATCTGATGCTGTTTGTGAATAGCCATTCTTCAGTAAGGCATCAGTGAGTTTAGCAAACCACTGCCTGCTTGCTTGTTTTAAACCATACAAAGATTTCTTGAGCTTAAACACCAGACCTGAATCTTTGAGAACATCAACTCCAGGAGGTATTTCAAGGTATACCTCTTCATCCAAATCTCCATGTAAAAAGGCATTGGACACATCCATTTGATGAATGTGCCAATCCTTGGAGGCTGCAACTGCTAGTAGTGTTTTGACAGAATTGATTTTTGCAACTGGTGAATAAGTATCAAGAAAGTCTATGCCATAAATCTGAGTGTAGCCTTTGGCTACTAAACGTGCCTTAAACCTCTCAATGGCACCATCAGATCTATATTTAACCTTAAAAACCCATTTTGCACCTATAGGTTTCTTCCCTGCCGGCAGTTTAACAACTTCCCAAGTTTGATTCTCATACAAGGCAAATATTTCTTCCTTACAAGCCTGGTTCCACCTAGGGTCCTTGCAGGCCTCAGCATAGGAAGTAGGTTCCTCTATGGATAACACACTGAGAGCAAAAGCTTTCTGAGAAGCAGTCAAATGCTCATAACTGATCTGATGACCAATATGATGCTTGGAACTGGTAGCTGCAAAACTGACATGGTAGTCTTTATGCCAGATTGGTTTAGAACGGTGCCTGGTGGATTTCCTTAAGAAATCTGCCTCATCAGTATCATTAGACTCAGGAAACACCTCAATCTCCATATCCTCCCCCTCAGAATGCAAACTGACATTACTGTCTGGCAAACTATCTGTGGACAAGACAGGTAGTGTAGAAGAAGGAATAGAAGGAGAAGAAGAAGGAGGGAAAGTTTGAGAAGGGATTGCTGAGTTTGCAGGCTAATGAGGAGATGAGGTGGATGGGAAAGTGGTAGTGGTAGGAGGAATAGGTGGATGAATAGGGAAAATAGGGTCTGAAGTAGATGGATTTGAACTGGAAGGTGTAAGATTAGAAGAAATGAATGGAAGGATGGACTCATAGAAAGTCACATCTCGTGAAACAAAGAAAGAATGGGAATTCAGGTCAAACAGTTTGAAACCTTTGATACCACTAGGATATCCAAGGAAGATACACTGTCTGGCCCGAGAATCAAACTTAGTTCTGTCCCTATGCAAAGTAGATGCATAACAAAGGGATCCAAACACTTTCAAACCATTCAAATTTGGTGGTTTGTTGTACAGAACCTCAAAAGGAGACTTATCAGCTAAAACTGATGTGGGAAGCCTGTTTATGAGGTATACAGAGTGCAGAATGCAATCACTCCAGAACCTGAGGGGAACTCCAGATTGAAATCTAAGTGATCTGGCAACATTGAGGATATGTTGGTGTTTCCTCTCCACTCTTGCATTTTGTTCTGGAGTTTCTACACAAGACTGTTGATGTATGATCCCATGAGTACTATAAAACTCAGTCATGTGAAACTCAGAACCTTGATCACTTCGAATAATCTTAACCCGTTTAGAAAACTGTCTTTCAGCCATAGTGCAAAAGGATTGCAATAAAGGACCTGCTTCTGATTTAAATTTCATCAAGAACACCCACACAGCTCTAGAGTAATCATCCACCACAGTTAGGAAATAAGAAAATCCATCATGAGACTTCACAGCCAAAGGGCCCCATATGTCTACATGGATCAATTCAAAAGCATCTAGTGCTCTACTAGTGCTAACAGGGAAAGAAAGGCGTTTGTGCTTAGCAAAATGACAAATTTGGCAATGGGAAACTACATCACTATTACAAGGTAATGCTTGTTTTTCTTTGTCTTTGCAGGGATGTCCTAGTCTCCAGTGCCAAAGGGAAATGTTTTGTGGTTGAAAGTTGTAGGAGAAAGCTGCTTGGGGAACAGGTAAGATGGGAACTTTGTTCTTGGTGTGTAACTGGTACAAGCCCCTACTCTGTCTTGCCAAACCAGTCCTTTTCTGTGTCACCAGGTCCTGAATTTGACAAGAATCAGATTCAAAATGCAATGAGATGGGTTGGTCATTGGTCAATTTGCTAACTGATATGAGATTAAAGGTAAAACTTGGCACTAGGAGCACATTGTCTAGGGCTAAGTCAGGAGAGAGTTGAACCTTTCCTATGTGACTAACTACAACTTTAGTCTCATTTGGTAAGTTCACAAATTGATCATTGACAGGAATAGCTTCAGTGAACAAATCAATGTTACAAGCCATATGATCAGAAGCCCCAGTGTCCAATATCCAAGTCTGAGTGAAAGATTATGTTCTATGCTGCATAAAGGATGACAGAATGAGCTTACCAGCATAGTTTGGGAACTGAGAAACCCCATGAGTGACTGAGAAAGCCTGATGATTCACAGAAGGAGAAGCTGGTGGAGAAGGACTGGGAGAAGGAACACTCTGCAGCAAATACCTCAGCTTGCTGAGTTCCTCAGATGAGAAACTCATATTCTCCTTGGAAGACACACTTTTGGATTCGGAGTTGATCTTGGAATCTGAACTTGACATATCACTGTCATTGGAAGATTCACCATGAGACACTGTTGCTGCTACTCCTCCAGACATTCTAAGCTTTTTGTTCTTCAGCTTCCAACATTCTTCCTTCACATGTCCTTCCTTTTTGCAATAACGACAGAATTTCTTCCCATCTTGGGCATCTCCTTGGACAGCAAGTGCTATGGTTTGGACACCTCTTGTGATTCCTTTATCTGCCTTCAATTTCTGTTCATGTTGCAACACATCATTGATTGCAACTTCAACTGTGGGGAGAGGTTTCATCATTAAAATCTGGGTATGGACCACATCAAATTCAGGTCTAAGTCCCTTCAAGAATCTTATCAGATAATCAACCTCCTGTTTTTGCTTGAAAGCCTTAACTGCAGCACAGGGTTGAGTCCTTTGTGGGGCACAGTTACAGTCAACAATGGGATTGAATTGCAAATGTTCCTCCCACAAACCCTTCAGGGCAGTGTAGTATTGGGTAACATTGAGGTTTCCCTGCTTACAGGCAATAATTTGGTCTCCCAGATTAGACAGCTTAATGGCATTTGCATACCCAAAACGAGCCTTAAGCTCTTCCCATAAATCTCGAGCTACATCATGCTGCATCACACTTCTCCTAATCTCCTTGTCAACAGAATTCAAGATCCAACATAAAACGAGAGTATTGCAAGCATCCCAAGTATTGTAATTAGGACTAGCTACTCCTGGAGATGGGATCGACCCATCTATAAAACCAATTTTGTGCTTAGTCTTCAGAGCCATTCTCATGGCTCGCTGCCACATCTGGTAGTTGGGTCCGTCGAGAACCTCTGAAACGATGGCCTGAGAGATGTTTTCATTTGGGTTAATGTAAAAAGGGTTACCGAATTGGGAATCTGGACGATCGTTGTTGTTGTTGGAACCTCCACTCGTGGTGCCTGAGAACGAGCCGAAGGGAATGCCTCCCGGAGGTGTGTTTGGTGGTGGTGTCGTCGCCATTGCAGGTTACTGGATGAGCAACCGCTCTGATACCATATCAAACTAGCTGCAGCTAGGGTTAGCGGAAGAAGACGACGGCACACAAATGTGGGAAATGCGCAAGAGAGCAAGGGATCTCTCTGCTTTTCTATTTATACTAAGCTGGAAAATTGTTCTTCAAGATACAAAAGCTAGAACAGTAAAAACGGAAATGAAAAAACTGAAATTCAAGTTACAGTAATGGTAAAACAACAGATGGCAGCCATCCATTCGCAAAGTGAAAGTCCACCCAACGGTCCACTCCGAGTATCCACAACGTCGTCGTTTTGGCTCTTCGTTTAAGTTGGATGGAGGGAACCCAGAAACGTTTCGTTTCTGGGTGGGTTTTTCTTCTTCTTCATTTCTGCGTTTTGCTCTTGTTCTGCACTTTACTTCTGCAGAGATTGATCTTCTTCTTCCTCGATTGATATTAAGTGCCATCCCCATGTATAGGCAGGTTAATTTCTAACTAATCACCTAGCATAATGTTGCAATGTTGCGTTGCAATCGACAAAACAAGAAGAAGAAGAAAAAATTGACATGGTGAATTGCATACACGCACGGTGTTAATGAGAGAGTATTTATCAGACCATTCTCCAACCTTAGATTAAGGGCCAAAGCGGTCTGGAAGTATCAAAACGAGAGCAAGATTGTTTTGCCCATTTTGTTGCGATCTAAATTTTAGGGATCAATATTCTATATATAATTCCACATCTTCTATGATACGCACGTGGAAAGAAAGGTGTTCTCGGGGGTTATGGTGATCGACGAGTCTGCACTCCTCTCTAGTTGGTAGCTCGTATCAAAGTCTGAGATTACTTGTTTAGCTTCCAAGAATCTAGAGTTATTCTTTGTCATATTGGGTACTGTAGATGTTTTCGATTTGCGGGTTATTCTTTGTCATATTGAATGGTTTTGAATCAAGATTTAGAGTGAGTAAAAATTTCACGATATAGTAACTTTTCATGATCGAATAGTTCATCTCATATTTTCCAACATTTTGAACAACATGATTATTTACATATATTGACTCATGTATTTATTTTATAGTGCGTTCTTCCACGCGAAACAAAATTCAAGCTACATGTATTTATTTTATAGTGACAGTACTGTATGAACACTGTTGATGCAATGATCGAAGAAGAGATTTAATCAACAGTGCATGAACATGTCACAAACGGCCAAGAGAAGAACGAGCCAAAGGAAAGTAGCAGCAGGATTAGAGCGCCCATAAGGTTAGAGTAAATTAACCCATCACCTTCTTCGATCTAATACTCTTGATCAACGTGAGAAAGGAATCATTTTTCCCCCTCACATTTCTAGCAATCATTTCAAGGTGAATGAACCCCGGGGTGGGAGAAAGTTACTCACCTGGTGTCGGCTGTTTCTGTATACCTCTATTATTTCTTGAACCACTAGTAGTATATTAGTCGGGTTGAATCGATAAGGTTTTACAACTCTCGAAAACAATGAGAAAGTTCGATTTGCATTATGAAACGAATACACATACATTTGTCGAACCATGTTAATCTTTGTGTTCTTTCTGTGCTCGGTTATAATCAATTCTACTCGTACACGCTCGTTAGATAACCACATTTCCAACGCACAGGAGCTACGAGCAAGAAAATTAGTCACAAAAAGTTGCCCTTGCAAACATGTTTGGAGATGTAACTTCTCGTTGTACTTCGAGGAGCGCTGTCGGGATATTGGCAAACATGACCAGTGTAAACGATGTATGAAGATTGTTGGTGTTTGTAATAATAATAATAATATCTAGTTGAGCGTGAATGTAAGAAATTTATCTACCTGTCGAACTTTGGCGAAACTGTCCTGATTCCCAAGACAGTCTAAGATCACACACACACAAAAAAAAACACTCTCATCCATCTGGCTCGAGTGATTATGTCGCCGCTTAAGTTGACGACTAAGGCCCTTGTGCAGCAGTCCTGAGCTCATACGTAGTCTACCAATAACAACTCAACCATTCGTGTTAATACTAAGTCATATCTAAGATGACTAATGTCAAGAACCAGTAGGTCTCAATAACTTGAGTTGTTGCCTTGCACGACTCCTTAAACCGAAGCCAACTCATATGAATTTAAACTATATATGCACAAATCTGCATACCATGTGTTTACATGCAAGAGACATAAATTCAGGGAAACAGAGACATGGGAGAAGATGGAGAAGGAGAGAGGAACCATGTGAGAACTGAGGAGGGTTTCGTTCTTCATGTGACTATTCAATTGTAAAGTAGAGACCAAATTAAGTTCAACTACTCTGCTCTGCTCCCCCCCCAAAAAAAAAAAAAAAGTCTCTGCCTTTCCTACGATGGCATGCTTCACCATCACATGCAACAGCTGAGCTCTCCAGTCTCCCCCCATTCCCCAACCCAACCACTTCTTTCAAAGCAGCTAGCGTAGATTGCGTTACAGATGACTTTGTATTTTAGTGCTGCAACGTTCTCTATCGCTTTCTTTGATGGTCTCGTAACTGTCGCCACCATATGCTTTGTATCTTCATTGCTTTTGACGCGCAAAACTGAGGAAATGAGAACGGGGTGCTTACGGTGAAGTAGGAATTGGGAAGAATATATAGTTCATTTGGGTTGCGGGTTTGAGCATGGATTGTTGTTGATTAATGTTTGGGTTCATTCACGAGGAGATTCAAATCATATATTTCGATTAGGGCTAGAAATCTAAATCAAACCGCGTTTGAGAAATCGTGATTTAGAATATATATATATATATATATATATATATATATATACCATGGTTTGGTCCAGATCGTGTGAGACCAGAACAACGGTCTGGTTTTGGTTGGTGGTATTTTTTTGTGATTTCAAGTGGTTTGAATCGTGATAAACCGCAAATAAACCATAGCAGAATATCGTTACCCACTATCCACTAAAACAAAAACAAATAAAATAATAACACAAAATCTTCGATATTTATGTATTTTGAAGAACAGGCCGCGAGACTGATCAATCAGACTATGTCGCGAGAAAGCAACCTGATATCATCATCCTGTTATAGATTTCCCCTACAGCAGGCACACAATGAATTTACTGGTTTTTGATTCGGCGAAAAATCAACAGACTTCTCTCAAGCAATCTCTTATGTGTTATTTCCTAATAAAAGAACCACACAAAAACAGTTTCAAGATGAGAAAATCATCTCCTCTCGTCATTGTCTGGACCAAGGTTGTTAAATCCCTATCGGACCCTCGATTGAACCCAGTCCGATCTAAATCGGGTTTCAAAACGGCCTCCATTAAGCCCCCCGGTCTGACCTCTAAAGAGGGAGAAGAAGAGAGGAAGAGGAACGAAGAAAGGGAGATGGTGGGTCGGTCATGAAGGTTAGGTAAATTTATTTGTGGATAATAAGTTTTTAATAGATACATGTAAGATAAATTTCATTTTAGTCATTAAATTTTTAATTACCACCTTATTTTTATATATATTTAGAAAATGACTAAAACGGCTCAAACCGGCCGAACCCCAATCAGACCATTAAACCTTAAATCCCTTACTTTACCAGTTGAATAATATAAATCGGTTTGGCAACCTTGTTCTGAACTGTTGTTGGGGTTGATAGTATAGAAAAACATGACAAAAACAAACTTTCTACTGCTTTTCCACCAAATTCTTCATTGTTTCTCTTAATGTATGCTTTGTGGTTCAATAGTATATAACTTATCCCAATTCCAATCAACTTCCAAAATTGTTCATCTGAGGTTCCTATCCAGGGTGTCGAGCCACTTTAAGGACGCCCCTAAGCAAGGGATATTAATTAATATTCTTTCCTACTTCATCTGACCTCAACCCTCTACGATATTCGTTGCTTCACGAAAGTGTCGCAAATTATAAGCATAGATCAATTGACTTTATTATATGTTATCCATTATAATAATCGGGTGCGTTTAGGAGTTGACTTTCTCAATCGGAATGCAGCGTGAAATCGTGCATAGTGATCCATACCAAAAGTCAAACCTCAAAGCAATTAGACCGAGTTTGGGGTAGTCTGGAGTACAAACGAAGAAAGAAGAAGAAAAACATCAAACCAGAAACATTTAGGGGTCGTTTGGAGAACAAGATTTGGATCGTGGATTTATTGAATCCATAGATTTAGCAAAATGTGATGTTTTTTTGCTACTTTTTGTATCGTGGATTGTAACTTCAGAGATTTTAAATATCTAAAATCTAGAGATATCAAATCTCTCATAATTAGAGAGATTCTACATCTTGATTTTGAAGATTTTCTCCCTCCTATTATATCTCTGGGTTTTTTTCATTTATCCCACTAAATACCCTTACCAATAAATTCTAAATATTTTCGAGCCAATCTAATTATTTTGGTTAAGGATAAACATGTTATGAGATAAAAAAAAAATAGAATTTCGTTTTTCATTGAATGTTAACAATCATAGTTACCAAACAATGAACATTTTCAAATCTTTTTTCAACAATCCAAAGAGTTAAAATCTTTGGATTGTCTAGAATCTAGAGATTTAGACTCCAATTCTCCAAACGAGCCCTTAGATTGATATTACCACATCATTAGATGAATCACTTATTCACCAATGAAGGTCGCCAATTTTAATAAGGAAGAAGCAATTCCCTGCGTATGGTTGAAATCAAGCTTTATTTACTTTCCCCTTACGTAAAGCAAGTCGATGCATATATGTCCCATATTAATAAGGAAGTTACTACTTTCAGTAGAACGCCCTCCAACTTGGAAGACTAAAATGGGAGTCCCAAGTCCTACGTTTGAGGCCACTTTAAACACATACCTGGTTTACACGTTAGTTAGATAATTAAGTAGGAAAAGAAACACCTAAAAAAATTAGTCCAATGCACTAGGCAGAGGGTTTGGTGCATGCGAAATTACTATAAAGCAAAGAATATGTTTGGTCTGATCAATTGAATTGTTAGAAGATGTTCACAAATAGATTATGTAACATTCATTTTACACAAAATCTTAACGGAAATTTAATTCATGAGTTTGAAGTTTACATGGTCACGTGATAGCTGATATTGATTGTTAATATAAGATTAGTCAATATTCGAATACAAAACCTCTCAATAATAATTAAAACCTTTCATCTCAAATCGTAGAACTAACTCATTCAAATAATTGATAAAAGAGGTTAAAGTTTAGTTACAAGCTTCCTAATATTCAAAAGTCTAAAACTTGTTAGATTAGGGGTTTATTGGGTTTAGTATATCTTTCTTGTAACTTGTTAGAAGAAGCTTCCTAGCTCCCTCCATTTGACTTCTACCATGGAGGGTTTGTTTATATTATTATCAATCCTCTTATGGTTATTTTAGTAGTTGAATGGCCAACTCCGAAATTTGGTTTTATCTACATATACGAGTTAGACGTTTTTCACAATCAAAAGTAAGTATTTATCGAATGACGTCAACAGATATGTAACTCGGATGTATATATATATGGTGGAACAACTTGGTGGATCAATCAAAGCACAATTTGTTTTTTGTCGATTCATCTTCTCGAGACCCATCTTCCAAATTAAATTTGAGACCATACAAAATATTCTCAATTTTTCCTAGCAGTGATTCTTCCCCTTTGAGATTGAACATAAATTTCTGGCCACGAACAGAAATAGGATAAGAAAGAAGAGGTCAAGCAGCAGAACCTAATTTTTCTGTATAATTTATCAGCGGCGTGGGGATGGATGAAAACGAGATAATGAGTGGAATTTATTTATTTATAAAAATAAAAGAACCACAAACCCAAAAAAAAAAAAGGTTATATATGGAGTTGACCTTATTCACAAATGTCAATTCTGAATTCGGATAACAAATATAAAAAAAGGGAAATTGTTGCTGGTGAGGGAGAGACGTGGCACACCCTAATGCCACTTCCTCCCTAATAATAAGTGATCAATTATCAGCTTCTTTGCTTTGCTTTGTTTAGTTGGTCAATATTCATCTTTGTTTTGCCCCACAAAAACAAATATTCTTATTAGGCCTCATCAATGGCGCTTTCTCAAACCCACTAAACAATCATATACAATCCATCACAACTATGAATATAATGAAAATTTCATTGCACAAATCAAAATAATACAGTTTCGAATATATAGTATAAGAAGAACTCGAAAATATGTTTTAGAACGAGCTGAAGCACAAACAAGTAATCTTCGTGAGAAAGGCTACTGAAGAAAGAGTGTCGGCTGCTTCAGCAATAGTTGAAACAGATTGCCAAACTCATATCGTTAAGGTCGACAAGGAAAAAAAAACTGACTTTGTTAGAAAATCAATGAAACTGCAAGTAGAATTGGAAACAATGTTTTAACAAGCATGCCTCATTTAACATCATACAAACTATCATACAATGGATTAAAAAAAATTAGCAGCATCCATTCTCCAAATCACCAAGCCAAACACACTCATTAAATCTTTTCTATGAACACTTCAGTTTATAGATATGCAGTTCCAACTTCCAACTCACCTAAGATAACTTAATTTTTTTTGCAAGATAAGTATGGCAGCTTATGCTGTCACCAGCCTATTAAGTTACTAAAGAGCAGCTAGAACTTAAACCAATAGATTAGTGGCAGTCATGAGAGCACCACAACCACTCCCATGGAGATTGGGACTTGTTTTTGGGGAGGAGATGAGGTTGGCTGCTGCACTGCCATTATTGGTGGGGAGTTTTAAGGTAGTGTCAACTGAGTGGTCTATCATCATTATCTGAAATTATTATACCCAAAAGTCAAATTGCTCAAAGTTTAGCCTACCTAATTTTATGGGACATTTTACATCATTTCAAGCACACTCCGAAAAATATACAATTCAGGAGAGTATTTCAGATAAATTTTGCAACTTTCTCTTCGGATGATCCAATCGACTACACATTTAGTGGTAATTTACCTCAATGTCATTTGTTGACCGTTCGATTATGATCGATAGCAAGGTTCAAGAACGTGCTAGGCCTAAGGCAACAGCAGTTTTGGGTCTTACCTAGCGCCTAGTCCCACTTAGACGACATGATGGATAAAATAACAATCTGAAATACTTCCCCCACTTTAATTCGCTTGATTAACAACAATAAAAATAGATCACAAGTTCATACATTCATAGCTCAATAGCTCACAAAGTTTTGATCTATTGAAATGATTGAGATAGAAGATTGAGTTTGTAGATGGTTAATTTCCTCTTATATTGAATGCATAGCTCTATTTAATTATGCATAGACAGCATCTAGGTGTCGCCTTACGTTGTTTTTGCATTCTGATTCTAGATATCTAACTTACTACAGAATCGCTAGAAAATGCATTTTGGCGTTGCCTAACGCCAAACTATGCCTAACCATAAGTTTAAGAGTGCCTTTTTAAACCATCATAGATAGGATTAATAAAGATTACCACCTATTAGGCTCTAGCTTTGTTGGGAAAAGAAACTCCTATAGTGTGTTTGCTTCTCTGCTCTGCCACCAAATTAAAACATGCACAACTGCACAAGCAATCAGATTATAACCACCACCATCTAAACAAGTTTACTTCCTTCCATAAGTAATTACTATTCCCCTCCTTCCAGCTTCATTTCACACCAATCCACCTGAAAATCAATGTCATTACCTACATCTTGACAGACACATATGCTTATTCAATTCAAGAATTCCGATCTTTCAAGGCCAGACAGCATGTTTGGTGACACAAACAACCTGTTACTTGGTCGGCCTTCCAACCTTAAACCCTCCAAAGACAGAAGGCAAAGAAACCTGAGCAAGTCAACTCCCCTACAAGGCATGAGAACATTGCAGAAGTTTTCTAACATCTGGTTCAACAAATTGACAGCAAACTGTTCATAACTTTGAGGTATGCAGAACATCTAGTTGTTGAACAACAATTCAAAATAATAGAGCGTTCTAGAGGTGATCCATCTAATTAGAAAGGGGGAAACCAATAAGGTTGAGAAGTAAATAAACATGACAGATTCAAAGAGCTGGAGAAAATTGAAAAGGGCAGAGATTTTAATTCCAGAACCTGCATTTCAATATCTCACTCATTATGATCGTAACCATGAAAACAAATGGTACAATTTCTGTGTATACAGAGTACAGCCCACTAGTGGCCGAAGAAGCACGCCTCAAATGAGTTTGTGATACCACACGGGATAAGCAAATACAAACAACAGAAACTACAAAGGATTTCAAGTAAAACGCTTTTCTTACATTCGCCAAAGTTACAGTAGAGTAAGCAGCTAACGGTGTTCTGGAGGCACACCCTTAGTCTTCGCCAGGTCCATCTTGCAACTCTCTCTCAAATCTTTCAGCGCAAGGAAGTTCTTTTCCTGCAAAAGAAGAAGCCAGCTGATTAATGAGACACAAAGAATGTGTCAAAATTTGCTTAATGAACGAACAATGGCAAGTAAACTTGTAGTTATGGCTTAGACATGGATGAAATGGATAACTGCAAGCCAAGCCTTGTGATGTGAGGCCGTAAAAAGAGTAAAGAGGTTCCTATAATAGAAACAAGTGTCAAATCACAAGATCTGCTGCAGATTCGATTCTTCAACACTAGACCTGCAAATTTAACATAGAAATGAGAGTTTCTTTTACTCACAATCTGGCAGCTTTCATGAGCAAATATATCCTCCATGTGCTGAAAGAGTGATCTCCATTGCGAAGTCAAGTCAGTCTCGAACTGAAGTGAGTTACTGGCATTTCCTTGATTGGGAACTTCAGCCTGCCTTCCCCTGGAAAACTTGTTCACCAAGATGCTAGCTTCTTTCTGACTCTTCTTCAATGCTAAACAAGCAGCAAGAAACGAAATGAATCAAAAGAAAAAAGATCCGTTTTGAAATGAAATGGTCATGCATGACAGTAAGAATTCGTTCTTATTCTACAAAAGCTTACAAGATAATCGACCCTTGATGTCTTGGTAGTGGAGGTCAGACCACATAAAAGCAGCTGATGATTACACATAACAAAAGCTTGCATCAGTACCATATACGAGAACCAACATTGTGCGTTATCGGTTAAGTAAAGCTTGCAAACCTATGAGAGCTAATACAGACCTGTCAAACAAAATGAACAAGAACACGTTTTCATGAAGTCGGCACCCAAGTCTGCATTAGCACAGGCACCTCCACTGCTTTCTTCAAACCTTGTGCATCTATCCAACTGAAAGGATTTCGAATTCTGGGAACTGAGCAACAATGAGCTCTCATGAAGCTCAGTTTTCTCACCTTCCAACCCATCAACACCGGGATCCCTGCACTCACTAGTCAAACCTTGACTACCGCCAAACTCCTCAGCAACTGATTGGCTCAGTGACACATTGTAAGAGACCCTCGCATCATCATCACTATCAGTCCTGCTAGATCCACAGCTATCTCTTGACCCATCTCCAATTTCTCCCACGCCTTTCTCAACAACATCAACACCACCATCTATGTGGTTAGATGCTTCTTTGGTTTCACTTGGGTGTTGCTCTAAGACCAAGGAAACTACATTCTCAAGTCCATCGCCACTTCCGATATCACTGTCAACAGGGTCCAAATCATGACCTTGCCCGTCTTTCTTAAGAAGCAGAACACCCTTCCCCTTACCGTCACCTGTAGTCTTAAACCCAGATTCGCACTTATCCCTGACCAAATTCTCCACTCCTAGACACACCTGCTTTGCAAAACCTGAAATCTCGAAACTTTCGACACCTTTCAACCCTGAATCGCCATAGATCGACGAAAACCCTCTCTTCAGTGGCTGATTCGTCACGTCCCCTAGGGCTTGGCGCGGCTTAGAAACCCCACCGGTCATATTTTCCCCCGCCATCGTTAACCCTATCAAATGAAACCAACTACGCAAAACCCAAGAGACCCACCTTCGGAATCAACCACAAAATCGAAAACCCAGCTCACCGATTCAAGGAAAGGAACAGAGGGAAATGGGGAATCTACTCACAGATCTGGGAGACGGCTGTATAAGAAGAGCAAATGGAAGGCCGAGGAGGGAAGCGGATCAACTGGCGCTCTGTTTATCCTTTGATGATGGATGGAGTCATGGAGATGGCGTTGGGAAGTATCAGTACCAGCTTGATTTTTGCGTGCCGAGGTCTGCAATTTTGGCGAGTAAAACCGGAGATTGATGTTCAAATTTTTGTGGGGGCGGGAAGGAAAATATTGGGGGTAAGAATCTCGCGTCCCTGAACCGCGAGCGTATATATATTCCCGCCGCACCATCCCAAGTCTATCAGTTGGGCTTGAATGTGGGCCAAGGACACCAGCCTAATCGTAGGCCCATTTAGAATGAATACGAACTCCATCCAGAAGAATGAACTTCGTAAGATGCTAAGAAAGGTGGAAGGTCTCTTGATATACAGTGGTGAGTGGTGATGGTTATAGGCGGAACCCCAGCTTTTAAAACCCGTTTGATTGGGTCAACGGTTTGATTTGATGGTTTGAGGTCGCAGGAGAGGTTCTCAGTCCGTCCATGGCAATTCGAGTTGGCAGGGCGAAAACGGTAGAAAGAGTAAATGGGAAGGGGAAGTCGAGTAATCAATGAAGGGAATTGTTCATAAGGTTTTTCAGTGGGTGGATATGGAGGATGAGATTCCAAGGAAGAGGAAACATAAAAAGGGATAGTCTGGGGCAATGGTAGGATTTCACTTTTTATGTTTCGGTTTGGATGCTTTATTATCCAAATCGTAAATATGGGTTGTTTTTTTTTTTTTTATACCGGACTTACTTTTCAAATTTCATGCATCCATAGTGAAAGTAGGTTACTAGGATTCGAACCATGACCACTTTAAAAAAAAGCAAAGATCATAACCAATCACACTAAGTACATTTGTTGTATCTTTTTAAATTAAAAACATATAATCGCAGAGAGGAAAAAACTCTTCCCCCATTTCAAATTTCCTGCTCCAGGAGCGTTTGTAGGAAGAGTAGAATAGGGAGTGTCAATTTTTTTCTTTTCCTCTGTGGAACGGGCCAACTTACCGTACACATGTGGATTTAAACGGGTCCAGGAGTGTTAATTTTTTTCTTTAAGTCCTTTTATTTCTCCGTGGTGGTAAAATATATATGAAAAGACAAAAACAATACTCATTTTTATTGATAAAAAGAAAAAAAATTAACAATAAACTAATGCATGGATTATAATGGGTTAACCGCTAATCATAAAATAAAAGAGTTGAATGGGTCTAACCTACACGGGATTTTCCCATCAAGTAAAACAAATGCACATCATGGGTTTGTCATTCTAAAACAAGCTATTTTCTCTAGCATAATATATATTATGCTATTATTTTATAGCTTACTGACTAAAATATAATGTATTTTAAAGTTATTCAATGGTTCAACCTCGACCAACCCAATTAGTCCAATTTTTATAATTTCAAATATATATTATGTAATTATTTAATATCATAATGATTAAATTATAGTGTATATTATAGGGAATCGTTTGGTATTTGTTAGTAAAAACCAAACAGAAAGATATATTTGATTATTTTTAACATTAAAACGATCCTAAACATTTTCAGTTTCCTTTCGAAATTCTATAGTTTTATTCCCGAATCAGTGATGTGCAAATGGCGAATTGCAGTCATCTCTTTTCTTTCATTATCTTTTATTTTCAAATAGAAAGTTTAAAAGTAAAGAATGATTAGAGTTTGACATGGGTCGGTCAAAAAGGCTGAATTTCAAGTTTTGGCCCGTTTTGATCAAGTAGAATTTATAATCACATGGTTCCTTGATACCCGATAAAAATCTCAATCCAAACCAGTTTGGCATGTGAGTTCGTGTCTACCACCATTTTCTAGGGATACAGGAACGGTGGTTCCTATCCCAAATCGTGTTGTTCATTCTTGATTTCTTTAGATTTTATCATGGCTTGGCAAAAAACCAGAAAGCACAATGATGACAATATGAAAGTTTTATAAAGCAAATTAATCGGCCAACAGGCCGAGTAAAAGCTAGCAAAATTTGTGAGATGCTCATTTCCCGAAAATCGACGGGATAGGCGATTTTTTATTCGATTTTCTGGAATTCGGTGTCTATAAAACTTACTCCACCTCATCATATTACCAGAAACAATATTGTTTCACAAGGTAACAGGTACTTGATTTTGGTTCATAAGGCTGATTTTTGATTCGTTGCATCATTCATGTCTCTTTCCTACTAAAATTCACTATTTTTATCACGTGTTCCAAAAAAAAAACTATACAACAATCAGCTATACACCCCATTACATTATCAAATTTCACCACGCTAGTATTTTATTGAGACGTATAAAATTAAACTTTGATTATACGAAGTGATATAATTGTGTATGGGAAAGGCGTAATTGCCAGTTTGGTAACTCGAATTGCTACAAAATTTCACGTTTGATCACTAAAATTGATTTATTCCATTAGTAGTCATTTAAATTAGTTGAACAGTCCAAGTTTGGTCACTCTCCGTTAACCTCCATTAGACTCCGTTAATGGCGACCGTTAAGTGATGACGTGGCTAACAGAAAATCATAGTCGGCATATTTTAACCCTAAAAAATGACTACCCGACCCGCCACGTCAGATTTGCCCGCAATATCACCCTTCCCTACCCAACCCGCAAACCAACCTAATAATCGACCCAACCCCAAACCCGACCCCCCTAAATCTGAAAAGTAAAATATACTTCCTTCTTTCTTCCCCTTCTCCTTCTCCTCCTCCTTCAAACCCTCCCCTCCTCATCAAACGCTCACCTCCTTCCTCGACCATTCACCGAAGCCCCCAAAATCGGCTGCCGCCACCTGGCGATCCCCGGCGTCAAAACCTACCTCCACCGCTACGGATTCGCAGATGGGTTTGCCATTGTGCAGAAGGACATGGATTTTCTTGTGGACAGGGTTTGATTTGAGGAGAAGCTCGCTCTTGGATCCGAATTGCTCCTGGAGGAACTCGTACTCGACGGATTTGACGTTGAGAGCGATTCTAGGCCTCATTACGTAAGGGCTCGCCCAGGCGCCAATCAATTTCACATCTCCGCGTGTGCTTCGGTATCACCAGCTGGTTCAACTTCCCGACGTCGATCGACGTCACCACTTTGTCGAACATATGCTCCTTCTCTATTGGCATCGCCGTCGAAGACGGTTCGGCTCCGCGGTGGAGATCGGAATCCGCATCGCTCGAGCTCCCGAGGGACAGGTCCACGAAGTCGAGCCGCCGGTCGTCGAAATTGAAGGTCGCGGGGGACGGGGCGGCGGCGGCGTGGTGGTGGTGGTGTTGAGGGAGGAAGTTTCGATACTAGATAGCGGAAGGAGATGCAGCAGCAACAGAAGAAGATTGAGAGGAGGGATCGTTGTAACTGGAAGGGAAATGGAGATTGGGGGTTGGAATTGCGGAAGCAGCACCATAGTCGTCTTCTTCTTCTTCGGATTCAGGGGGGCGGGTTTGGAGTTGGGTCGATTATTGGGTTGGTTTGCGGGTTGGGTAGGGAAGGGTGAATGGCGGGCAAATATGACGTGGCGAGTCGGGTAGTCATTTTTTAGGGTTAAAATATGCTGATTGTGATTTTCTGTTAGCCACGTCAATGGTCGTCATTAACGGGGTCTAACGGAGGTTAACGGAGAGTGATCGAACTTGGATTGTTCAACTAATTTAAGTGACTACTAATGGAATAAACTAATTTTAATGACCAAACATGAAATCTTGTAGTCATTCGAGTGACCAAACTTGCAATTAAGCCGTATGAGAAATATTGAGGGGAAGAATCGGTTCCTGAACCGCGGGAGTATTTATATTCCCGCCGCACTATCGCAATTCGCAACCCTACCGGTTGGGCTTGAATATGGGCCCAGGTCACCAGCCTAGTGCTAGGCCCAACAAAGAATGAATGCGAACTCCAGACTCGTGTACTTTCAGCCCAGGAGGAGGTTTGTACTTACTACTTGGCCAATGCCCGCCGCCGATGTCCCCCGGATGAATTCCGGTCGCCGGGAGACACCAAGTAGTCGCCGGTTAGGTGACCGGTCGGCCATCGCAAGCCCACCCATTTCCGGTCGTGAATTAAGACGGCGGCGCCGGCGGGAATGGAAAGGGAAGCTAGCAAGCCCACCTATTTCCTCTTTTACTGTTATTTTATAGTTTTTCATCCAACTTTACCAAAATCCCTTCCTTCCCTAACGAGCTCCCATTTTCGTTCAGTTCCGACCTCACACTCCAACTCGTAGCAAATTCAGATCCATCTTTCTCCCAAAACGGACCGGAAAAATTGATTAGCCGGTGAACCCTCTCTCCTGTCAAGAAGGTTTCCCTGAGTCGCCGCCTCCCTCAACAAAATCGAATCTTCGCTCCTTTCTTTCTACTGCCGTCGATTCCATTCAGCCCCTTGTTGTTTCCTCTCCTCCTTTGTAGCACCATCACAGCTTGCTCATCGTTTTGGTTGGTTGGTTGGATAGCGATCTTGCGCGGGTGAGTTTTGTTAGGGTTTTAGAGAAAAGCTCTTGATTTCTTTTGTCATTGTAGTTCCTGAAGTTTTTCTTTGTTCTTGTCAATTGGGGCAAAAGGAAATCACTAGTGGTATATATGTGTATAAACTAGTAATCCACAGTGACTGTTTTCATCTAAAGTATTGAGACAGACTTGGCTGCAAGAACCATCACTGCGAAGATGAAGTTGAAGCTGGTGGTGGACAAGAAGAAGAACAAGGTGATCTTCGCGGAGGCCCAAAAGGACTTCGTCGACCTGCTGATCTACATCCTCTCCCTCCCTCTAAGCGCCGTGGTGAAGTACTTGGACGCTGCAGGCCCAAGCAGCCTCGTGAAGCTGCACAGCAGCGTCGAGTCGATGAGGGAGGCAGGGTACATAAAGCCTCCACACAGCGACACGGGTGCTCCGAGTTACATCATCCCCAAGTTGTCGACCTATGTCCCCAGTTTGCCACGGCTGAATCCTGGGAATTTTAGGGCTCGTAGAAAGCTCTACAATTGCAAGAGCAGTCACAGGCATGTAGTGGACAGGGTACACGAAGGCAATTGGTGCGACTCCTGTAACGAGGGTATGGGCGAGGAAGTGGTGTTCGTGGAACGAGAAATGGAGGCTGACTACGTGAAGGAGATGGTCCCGTACATGGTCGCAGACGATCTCACGGTGTTGCCGCTGGATTACAGCTCTGTTTTCGCTGCCATGGAGGGCTTCAACCGAGCTGACGTGGTGGAGAAGGAGGTCCAAATTGGGCCTGACGAGGTGACTGATGTTTTGCTTATTACAGTTTTGTTTCTTTTGTTTTCCATTTTTTTTTATTTTTATGGAAGTTTTGTTTATGTGTTTGCAGGCTCTCGCATTGCTGAATGCTGCCTTGCACTCCAAGGAACCTCTCACTAGCGTTTTCCTGAAAACTGAAGCAGCACCTACCTCTCCCGTGAAAAGTGAATGATTGAACTCATCGTCGGCCGTCCATATTCTGCATGTTTCTGAGATTCAGTGAGTGAGTCTGTCTATGCAGTTTGCTTTTGGTTGGTTGTACGGGCGTTCAAACGGTTTGGTTACCGTGGTAATCGTTTTAACCGGTACTATTTGGATAATTTGGTTTGGTTAATTTGAATAATTGGTTTGGTTTGGTTTGGTTAAAGTTTTTAGCTTGTTTGATTTAGGTGGTTTGGTTTGGTTAAAGTTTTTAGCTTGTTTGATTTAGGTGGTTTGGTTTGGTTTCAGACACTCCTAACCAGTCAAACCAAATTAACTAGTTAATTAATTAGTCATATATCTAGCATATATTATATACACATACTTAATACTTTGCATAACAACTCAAGAGTTAACGTTCATCCCTTTTAGACTCATATAAAATATAAAGCTCATTATTGCTCATATAGTGTATATTTATATATATAAAGTGTAGACCACAACATAAGGACGCCTAATTTAGATAAATTTCATACATTATGATGGATGAAAACTTGAAAGGAAGGTCATTTCCAGCCTATGATAATTGCTGAGGGACTAAGTCAATTTACACAAACACAACAATTCATTAACCCATACCATTGTCATAAATTTTTGTTAGGTGAATACTTCTATACTAATAGTAAGATAATTGTCTTAGTTGCATGTATTTTTGTTAAGGGTCAACTATAACTACGTGTTGATTGTTATATTTTATTCATTATATAAATTGCGAATTGTTGCATTAACCAGAAAATTTTCATCATCAATGATAATGTGATTTTATATTGGTTAATCTGGTTAACCAATTAACCAAACCGATTAAACTTTAGTTTGGTTAATTTGGTTGTTGTATTAGTTTTGTGTTATGATATTGTATTCCATGATTAATGAAATTTAGGCTTATTTGGTTTGGTTATAACCATGGTAACCATTTGAACACCAGTTGGTTGTTTCATTGCCAATTATACTGCCAGTGGTTCGATTACTATTCACGAATATTAAAAGTCAAAGTTCTTATGTGACCAATTATTTACTGCTTCATGTTATGGATATTATGACGAAGATCCTTTTAATTTCGTATGTGAAAGATTGAAGAACACTCCTCTAATAAATAAATAAATAATGGTATTTACATGACAATTAGTCACTGCATATTTATTCGAGCACCCTATAATTGTTGCTAAATTTCATACTCTTTCAATTACACCGTACAAAAACAATTTTTAAGTATATTTTCTTCATTAATCGTCTGATATCGCCTACAACGAACTCCCGAACCAACACATTTAGAAAGTATTTTTCTCGGTATGAAAATTCCAAACCCCCATTCAAGTGCATGTAAATCTGCAAATAACAACTTCCATGTTCCTCTTCCTCATCAAGTAATATGACCGCCATAGTCACTTCTAGAGTGACCTAACTCCACTCTATCGCAGTATGGGGATAAGCCGCATTAAGATAGAAAACAAATGACCAATTAGTGTATTAGGTGGGCGATTTCCCCAACCACAAATAGGGCCGCAAATGAGCCGAGCTGTTCGCGAGCGGCTCGACGCTCGACTCGGGAAAAGCTCGTTTGAAACTCGGCTCATTTACTAATGAGACGAGCTTGAGCTTAGCCTTCTGCAGCTCGTGGAGCTCGCGAGCTAGCTCGACTCGGTGGCTTGTTGAGCTCAACTCGTGAGCTGGCTCGTTAAGAGTTCATGAGATGTCTCAACTCTCAAGATTGTGGCTAGAGAGCCAACTCGATTACCGAGTTATGAGCGAATCGATCTATATGAGTTTGATTTTGATAATTCATAGGATTGTTAAATTATATATCTCACTCTATATGAAGTTTAACACGTAGATTATGTGAGCAAATATGTTTTATTTAATTTTAAAAAACAATTATGTATCATAGATTGCTTTGATAATGTGAAATAACATAATTTTCACAAATTAAAATTGATCAACTAAATAATTTTATACCACAAAGTATAACATAAAATTAGTTAATATTGAACACTTAACTATTATTATTATTTTCTTCATCTTGGCATTAATCACATAATCATGTATTACATACAAAACGAATATATCAAATATGAGTCAAGATTTTATTAAGCAAGCTTGCTCGCAACTCGACTCGACTCGGCTCATTAATAAACGAGCCGAGCTGCTATCTCGTACGTGCAGTGCGCAATCGGGCGTTTGTGATTAGGACTGCAAATGAGCCGAGTCGAGTTTTCCTCAATTTGGGCTCGGCTCATTAACAAATGAGTCGAGTTAACTCGACTCGGCTAATTTGCCGCCTTAACCACAAACTCCCACTGCACGCACGAGATCGAAATCTGCACGGTAATGGAACGAGACCCGCTTTGTTGCTTTCTGCTGTCCCAATCCCATTCGTCGCCATTGCCACATTATCCATTAACCACTCTCCCAAAATAATCCTATCTATTCACGTCTCCAGTCTCTGCCTTTCTTCATTCATGGCAGCCATTCCAATCCCTTCCCTTCAATCCTTCGACCAATAAATTTCAACTTCAATTCCCCTTTCCCTCCCAAATCCATTTCTTCCCCCAATTGGGTTCCTGTCAGATCGCCTTCCGAGCAACTGTACTCGTTCGTTGCTGTCGACGAACAGGGTGGAATCTCTCTGCACAATTAATGGCGGAAGGAGCATAGTTTGTACTTTGTCGCCATTCTCTCACTTTCCACTTTGTTGGGTTGTTCCCCTTCTTCTCCGCCTAGAAGAAAAAAGAAAGAACAGGAATTTGGGGAGAAAAAGGGTGGAAATTGGGAAAAGGATGAGTTGCTCTGTTTATCTGGGTTGTTGTTGGGTACACACATCTTCGACCTTCTTCACCAGATCCAGATCCAAATCCCTGACTCCTCCGTCCTTCAAAACCCTCTCTTTCCCCATCGATTACTCGATTCCGCCGCCACGGCGGCGGCGCATCTCCTCCACCGCGTCCGCCGTTCTCACCAGGGAAGATAAGGAAAAACCGTCGTCCCTCCACGAGGAATCCGATCCGAAACCCACCTTCGATTTCAAGGCCTACATGGTGCAGAAGGCGAATTCGGTGAACCAGGCGCTCGACGCCTCCGTCCCGCTAAAAGAGCCGGCGAAAATCCACGACTCGATGCGGTACTCCCTCCTCGCCGGCGGGAAGCGGGTGAGGCCGATGCTCTGCCTCGCCGCCTGCGAATTGGTCGGGGGGAACGAATCCATGGCCATGCCCGCCGCCTGCGCCGTGGAGATGATCCACACCATGTCCCTAATCCACGACGATCTCCCCTGTATGGACAACGACGACCTCCGCCGCGGGAAACCCACAAACCACATCGTGTACGGCGAGAGCGTCGCCGTTCTCGCAGGGGACGCCCTCCTCGCCTTCGCATTCGAGCACATCGCCGTCGCCACGCCGACGAACGTCCACCCGTCACGAATCGTGAGGGCGATTGGGGAGCTGGCGAATGTGATTGGCGGGGAAGGTCTGGTTGCAGGCCAGGTGCTCGACATAAGTTCCGAGAGAAATTCCGAGGTGGGTCTGAAAGAACTGGAGTTCATCCACGTCCACAAGACGGCCAAGCTGCTCGAGGGCTCGGTGGTTCTGGGCGCGATCCTCGGCGGCGGGAGCGACGGCGAGGTGGAGAGGCTGCGGCGGTACGCCAGAGACATCGGGCTGCTGTTTCAGGTGGTGGATGACATACTCGACGTGACGAAATCGTCGCAGGAGTTGGGGAAGACGGCAGGGAAGGACCTGGTGGCGGATAAGGTGACTTATCCGAAGCTGATGGGGATCGAGAAATCGAGGGAGTTCGCGGAGAAGTTGAATGATGAAGCTAAAGAGCAGCTGGTTGGGTTTGATCCGGTGAAGGCTGCGCCTTTGATTGCTTTGGCTAACTACATTGCTTATAGGCAGAATTGAGGATCCAGATTGTGGTCTTTGATGTGGGATTTTGTTGTAATAGAATTGAGAATCCAGATTTAGGAAGAGCAAGAGGGGGATTTGGGGAAATTGCTGGCATTGTGTAGTGTTATGGAGATTGTTATATAGAGCAGTTGATCGAGTGAACTTGGCTCATGGATTGTAGCAGATTTTAGTGCAGAGAGGAATGACAGCCACAGATTATATGAATTATGCTTAGGTCCTTAATGGATGTGGAAGGCTGCAGTTTTAGTTTGATGGGCTGGTGTTCTTTCTGGATGAAGTGATCTGGTTTGTTACAGACCATGACTCAATGAGTGGCAGATGCTGTGCTTGAGAAGCCATAGCTAGGTAAAAGGAAAGGAAACAAGGGAGAAAGAAATAGAAACAGGGGAGGGAACATATAGAACTGGAAAACATAAAAAAAAGCGCCGTTGCCGGGGATCGAACCCGGGTCACCCGCGTGACAGGCGGGAATACTTACCACTATACTACAACGACATTGTTGTTCTCGATCTGCAGTTTTACATTTTGTCAAGTATGTGGATGATCCAAGAGTAAATTTACTTTATTAGACAGTAGTACATCTAACGCTAATAACAAAAGACAAATAGCTGTTAGCATTCAGATTGACAAGAAAAGCACATTATGAGTGTCATTATATGTAGTGAAGTTTTCTTTAATAATATCACCATGACGCATTATCAATGTGAGAAATTAAATTATTAATAACTCAGACAAAAGATGGATCAATAATTTGAGCACCAAGCAGTTGGACAAACCGAATGGCGGTGGCCTTCATCGGCGGACTGATTGAGCGGGAACAATGCAACATAATACACGTGTAGGTTTAGCGAGCCACTCATATACTAGCCATCTCGAGGCTATGGATTAATGCTATAACTTCAAACTAATCCTGCATTGATGAAGTTCTTTTTATGAAACAAATATCCTCCTCTTCTATGATATCAGCTATAAAAGTAGAAGGTGAAAGTGAGTGACTAATTCGCTTATATATAGTACATTTGCATCTCTTTCTAGATCGATATTTTTGTTGTTGTTCCCGTATCTTTCATTATAATAAGCAGGTCATCCAAATATGTTTCCTGCTAATTGAATAGCAGAACACCAACAATAACTACGATCTTAAAACTCAACCTTGACACAGACAAATCTAACATTTCCATTGAAGTCAAGAAACAACAAATAAGGACAAGACATGATCCAAGTTTTGGCACCGTCCTCATTGTCTAATTACTCTATTGTTAGTTCTTACATAACATCCGATCATCAAATACATATTAGATGGTTATCATCCTATACTATGGACCAACTCATATTACTCCAAAGATGCAAGACCCAATAATAAATTGTGCAAATTCTCAGGATACCAAATGTAATTAACCAAAAAAATCTGCATTTTGGATTCATTTAGACATTCTTTGGAAAGCTCTTTTGTCATCATCAGACCAATAGCCACCAAACAAGTAAATAATAATCTGAAAATAGAAATGGAAAAAGAGCAGAGAGCGAGTAACCCAAAATTGAACGACGAACCAAGGAAGGCAAAAACGCGGATAGTTGGTTGACACCATGGTTTCCTCCTCTCTTCTCTAACAATTCTCCTTCTCTTTGCTTCCTTCCTCAAGTCTCTCACAAACGGTCAAACGCCATTCCTCCAGCCGCCTCAGTTCTTGCTTCTGGGCAAAATCCCTCCTTCCCATTTCACAAGATCGCAGCTTTTTGCATTAAGCTTTCTGGGTCAGCTTCAGATTCGGTCAATTTTCAGGTAACTCGAAGCTTCAATCAGCTTATTCACTTCCCAAAAGAAGTTCACTTTGGGGAAATGTTCGTATAGGGTTTCAGTTCTGCATAATTGGTTTTCAATTTCTGAATGCTTTGGCTGTAAGTTCAGTTTAGCTACTTCGATCTCTCAATTTTTAGTGCAGTTGTGGAATTTAAGAATTGGTGGCTTTACATTTGGGGGAAAGTTCTGAGCTTTACTTTGGTAGCTTGTTCTTAGCTTTTCCAGCGGCGAGTAAAGCATCTGATTTTCAACTTATGTGGTTCGTTTTACCTTTAATTTGGATATGATGGGAGGGCAATGTAGTAAGGGCAGCAAAACTGTTGAAGACCCCTCACCATCATCAAGTAGCGGTAGAAAAGCCATTGAACCTGCACCTTCAGACTCCACCATGAACCCTAATCACCACATGTCAGCAGCATTGACCTCTTACGAAGACGCCTGCAAAACCGATCCAGAACTGCAGGCATTCGATGCAACCCTCCATGAGAAAACCAATCGAGTCATCAACAGCCTTGCCACAACCGTCGAGGTCAGATCTTTATCCTTTGATTCGCTCAAAGAGGTCACCAGCTGCCTCCTTGACATGAACCAGGAGGTAGTTAAAGTCATACTCGACTGCAAGCGAGATGTGTGGAAGGATGATGACTTGTTCGAATTGGTAGAGGAATACTTCGACAACAGCATCAAGACCATGGACTTCTGTGCCGTCCTCGAGAACTGCCTCAAGCGAGCTCGTAACAGCCAGCTTCTCATCCACGTAGCAGTCAACCAGTTCGAGGAAGAATGGCCTTTGCAAGTAGGGTTTGCGAAGACGTTGCACGAGCTGAAGATGTTTAAAGATGCAGAGAATCCTTTCACCGAAGAGTTTTTCAACCTGTTTCAGCTGGTTTACAGGCAGCAGATTTCAATGCTCGAGAAGCTGCAGCGCAGGAAGTCGAAGCTCGATAAGAAGATCAAGTCGATGAAGAAATGGAGGATGGTGACCAACGTGTTGTTCGTCTCTGCATTTGTCTCGGTGCTTGTTTTCTCGGTGGTGGCAGCTGCTATCGCTGCACCTCCTGTCATCACAGCATTAGCTGGAGCTTTAGCTGTTCCGATTGGTTCAATTGGGAAGTGGTGCAATAATCTGTGGAACAAGTATATGCAGGCATTGAAAGGGCAGAAGGAGTTGGTTAGTTTCATGCAGGTGGGGACTTTCATTACTATTAAAGACATGGATACTATAAGGGTGCTTGTGGGGAAATTGGAAGTTGAGATAGAGGGTTTGGTGCAGAACACGGAGTTTGCTTTGCAGGATGAAGGAGGAGTTGCTGTGAAGCTTGTGATCGATGAGATCAAGAAAAAGCTAGCGATGTTTAATGAGACCATTGATGCTTTAGGGGAGCATACACATAAGTGTAGCCGGGATATTAGCCAGGCGAGGACGGTTATCTTGCAGAGGATTATCAGGTATCCTGGACAATGATGATCATTGGTGAAAGATTGTCCCTTTCAGTTGATAGAGGTCAAATTAACTTGCAACCAAGCCATCTATTTACCATATAGATAGATATCTACTACTGTTGTTCTTAATGATGCATCTCCTCTAATGCAGGAGGCTTTCTTTTCATGAAAAGAAGCTGTTGGGTTCTTTCTTTATTGTCTTCTACCCTTTTAACATGAGTTGTATTGGAGAGATATGATACTTTGAGTGATTTTGATTTAATTCATGTATTGATTGAGTGTGATTGTTGAAGCTCAATATAATGCAGTTACCTATTTGTCAATGATGAAGAAGATGCTGGTTCAACTTTTTTCTTGTTTTTTCCTGTAATTTTTTTTTCCCCATCTTACCCACAATTGTATCAAAATTTTGGTCTGGGCCGTGCAGGACTACTGGGCCAACCTCGGCCCACATGAAAGCCCTCTTAAACTCCGCCGGCTAGTTAGTCGCGCGACTTCTCTTCCTTGCTTTACTTCTCACTTCTCAGTTCTCCACCGGCCACCGGCCGTTAACACAAAAGCCATCAACGATACAGAATTCCCTGTTGCAAGAAAACAGCAATCTTTCATATTCAGCGAAGCGCGATAACCCATATGTTTCGCCCCAATGGGTTCAAGCGATTTCCCGTCAAGCATTTACCTTTCTTCATATTCACCCATTCCATCCACATCCACCAATCAGCTCGCCGGAAGCCGATCAAACGCTTCACCAGAGCTTCCAAACGGCCGCCGAAGTCGTCAACGAGAAAGGAATTAGGAGGAACCAACTCCTATATGCGAAGCATCGTCACCAACATATACGGAATCCTGAAGTATTCAGATTGGGAGGCCGCGCAAGAGCAGCTGTCCAACCTCAGAATCAAATGGGACTCGTACACGGTGAACCGGGTTCTCAAAACCCACCCGCCCATGGAGAAATCCTGGCTCTTTTTCAACTGGGCAGCCTCGGAGCTGCGAGGGTTCAAGCACGACCAGTTTACCTACACGACGATGCTCGACATTTTTGGGGAAGCTGGGAGGATGGAATCCGTCCGCTACGTGTTCGATAAAATGCGTGAACGAGAGATTGAGATTGATGCGGCGACTTACACTTCGGTTATGCATTGGGTTTCCAAGTCCGGTGATGTGGATGGGGCGGTGAGGATTTGGGAGGAGATGAATGAACAAGGGTGTCGGCCTACGGTGGTTTCGTATACTGCGTTTATGAAGATTCTGTTTGATAGTGGGAGGGTGAAGGAGGCGACAAATGTGTATAGAGAGATGCTTGAGGTTGGAATTACTCCCAATTGTCATACGTATACTGTGCTAATGGAGCAGCTAGTTGTTGCTGGTAAGTTGAATTGCGAAGAAAATCCTGGAGCTTTATGGTGATTTGTTGACTATTTCGAGCTTTTGTAGATTGTACCCTTTTTCCTCTGAGACTCTTTTCTGTGATGAGTTTTTAGGCAAGTACCAAGAGGCTCTTAACATTTTCAACACAATGCAAGAAGCGGGAGTGCAGCCGGACAAAGCCGCATGCACCATTTTGATCCAGAAATGTTGTGCAAAGGGAGAGACCAAGACAATGATTCCTGTTCTCAATTATATGAAAGAGAACCGAATCGTGCTTCGGTACTCTGTGTTCCTGGAAGCATCGAAGGCCCTACATGTTGCTGGCGAGAGCGACGCCCTCCTTAGGCAAGTCAATCCTCATTGCTTTGACGAATCGTCTGTTTCCACAACTTCTGCAAATGACCTTATAGATAGTGCCCTCGTTCAGATTCTCTTGATGAAGAAAAGTCTCATTGCAATAGATCGGTTACTTACATATATGATAGATAAGAACGTTTTGTTGGATGCTTGGACTGTCTCATACATGGTCGAGAAGAACTGCGAACTTGGCAGACTGGATGGTGCTTTAGTAGGATTTGAATACAGCAGGAAAATGGGAGTGGGACTTGAAAGAACAGCATATCTTGGCTTAACCGGAACGGTGATGAGATCGAATATGTTCGATAAGGTTCTCGAGATTGTCAGAGAAATGATCAACTCGGGACACTCTCTCGGAATCTATCTAAGTTCTGTTTTTATATACAGGCTTGGGAAAGCTAGAAGACCCACCTGTGCTGCGAAGTTGTTTCGTTTGTTGCCTAATGACGAGATTTGCACTGCTACTTACACTGCTCTCATTAGTGTACACTTCTCTGCTGGTACTTCAGAGAAGGCGCTCGAGACTTTTGAGGCGATGAGGAAGAGAGGCATTCTGCCTTCATTAGGAACCTATAGAATTCTGTTGGCGGGTCTTGAGAAGTTGGGTAGAGCAAGTGAAGTAGAAGTTTACAGGAGGGAAAAGAATAGCCTATTGAGTCAGGGTAATAGTCGGGATAATGTTCCTCTTGATCAAAAGATTTGTGACATTCTGTTTGCTGGGGATTCGGTGACTTGATTATATGTGCTGGAAGTAAGGTTGCTTCGACATCAGAATGCTTCTGCAGAGCTCAACGCTTATAAGCGGGGAGAGTTGGAGAATGAACTTGTTGCTCTTGATTGTCTTGTTCCCAATCCTCAACACGCAGGGATTTGTTGCAGCTGATATATATTTATCAGTATCTGTCAAAGAGAGTCCAGATGTGTTCATTGCTATCCAGGAAGCCGAATTTGAAATCTCTGACTGAGGGGAAGGTCAGCTGGATTGACCTAATTGGTGAAGTGTTGTCCTGATCTAATATGATCCAGCTGTTGGTTACCACAACATTACCCTCCTGCTTTCGCATTTCATTCTCTCTAATCCAGATATGATCAGGATTATGCTCATCTGCTTGCTCACTGCAACATCATTCCTTGTTGATGAGGTAATCGATCTGTTCTGTTTAGAGCTTAGAGGATGTAACGACCCCAGAATAGTCTTTTCTCCCCGCAAGGGTCTTGTTTTTATTTATCTTCACACCATGACACCATTGCACCTAACAAAGTTCCAACTTTGTCAACTGCCTTAGAATACTGAAGAAAAACGCTTACTTGCAGCACGAAGAGAAGTTCCTTTTGGTGGATATACATATCGATATGTTTCAAGTGAGAAATGGATCACAATGGGTGCTACTGCTGGCTAGGCTACCTACCCAATTATGCATTGCATAATTCAATGAAATTAAGGCCAAGCCAAGCCAGCACATGGTGCTGCTAGGTCATGTTCTGTTCTCCCAGATGAATTTTGCTGACTCATTTCTCAGTGAATGTTGTCCAAATGTACATTATGAGGTTGTCTTTTAAGGTTAATCAAATGTGGGATAAGAGATAATTGGAATCTAAGTACATTTACTAGTATATGAATGTTGCGACAAATCGTCTAAATGTCTTTTTGGTCGTCTTGATTGACTGTATAATGTCTCTACCAACAGTTAGTTACACGAATGGTGATGATTTTGAAATCGTAATTCAAGAATGATGTATATAAAAAAAAAAACCGACGAACTCGAACATCTCTAATGTCCATATATATATATATATAAATAAAGCATCATATCCATATGTGCCCACGGCAATTACAGTGCAAATCCGGGCTCAGAATATGTGCGGCAGTGCTCGATTCGGAGATTATAGATGTATAGAATAAAAACCGAAAGCCCATGTTGGATTGAATTAGATAGAGAAGATTATGTCAGATTTCTAAGGTTATGTAGGTACAAGTTAGAAATGGAATAGGGTTCTGCCATCCATTTGACATTTGGTGCACCCATAGTGCAGAATTTTTTCACAATGCTTGCCATGCTGCATCACACACAAGTCACAACACGTATAAGTCGGCATAGGTCTAATCAAGATCTCAACAAGTTATATTCTTGTCTTGATAATTGTTGGTACGAAGAACATTTATTCGATAGCCACGCTATTGTTTCTAATAACACTTTTAAGAGTTTGAGCGAAAGGGTTATATCCTCTTTAGTCCTTGTGAATAACTCGAAATAGATGGTGGATTGGATCAGCAACGATACTTATTTAAATATAAACTTGAAGAAGAACCAGAAAAAGATGCAAACAAGTCTATCAACCAAGGGTTTTGGTGCCCATTTAGGCGCTTGGTGTTGTATTTTTTTGGCCGAGTTACCTTTTCCTCTGGATTAATCCTTCGACTTTGACACCATATGTCGAGGGCAAGACGATTAACATTTGTATCATAGTTGTCTGCTTCGGCCAATAACCACACGAATTCGTTATTAAACATCTTTCTAAAAAGTCTCGTACTAAATGAAGCTACATCAATATTATATACAATACAACTTTTCCAGAGATCACACTTACATCTAACTGGAGATGGAAAAAGACGTGATTGGTTCTGGCGCACGTATAAAATGATTCAAGAGTGATTTGAAAGGAGCGAATAACGCTTATGTTAAAATCTTTATATTTTGGCTACACATTTATTATTACCCAATCATTTCAAACCAGACTTTGATTTACTATTGATTTTTCAGTGATAATAAATTCATTATATGATTTTTTTCGAAGAGGGAGGCCAAAGCCAAGCAACAGAAGATTACAGGGGAGAGTTAAGAGAAGGGGTCCGAGTGCGTGACCACCCGCCGCTCAAAAATGGTGTCGATGGTGTCTTCACAAAGAATGTGAATTAAACCTGAAGGTGGGTTTGCAAGCTCATGTGTACCGTAGGGATAGACGAGACTGTGCTTCGAAAACCAGTCCGCGACTCTGTTCCCTTCTCGATACGTATGAGTGATTCTAACCAACCAATCATGACTTACCTTCCTACGAATTGCCGAGAGTAGGGTGGCATAGGGGTGAACCGGATCATGTCTGCTGGAGATGAGCTGAATAGCCAAACAGGAGTCTGATTCCACATTCAGGTGCATACAGCCAGTGTTCCAAGCGAGATCAAGGCCATAAGAGAACGCCCAAAGCTCAGCTTGAGCCGCCGAAGTTGTTCCAATATTCGCAACAAAGCCGGAGACCCACTGCCTAGAGGAGTCTCGGATAACACCTCCCGCCCCAGCTGGTGTTGGGTTCCCATTTGAAGCTCCATCGATATTTAGAGTTCTCCAACCTGCCTGGGGAGGCCTCCATCCTAGATGATGTGCCCTTTCCTTCCACCGGGTAGACGGGAGGGAGCCTCCCAGGCCTCGTGCCACAACTTGGTTTTCGCAATGATGGCGGGTCTTGAGAAGTTGGGTAGAGCAAGTGAAGTAGAAGTTTACAGGAGGGAAAAGAATAGCCTATTGAGTCAGGGTAATAGTCGGGATAATGTTCCTCTTGATCAAAAGATTTGTGACATTCTGTTTGCTGGGGATTCGGTGACTTGATTATATGTGCTGGAAGTAAGGTTGCTTCGACATCAGAATGCTTCTGCAGAGCTCAACGCTTATAAGCGGGGAGAGTTGGAGAATGAACTTGTTGCTCTTGATTGTCTTGTTCCCAATCCTCAACACGCAGGGATTTGTTGCAGCTGATATATATTTATCAGTATCTGTCAAAGAGAGTCCAGATGTGTTCATTGCTATCCAGGAAGCCGAATTTGAAATCTCTGACTGAGGGGAAGGTCAGCTGGATTGACCTAATTGGTGAAGTGTTGTCCTGATCTAATATGATCCAGCTGTTGGTTACCACAACATTACCCTCCTGCTTTCGCATTTCATTCTCTCTAATCCAGATATGATCAGGATTATGCTCATCTGCTTGCTCACTGCAACATCATTCCTTGTTGATGAGGTAATCGATCTGTTCTGTTTAGAGCTTAGAGGATGTAACGACCCCAGAATAGTCTTTTCTCCCCGCAAGGGTCTTGTTTTTATTTATCTTCACACCATGACACCATTGCACCTAACAAAGTTCCAACTTTGTCAACTGCCTTAGAATACTGAAGAAAAACGCTTACTTGCAGCACGAAGAGAAGTTCCTTTTGGTGGATATACATATCGATATGTTTCAAGTGAGAAATGGATCACAATGGGTGCTACTGCTGGCTAGGCTACCTACCCAATTATGCATTGCATAATTCAATGAAATTAAGGCCAAGCCAAGCCAGCACATGGTGCTGCTAGGTCATGTTCTGTTCTCCCAGATGAATTTTGCTGACTCATTTCTCAGTGAATGTTGTCCAAATGTACATTATGAGGTTGTCTTTTAAGGTTAATCAAATGTGGGATAAGAGATAATTGGAATCTAAGTACATTTACTAGTATATGAATGTTGCGACAAATCGTCTAAATGTCTTTTTGGTCGTCTTGATTGACTGTATAATGTCTCTACCAACAGTTAGTTACACGAATGGTGATGATTTTGAAATCGTAATTCAAGAATGATGTATATATAAAAAAAAAACCGACGAACTCGAACATCTCTAATGTCCATATATATATATATATAAATAAAGCATCATATCCATATGTGCCCACGGCAATTACAGTGCAAATCCGGGCTCAGAATATGTGCGGCAGTGCTCGATTCGGAGATTATAGATGTATAGAATAAAAACCGAAAGCCCATGTTGGATTGAATTAGATAGAGAAGATTATGTCAGATTTCTAAGGTTATGTAGGTACAAGTTAGAAATGGAATAGGGTTCTGCCATCCATTTGACATTTGGTGCACCCATAGTGCAGAATTTTTTCACAATGCTTGCCATGCTGCATCACACACAAGTCACAACACGTATAAGTCGGCATAGGTCTAATCAAGATCTCAACAAGTTATATTCTTGTCTTGATAATTGTTGGTACGAAGAACATTTATTCGATAGCCACGCTATTGTTTCTAATAACACTTTTAAGAGTTTGAGCGAAAGGGTTATATCCTCTTTAGTCCTTGTGAATAACTCGAAATAGATGGTGGATTGGATCAGCAACGATACTTATTTAAATATAAACTTGAAGAAGAACCAGAAAAAGATGCAAACAAGTCTATCAACCAAGGGTTTTGGTGCCCATTTAGGCGCTTGGTGTTGTATTTTTTTGGCCGAGTTACCTTTTCCTCTGGATTAATCCTTCGACTTTGACACCATATGTCGAGGGCAAGACGATTAACATTTGTATCATAGTTGTCTGCTTCGGCCAATAACCACACGAATTCGTTATTAAACATCTTTCTAAAAAGTCTCGTACTAAATGAAGCTACATCAATATTATATACAATACAACTTTTCCAGAGATCACACTTACATCTAACTGGAGATGGAAAAAGACGTGATTGGTTCTGGCGCACGTATAAAATGATTCAAGAGTGATTTGAAAGGAGCGAATAACGCTTATGTTAAAATCTTTATATTTTGGCTACACATTTATTATTACCCAATCATTTCAAACCAGACTTTGATTTACTATTGATTTTTCAGTGATAATAAATTCATTATATGATTTTTTTCGAAGAGGGAGGCCAAAGCCAAGCAACAGAAGATTACAGGGGAGAGTTAAGAGAAGGGGTCCGAGTGCGTGACCACCCGCCGCTCAAAAATGGTGTCGATGGTGTCTTCACAAAGAATGTGAATTAAACCTGAAGGTGGGTTTGCAAGCTCATGTGTACCGTAGGGATAGACGAGACTGTGCTTCGAAAACCAGTCCGCGACTCTGTTCCCTTCTCGATACGTATGAGTGATTCTAACCAACCAATCATGACTTACCTTCCTACGAATTGCCGAGAGTAGGGTGGCATAGGGGTGAACCGGATCATGTCTGCTGGAGATGAGCTGAATAGCCAAACAGGAGTCTGATTCCACATTCAGGTGCATACAGCCAGTGTTCCAAGCGAGATCAAGGCCATAAGAGAACGCCCAAAGCTCAGCTTGAGCCGCCGAAGTTGTTCCAATATTCGCAACAAAGCCGGAGACCCACTGCCTAGAGGAGTCTCGGATAACACCTCCCGCCCCAGCTGGTGTTGGGTTCCCATTTGAAGCTCCATCGATATTTAGAGTTCTCCAACCTGCCTGGGGAGGCCTCCATCCTAGATGATGTGCCCTTTCCTTCCACCGGGTAGACGGGAGGGAGCCTCCCAGGCCTCGTGCCACAACTTGGTTTTCGCAATGATGGAGTGGGAAAGCGAAGGTAAAGAAAGAGCCGCACCACAGCCCCTTTGAAGACATAGGTACATCTGTTCTTCCAGAGGAGCCATGCAGCGGTACTGAAGTATGTCTCCCAGCTCATTCCTGTGTCCAAAGAGTCACTGCAGAAAAGGTTGTCTCGGATCCAAGCTGTCTGATTACTGTTGAAGAAAGCACTTTGTCTTTGGGTGGGAACCTGTCGAGTCCAGAAGTAACGGGCCGGGGGGCAGTCGCGGAGGATGTGGAAGACTGTTTCAGGCTGCCCATCACGCCTGCTGCAGCAGGGTTGCCGGCCACCTTACGTGCATATCTGAGAGAATTAGGAAGAAAGAGTATTAGGAAGCAAATTGATAACCAAGTAAAAAACCATTTGTCAAAGAAAGCAAACTAATCCTTTCATTCATACACCTTCCTAATCAAGCGTCACACCATATAATGAAAACGGAACACTATTCCTAATCAGATGTGGCGACACGTTTGCGTGAACTCGAAACTCGACGAACAAAAATATTATTTCCGTGCAACCACGTCCATTCTCCAATCCTGCACCCTACCATATTACGATCGCTTGACACGCTGACACGTGTCCAATCAGATTCAACGTCACCCGCTTTGGTCCTAGCCGGACTGTCGCTCTACCCGGTCAGACCTATGCCCATCGCCCAACCACCTGCCAGCCGTTGATTAGTTTTACTTTTTCTATTTGAATCATAAATAAATTAAATTAATTTTGGTCATATCCCAATAGACGGTGACGAGGGATTCCAACTAAAAGTTATAAAATAATAAACTAAAAAAAGGTCCGCCAGCCACGTGTACGGTGATAAGCTTTTTAGTGATGAAGGATTTTTGTTATCGTGAATGGGCCCACCATCCGCAACAGCCCACTTTATCCGATTTTCTCGCGACCCGAAACGAGAATATTTCCCAGGACTGGGGGCAAGTACGGAACAAAAGAATATGCCTACCACTTGCCAGCTCAACACGACGCGAGACGCTAAAAAAAAGGAAATTGAAATTCCAAAATCTCGCGGTTGTAAATTGTGAAAATCTCGTAGTCATCGTCATCGTTGGGACACCTATATTAAGGAGGGAATATCGGCAGCCATTTTCATCATTCATTCATCTTCGTGGGCCTTTCACGGAGAGAGAGGAAGAAGAAGAGAAGAATAAGCCATTGCAGTTTCCAGCGATTCTGAAATCCCTAGTTCAAAATAATGGCGTTCACGAAAACCCTAGCTGAGCGCCTCTTCAAAATCTCCAGAATCTCGACGAATCAGTCCATGACCAACTGCCGGATCTCTTCCTCCGCCACCGCCCGCAGCCGGATCCCTCAGGGAAAGCCCAGTATTGCTCCCGATCCCGGAGATAATGCCGGATTCCGCCGATTGTTCCACCGGAAGGCGGCGACGGAGCGTCCGTCGACGAAGCCGTTCCAGGTCGGCGCGGGGGGCAGCCTGATGGATAAGCTCAGGGCGTTCGACATTGTCCGAAACCGGGTTCGATTGGACGGGCTGGTCCCTCCACCGCCGGTGGTAGAGGAGGAGTCGCCTTTGGCGGCGGCGATGGCGACAAAGGAGGATGAGCTGACGGTGGACGACGCGAGGAAGCTCCTCCGAGTGGCGCGATTGGAGATGGTGAAATCGAAGCTGCGAGACGCGGAGAGAAACTGGATGCCGCGATCGGAGTTCGTTCGGATCTGCGGTGAAGTTTGTTCGGATCCGGATGATGCGAGTCGGGTCGCCCGGACGCTCGACGAGTCCGGCACCGTTATCGTCTTGGGAGATGCAGTGTTCCTCAAACCGAAACAGGTAAAAAGAATGAAACCCCTTGCGTCTCATCATTCGGATTAACGAATAAGTAAATGCAAAATTCATATGCCATCTTTTCGTTTTTTGCTCACTAGATTTGTTTTACAGATGTAAAACAATTTACCACCATTCATTGCCTTGGTCCTTCTCTGAGAGTTGGATCCAAAGTAACAACCAGATAATGAACAGCCGATGTTAATACACTTTTCGTCTTCTTCTTGCCCAATTTGTTTGTTTCTTTGCTTGAAAAATACCGAAAACTGATATGTTTTCTCTATGTATTTTGTGTGTGTGTTTTTTTTGTTTCAACAGGCGAGAAGGAACCCACCCCATAGCTCTGTCTCTCTGTTTCAACAGTGACAAAGATTGATTCTTTTTTCGTCTGATTAATATGGTCCTACTAAGACTTTGATTGGGTTCCAACTTATGAATCCAACCAAGCCTTGCTATCACCATTTTGGATCAACTAAGCGCCTCAAAACCTTTTGGGGTGGGGGATGAAAGGGTTAAAAGTTAAAACGAGTTCTGTTATCTATGGGAAACAGGGGAATATTTGGGGAGGGTTATGATTTGGGGAAGATATATAGAATTGGATCGTATGGTATAATCTAGCAAAGTTAGCAACCAATTGGGTCCTTAGTAGATTAGGATTTGGTGTGGATAATAGGGATTGAAATACATGATATGCATAGGCTAGGGTTTGAGAGATTGGAAAGGAAAAAAACAGAGTATTTTTATTTAGAGGGTAGTGGTCTAGTGGATGTCTGTTGCAGAAAAGAACAAGAGGGGATGAGCTAAGATTTCATCTAAGAACAACAAACATAGAAAAAGAAGGAATTAGGAAGAGTTGATGTCCAATTAGGATAACAGTTTATAAATATGCTTTATTATTCTTTATTTCCAGCACTCTTTCCATGCCTGCTTGGCTCTTATCTTGGTGGGCTTCAGCATAAAAGCTGATATAACAATTGGTTATGCTTGTTTTCCTCTTTCATTTGCTTTTCTAATCTTCATTTTGAGACACCATTGGTTAGTCATTTATACATTCATCACTTGTTCTTCATAAAAGAAAGAGCAAATGCAGCCTTAAAAAGAAAGAGACATTGTCAAGATGCTCATGCTGATATCAAATGATGATACATGGATGCAGCAAGCCTTTACCCCAACCAAATGGGAATTTTCTTTTGTTTGTGATCCATTACAGGTAGTGAAAGCCATTGGAGGTCTAATACCATTCCCAGCAACAAACCCAAACGACCCGAGGAAGAAGGAGCTGGACCACTTGGAGCAGCAGAAAGCCCTGATCGACCAGAAAGCCATCGCCCGAGTAAGGCGAGAGCTCTGGGGCGGTCTGGGATACCTAGTGATCCAAACCGCCGCCTTCATGAGGCTCACATTCTGGGAGCTCTCGTGGGACGTCATGGAGCCCATCTGCTTCTACGTCACCTCAGTGTACGTCATGGCTGGCTACACGTTCTTCCTTAGGACCTCGAGGGAGCCCACGTTCGAAGGGTTCTTCCAGAGCCGGTTCCTCGCCAAGCAGAGGAAGCTGATGAAGGCTCAGAAGTTCGATCTCGAGAGGTACAACGAGCTACGAAAGATTTGTTACCCCTTCAACGACACAGAAGAGGTGGGAAGTCCTGGTCTCTTGTTCTCGAGCAGCAGTCGTTCTGAGTTTGATGGCAAAGTCGGGAAGGTTTGTTGATCTCGAAAAGGGCGGGTATGTGGTCTGTGTATTTTTTTTTTTTTTAATTAACAACAAAAGGAGAAGAAAGAAGAAGAACTAACAGCTATTACTGTTATGAAACAGAATGAAAGCAGAGTTTTGTGACGAGCCATAATCCATTCTCTTCCCACCCTTTTCAAACCAACCCTCTACCTGAACTGACCCTTTAGAATGTAGCTTGCGGGAAACCCTGTAACAAAGTGGAGAGTGTTTTTTTCCCTTCTTATTAATGGAAATATATGATCATAAGCAAAGCTTTCTTGATGGGAAATATCATTTTCAGACGATCTGTTGTTCTTTCATTTCTCTTCTTGTTTGCGTGTGGAGAATGTATGTGTCTACTTTGATTGGGCATCCGGACAAGAAACTGCAAATGCTTTCATCTCTGCTATTGGACTGAGTAGTTGTTCCTAACAACTTGGAAAAGTTTAGAACTCCAGAAAAGCTGGAGTCATTGAAATGAACGGGTTCTCATTGAGTCATCATCTTGCCGTTTTCATTTCCTCTTAACCTTCCAACGCTTTGGACGATAGAAGTATGAACACCTGAGTTAAGAAACCAGAGAATCGAACCATCAATTTGTGATCAAAATCACAATCATCTTTTATCTCCTTACTGGTTTTCCCCCCCTTTTGTTTTGCTTAGGGCTATATGATTGATTGTTATGGACAACTGGTATGCATGTAGACAAAAAGCCAGCTTTGTACAAAACTTTTGCCTGTCCGCACTCCTTTCCTTCCCCTGTTAATTACACATTTACACTTTAATTGAAAGTTGAAAGCATATCCCTTTCCTATTGTGTAGTAGTCGTAGATGATGGATGAAGTTTTGTGGTTGGTGTGCTACAGCTTTCATATTAGATGTGCGCAAAGTAGTCAAAATCGCGCTTTAAAACTTATAAAACTTACGATGTTACAAATTTAGGTCTCTAAAACGCTTTTACACAAAATCTCAGTTTTTATAACTTATGCAGTTAAAAACTCCGTTTTAGAACTTAAAAACTTACGATTTTACGCTTCTAAATCACCAAAACGTTTCTACGTAGAAACTCGCTTTTGACTGCATTGGATGTGCGTATTAATTCCTGTCAAATAAAAGTGCGAGGTTTGTATTGACTAATCAGATACATGTGCCTTCAGAGGATAATATTGAGTAGGCATCAACATATAATACTAATTTGAAGTTTAACGGAATCATGGTAGTAGCTGAAATCAGTGGTAGGGTGTTCCGATTCTCATAAATTTTAAGTGAAGTTGTGTTTTCCTTCTCTATTAGATGTAGTCATTATATAGTAACAATCTTATCTGTCACCATTAACCATTATATTCATACTGAGTTGAAGTGTTAGGCAATTAGCTGGAATAGCTCAGTTGGTTAGAGCGTGTGGCTGTTAACCACAAGGTCGGAGGTTCAAGCCCTCCTTCTAGCGATCATACATTTATTATTTAAGAACTTTTTTTTTACAGTTACAAACTTTATGTTACTGATTTTGTTACCGACACGTGAACGAATTGCGAAATGGATGGATAAGGATGTGGTATTTTAGTAGATATATTTGATAACAAATTATCTTAATTCCTAAAGTCGTGTACACGGCCTTATGTGTCTTGCGGCTATCATACTTTTATTATTTAAGAACTTTTTTTTACAGTTACAAACTTTATATTACTGATTTTGTTACCGACACGTGAACGAATTGCGAAATGGATGGATAAGGATGTGGTATTTTAGTAGATATATTTGATAACAAATTGTCTTAATTCCTAAAGTCGTGTACACGGCCTTATGTGTCTTGCGGCGGTCTTGTCTTGCCTGATAGAGGGTAGCCATTGTAATTGTTGTTAGGTTAGAGAGAAACTCGATGAATCCGATACTCCAATACAATTCCGATTTTCATGAATTCAAACATCTTATCGAGTCTGTCACAACTATTGATCCAATATTTAATCTATCAAAACTACACTCTTCTGTTTAAGACTCGATTCTTTTGTTGATCATGGTCCGCGCTTTTAGAATTGGTTGATATGAAGCCATCTGTCTTTGGTAACAATTGAAGGGCATATAACAAAATGGTATGGTTCAACTAGTTAGTTCCTTTTAACTAGTTAGTTATTGTCTTAACATAATATTAGTTGTTAATCATGTACATTTTTATTGCGATAGATGATATTATATACGCTCTGTGGCCAAGAGCCCCTTTGCGGGGCCCCTCCAACTTCATCTTCTCATTGAATTCCATATGATATCAGAGCCTTGTCCCGTGAATTAAGGTTTTTCATATCTTATACCCACATTCTTTCTTCTTCAGAAAAATCCAATTGCCACGGCCAAATCTTCAGATACCGGAGGTTATACATCTTCTATGATTTCTTCTTCGGCATCCTTTTCCACCACAAACGTACCAAATGCTCTTCCAAAAAATCCAGTCACCATGACCCTTGATATCTACTAACTGAACAACTACTAATACTATCATTAAGTGTTTTTATAATACAAATCCTAACATCATGAACGACTAACATAATAGTAATATCAACAATAGAACAAGAAACCCTAAATCAGTGGTGGAGCCACCCTATGTCCAGGGGAGGTTATAGCCCCCCCCCCCCCCTCAACTCGCAAAATCACGTAAAATTACATGTAATTTAATTAAAAATTTGAGAAATATAGTAATTGGTTAGGCTTTAGCTCTCCTTGTCAATTCGAATTCTCTAATTGTAGATTTTTAACCCCCACTCGTTTAGATTTCTAGCTCCGCCACTGTCCTAAATCACTCTTATCCAAAATCCCATAAGCCGTCCGCCGACAGTAGGAAAGGCCATATACAATTATGAATTATCTTATGAAATTGCTAATCTAGGCATATTGCATGTGTTGTCCAAATGCTACAAACAAAAGCACTTTTTTTTATCGAGACAATTTGGTGTATTAATGGCAATTTCTTATTTGTGACAACATACCCAAAGCATCTTCCAAAATTAAGACAGCCTAATTGAATCACCACCCCACTCATCAATAAGGTTTGTCACATACTCACATTCCCAATTTTGTCGATCGAATTTGTTGTTGTCTGTAAAGGTGCCAACTTGCTCCAAACCCCATTATCCAATTCATCCATTTCTGCAGCAGCCGGTCCCGGTCGCCATTGAATAATGAATCCATGTAGACTTCAGACGACTTCAGAGTGCAGAGATCTTACCTGGAAAAGAACCCTCCATTTCACAATTCCTTCCACACTTCCACCTATATATAGATCAAGAAAGCCACTGTCCATCTCATTCCAAAACAGAGCAAGCAACTCTCCCCACTGAAAATGTCGCCAGCCATCTTCCTCAGCATCTGCTTGCTGTCCCTCTCCACCTTCCCTTCCGCTCCCCAAGCCACCGTCCCTCCCTCCGACCGATTCACCTTCAGCAACGATGGCGATTTCGGCGACTACATAGTCGAATACGGTGCCAACTACCGCGTCTCCTCCATCGCCGCCATCCCATTCGAGCTCTGCTTCTACAACACCACTCCAGGGCAGTACACCTTGGCCCTGCGCATGGGCACCGTGAGGTCGGAGGCGCTGATGCGGTGGGTTTGGGAGGCCAATCGCGGCAACCCGGTCGGCGAAAACGCCACCTTCTCCCTCGGCGCAAATGGGAACCTCGTCCTTGCACATTCCGACGGCCGAATCGCCTGGCAATCCAACACAGCCAACAAGGGCGTAGTTTCGTTCCAGCTGCTCAACAATGGGAACATGGTGCTGAAAAATTCCAAGGGCGGATTCGTCTGGCAGAGCTTCGATTCGCCGACGGACACCCTCTTGGTGGGCCAGTCGCTCCGGGCCGGAGCCGCATCCAAACTGATCAGCCGAGCATCGGTTGAAGAGAACAAGAACGGACCCTACAGTTTGGTTCTGGAGCCCAAGGACTTGGCCATGTATTTCACTGGGGCAAATGGTCGAACACCTTATCGGTACTTCTCATTCAGCGGGGCAGGCCGCCTCTTCCTCCCGGACAACACCACCACACTCAACACCACTTTCAACGCGAACCTGGATCTCGAGACCAAAGTCACCGACTCCACCGCCGGCGGCGGTGGCACTTTCTTTAAAACCCCGCGTTTCAACACCACGCTGTCGTACCTCCGCCTGGAAATCGACGGCAATTTGAGGGTCCACACCTTCATAATCAGCACCGATTCCGACGGGTTCGAGACCCAGCTGTGGGAAATCGCGGTGACCGTGTTCTCTGAAGACGATCCGTGGGCGCTGGAGACGAAATGCCAGCTGCCCGGCCGGTGCGGGGAATTCGGCGTCTGCGAGAACAGCCAGTGCGTCGGGTGCCCGACTCCCAATGGGCTTCTGGGTTGGAGCAGCGATTGCAAGGCGCCGAAGCTGAGCGACTGCGGCGGGAAGAAGAAGAATGATTTCAAATACTTCGAGATGAAAGGGATCGATCATTTTGTGGTGAAGTATACGAGAGGCGATGCGCCGGTGAAGCAGCAGTCGTGCGCCGATAAGTGCAGCAAGGATTGCAGGTGCTTGGGATATTTCTACCACACTGATGCGTCGCGGTGCTGGATTGTTGAGGAGCTGAAGACGATGAGCAGAGTGGCGAATTCGACCCATCTGGCTTATATTAAGACCCCGCTGCAGTGAAACTTTTCTTGGCTGGTTTCGTTTTTTTACCCGTTTGATTTGTGACAAAAGTGGAATAAAGTTAACCTTTTGAGAGTTCACTCGACCGGGTTAACAAATTCAGATAAACAGGTTGGGGTGTGAGTATGGATGTCGGTTTGGTTTTGGTTTAAACCGAAAATAAATTGAAGAAACTCTTTCTGACTTTAGCTATCGATTCAAAAAAAAATTCTCTTATCAGTGTTGGGTAAATCGAGAAGCGAAAAACCACAGTTCAATTACAATTTATGTTAAATTTTGGTAGTACAATGCATGAGAAAAACGAGATTTAGTGCGAAAACGTAGAGACACACGTGGTATTCCCATAAGTACGGGACTAGTCTCCGTTTTGTGTTTTCTTATTATTGATTGATAGATTGGCCAATGGCTGTACACAAACCTATATACCTTTACTGTGGAAGCGACGACGGTAAGGAAATTAATTGATGAAGCCACGAACCAGTGGGATGATAATGATTTCCTTGTGGAGAGTTGTTTTCCGATAGAGATGGCAACTGGCATTCGCACCATATTTGAACAAGTTACTTGTCAAAAAAATATCTTAAAAAGTCGGTGGAAAGTATGAATACAATACATGTCGCATCAGTTCTCTTTTTTAAACTTAACACCAGTTACTGATCCCAGAAGTTCCTAAGCTGTGACATATGCAAGAGAAGCTCATCCCTTCCAAACCCTGTGACACTACTCGTCATGATCCACGGCGGTTGTTGCCGATAGTTCTTATCGATCAACTCTTGGAAATTCCTTACGTTCTCATCTGGCCTAGTTCCTTTCCCACCTTTTACCTTGTCGCACTTGGTGAACACGAACGTTAATGGTATCTGTAGCACAAACAAAGAAGGAATGTAGCAAATGTCAAATGAGTCTAGTACATGGATCAAAATGGGAATTGTTTGAAGATGGAAGAAAAAAACATACATTGTTGCGACCGAGCCAGTTTGCACAGTCTAGATCGATCTTTTGAGGCGGAACACTCGCATCAATGAGTAGTAGAACTGCAACAAGCGTTTCTCTGTTCAGAAAGTAGCCCTTTGTGAAGGCAGACCAATCCATTATAGCTGCATCTGGAGCTTTAGCAAATCTGAGACCAAAATGGGGAGGATTTATCAGAACTTAAAAGCAGCATTGCTCTAGCTTCTACAAATTAAATAGCTAGGACGGAACAAGCTTCGTTGCATTAACCATGACGGAAGTTTTCGGTTCAAAACAAGTGCAGGCAGTTTGCATTATGAGATCACAAAATGGTTTATTTACACTTTGTAGGAAGAACATAGTAAATCAAGCGAAAGACCACTGCCTACTGTCCCAATCACAATCCCAAACAGTACATTTGACCACGAACATCATACTATGTAAAATCCATTAGGCAAACATACAGTGGGGAAGTCGTTGACACAATAAAACCATCAACAAATCATTGATGCTTATGGTACGGAACAAGAACCGAGATAAGCATACTAAGTTGTGCCATTGACGGGCTGGAGAGGCAAGCAGACTGTAGGAACCAGTAGGCCATGAGCAATGAAGGAAATATGTAATTTTGAATAGGAATTCAATCCCCCAATGATGTAGAAGATGATAAGAACCCTTTGGATTAATATTAACAATCCATTGTTTGAAAATCAGAGACTAGAACTGCTGCTACCTATATCTCTGCAAAGTTAACCTCTATTTCTAATAAGCCATCAACAAACACACCAATGGCAAAGCAATGGATGCCTGTGAAGGTAATCCTAAAAAGAACTAACATGTACAGTAATGAAATCACAAAGTTAAAATTTGCAGGTAATGACCTAAACTCAGCTATGGATTCTTCTTATGTGTGAACAAGGATTCAAAGGCCGACGAAAATTCTAAACGGTACAAAGAAAAACACATACGGCTTTGCTTACCCGTAACCAGGCAAATCCACAAGGTACCAACTCTTATTAACCAAGAAATGATTTATCAATTGGGTCTTCCCTGCACCAAAAGAAAAGCCATAGCAACCCACTGATAAGTAAACAACTGGAAACCCTAAGGAAAGTTATAAATAAATAAAAAAATTCTCGAACCTTCTGGTTCACTGAAACAGAAGGCAATTACCTGGCTTTTTGGATGTAAGAGCAAGTTCTTTCTTCCGAACCAAGGAATTGATTAGGGAAGACTTGCCAACATTAGACCTCCCTACAATGGCGAACTCCGGTTTATCGTCTTTGGGGCAATCCTTCGCCCGCGGGCTGCTCTTCACGAATTGCACTTCCTTTATCTGTGAGTGACCCGCGTATGGTCCGACCACGATATTCGAACCGGGCAAAACCATGTCCTCCCTCACCTCTTCCAGCTCCACTCCCGGCGGAACGAAGAGAACCGTGCGAACAGACCTCGCCGGGTCCGAGACCAACGGTTTTGCAGCCTTTGAAGCCGAGACATGACCTTGTGAGCCCGACGAAGAAAATCTTCCAACTGAGAATTTCAAATAGTGTTTTAGAGGGCAGAAATCTCGGGCCGCCGGTGGGGGGACGAGAGAAAAGGCCGGCAGGCGGCAGCAGCGGAGAATCATTGTTCCCGCGGCAGTGTCAAATGTGTTTCCGACGGTTCAGTAGCTGAAGCTGAGCTTCTTCTGTAGGAAACTTTTTTATCAGTTTCCCTAGTCAGTGAGTTAACTTTATTCATTTCTTCAGTTTGGCCACTGAACTTTAACAATTCATATATAATTGTTTCACATAAGAAGAATGGATAGCTAAGTTTAGCTCATTACCTACAAACTTTAACTTTGTGATTTCATTACGGTACATGTTAGTTCTTATTAGTATTACCTTCATAGGCATCCATTGCTTTGCCATTTGTGTAGTCGTTGATGGCTTATTAGATATAGAGGTGAGCTTTGCAGAGATATAGGTAGTAGCAGTTCTAGTCTCTGGTTTTCAAACAATGGATTGGTGATATCAAACCAAAGGGTTCTGAACATCTTCTACATCATTGAGGGATTGAATTCCTCTTCAAAATTATACATTTCCTTCATTGCTCATGCCCATGGCCTACTGGTTCCTACAGTTCTCCCTTCACATCGATCCTCCAAACAAACTAATAACTATAAGTTAGGGAGAACCATCACAAACTTCCAGATCTAAATTCAACCGAGTGGATTAGCTATATAAATTTTCAAGTCCCCTTCTGCCTTTAAATCGATTAGATATATCAATTATCCGCCTTTGGTTAACTCAAAAAAGGAATCATTATCTATATCGATCAACTATATCAATTTATGCCATCAAGCCAGGATCAACAGAACAGGGCATTCAAGGGAAAGAAGGAAAGTGCTTATTAACCTTCACGTGTAGCAGACTGGAGAAGTTTCGCCGGCTGGAGAAGTTCGCGGTGGAGTTCAACTCGTGGTGTAGTCGCGTCGCGGTGGAGCTCGGTTCGCAGTCGGCGGTGGAGATCGGCTCGTGCGGGAGAAGATAGGGTTTTGCAAACTGCAGACGAAGATTTCTTGTTTCTTTATTTTGCCCCTTCACTTGATAAAACGACGTCATTTTGGGTCTGCAGTCTCTTTTTTTGTTTGTTCACTGGTTGATCGGTACAACTTAACCCGGCCGATATTAAGTGGGTCGCTGGTTCAACCGCTAAAAGCCAGCCGGCACGGTATTGTGCTGCATTTTATTATGCCTATGTTTGGCCCGACTTTTAGAAGTGCTTTTCGGCTTCAAAAGCTGAAGCAGAGCCAAACACCTCTAAAACTCGGTTTTTGAAAAACCGAAAAACGCTTTTGTATAACATAAAAGCAGAAGTTCCGATTTGGAGCTTCTGCGAAAAGCTGTTTTGAAAATACAAGATTATCTTTACCAAATTTTAATTTTATTTCAGAAAATGTAATTTTCTTTCATTTATATCATTTTAAAAATAAAATAAATTATGAAATCATATTATTTAATATAAAAGAAATTTAACAAGAACCATTTTGACAATATTTTATTGTTCATAATTATTATTCATAGTTTATATTATAAGTCCTTTATAGTCATTTTACATAACCTCTCATATTAAAAATCACTTTTAATAGTTTTTCAGCCAAACACTCAACTGCTTTTTTTGAAAAGTACTTCTCTAAAAGCTCAAGCCAGAAGCTGCTTCTGCGAAAGCTACAGCAGGGCCAAACTGAGCTTATATAGTCTCCGGTCATGGCTCCGGGTAGCGGTATTTAGAGGTTTAACTACGGTATAGTATTTTGCTTCTTTGTTGAGACACTTCCTCTTATCGTTAAATTTTTGATGGTTTGTTTCTTAATCCTTGAGGTTTCTCAATACTTGTTTTCTTTCTTTGTTCTTTTGGTAATTTTGTTTGTTTTTATCACATATGAGTGTAGTTACATACTCGTTCACTTGTCATTTCATTTCCTGCTTTTCGTTGTCACAATATAAATTAGAAAACACAAAAGGTTGTGAGGATTGATGAGGTTTTTTTTTTTCTTCTTCTTTCTGCAGGGCGCTGTAGGCATAGCATACAGTTAAGAGTCAGAGACAATTTATTTGAGCAGTATATACTATATAGACAAAATATATTCTACTACGATTTTTTATTATCTAACAATTATTAGTTTTGTATTAATTATTTTAATTAAATTCATTTCATAAAAGAAAACAATCTTATATAAAATTTTTGAGTCCGCCGACACTCTATCCAAACATCCAAAATGCTAACCTACGCGGAAATCCAATGCTTTCACAAAAGCCGCCCCACTTGCCAGTTGCCACCACCAACTGTTGAATGTTCGCGCAGGCCATTTTGACCAGAAATATCCCGCGCCTGTGGTATAATATCTTATATGGTAAGATCGGATTGTACTGGATAACTGGATAATTTATCTACTAATAACAAACTTGTCACACCTTCCACTCACCCTATATAATCAAACCAGAATTTGATTACAAATTCGAACACCCCACTTTCTCACTGTACACCAAGCTCCCTCCAAAACTCAAAAAAATGGCACCACCATTACTATTCCTCCTCTCATCCTTCTTCGTAATAATCCCACTCTTCCCCTCACTTTCCCAAGCCACCGTCCCCGCCTCCGCCCAGTTCTCCTACACCAACGCCGGCGAATTCGGCCCCTACATCGTCGAATACGACGCCAGCTACCGCATCCTCCCGATCGCCAGAACCCCGTTCCAGCTCTTCTTCTACAACACCACCCCGACCGCCTTCACACTCGCGGTCCGGATGGGGATGCAGCGCTCCGAGGCCACGCGCCGCTTCGTCTGGGAGGCGAATCGGGGCAACCCGGTCGGAGAAAACGCCACCTTCTCTTTCGGGTCGGACGGCAACCTCGTCCTCGCCCACCAAAACGGCACCGTCGCGTGGGAGTCGGCCACGGCCAGAAGCGGCGTCGTTCGGTTCGAGATGCTCCCGACCGGGAACATGGTCCTGTACGACGCCGTGGGCAGGGTGGTGTGGCAGAGCTTCGATTACGTCACGGACACGCTCCTCGTCGGGCAGTCTCTCCGGGTCGGGTCCAAATTGGTGAGCCGGGCTTCCGAGAGGGCGAACGAGAATGGGCCGTATAGTTTGGTCCTCGAGCCCAATAGGATTGCTTTGTACTACACTACCGAAAATACCCCTAAACCGTACCCTTACTTTACCTTCTTCGACCTCAGTCAGAGTCAGGGGACACTGGAGAAGATCACGATGAATCCCACGTTAGGGTTCGATTACGAGGTGAAGAACGGGTACAACGGCACCGGCGGGGGGTTCAAGAATCCGAGGTACAACTCGACGCTGTCGTATCTCCGGCTGGGAATCGACGGGAATTTGAGGATTTTCACGTATCTGATCACGTTCGAGGAGTCGGGGTATGAGGTGCATTACTGGGAGAATACGGTGACGTTTTTCTCCGAGGACGATTGGTGGGCGGAGGAGACCAAGTGCCAGCTCCCCGGCCGGTGCGGGGAGTTTGGTGTTTGTCGGAACAGTCAGTGCGTCGGGTGCCCGTCGGCGAGTGGTGGGTTGTTGGGTTGGTCGGAGGATTGTCGGGCGCCGGAGTTGGGTGCTTGCGGTAAGAAGGGTGGGTTCAGGTACATTGAGATGGCCGGAATTGATCATTTCACGGCGAAGTATTCGAGAGGGGACGGTCCGGTGACGAAGGAATCGTGTGCGGGGAAGTGCGGCAAGGATTGTAAGTGTAAAGGGTATTTTTATCATACGGTTTCGAGGAGGTGCTGGATTGCTTACGAGCTGGGGACGATGACTCGGGTTGATAATTCGACTCATTTGGCGTACATCAAGGCGCCTCTGTAGATAAGCCGGTGATGGAGAGGGGTAGCTTTATGCCCTTTGGCTTTGGAGGAAGCTCTGGCGCTAAAGGGTTATGGAGCAGATTGTGTGTTTACTCTATCTAATGTTGTGTTGTAGACTTGTAGCACCCCAAATAAAATGAGTGTACCATGGGTATGATTCAATAAATTAGTGTCTAGATACACCCTGGTTAATGGTTATGGTGCTCATCTCTAAATTGTGCTCACAAGAATGTCCGCATACACTTAGTCGATCGTGGGAGCATCCTATAAACACGTTCTTACAAAATTGTGAAATTGTGAGATGACAGAGTACAATGTTTGAACGGAACTGGAAATCGATAATGTAAGAAAATATAGAACACACGAATTTACGTTTTACACTAATACGATGTGTGTTGGCCTAATCCACAACAGGGAAGAGTAGTTTCACTACTCATGAGAATATATGCATATTATAGAGCGATTGAGAAGGTATATAATAACACTTTATTCATACGGTCTAACCCTAATCCAACCTGAAAGGAAAAATGTTACGAACTATATATAAAACAGAAAAACAGACATATATAAACCTGAAACTTCCGTGACTTCCAAATAACGAAAGATAAACCGACTTCCAAAAAATGTAGCAAAATTAATTTAGTTATTTTGAACAAGTGTCACTTTTCATAATTCATATCACCTAACCAGAAACCATTAATCATCGAGGCATTGGGAAATTGTCCCCATTAGGTGGGTGGGTAAGTATCTCGCAGTACTAGCTTACTCCGATAAAGGGCTTTCTGCTGGGCCCAAAGTCATGAGCTTTGGGTCGGCCCAGACACTGAACTCAATGGAACCAAGAAGGAAAAAGAAAAACACTATCAGCAAAGTGAATGCCTCCGGTTCCCCGGAAAACCCTGGCGTGCAGGGGTATAGGAAAGCCATGAGACCAAATTTGAACTCCGTTGCAAACCTCCACTACCATTTCCCTCTTCTTCGCTTCTCCCCAATTTTCTCCCGCGCCGGCTTCTTCTACAACCCCGTCGTCGGTTCCCAGACAGCGCTTCGGTCGGCGGCGAAGAGTTCACTAAGCACCGGAGCCGCAACAACTTCTCGTCTTCTTCTCCGTCGCTGCACCTGCACAACTATGGCCACCGATCCTCCGGCGGTTCCGGTGAGAGACGAAATTGAACTGACGGAGGTTGAGCGGAAGATATTCGACAGGCTCCTTGGCACTCTCCGCAAATTTAATCTCACCACGGAGCTCCGCGTCGCCGGCGGTTGGGTCCGCGACAAGGTCGGTTCGTCCATCCCTAGTTTCCGTCCTCCCGTTTACTCAGCTTCCAGTTTATTCGCTTGTTATGATGAAGCAAATGTGATGATTTTGGTGGGCAGCTGCTGGGGAAAGAGTGCTACGACATTGATATCGCCATTGACAATATGTCCGGAAGTCAATTTGTTGATAGCGTGAAGGACTATTTGGAAACAGTAAACGAAGTAGCTCAAGGGGATTGTGTCATTGCTCGGTATGCATTTTTCGTTCTTCATCTACAGTATGGTTATCTTGTGTGTGGTTACTTAATTGCTTGGCCTTGGGCGTGTTCTTAACTGTGGTCATATCTTTTGCAGGAATCCTGACCAGTCCAAACACTTGGAAACTGCGAGGATGAGGCTATTTGATCAATGGATTGATTTCGTTAACTTGAGGTGTGAAGATTACAACGAGAACAGTCGCATCCCGACAATGGTATTCTACTGAACTGTACCAGGATCTCTGTGTTTATCAGATAGTTTAGTCTCAACTCTCAACTGGGTTTCCATGTTTTCTTCCAATGTAGAGTTTGGATTCTTTTGCAAGTTAGTTGCTGTGCTAGGTGAAGAACAAGAACTTATTGCCTGAATGTCTATCGTGTTAATGTTGGATTCATCTTTGCGTGGCTACAGAAGTTTGGTACTGCTGAAGAGGATGCATATAGAAGAGATTTAACCATTAACAGGTGATTGATTAGCTCCATAGTCACTCTGAAGTTATTTTTTCTTTATGAATGGATGCTCATGGAATATTTATGTGTTAATATAATAATTGCATTTCTTTCTTCACCAGCTTGTTCTATAATATTAATAAGAGTTCAGTCGAAGACCTTACAGGCAGAGGTCAGTGTCCATTTTCTGCTCCTGCACTTTTCTGAAAAATCCAACTTACACAATTGTTTCCTTATTTGAACTTAGCCTTTTGTTCCTTTTTGCAGGCATTGCAGATCTAAAATCTGGAAAAATAGTGACCCCTTTACCTCCAAAGGAGACATTCTTGGATGATCCTCTTCGTGTTCTTCGGGCTATTCGGTTTGGTAAGTTGGTAGTTTTCAGTCTCTCTTTCGTTTGTATAATGTTTGGGGGATTACTACTTTATACTGGTCAGAGGTGATTGTTAGCATGCTGAAATCTTGTGCATTTTTAAGTCATTTCGTTTTATCTCTATAGAATAGTCACTACTTTATACTGCTAAGCTTTACCACACTTGAATAGTCACTGCTGATTATTTTAATTATTCTGTTTCCACGCCCATTACTGTTGTTGTTCTGAATTTTCATAATACAACTTGGGTAAATAGGTGCAAGGTTTGAGTTTGAGATGGATGAAGATCTCAAAGAAGCGGCTAGATGCGAGGAAGTGAAAAATGCTCTTGCAGCTAAAATTAGCAAAGAGCGTGTTGGGACTGAGGTATGTTACCCTTGTTTCTATCTCCTGTTCAAATTCTTAGGATGATATTCAGCAACGGAGATAAATGTTTTCCCCTATTTTTATGATTGTGGGGATGAAATGGTTCCCTCTTTTTGACTGTCTGTTTTGTGTCATTCGGTATGCAGATTGAGCTAATGATCTCTGGTAATCAACCTGTCAAAGCCATGTCATACATAGCCGATTTGACATTATATCCGGTTGTCTTCTGTTTCCCACCAAATCATCAACCAGAAGTCTCTGAAGGATGCCAGACGTATAAAATAATCAACATAACATATCTTCACCTTGTTCAACCATCTCTAAGTGGTATTTTCTAATTTATATTCCCACCTCTATTTCAGGCAGTCCTTAGCTTACTTGGAAGCAGCATGGGGTCTGATTCACTCAATTGGATACGCTTCGTTCACTGTAATCCTTTTAACATTCCTTGCCATAGTACATTAGTTCTTCTAGTTACATTAATCTATTCCCCTAAAATATTTTATGGGATCTTTGGACATTTTCAATTTAGGATCAGCAAAGGCGACTTGCTTTATATGCAGCTCTGTTTCTTCCCTTCAGAAATATTACTTATAAGGATGCTAAGGGAAAAAGGGTATTCATTTCTCTCACCCTTGTCTGTTGTTTTTCTCTTTATGTATATCAGTGTATTGGCTTCTTTGGTGTGGTATTCGTCTTAAATTTATGACATTTATCGCAGATGCCGGTTGTCAACTATATTTTTAGAGACTCTCTTAAGCAGAAAGCCAGTGATCCTGACTTGGTTAGTAAAGCTCTGTTGCCGTCGTAGTTCTAAGATCCAAGTATACATCGAGTTGCCATTTAACCGGTTATCTCTTTGGTTGTAGGTGATGAAGGTACATCAGTCAATAGATAAACTTACAACATTGATTCCTTCACTTATATCCAAGGCGGAAACCATGCCCCCTGAAGTCAATCAGGAAATGGAATTTGCTGATGTGGCCACCAATTCAAAGCTCCGAATTTCAACAGGTACTGTGCATTTCTATACGAATCATGCTGCTAACCTTAACACAAATTCCTTCTCTTCAACTCCTTATTCATTACTTATTGCAGGATTCGTACTACGAGAGGTCAAAGATCTATGGCGAATTGCTCTACTGATATCTACAATGCTACACCCCTCTGACTTGGCTTCTTCTTCCAAGGAGGATAATGGTAAGCCCGAGCTTGACAAGAGGAAAGACTTGTTCAAGGCAGTCGAGGCTGCCATCCTTGAACTAGGTACGGAAACCAAAATGCTGGGTTTGATTACTTCAGCTTTTGCTAAAAAATAACCTTTTCTTTTAAGTCTTATTAGAAGTGAAGAGAGAATGGTTTTGGTTGAACTATAGAAAACAATCGAGTTGGCAGCATCTGGGTCATTATTTATTACTTAATAAAATTGATGCAATGACAGGTAGTTTGTTTCATGGTATAGTAATAAGTGATTTCAGAAATGTGAGTAAAGTTGGAGCTGAAATTTATCAGAGTGATTCGAGATTTAGGGTGGACAATGATTCTAAACTGTTGGTTGGATTGTCTAAGTGTGTTTGTTTGGGCTCTTAAGTCTTCAATTTCAAGTTACTTATCGTTCAAGGCAAAACAAACAAACCCAACGCTTTACGTGTCTAATCTCATTGCTGGGGGTAATCGCGGCCCTCCTGTTCTGTTCGAAACAGGTCTGGACAATGTGTGGGACATGAAGCCATTGATCAATGGGAAAGAGATCATGAGCGTCCTACAGCTTAAATCCGGAGGACCCCTTGTCAAGGAATGGGTATGTCTAACCATTTCTTTCTTTCTTTCTTTGTTTTCTCCTCTTCTCCTTGGATTCAGCAATCCACAATTGAACTGTTTCCTTCTCCTTGGGGGATTTGATTTTCATAATGCAGCAACAAAAGATACTGTCATGGCAACTTGCTCATCCAACTGGGACTGCCCATGAATGCCTTGAGTGGATGAATGAAACCCACTACTCGAATCTCGCCGAAACAGAGTAGAGCTGCTGCTAATGCTGGTGCTGACCATGATTACGATCTTAATGGAAAGCTTGCTCCTTTTCTCTTTTGCACTCCTGACTAGCAGTGGAAATGGCAGAGTTCAATTTTGGGAAGAAACTAGATATGATGATCACAATCATGGTTCTGCATTTTTGTAAGGAAAGAAATTGTAAAAAGCCGTGATGTTTGGTGCTTTCTGTACATTCTAAGCAATTAGGCTTTCAGTTAGTCAATAGATCAACCACTTGTAGATCTTTGTTTATGGAGCATTTTATATTTAGATAATTCCTCAAAATCATAATCGAGATAGATTATAATTATATACTTGAATCAGTAAGATTCGATCAACCAAGAAAATGGAACCAAAGAGATCCACCCACTCCACTGAAAAGTTCAGGGGTCACTTTGTAACTTTAACTGTGTTTTTGAATATAAAGTGTATTTAACAAAAATATATTGGGAAATGAATAAATTTGGCAAAAAACAACTTTAAAATATGGATATAAGTGGTATTCCGGGAAATTTGGATATTATTGACACAACCGTGAAAGTTTTGGATATACAAGTGTATTAATAACTGGATCCATAAATAAACGAAGAGAAGGTGAGGCCCGAAGCCTGACTTCTACGAAATCCAGATGATTCCAACTAAATTTCAAAGCTAGAATACTCCTTCGATTCATCAGAGAGCAGCGGCGTAGTAGGAGGAGGAGAAGAAATGAAGGCGAGAATGATGAAACTTACAATCGCCTTCTGCTACTCAATCTGTTCTGTGCTGATCGTGGCGGCGGCGGTCACGGCGGCGCCAATCGAGGACTTCAAGGTCGAGGACGGCAAAGTGCTGGTACTGGACGAGTCCAACTTCGATTCCGCGATCTCCACCTTCGATCACATCTTCGTCGACTTCTACGCTCCATGGTGCGGCCACTGCAAGCGCCTAGCTCCCGAGGTAATCCGCGGTTTTCGATTCTCCGAATTCGATGCTTTGCACGTATTAGGGGGGTTAGGTTTATGAATCTGCTGTGCTGTTTATTTGAAACTATGACCGATTGCAGTTGGACAAGGCTGCTGCGATTGTGGCCGAATCGAAAGACGCCATTGTTATAGCCAAAATCGATGCCGAGAAGTATAGGCGGCTCGCTGATAAACACGATGTGGAGTATGAACCACACTGCCTCTATGTGCCCTTTGCTTTTTAGGTTGAGAATGTGGTTGGATTTTACAGCTATTGAAAGCTCTACTCTGATTGATGTGTTTATGTGTAGTGGGTATCCGACTCTGAAGATCTTCATCCATGGAGTTGGCATGGACTATTACGGTCCAAGGAAAGCTGATTTGCTGGTTCGTTATTTGAAGAAATTTGTGGCCCCGAATGTTGCAACTCTTGATTCTGACTCTGCAATTAAGGAGTTTGTCGAAGGGGCTGGCACGTTTTTCCCTATATATCTGGGGTTTGGGTTAGATGAGTCTACAATCTCAAATTTAGCTGTGAAGTACAAGAAGAAAGCTTGGTTTGCTGTGGCGAAGGGTTTCTCGGAGGATGTTATGTTGCAGTATAACTTCGACAAGGCTCCTGCTTTGGTGTCCATTAATCCTACTTATAATGAGCAGAACACCTTCTATGGTCCCTTTGAAGGTCAGTGAATTACACATCCATTGACATAGTTGGAACTTTTATTTTCTAAGAATGCGTGGGACTCATTACTTTGCCAGAAGAAGGGCTCAAGATCCTCTTATCAGAATCTCTGATTGTCCTTATTGTACCCTTTTAGCTAGCTGGTTGCTTGTGTGATGTGTCCCATCGTCTCCTTAGGAATTATAATCTTGGTGGCTGCATGAATGAATTATCTATGGCTTATGTGTGCAGAGGAGTTTATTGATACATTCATTACCCAAAATTTTCTGCCACTTGCTGTGCCGATGAACCACGACACACTGAAGATTTTGAAGGATGATAAGAGGAAAATTGTGCTGACCATTGTGGAGGATGAACTGGAGGAGAAATCAAGAAACTTGATCAAGTTACTGAAGGCTGCTGCATCTGCAAATCGTGATTTGGTATTCGGTTATGTAGGAGTCAAACAATGGGGAGAGTTTGCTGATTCATTTGGCGACAATGGCAAAAAGAATCTTCCAAGATCAGTCGTGTGGGATGGAGATGAGGAGTATCATGTGGTAAGTTCTCTCAACATTTTGTGCCTTCTATTCCCCATTATCATGGGTTTGTTTGTTTCAGCTTTTGAACCGACAGAAGTATAGTTTTTGGTGAGTTTAGGCTTTATTCCCTCACCAAACCTGCAACTGCAGGGATATAGCAGGCCTCGACAGAGCCTACAACCGATCTCTAGAAGAAGAAAAAAGAAAAACCTCCCCAACTTCTAACGGAATGTAGCAAAAAGAAAGACTGCCATATAAATACCACTATCTCTCAACCTCACCAAAACTGAAGCAGGCTAACCACAAACTTCAGTCAGCCAGAAAAAAAACTCCCAATTAGCCTCTAATGAAAGGCATCCAATCCAATAAACAAGTCTTTACATTAACACTCCCTAAACTCAACTGTGAATCTCATTATCAATCAACCGAAAGATCTGCTCCGTCTTGCACTATGCTTTATGTGTTCTTTTAACTTGTAGTAAATGTAAGGAGAAAGTATCTGGTAAGAGTTTAGAAAAATACAAGCTGATGAGAAATAAAGAGTTTGTTGAATAGAAAAAAGTAATCAAAGGGATTAGCAGATAGTTTGTCTAATGATATAGAGTGATTGAATGGATGGTAGATGTGCAGATAGTTTGTCTAATGATATAAAGTGTGATTGAAGGGATGGTAGATGTTTTTTTTTTTACCTTTGCTCAACATTGACGTTCTACATCTTCTTTACCTCTCTTTTAGGTTCTTGGCTCAGAGAGAATGGAGGAGGAAGACCAAGGAACCCAGATCTCACAGTTCCTCGAGGGATTTAGAGCAGGGCGAACTGACAAGAGACAGATAAGCGGTCCTTCCTTCATGAGCTTCATCAATTCACTAATCGGGGTCAGACTTGTGTACATACTCGTGTTCCTCGTCGGCGTCTTTATGCTTATCCAGAGCATTTGCAAGGAAGAGCCTCTTACTGTTGGCACCCGAGACTCAGTCGATCATACTACAACTACCACTACAGCATCTGAAGGAGAACGCACGCGGGACAAGGAAGACTAATAAACTCAAGAGAACTGACCCCCACAGCTCATGCCATTCTCCAAAAACAGCACGGTCAGTTGCTACTTGCTTACGAGCACCACCGAATAGCACTCCGTTCCAGAATACGAATTTTAACCGATGATTTGGTGCTTTGAATGTAGAAAATGTCTATTTAAGGTCTTTGTGATTCTAGATTAACTCGTAATCATCCACGGTTTAGTATTCCATTCTGCAAATTTTTCTCGAGAACATGAGAATTATCGATAGCTGTCCTTATCGGTTAAATCTTTCACCGTGGCTATCCCGGGATAGCTCAGGGTTTTTTTCCAGGTTATGTTCAGGAGTGGCTGTGCTCTTCAGTTCGAGCTTTTTCATCTTCTAATTTTTGGAAGGAACTAGTACCTAGGTGTTTGAAGAGCTTTGATCCTGGAACCCATAGAATCTTGTTCTTGTTTTATTACCATCGACCAACCAAGGAAGACTCGAGCCGAGTTGGGTCAGGTCGAACCGAGCGGGTTAGTCTGAATATGTGAAAATGATGTGTAAAAAATGGTCCAGGACGAGACAGAGTTGATGGTCGGTCTGGAGCTTAGCTTGTGGTCCAAAAAGAAGCGATGTATGGTTGATAGATGACTCTCTTTATATTGTCTTAGAACGTGAAATTATATGCTGCTGCCGTATCGTCCAATTCCATACAAAGTTACAAACCTGTCCACTTCAAAGCAGATGTACCAGTTAACTTCCCGTAGCTTCCTTCATCAGTTCTTGGGTTTTAGCAGTAACAGCAGACGTGCATCTTACATAGTCATTGGATGTAGAGCATATCAGCGTGTCAATCTAACACGACTATAAACGTGGGAGCTATTGAACGGGATTCTCAGGCGTTGATCGTTCTGGCATTGCCCTTCGCTGTTATTGCGAGGTTTGAATTGGAATGACTTACATTGATGAGCGTCTTTAGGTGTCAAACATTTACTCCGTCATTTATAAGCATACATTTAAATGAAGTCTTGATCTTAAATTCCTGAGCTTTAACGCAAAATCTTTTAACCACTAAAATCATGAAAATCTTTCGCAAAATTTTCATATCGTAAATTTTTTTCCGAATAACCATATAGAGTAAAGTGCATGTATCTTAAGTGATACATGCAATGTAGCTTTCTTGCTTGACTCCCATATTTTGGAGATTCCCATGCACATGCAATGCCGTGGTATGAAGAATTGTTCATTCCAACACCAAACGATACTAAAGTGCCATTTAACTTTTTTGATTACTATAGGCATCACCCCTAAATCATTGACTCGAGGGGATTATTTTGTGCGCTCTTTGTTGCTTCTTTCCGAATCATCCAACCTAACATAATCTGACATATGAGTTGAGTTTAGATCACACCCCTTAAATAGAGCAATTCTACCATGCTATATAGTATTGGTGCTTTAATGTACAACTTGAAGTTGTACATTAACATTAAATGTACAAGTTTAGGTTGTACCATAAAGGAATTTGTATCATTATGTTATGGTACAACTTTACAACCATCACATAAGGTACAAGTTTAAGTTGTACCATAAAAAAATTTGTACAAAAGGTATAGGTACAATCTGAAGTTGTACCATAACATTAAAGGTACAATTTCAAGTTGTACCACAAAGGTAAAAACCTATAGCACAAATGCTATATAGCATTGTAATATTCCTCCCCTAAATAAGTTAAACATCATCTCATTGTTTCGTCCGAAAAGAGAATACATTCAATTCTGTAAAACTATTGACTCAAGAGTCAATGTAATGGGGCGTAGGTTCGTTTTCATTTCCTAAAAAAGAGTGTGCCTGATAAATGATTTGCGGTATTTTTTTGGGAGGGATAGGTCCAGGCAGAAATAAGGTGTCAAAATTGAAGAAGTGATTAGTTCAATGGATTGGATGGATCAGAGTAAGGAAGGGGCAAATGGTGAAAACTCGCATTTAAGTTGTTCCTTTAATGTCAATCGACCAGTCAATTAAGTTGTCCCCAAACAAAATATGGCAGGAAAATCAAGGCCAAACTGAGGCTCATCGGGCTCGTTTCACCCGAAATAATTCGAGAACCAAAGCCGCTTATACACTACTATCTTTGTTAGAAAAAAACACTCTCAAGGGAAACACAATGCACCAAGCAAGCCATGATGATAGACCAAAAACTATCTCTTGATACCACTAGCACTCCGTTAGGTGACTAAGAAAGAGATTTGGTTTACGTGTATCAATTATCAAAGTGGTTAACACTTAGACGAAAAGGAAAGGAAAACAAATCTCACTCACATATTTCACTCCACCACTAAACAAATTGTGTATCTGTGCATGATCATGTATTGAAAATTAATAACAACAAATACATACATTCTTATCTTCTCCACATAATTACTTATCGTGATTGAAAAGTGTCAAAACTAAAAATACAGACCCTGCCAAAGCATATGAAAGAAATAACAAGAGTCCCCTCAATGTTGAACTTTTGCCCTAATCTATCAATTTTGGCGAAGCCAATGAACATATAAAAACAATACAAGGACCAAAAAATGGACAAACTGTTGCTTTCCATTATATGGGTGAAAGCTTGTCCCGAAGACCCACCGACCCGTCCCGACCCGTCCCGTCCCTAAGGGTCGGGACGGGTCAGTTTGTCTACAGGGACAGATTAGGGACGGGTCATTTGTTGACCCTGTAAGGGTCGGGACGGGTCGGGATAACTTAGGGACGGGTCACATTTTGATCCTGTGACCCTTAGCAACAACAAATATCTCATACTTCATTGGACCTTTTTGTAAAGTTTTAAAAGTTTAGGTACTAATTTGTAATAATAATAAAAAATTGGGTACCAAAACGTAATTTTACCATCAAAATTTATGGACTTATTTGTAAAAAAAATAAAATTTAGGTACTAAATTGTAAGAAAAAATAATTTTGGGTACCAAAACATAATTTGTAAAAAAGTAGTGTGTTGATTAGGGTCAACCCACTGACCCGACCCGTCCCGTCCCAACCCTTCAGGGTCAAGAAGGAGACAAGGACGGGACGAGACGGTTATACATCTTGACCCTTCTGGGACGGGTCAGACAAAAATAAGGATGGAACAAGCAAATTTTCAGCCCTACTTTCCAATGCATCGCGAGCTGCTGATGCTCGAAAGTTTTGGATGCCATTGCCACTCTCTAGTCTCCACTTGGGTTGCATTCTTTTTTGGCAGCAAGCAATCGGAACTTGAAGCAGCAGAGAAACAGAGGATTTTGGTAGCTTTTCTGCAGATACCACCACCTGAAAGCAAAGCTAAGAATAAGTTCCTACAAATTGCTTGTTTCCTTTAGAATAATTCCACTTCCTTTCTTCATAAGTTTAGATAATTTTTCTCGCAGGATCAAACTAACATATGTTGCAGTCGATCACTTGTATACCAAGTTCCAAATCTCGAAACATAAGTTATACGAATAAAGTTCTTACCGTTGTAATTAGATAACAAGTGACTAGATGTGCAACGGTTTTATTTTTCATATTCGTGACAAATTATAAATGCATTTCTAATTACGTAGGGGATCTTACAACACAATCATTCAAACCTTTATACTTTGATAATATATATTAATGATGATGATAATAATAATGACTACCATTTTCCCAGATTCATATCAGTACACACTCTTGAGTCTTGAGTGAGAGAGGATAGTCGCTTGGAGACATCAAAATATTCAAAATTTCCCAATTCCCCTGAAATTGTTCAAGTTCCCAAAATAAGGTATATATTCTTTCTCCCTGTGTTGATGGAAATGAAATATTTATGCAAAATTCATACAATATGATGAATTACTAGAGTTACTAGCAATCAATATTTGTGAAACTACCACAGAACAAGAACTTGGTTTACCACTAATCTTGAAACTGGAGGTCCCAGATTTGCAATATTGATTATTGCATGATTTAGATGATAAACACGGGTAACTAGTAGTACTTTTAAGTCAACAAAAATTAATATTTACAAATTTTACTCTTTATGATACACTCCAACATTTTACACCACTTTCTTCTTTTATCATTGAAAACCAAAGAAAGAACAGAAGAAGCTGGAAACGTAAACAAGGATAGATAGGGGACCTCTGGAAATTACAAACTTCACTTCCCTATAACTCTACCTTTACATTTTTACAATCTAAGCTCTGCAACAATCTATCTATATATTCACATTGTATATAAAAGGTAAAAAAAATCACCAAAACAAGATCAAAAGAAAGAAATTACCAAGAAAATTTGGTTACTGTACTTTTGGTAATCCCCTCTTGAACCCCCACAAAACCCTCATACATTATTTTTTTTTTCCATAGACGATCGACTATCATAAAACGTGGAAAATCAATCGACGAAATCGAGATTCAAACTCGAAATCTACAGATTGAAACACAACTACTTTATCGTTGTACCGCGACCATCCTACACATTTTCGTTTTATCTTAATGTTAATCATTCCCCTAAACCCTAACCCTCATTTTTTTTTTTTTTTCAATTTTCTCACTTTCAAATAAGTTTGATATCCTCATCACCCTCGTCATCCCTACCTGCAATCTGATTTTGACCGCCATTGTTGCGACCCACAACCACCTCCTCCTTCACCTTGCTCTTCCTCTTCATGATATGCATCCGCACATAGAAATTCAAGAACAGAAGCATAACCGCACCGTTCAGAACCGAATTGAACACCCAAGCTCCGATCCCATTACACCCTCCCTTCATGAAATGCAGCAGCAGAACTCCGACATGGCAGACCAAATTCCCTCCGAGCAGAGCAATCTGGCAGTTCAGCACAAAGGGAAAACAAGCCCCCGGCAGCCCAATCGCGGTCCAGAACCGGTACCCGTACACCGCCGAGTAGACCATGGTGGCGAGCATGATCCCGAGGACCTGAAAACTCTGCGAGAACTCGAGCCAGAGGAAAGACACGACGGTGAGGATGATGTGGTTGAAGAGCTGGAAGAAGACGAGGCGGCGGGCGGAGAGGATAGAGACGAAGGTGCGGAGCATGTGGACGAATCGGGAGAGGTAGTACATGTAGGACCAGAAGAAGACCCTGCCGGAAGGGCGGGTTCCGATGGGGAAGCAGAGGAGCCACTGGAATGGGGTTTTGGTCCGGCGCCAGAACCAGCGGGTTTCTCGGATCTCGGAGGCCGCGGAGAGGAGGATCCCGGCGAAGATTGTGGCGGAGATTAGGGCCATGGTGAGGCTGTGGATGGCCGGGATCGGGCCGAGAGGGATGGGGCGGCGGCGGCGGCCGCGGGAGATTAGGGCGAGGAGGAGGTGGAGGAAGGTGGCGACGGCGAGGTAGGAGGCGATTGAGGTGACGAGGAAGGACCAGGTGGATCCCCATGATTGGCTGTGGCTCCACCGGAATTTCACGATCGACGGGTGCTCCGCCAGGTAGAATTTCACCGTCTGCATCATGGCTTTGTGTGTTTTTTTTTTTTTTCTTTTGGGAGGGATGAGATGGCGGGACGGTGGTGGATTGGCTCGGCGGAGGAGCTAGCACCACCGTTGGGAGGCGGAGGATTTTTCCCCCTTTGTTGCCGGTGGTTAGCCGATCATGTGTTCGATGAAATGCGGCAAAGAAGAAAGTGGGAAAGGTTGGGAATTAGGAAAGAATCTTGCGGGGCAATTTGGCTCCTGGTTTTATTTTGGTTTTATATGAAAAAATTGAAGAAATTAATTTGCGGAAACAAGAAATGTGGTGGGCCGAGGGCGTTGGTTTGCTATTGCAGGGAAATGGGCCGGTGACGCGTGGAGAGATATTATTGATTGTAGGTGCGTGTGGGGATTACACGCTTGGGTTTTTATTATTATTTATTTCGATAATTCTGGTTTTGACTATGTACTAATAAACTAGTAATAGACATGGAGCACGTTTTACTCCGACTATAACATTTAAAAGTTTTCATATGACTTGTATTCAATTTTCAATATATGTGCTCATTACACTTTTTTTTATACATATTCTCTCGTAGAATAACAAGATACGAATAATATAAAGAATATACACTAACCAAACTATAAAAAAAATGAGCACATTGATCACACATGCGTTGAACCAATGACGACATACAATGTTTTGTCACGATGTCGATATGAGAGGTCCTATTGTACCTGTAAATGCGGAATGAAATAAAGCATATTAGAGAGATGATCTCAACACCCGAACTTCTGTACCAACCACATCAGCTCATTACACCTTTTTAGCAAGGGGGTTTAGGGGAGTTGGATTACTGTATTTTGGAGGGTTGATTAATCATTTCCTTGGAACTAACATAGATTATTAACAATCAAAAGTGGGGGGAACCAAGTGAAATCTCAATTCTCACACTTTTTTTGGGCTAACAATATGATTATAACGAGAAAGGGAGAACAGTAAATAAGAAATCATATACGCGCGTGAGAGTTAAAAGATTTGGTTAACGTAAATAAGTTGCAACATTTTTTTTTCTTTGTTCAAAGGTGTTTCTTTTGAAATTATGAATAGTAACGATTGATGAATGATCATCCATCTACTAATGGTATTGTGTTGGGTAAAATAACATATAATGACGGTAAAGTGGGTGCCTAGGGATGGAGAATTAGTGTGATAGCTTGCTTTTTTAGTGTATTATTAGATTAATCAACGTCAATAGCAAAGTACTAGTGAATCTATGCTATGATGTTAAGCTTTTCGTGTAATGCAAAAGAAATAGATAAAAAAAGCTTTACTAGTTACCCAATTGCCAGTTGGGGTTGTGACTTGTGTCTCTAATTAACCAAAATTATATTATTCATGAGATGAGAGACGCCAATGGCAAATTCTCATCATAATAATAAGAGAGAGTCCCATATATATGTCTCTTACTCTCTTCTCTCTTTATTTTCGTTTCGTTCTCTTGTTTTTAAGCTCTATCAGGATAGTTATTTTGTATGGTATCTATTGATTGAATCGGAGATGATTAGGACACTAACAATAATATCACCCATTTAGCATAATTATACAATATTTTGCAAAAATGTTAGCCGATGGCTGCATATTTGAAGACAAAGCAACTTCACTCTTCCATGCTTAACATGTAGATGCACTGTAATTAATATATGCTTAACGATATGTCCTTTTCCTCTTTCTTTCTTAAGGACAAAGAAAGAAAAATGGGGAGGGTCACTTTCTAATTATGTCGGCGATGTGGTTGATTGATGATAGTTAGGAGGCCTGAAGGGTATCAGGTACAATTAATTACAACGCCAGGAGTTAGACTACTTCATAGCATAAAAATATTATCAAATGCCCATATTCACAGATATCGAGGCGACAAGGCCCATAGACCGCAATTTACCTGACCAAACCGTGGACCCAACGACTTGTCAATACGTGCTAACAGCCCATTCGACCACTCTCTCAACTCCCACAATGACACCCAAGTCTCAACCTTAATTTTGTGAATCTCGTCCCTCCTTCATCCACAACCACATTTAACTAGAGAGTAGAGATAATCGTGTCTCCATATGACATTATGTTAATGTTTATGACGCTATGGTGCAAGTTGTGATGCTTTTACTTTGTATCTTTGTTATGTACTAAGATTTATGGTATCAAAATTATTCATGCATGTTAGGATTAATGTTTTAAGGCAAATAACAATTATTTTTCATGGTTATTGGTTCAATTTTTTGTGTGGTTGACTAAACAAATTATTCATTTTTCGTTGAGTGTGGTCTATCTGAACAAGACCAGACCGAACCAGACCGCACAGACGTGGTCTGGACCAGACCGTATAATCTATGGTATGTTCTGTGTGTCTATACTTCAAACTCTCGGTCTGGTCTGGACCAGACCGCACCGTTTCCGAGCCCTACACCCAACGCTTCCAAGTTCCTACATTGTCTTTGGACCGATGGAACCACCAGACTTTCAAGTGAAATAATGAAGACTCATCAATGGCTGAAAGCCCACATTACATCATTCAAAAACCTTTTCTAAAACCATTGGCCCGAATCAAAGACCCAAATATGACTGGCCCGCATCATAGTTATGCATTTGTTTTTGTTTTTTGACACTACTCACTCGAGCCGTTGGGTGAGGCGCGCCAGCCATCCAGCCACAGCCTCTATATAAATAGGTAGCAAAAAAAAGCCACTTCATCTCTCTCCTGCTTCCAATCCTTCCCAACCCACTGAAGAAGCAGAAATCTCGCTGCTTTGCTCCCGATTCCCCGATCCACTGCCCTTCGTTTCAAGTCCTTGTGTGTTCTCCGGTAAGTACGTTCGGAAATTCCATGTGGGTTTTGAGCTAATTTTGATGTGCTCTTCACGTTGTTCGAGTTCTCCTCTAATCGAATTGATGAATGAATGGGAGGGTTTCTGTTAGGTGGAATTTAGAATTGTTGGGGGGGGGGGGGGGGGGGGGGGGGGGGGGGGATATGATTCTTTCAAGAGGGTTTTGGAGATCACCCTCCAATTTAAGCTCTTCTAGCGTTTGTGCTTTTGATCTAGGGTTTGGAAGGAGGAGTGTAGAGTAAACTGAGTAAGGAAACAACGACCGATTCCCGCGGCTACAAAATTTCAGGCGATGCTGGTTGCTGAGGATTTCGAATGCAACATCTGCTTCGAGTTAGCTCAGGATCCAATTGTGACCCTCTGTGGCCATCTCTACTGCTGGCCATGTCTCTACAGGTGGCTTCACCACCACTCCAACTCCCAAGAGTGCCCTGTTTGTAAGGCTCTAATTCAGGAAGAGAAGTTGGTCCCTCTCTACGGTAGAGGCAAAACGCAGGCCGACGATCCTCGCTCCAGATCGTATCCAGGCATCACTGACACCCCTCCAAGGCCAGCCGGGCAGAGGCCGGAGACCGCCCCACCTCCTGCACCAGACAATGCTTTCCGCAACTTTGGGTTTGGACCATTGGGAGGGGGAGGGTTTGCTCCGATGGCAACTGGAAGGATCGGAAACTTCATGTGGTCAGGTGGATTTGGTTTCGGTGGATTTTCTCTGTTTCCATCATTGTTCAATATCCAGTTCCACGGGTTCCACGATGCTGCTGCCTATGGAACTGCTCCTGGTTTCCATCATGGTTTCCATAACTTCCATGGTGGCCATGCCAATTGGTTTGCACCACCGAGGAATCGACAGAACCAGACTGATAATGCTTTGAAGAACCTGCTTCTGCTGATTGGTTTCTTCGTACTTGTCACGGTTGTGTTTGGGTTGCACTAAGCTACGGAGTTATTTTTTATCAGTTACTACGCGTTGGAAGGTTGATGCCATTTTCTGTAGATATTTGGCTAGTGCAGCAGTGATGAGCATCGGTGTTGATTGTTCAGCTTGTTGTTAGTTCATCGAGAATAATGTACCGAGTAGCAAGCTGCTAGTAGTACCACTTGTGGATTCTTAAGAGTAAGCAAGTTGTCGCGCGCGCGTGTGTGTGAAGCGAGGTGTGTCAACTGTCAAGTACTTGTTCCATTCTAATGGTTTCTGTGCTTTTGATGCAATGTGTATCTTGTTCTGAAGCTCTGCAGATTCAAACCAGTGGTCCTTTTAGATTGAGGTTGCGGTTGCTGCTGAAGTCTATCACTTCTTGCTTGATGAAGCAAGTGGGAATGGGATGGCTTTCGAGTGAGTAGTCCTTGTCCAGCGTTGCTATTAGCCTATTATCACCAGTTTACAGTGTTCAATATGGGCTTCGTCTACTGTATTATCATGGCCCATGGACCCATTGGCTCGTTACTTGCCGAACTCGTAGTGTGGCCCATTCCCATTCTGACTTGCACTAATAACTCTACCAATCCTAGACAAACAAGGATTGACCCTTAGCTTTGTAAAAGTTATGTTTTGCATAGGGCACCATCAAAGTCGAACGAATTCTTGTGTTATTCTCCATGAGATACAACGTCATATTGATTCTTCCACAAATTTTCTATCTATAATGTTTGAGTCGTTCCCAAATTTCATATTAATTATACCACGAAATTTCTGTCTATTAGTTTCTTAAGCACAAATCATTTTCAAATCATTCCGACGCGATCCATAATGACGAAATTTTTTGGGCTTTTTCGTTTCATAACTTGAGTTTTTGGAGTGTCCCGTCGAGGTTGCATTTTGTCAAAAAGCTACATGACTGGTGGGACGTCGTTTTTGGATGCTCATCACCGCTGCAAACCAAGACAGTGAAAGCAATCACCGTTTTGGACCACAACGGTGATAGTATCATCGCTTTAGACCAAAACAGTGATGCTATCACTGTCTTGGACAAAAGCGATGATCCTTTCACCGTTTTGGACCAAAACGGTGATTGCATCACTGTCTTGGTCAAAAGCGATGAAAGCATCATCGCTTTATACCAAAACGGTGATGCAATCACCGTTTTGGTTTAAAACGGTGAAAGGAGACCTTATCACCGCTGATGTGCAAAGCGATGATATCATCGCTGATGTGTAAAGGGGTGATAATTGACACGTTTTACCGCCCTGGTAGGTGGAAATTTGGTCACAGCTACCAAGCAATCACCGCTGAGGACAATGGCGGTGAACACATCACTGTTTTGGTCCAAGGCGGTGATTGCAAAAAAAAATTTCTATAAATACTGACCTCCAGTTCCCCTATTGCTACTTTACAGAAAATTAGCACAAAAATTAGTGTTTTATTAGTCGTTTTCTCAGCTGGTTTGGAGTTGGTTTACTGCTCAAGAAACTCGTCGGGATTCGGTATGTTATAATTATGTAATGTTTACATGTTGATGTGTTAGTAATTATATGTCTGTATATAGTGAATTGCGGTTATTGGAAAATATATTATGATATATTTAGATTAATTGTGATATGATAGTAGTGAATTAGTTATGAATTTAGATGAATTTGTTTAGTTTTCTCATGATAGATCAATTACATGCGTTTGTTTATAGGTTTGGATGATATTGTTTTTGTATCCCTAATGTACTAATTATATACTATACTTATTTATTATAAATTGCAGACATGGTTAAATTTAAGAAGTTTCGGCTTATTATTCGGTGGAATGGTCGGGTGACAAACTCGAACATTGGCATCGACTATGAAAATGGCGAATCCACTATGCTAAAAATTGGGTCGAGATTCTCGTGGCAAGAACTTCATGACATTTGTGCAGAAAGGACTTGTACGGGCGGGCAAATGAGAGTTGGTCAAATTGCCTACCGCTATCCAAACATGAGTGCTGGCGGAGTTGTGTACGAAAAAGTTGTCATAAACGATGATGACTCGGTGAACATGATGATACAGTTCCTATCTGACAACGGGTTGCGGCTTGCAGAGGTGTATGTCGAGACCGAGCCAGTCGGTGAAACTCATTCTCACCAGTATTCTTGTGATGATGGTTTTGCAGGAGGGTATGGCTGGGGTGGTAGTTCAAGTAACTACGAAGGAGGTAACTACGAAGGAGGTACTTCTGCAAGAGGGTATGGCTGGGGTGGTACTTCAAGCAACTACGGAGGAGGTAGTTATGAAGAAGGTGGTGGTTGGGAAGAATACGTGCAACCAACTGAGACGGCCGTCAATATCGTTCAGCCCGACGGTGATCAATGGCCTGCTTGGGGTCCAGAGTGGCTGACATTGGGAACAACCTTCGATCTGGGCGTTCTTCGCATGACCAACAAGACGATGTTGGTTATGCTGGCAACGATGACCATCCTGAGTCGAGCTATCCATTCGCCTCTAGTGACGATGAAAGTGAGGAAGATTTGAGATCAGTCAGTGAGGAGGAAAATACGGACGAGATAGACGATATCGATGACAGAGAGGTGGCAATAATCTAAAATAGATGTTTACTTGGCAATAATCTAAAATAGCTAAATAGGATTTGGTTAGAAAAATTCAAAATTTGCTAACTTGGAAGATATCTAAATTCACTAAATACTATAATTGCAGACCTAAAATGTCACTTAATTTCCTTGCTTGAAAGATATCTAAGTTCACTAAAATTCATTAAATTCGCTTACTTGGAATAGATCTAAATTCACTAAAATAAATTCACTAAAATACTACCATTGCATATCTAAAATAAATTCAACTTAAATTAAACTTACTTGAAACCATATGGGGGATTTGCTACAAATCGTAGCTCATCGTCTGGCAACCAGAATTCCCGAGGGTCTCGAGGTGCTAAAAACGGAAGATGCTCCCATGCCCAGAGTTGTAGTATGAACATCGCACCACCAGCTTGTTTCGCTCCCAACCTCGAGCAAGTACACAACTCTCGGTAGATCCCAGCCAAGACGGCCGACCCCCAACTTTTTCTCCCGATCTCGTCCCAGTCACCGAGGAGCATATTTAACCACATGCCTTGTATCCACCGGTTTGACTTGTCGGGGAACAGAAACCCACCAACCAAACCAATTAGGTAGACACGTGCATACCGCTCCACCTGATCTTCAGGAGTGTCGGGGCCTATGTTAACCTCCATTTGGATGTGGTCAACAAGCCACGGGACCGATACTTGCCCCGCATTCAGTGGTGGATGCCCATGCCCGTCGACGGGAGTGGTGGTCGGCATGTTGAACCCCAAACGCTCTAGAATCAACGGCCCCCAACCATCATCCGGTTTTTTCGAGCTGTCGATGATGGCATCTCCGGTGAACGGGAGCCCGATGAGGATGGCAACATCTTTGAGGGTGATCGTCATTTCACCCTCGGGAAAGTGGAAGGTATGCAGCTCGGGGCGCCATCGCTCTGCCATTGCCGTCAGCAGATCGTTGTCAATATCAAGCCTCGTAAAGTGCCTCAGCATGTGCAATCCCGTCCTCTCTATATAGGGCTGCAGTCGATCATGCCAACGGGGCAATCGACATGTTCCTCGATGAGCGATGGGAATAAGTGATTCCTACAAAACAAAAAACACAATATTATCAGTCAATAGAAAGCAAAATAAAAACTTTAAAACTATTGAAATAAATTTAGTGTCTACCGGATTATTGTTCCAAATTGAACGGGAGCGATGTTGATCTTGCCCGGTTAAATACCTTCGATCCCTTGGGCCAGGATCGATATACAATCGAGGGTCGTATATCTCAGCACCCATCTATAAAAAAATATAAAATCAAATCCATTTAAATTTTAGCACCCATGTAAAAAAAAATCACAAAAGAATATAATTAATTTACGTACTCTCAAAGCCTCTTCGTCCATTTTTTGCCGAAAAGCTAGCGAGAGTATCGACAAAACAAAACAAAAACTAACTCTAGTAATTCTTTCTGATGCGGAAGATCGGACTTAGCCGCAACCACAGAGCATACTTAGAACGAAACTAGAGGAAAGTAAAGGAGGGAGAAAGAAGTATAAGATTTTGGTGTGGTTTGGAATGAGGGGGGGAGTGGTATTTATAGGGGAAAGGGGGGGGGGGGGGGAAGGCGCTGGAAAAACTACCAGGGACCAATCACCGCTTCTGACGAAGGCAGTGAAATCACTGCGTCCAACAAAGGCGGTGATGGCCTGGATAGCTGACGTGGCGCGGCGTGAGGCGTCGGATCGTGGAGAAAAACCACAATCCGCGCCTCACTGCATCCAACGACAACGGTGAATGCGCGGGTGGCGCGGATCGCTGACGTGGAAAGCGGGGTTATCACCGCTTTGGTCTTCAGCGGTGAAGTCCCCGCCCGCGTCCACGTCAGCGATCCGCGCATTTTCACCGCGTTTGGATCCAACGGTGAAGATGTTCACCGCGTCTAAAATCTACGGTGAGTTATTCACCGTCATTGACAACAGCGATGATAGCATCACTGTTGTTGTCCACAGCGATGATGCTATCACCGTTTTGGTCCAAAACGGTGATAGCATCATCGCTGTGGACCAAAACAGTGATGCTATCACCGTTTTGGTCAAAAACGGTGATATCCATCACTGTTTTTGTTTGCAGCGGTGATAACCAAACTGCTGTATTTTGGGAAATATTTTTATAAGTATTGTATTTTGGTAATTTTTTTTAATAATAAGTGTATTATGGGATTTTTTCCAGTTTTTGGAGTGTCCCGTCGAGGTTGCATTTTGTCAAAAAGCTACATGGCTGGTGGGACGTCGTTTTTGGATGTCATGTGTATAGGTGAAGAGGTGGCGGTTGCAGTTGGTGTTGGTCGTCGTTGGACCCTTATTAATTGCAACCACTAATTATAACCTCTAAAAAAGGGTAGCTGCCTGCCATAGTATCTTCGGCCCGAAACGTGGGGGGATCTTGGCTTGTTAATTGTTATATTTCGTTGCTCTTGCATTTACTTGGAGTGAGGCCATTTGTTTGTAATTAATAACATGAACAGTTTGACATATGTAACCTTTTGCTTTAGTACTTCTGATGTATTTGAGTGTATTTGGAAGTACACATGTCCGTCAAAAATAATAAAAATGATGTAATTTCGAATAATTTGATATAAGTGGAGATGATACATGGTACGAGATTATAATGTATGTATTTTCGTGATAAACAAACTTGAAATTTAAGTGGACAAATCAATAATAGTACACTATCAACCAGGGGCGGACCCAAGTTAGAGCAAGGTGTGTCACCCGACACACCTTGGCTCGAAAATTTTGTGAGAGACAATGCTTTCGACGGTACAAAAAATTAAAACTCGAGACTTTCGACACACCTCAATATTTGTAAGCGACACACCTTTATCATTCTACAATAAAATTGTTGTTATACAGCTAATAAAATATATAAATATATATTATCTTTAGTTTACTTGGTTCTGAAGTTAGTGTTGACTTTATCTATTGCAACTACAAGTTTCCAAAGGCCTTTTTAGCTATGAAGGTAATCAAGAACAATCTTCGAAATTGATTGAATTACCAATTTATGAATGTTTGTTTAGTTGTGTATACCAAAAAAATCTTTTATTTGCAACATGGATAATGAATATATTTTACAAACCTTTCAATATACGAAAGTCATCGTGGTTTGTTGTAAATGATATTGTAAATTTTATTTAATATATTATTTTATAAGTCGACACACCTATTCAAGAATCCTGGGTCCGTCACTACTATCAACCTCCCTCTCTCGAAACCGTATTCAGATAATATACTGTTCTAACTAGTAGTGGCTGCAATGGGACGGTGTGGGTACTTCAATGTCCATATCTGTTTTCCGGCGAGGAAAAACTTGTGTCTGAACTCAATAAATGCACCTTGACTTCTTGAATAACGATTAATAACACGGTTCACACCTCTCCGAACAATGTTCGAACGAGGTTGTTTGATGATTTTGATGGCTGATAAAACTAAGTTAAATTACTTCTACTCCTATGGAGGTTCAGTGAGAGCTCCAAAAACTAAAAGCTACAACTATGCTACATTGCAGAGAAACGATAAGTTTGACATGTGGTGTCAAATGTTTGGTTGTGGAATCCTTGCTTCGTCTTCGTCTCCCCTATTTATAGCCATCACTTGTAACCGCCGTGTAAGCGTCTCTAGTTAACCGCTTCTCCTCTGCTTGGTGCTTGATGTAGCTTGCTTGACGCCTTTGTCTGTCTTACGTGCTTGCCACTTGATACATTGCACCTTGATGACTTCACTTGATAGCTAGCCCCTTGTGCCATGGAGGTGTCTTGCTTAGTGAGTGAAGGCTTCACGCTTGGCGGTACTTGTGCTAACCACCCTGACATGACGTCGTGCTCGACACCAATGGGCTTGGGGGTTGATACATGCACACTGACCCCCATGGGGTGGCGCATCATGCTTGCAGAGTCTTGACAAACTGGTCTACCACATGATGATATACATGGCTGACCACTTAGAAAACTTGATGACCTTGTACGAGACCTATAACGCATGCTCGGTATTCGTACTTTTGATATTTGATATTAAAATACCGATACCGTACCGATTTCCACCCATTCTCCTCATCTGCAGCTGCTGAACAAAATTGAACTACACTGCTACACGTGCCCCCAAATATCGATCTCAAAGTAAAGAAAAGTAATATAGTCTCTTTCTGTATGGATCTACAAGACACATATAGTGGCGGAGGCCGTCCCCCGCCGGACGCTGTTTGACCCACTTCTCAAAATCTCCCCCTCTCCTGTCGGTGCATGTTACGTGGCCGCTTCTTGTTTGACATTACGTTTGAAATTCTTGTCATCTTCTTCATCTTCTTCCATGTATATAGTTCATGGACAAAGGAATTTATTATTGCTGCCGGGGAAGGGGATATGGTAAATCTTATAAAACGACACTGCTGGAGCTTCTCCGCGATCTATGAATCATTGCTTATTCCTCCCCCGACAGCAAAGAGATATAAATCAGAGGCTTCCCTCCTTAGACTTTTTGAGCAATTTGCTACACCACATCTTCTTCATCATCTTGACAAAAGGAACGGGGAACAGTGATATATGTTAATGGCTACCAGAGATGGAGGGGTCTGTGTGGCGTGAATGCATGTGTGCTTTCACATGGTAGTGCTTTCTTGGAGGTGGTTCGGTTAACCGAAAAATCGAGATAATCGAAAACCTAAATCCCTATTTCGGTCGGTTGTCGGTAAGGGGCAGGCAATTCGGTTAACCGATAACCCGGTTATAACCGAACTAACCGAAACTCCACCATTTCATTTATAGCATGAACTAGCTAGTAGTTGATGGGAAGATTGTAGATTGATTAATATCTTCGTTTTGGATTAGATCACGATTTTATCACAATTTTGGTATACGAATGTAGTTCCGTATACAATCCATTTTATCACAATTTGCTACACCACAATCAATTTCTTCATCGATCACAAAGTGGCGTATCTCTCTGGCCGATGGAGTTAATTTACTGTCTCTTCCTTGTCATTGTTGCTACTATACTGGATGAGTACTGAAGGTGACTGATATATTAATGGTCTGATATGATCTCCTCCACCAGTATCCGATATCACACGTAGAAGCTCGATTCATATTAATTGTCAAAGAAGAGTGCACTGGTGTTTTATGCCCTAGCTAACAAATAAGGACGATCGATCAAGAAAGGCACATATTTAGTCACGAGGGAAATGAAACGTATAACTACCAACTACCACCCTAAGTCCCTAACCCATTCCGTATCTTATAGGGACAAAAAAGTTTGGTCTGCGCCTTAATGAGTAAAACCAGCTGCGACCCGACCCACATGGACAAAAAGGGGTTACTACTTACTACGTCTCTACGTGTCCAATTTGGCTAAGCCCAAACTGCAAGTCGTCGGATCAAGCACAAGATGCATACTAGTTGTTGGGTGCAGATGCGGTGATAATTTTGTAAATAAATTGTCACCTTATTCATTTAACAGTTGCGAACGTTTTGTGCTAGATTTGAGATATACAACTTCTATTAGCATGCACTATAAGTTGTAAGCATCATAACTGCTACGTGGTTATAAAATTGTCAGTACATCCATTCAACGATCACAAATACTTTGTGCTCGATCCGGTGACGTACAACCTCTATGAACGCGCGCGCAACATGAGGTCGATCATCATAAAGTAGGTTCTTTGGATTCTTGTCGGTTATGGGTTCATTAATCTTCTTCACCTTCTTCTAGTTCTCCTTAATCTCTCTCTCTCTCCTGCAGAACGGCAATCCATAAGACACATAACACATTAGGGCTTCCTTGCTAGTTGCGGACTTCCAGGAGAGGCCGTTTGTCCCACTTTCCAAAAATTTACCTCTCGATGGCAATAGTACCCGAATTCTTGGGTAACATATCGACCCAATCCGGCCAACACGGGTAAAATCCGCTTTGATGGATTACTGGTCGTATTCTGGTTTAAACCCGCTATACTTTTTTGCGGGTTGGGTTTGGGTTTAGCCATATCCAACCCGTGGATAGCCGTGTCATAAATCAGTTGGTCAGGCGATCACCATACCTTATGCTTTAATCAACTGTTAATTGGGGGTCGTGGAGATTCGAACAAACGACCACTTGGCCAAACAAGGCTCTGATACCATGTCATAAACCAGTTGGTCCCAATAACTCGAGTTATTGGGAGAAGGTTATGATGGATCTTATACCACTCTCTAATGACCCGCACACAATCATACCCCTCACGACACACGAAACCCTTAACTAATTAACTATAATTTCTAAACTAATTACTTACACGTTAAATTATTTATATTGTTTAATTTGTGGATGTTTATTTTTAATATTGAACAATTCGTATGAATGATTTATGAGTTAGTGTATATGTATGTAGTAGACAATAGTTGTGAAAACTAGTGTAATTGCATCTTTGTACTAGAACCCGTGAGTACCCATAAACTCGCGAATACCCAGCGGGTTGAATTGGATTTGAGTTTTCCAAACCCGATCAAAGGGTTTTACCCTGAATTTTTTTGGTGAATAAACTCATGAGCTTTTAGATTTGCGTTTGGCATAACCCGCTCCAACCCAACTCATTGTCATCCGGCTGTCGGTGCCTGTTGCCTCTTCGTGTTTGACATTAAATTTTTTTTTTGTCTTCTTCTTCCTTCCATGTATAGTTTGTCGACAAAGGAATTTAACACTACTGATGGGGCCATGGTAAATCTTATGAGAACAGTGTTGGAGCTTCTCCACGATCTTTGAATCATGCCCCCCAACCCGACAGCAGGATATAAATTAATCAAAGCTAATTAAGCTTCCCTCCATAGACTTTTTGAGCAATTTGCTACAGAACTTCTTAATCATGTCATCGTGACAAAAACAACGTGGAACAGTGATACATTAATGGCTAGATTGTGTTTTTTATAGGAATTTTACAATGCTGTTCTAGTATTTTTAACTCGTTGCGATATAAATTTAGTTTGTACTTATAGATGGTAGTACAAATTATTTTATGGTACGATTTGATCTTGTATTTTTAACGTTGTTGGTAGAAGTTTAATTAGGTTGTAACTATATTTTTCGTACAAACTCCTTTAAAACCTGCAAACAGAACTTCTATCCTTCTTTATTGTTTTGTCACACTTTCGATTTGTGGCTCAAAGTACCAATATTACTGCAGAACACAGCAGAAGGGCTCTTGCTCTTAGATCTAAATATAGCTCAATAATATTTTCGAACATTTTCATTTAGCAGTTCTTGATGGAGAGTTTACAATTAAATTAATACCTCTTGTGTTTATATGGTTATGATTTTTTTTTTCGCCCATGATTTCAGTATATGAATGTAGTTTCGCGTACATTTCACCACTCTAGTTAAATTTGTGGCCGTTGATTAAGGTTAATAAGGAGTTTAAGGTGGTTAATAAAGGGGCTTATTAGTTCTTGGTGGGAGGCAAGATTAGACCCCAAGCATGCAGATTGCAGGCTGCAGCACCGTAAGCTAAAAAGGCTAAAAGAGGCCAACATTTTAGTACCAGGCCGGCTTGCCAGTCCTACACGGCGTCGTACGTAGCAGCGTGGGTTCTTTTTGTTCATCAAGAAAAAAGCTTGGTGTGGACATGACCGGCCCGCAACATGAAGTCACCATAAATTGAATTCTTTGGATGTATTTTTTGGTCATGGGGTTCATTCATCTTCTCTATTCTTCTTCATCACTTCACTTCTTGATTCTCACTTGGACAATGGCAAGTGCGTAGGGGTTGGAACGGTGAGTTTTGGAGCTTTCTAGGTGGTTGGGGAGATGGCCCTTTATGAAGTCACTATCTTGAAAGGAAACATATACGAAAAAGAAACTAGGGCTTATGGGTTGGTTTATGGTACAAAACTCAAGAGTTGCAGAACTTACGAAATTCGTGTTTTATCATTTTAATCATATCAAAAGTGGTAAGAGAATAGATTTGCAGAGCTGATAGTTCCGAGCTTTGTATCTCATCATTTTCCGTGTTTTTATTAGGGGTGGTCGTTCGGTTACCGGATATCGATTAACCGGCCGGTTAAACCGATAACCGCCCGGTTATCCACTAATCGGTGTCCGAACTAACCGAACTTCGGTCGGTTATCGGAGGCTGGACGAAATGGTTTTTGGTCTTAAAAGTGGTTCGGTTAACCGGTAACCGAAACACCGAAGCTTATTTCGGGCGGTTTTCGGTAGGGGAGTGATTATTTCGATTAACCGATAACTGGCCAATCGATTACTGGTTATAACCGAAATAACTGAACTGCCACCCCTAGTTTTTATATATAATTATTATCATTGGTTTAAGAGGGGAAGAAAAGTATTAAAAATCAAATCAATACGGATTTGTTTAATTGTCGAACTCATTAGGAGTACTTACGAGTAGTCGATGTCCAATTAAAGGACCATCGCCCCAATAAAAACCACGCAGGAAACCCAATAAGACAAGACAAAGGTTGGTGAGGTGGTCATTAATATTAAGTGGTCCATATATATATATATATATATATATATATATATTTCATATTCATTTCAACTTTCTCCTTTTGATCATGGTATGAGATTTGGCTACAGATTTGCAGAAAGCAATACCCATAATATTGCAGGGTTTGATGTAGCTCTCGATCTCATATATGCAGCTGGTAAAGAAGAAGAAGAAAAAAAAATGCATTTAAGAAATTAATTCGTCGGAATTTATTAGGGATGACAAAAATATCTGTAACCGTGGATATCCACCCGAACCCGGCTTAATTGGGTAGGGTAAAACCCGAACCCGAAGGACATTTAGTGGGTACGGGTAAAACCCGAACCCGAATGTTGCGGGTAATGGGTGGGCATGGGTTTCTCAGTATCCAACCCGAACCCGCTCGATTATACACATACATATGTATTTTGTCTAGAAATAGTCATTATTTTTCTCTAACATATTTTATATTTAGCATATATATTTTATATTTAGCATATAAATATAATATTTTCATGAAATTGTGTTGTTTTAATTAATTTGTTTCATTCTAGTGAATTATTGTCATACTTTTCCTCTTGCGTAATGTGAGAATACGTGTGAATGTTAATATATTAGTTGGAGTTATGAAGAGAAATCATTACCATGGATAACCGTGGATACCCGAAACCCGAACGGATATGAACATGGTTTTAATTTTCTACCCGTTTCATATGTGGGTATGGGTATGGGTAAAACCCGAACTACCATTGCCATCCCTAGAATTTATATTTGGGAGAGGCGACAAAATGTGTTTAAGATTAAAAAAATAATAATAAAATGTACACGTCGTTTGCCAACTTGATGCCATTCACCAAAATGGTGCCACACGGTATTCCAGCAGCGTAGCGAGCGCGTCCGTACAAAGCTGTTCCATGTTTTGGCATTTTACCAATCATGACCATTCGCCTTCCTTCCTACTTACAAAGGCACCGAATCCAATTAATGTAAATTGCGCCAAAGATAAATCCAATGTTTATGTCTAAAATATCGTGATTCAGTCGTTTCGTATCTTAAAATTTTTATGTTGGTTTGGGTTTGGCAAAACTATCATTACGCTATGATTTCACAAAAATTATTTATTTAACTCAATTAAACAGCTCATTCCAAAGGTACGCTCAATGTTTAATTTTGGTTTTTCATAATTATGGGCTTTAACTTCTTATTATTAACCATCAAAGGTCCGGTTGACCGAAACAGTGTAATTAACATGTACGTATCCATGGCCCATGGGCCCGTGCACACAAAAAGAAAATTTAACTGCCGACTGGGATCCCGGAATTTAAAAACCAAAAAAAAAAAATTTAAAATTAAAATCATACAACTCTGTCTCTCTCCTTCCTTCCTTCCCACACAGTCAAAGACAGAGTGTTGTTTGAGTGAACTGAATCCTACTACTAGTCCACTTACTAATGTGAATTCAAAATCAAATTCCTTTCTCCCCCAAAAATTTCCAAATCCGCTTTTCCTCTCACTCAAACACTACCGCCCACCACATGCTCGATCAAATGCCTCGCTCAATTCCCTATTTCTAACACACCCTCACTCTCCGCCTTCAAACTCCCTTTCCCTTCCACAATGCCAAATCTCCACTCTGCTCTCCTAATCCTCCTCCTCGCCGCTGCCGCCTGCGGAGGCCTTTCAGTTCTTGCCGACGACGACAACGAAACGTTCAAAGAAGCACCCAAATTCTACAACTCCCCTGCCTGCCCACCCATCCCGCCCGACGACTTCTGCTCCAACGAATCCATCAACATAGCCATGACCCTCGACCTCCACTACCTCCGCGGCTCGATGGCGGCGATCCTCTCCACCCTCCAGCACTCCTCCTGCCCGGAGAACATCCGCTTCCACTTCATCTCCTCCCTTCCCTCCCTCCACAACACCATCCTCCAATCCTTCCCTTACCTCCGCTGCCACCTCCACATCTTCGCTCCTTCCCCTGTCCAGGGCCTAATCTCGACCTCAATCCGACAGGCGCTCGACTCCCCGCTCAACTACGCCCGCAACTACCTCCCGACCTTGCTCCCAACCTGTTTGACGAAAGTCCTCTACCTCGATTCCGACGTGATCCTCGTCGACGACGTCGCCGACCTCGCGGCGACCCCTCTTCTCGGAAAACCCCTCGCCGCGCCGGAGTACTGCAACGCCAATTTCACCATCTACTTCACCCCGTCCTTCTGGTCGAACCCGTCCCTGTCGCTGACGTTCGCGGGGAGGAAGGCGTGCTACTTCAACACGGGCGTGATGGTGATCGATCTGGTGCGGTGGAGGGTCGGGGGTTACACGACGAGGATCGTGGAGTGGATGGAGCTCCAGAAGAGGATGAGGATCTACGAGCTGGGTTCTCTGCCGCCGTTCTTGCTGGTCTTCGCCGGGGAAATTGCGTCGGTGGATCACCGGTGGAACCAGCACGGGCTTGGTGGGGACAATTACAGGGGGCTTTGCCGGGATTTGCATCCGGGGCCGGTGAGCTTGTTGCATTGGAGCGGGAAAGGGAAGCCTTGGGCGAGGATCGATTCGGGCCGGCCCTGCCCGCTCGATGCGCTCTGGGCGCCGTATGATTTGCTGGTGAGGGAGAACGGCGGGATCGAATCTTAGAAGAAGGGTAGTTTGATTAGTCTAGTCGGCGGCCGGCGACCTAGGATTGAACCAGAAGGGTTTAATCTGGGTTTGATTAGGAGGTAATTAGAGGAGTAATTACTAATTACTACTGCTACTACACGGGTCATCGAATCTTCAGAGGTGGTATAAATATATAATTTTTACACCTTTAGTGATTAGTAGTAAGGATTTATCTGGGTATAGATATACGTATAATCGTGTGTTAATTACATCATCTGCTTCTTCTTCTTTTTGGGTTTTCTTTATAGATTGGTGAGGTGAGCTGTTCAGTGAAGGCGTAGGGAGGGATTAGGGAATTATGGCCATTGTTATAACTTCTAAGGAGTTGTAGCAATCTGAGGTGTTTTGGGGAAGAAGAAGAAGAAGAAGACTCTCTCTGTACCTGAGAACAGACTCAGTTTTGCTTGTGAGAAGTCAATAAGAATACTAGGGAGAATGGATCAATTAGTTTTGCTCAATTAGATCCAATTGGAATTGATGCTTGTGTCTTGATTACCTGTCTCTTTCGTTCGTTGTGAAATGGATTATAGGTTGGCTGGTTGCTCAACTCTATCCATTTTTTTCCTTTTGCTTTCTATGGCCAGCAAAGCGATAATGATCTTTGTAGTGAATATGTTCGGGCTGTTATTATGTTTTCCCCTTTTTTCACAAGATAATTCGTATTCGAGATTGATAATAATGTCTCTTGGTTTCGAGGAAAACAATTCAATGGGTGATGTTGGTACATTACGGTGACAACGGTGAATGAATACGTGCACTCTTAATTAATAAGAGTGGTATTCATTCTTTCGATTTGAACAATTCAAAACCTCAGTACTAAATGAACTATGATAAAATCCGCGTGTTATAGTCGTTTTTTTTAATGAAGAGGTTTTATTTTTAAACTAAAACAGGTGAAGGAAGTTATTTTGAGTTAAAAGCCTTTCATTTCTGTTGTATTAAGAAAAGAGGCAACTGGATTAGGAATCTTGCAAACTTGATAAGCTAAACACTAACCGACTACAACATGTGCTAATTAAACGACTTTTTTTTCAAAATGCCAGTAATATAAGGATACTCTTAATATATTGATTATTGATTAATATAGCAAATAATTATGAATTAGATGGCCCCATTAGTGTTTCTAATACTACGTGTTATGATTGATGAAAGCTTTTCTTAATCTAGTCAAATATATACGTTTCGCTTCATGTTTAGTTATAATTAGTCGTAGTAAAAAAAATAATTTGATAATAATAACATTTATAAAAATAGTTATGTCTATATTTATAATTTTAAATTCAAAAAATTGTAAATTTATTAGTTTATCGTTTCAGTTCATTTCTTGTGATTTATCAATTCAATCGATCCTCTTCTCTTTTGTTGTATATTTAACGCAAAGATAAACTATGGGGTCCAAATTCTGTTGATTAAATTATTAAAATATTATTCGAGCTAAAAGATTCCATAACAACAGATGCCATTGACAGCAAAGGAAAGGAATGGCAAGAAATGGGGCGGGAAACAAATTATTCCAATAAAGGATCCCAAAATCAACGCGTCTTCTCGATCCTTTGTTTATTCTTCGCAGTCACTCAAGCACAACTTTATAATTCATAATCATTAGACAAAAAGTGAATTAGTTAATAATCATCATTATTATGAAAGAAAAGCGCAAGGCCAACCCAAGAACCAAATATAAAAGGATAAAATATGTACTTCTATTTACGTTTAAATTTCGTTGTTACATTTTAACGGATTCGATAAATTTTGATTGTAATGCATCTTCTTTGCACTTATGTAACGTTGTTGTTTTTCCACATACTCTTTCTTCTGACTAGAGTCTTCGCCTTATTCATATTTATCGCACTGGTGATTTACTTAGTAGTATATTTTTCTAGCATAGTATTGAGAATATGATGTCTTCTTCCGCATTTCATCATTTCCCAATAAGCAAGCAGCCGAATGATAAACCGGTGAAGTTATAATTCGAAGGTTGCAGAATCAAATCCTAACCATGTTTACCTTGAACTTCTATCATTTGTGATCCAGTCACCTTAAAAAAATTACAGGTTTATGGCTCTATTTTGCTCCGAATTTTAAGTAAATCACAAAGGGAAAAATGAGGCACGGTTTAGTAAAATATTCGGTTCGTGTTTTTTTTTTTTGCTTTTGCAGGTGAAAATATATGTTTAGTTATGTCTTCATCTGTTATTGTGGCAACATGAGTGTGAAACATAATATATATGAGCTGAAAATTAGGTAAAACCACTTTAAGTAGCTTTTTTACTGTTTTTCAAAAGTTTTTCTTGTGAGATCCGATTTTTATCCGTTGTTGGAATAATTTCATTAAAAAAACTCTATGACCAAATCTCACCGGAACCAATTTCTACATTCCTCCTCTCCACTTTCCTATAACTCATCTCTGAAACCTTATTGTCGATTCAATACTATTTTCAATCTTTTTTTTTTTCCTTTCAATTTCTCATAACCTTAAGCTTCACGTATCTAAGTTATGAATTCCATTCATTGGCCCACATGTCCCCATGAGGCAACCAATTAATTAACACCAGCTGCATCTTGAGGAGGATCGAATGGAGATCTCAACCTTCAACGACAAGCAACCTAGATGGCTGGTAGTATGGCAGTTTTCTGACTCCTGTCGAGAAAATTCCGGCGCCAATATGGTACTGCTCTCCTCGTAGTCGGAGTAAAACCCTTCTGGTTTCTTCACACAGATATATGTAATAAGTTTCGGTAAAGATAAATACATATATGTTTGTTTATGCAAAAGATCAAACTGTCACCATAGAGGGTCGTTTGTTTCATGAATTTGAAGCATGAATTTGCATCTCAATCCATGATATCATTATGGGTTTGATTAGGGATGACAAAAATATCCGTAACCGTGGATATCCGCCCGAATCTGGCCTAATCGGGTAGGGTAGAACCCGAACCCGAAGGACATTTAGTGGGTATGGGGAAAATCCGAACCCGAATATTGCGGGTAATGGGTGGGCATGGGTTTCTCACTATCTAACCCGAACCCGCCCGATTATACACATGCATATGTATTATGTCTAGAAATAATCATTTTTTTCTCTAACATATTTTATATTTAGCATATAAATATAATATTTTCATGAAATTGTGTTGTTTTAATTAATTTTTTTCATTCTAGTGAATTATTTTCGTACCTTTCTTCTTACGTAATGTGAGAATACGTGTGACTGTTAACATATTGGTTATAGTTATGAAGAAAAATCATTACCCATGGATAACCGCGAATACCCGAAACCCGAACTGGTATGAGCATGATTTTAATTTTCTACCCGTTTCACATGTGGGTATGGATATGGGTAAAACCCGAACTACTTTGGGTAGGGTAACGGATATGCACTATCCATCCCCGACCCGACCCATTGGCATCCCTAGGTTTGATACAAAACTCACTTGTTTGTTTGATAAGTTTTGAGACACTAGATCTCAAAAGCTGGTGTATAGGTGAGATTTGGACCGGATCCACGAATAGTGTAATATATACCCACCACAATCCAATTCGACTAAATCTATCATCAAATCTAACAAGCCAATAACAAGATTTTTTTTCCCGTTTCCATCATGGACAAATTCGATAACAAACCCCAATTTTTTCAAAACTCAAGTTATAACCACAACCTTCGTTTTAACCACTACATTAAAATCTCATTTCTTAGTATTTGGTTATAGCTTAGATTTGTTATACTAAGAAAAGAAAATTTTCAATTAGAATAATTTATATTCTGGAGAAAGGAAAAAAAAAAAAAAAAACTAGTTTCAACTCCTGAGTCGGGCCATTTGCTCTGCCTATGCTCGGATCTAGTCCTGTAGTCTTTCTTATGAGTTACATGATAAATTAATCCGCCTACAGTACTGCGAAATCCATGGGATTAACAAGTGGGAGTAATTAATTAGATCTCGAGTAATATTATTAATAGTTAAATCAAAAAAAAATATTATTAATAGTTAAATCACTGACAACGTACAGGAATATGTATGTATGCAGTCAACCCGTTGGAATTATAAGCCGTCATTACTACTGTGATTTAATTGCTAACCCTTTTTCGCGGACGTGATTAATATATTGTTTACAGACTATGTGGTTTCGATTCGAGAGTCTTGCTAGTCAACTTATACAGTTTAATATGTGTTAATTTGTCAACTATTGGGGATCTAATGAAGGGGTAACAAGATCTACGAGGAATTCTCTTTTTTCCCATATATATATATATATATATTAGTGAAACGATAATAGAAGTAAGGTGATACACTGGATCATATTAGCGGGAAATTTGAAGTCAATGCAGGGAGTTTATAGGTCAAAATAAATTTGAATAATTTTATTTTTGGAATATAATCCAATCAAATATTTTTAGTTTGGGTTTAAATTGGATCTATATTTTTGGATAGCCAAAAGAAAATGAGTGTCCGATTATAATGCAATTTGTATCTACTTTTTTTTTTTTGAAACAAACATAAAGGTGGAAATACTTACATTAAATGAGTAATTGAGTTGAAGAATGTTAATGAGAGGATCAATATTATCTTTTACATGAACAATCGTTTGGACACAAATAGTCTCATTTAGGTCTGATCCAAAAGAGCTTACACAAATTGATTCCAATTCAAACTCGATCCAAACAAAATCGTTAACCGACGATATCGGTTCATAATGGATCCAATCCGATATCCATATCAATAATGACAACTTAATGGAATTAGAATTACCCAATAGGTCGACCGTTGCACTTCAAAGTACTAAGACTGGGCTTTTCGTTACAGTGTTGGGCTGCCGGTACAAAGCGAATAGCAGTGGTTAGGAAGCCCAATGCAGCATTGGGCCTTCGGGCTGGTCTTTTAGTCCCTTTCTCAATACTAAATTACTAATAATACCAATCTTATATCCTGCATTAGTGTATGAAACTTGGCCGACACGTTAGCAAAATTGAGTTAACAGCAGCAAGATGAGATCATCAATCACAAATTCTTACATTACTAGCATATACAGCATAATCGAAAGGGGACGAAGACCCAACGAACGAAGGAACACAACAAGAAACTCCATATGCCTCTTCTACAAGATTTTAATGCTTCTGTTTACTAGCATTGTTAGCGTAGTAGTCACCGTAGCCGTCGTCTTCCACTCCACTCTCACCGTTCCCTCGGTTTCGGTAGTAGATGTACTGCAATATGATCTGTTAATCGCGACATCGTTAAGGATCAATCAAGTCATAGTCATATGATTAGTTTGCCGTTTAGTCGCGAAATCCTATCAATCGAGTCAAAAATCGTAATAATTAAAGTTACTAGATAAAGGATACGAATAAATCGAGCACGACACAGACAGCAGCATCCAGCAGCCATGGCAGGTTGGCTTTGATGCTGTCCCAATCTGTTGTTCTAACCACAATGCTGCCCACACACACACACAGAGAGAACGTCTTAGTTTGCTGTGAAGAAGATTGCGGGGAAGATGACGGAAATGGTGGAACAGAAGCACTTTTTCTTACCTCAGAACATAGGTTAGATTGGCAATCAATGCAAAGATAAACATCAGAGGATTCAATCCCTGTTCAAAGCCATCAAATCGGTTTCGAATTAAGAACAGGACAGTAATAATAACATTAGTTAGAAAAAAAGAGTTTACTAGACAGAAGATCAGAGAAGGGTAAAAAGAGAAGACTCACATCCACACTTCCTCTTTTGATCTGTGGCAAAATGAGAAGGAGAAAATGGGTTAGAGTCAGAATTTCATATTAGAATTGGAACTTTAACCTATAATGATATTAGCAACCATAAGCTTACATTGAGCCATATCTGTGGGATTCTGCCACCCATGTAAATGGCAGCCATCAGCCATCCAAGCCACTGACCATATGCATTGTGCTCCATTCCACCTTCCTACATGAATACACACCGATATTCGTAAAATGTCACATACGACGTCACACAACTTCATCCGTACAGTAAAGTTTTCGATGATCCCAGGTTCATGATCCTTACTTGCAAGAGCTTCCTCCCAGTGAGTCCAATGCTAGCTTGCAGCAGAGCATTGCCGTGTGATGGCAAGTTAAGCGATGTGGCCAAAAATGTTCCGTAACCCACCTGCCATTCACCACCATATGATCCCACTTGATAAATGAGCTGGCAAGTGCAAAAATTTGAACAAAGGGTGGAAAACTACGGGAGCTTTACAGATCGTGGAATCGCCCTAGGCTGGCTAGATGAGATAGTAGAAGCTCCTGTCGCTCCTGCTTCATCGTCTGAAGACGAGTCATTGTCAATCAGCCTCACAGCTGAAGGGCCACTTCTAGCAGGCCTCAAGAAAGCCTTAAATGGCGGGGTAGCACTGCCTGCTAACGACCTTGCTGACCTGCAGAACATCAACGAGAGTCGTCGTCATTAGTCTTCTCTCATGATCAATCACATTAATAAAGACACAGAGATGAACTTACGTGTAGTAAAATTCTCTGCGAACAGGGACGGCTGTAGTTGGAATCGGGATGCCTGAATCAGTGGCCGGCTTCGATGGCCTCAACGGCTTCTTTTCATCTTCTTCATCAACCTAATGAATGACATAGTTTACGCACACATTAAGGTGAGTTTACTTAAGAAACAAGTTAAACCAAACATTACACAATTAGCTACCATGTGCAGGAAGGAATACCTTCAGTTGAGACGGTTGCTTGTGGCGGCACTTCCACCACGTGTAGACGTAATCGTAGTAGAGCCCCTGTAGCACTAGGATCACGGTGCTGGTTGTGTAGAGCTGTTGTCAATGGCAAAATGAAGAAGAAAAAGAAACTTGTGAGAAAAAACAAAAATGAAAAGAACTGAATCGTGATGGCCAAGTTAACTATTATATTTCTTTTTTCTTTCTGGTTAGGACTTTGGACCGGAGACAAATATTCGGCTGGGCCCAGTCAAAGGGAGCCTGTACTTCGGTCTGAGACAGATTTGGACTTGGGTGGGCCCATTAAATTCCTGATGGGAGGATCAGGATAGGACCATTGCCTGCCGGTCCAAATCCACACATCATGCAACTTGGGCTATATACTACAAACAAATTTAAAGTCCAGCCAATTTTTTATTTTTTGGGAAAAATACAGAAGTGACAGACTTAGTAGTAATATTTAACTAAAGAATCAGTGTTTTATTTTAATCATATTAATATTAATTTATTAGTTCAGTTCAGTAATAACTAATAAGGAGACAACTTTACAGTTTAGGAAGCAAAGGGTAATTAAATTTGACAGCATCCACCCCAAAGAAGGAACTTTTGATCAAAATAACTTCCTTTTACCTTAGAGTAATTAACCAGACGGAGTTATTAAAACAATATGCCTAAAACTAAGCATGTGTTAAAGAGTGTAATTATCAACTAATCCCCCTAATAATATGAAGAAGCAAAGCCGAATCTTAGAAAGCTATCAAACTGGGGAGAAAAACTTACCACAGCAGTGTAGTACTGAGTCGGCAACTGCGAATTAACAAAGGCGAAAATCAGGATAAATTATTTGGTAATGAGGAGAAAAGAACAGTAAATATTATTATATATGCAAACCAGTCCACTGTAATTTTTTTTTTTTTTTTGGTTATATGATGCAAGCTGACAATGCACGGAAAAGGTTAAGAGACAGAGTGGGTGCATATCCAGCAATCCACAAACAGCCGCCCACTTCCGGCCAATTGACACGGCGGATTACCTCCGCCACCGCCCCACCACGATAAACACGGCGGCAGCGGTGGCGGCTGAGCTCAACAGGAAAAACAACTAGCTAGTAATTCGAAACTCACCGTTGCAGGCTCCAGAAGGCAACCCAGCAGATTGAAAATGTCCCTGCATCCACATCCAAAAATTCAATCGTCGGATTAAATCTCGATTCTATTGGATTCGGTTTCGAATCAAAATCGAATTTGAAGGGGCAGGGGCAGGGGAAGAAAACCCACCCAGCGACCCAAGTGAGGAGGAAGGCGAGGGAGACGCCGTGGCTTGATTTGGAGCGGAAGTTGGTGACGATCTGCGGGATTTCGGCGACGCCCCAGCAAACCAGGCTGGCCAGACCGAACCCGAAGGAAAATTCGTCCTTGGTGTTGCAGAGGCAGTCTTTGAAGTATCTCTCTACCCACCAACCAATGCACTGCCTCTGCTCTTTCTCGCAGTATCCCATTGCCTCGCGGTTTTGTGATTCGGGGGCCCCCTGTTTTTTCTCTCTCAGTCTCTGTTTCGCTCTAGAAGAAGGACAAGAACTTGAGTTTGAGCTGTAAGGAAGGGGAAGGGTTGAAGATGAGTGAGAGAGAAGAGAAGGGGAAAAAAAGGGGTATTTAACTATTTATTTATTTATAAATAAATAAATTATTATACGTGGTGGATGGAGGTAAAAGGGAAGGAAGAGAAAGCCCGACTGGTGGCGGATGGCCTGGCCTCATGGGGACTTGCTTGGTGTTAATTTAGAATTTTACCCTAACAAGGCCCGTTACTTTAACATTTTAATCTTCAGTTCTTCACCTACCATTAGGGATGACAACAAAACTCAAACCCATGGATATCCTACCAGACCCAACCCGATCAACGTGGGTAAAACTCGTGTTGACGAATTTTGGCACGGATTTGGGTTTAAACCCGCTACATTATTCACGAGTTGGGTTTAGGTATACCCGGTAATGGGTACCCGCCCACACCTAAGTAATTAATTTTTCCGGTATATTTAATATTCTAAGCAATATAACTTCTTTAAACAATTAATCTTATTTATGTTTGTGGAGACGTTTCTAAATTATTCTTTAAAATTGTGTATAATGAAGTTGATATTATGGAGTGGAGAGTGAAGTTTGAAGAAGTTTAGTTGATAAGGAGGAAGAAGCTTTCAATTAATCATGTTTTTTTACAGATGTTCATCTTTAATTTTGAACAATTTGTATTGATAATTTGCAGTTTGCTTGTATGCTCTAGATTAGTGTTTTTTGTATGGATCGTTTGTATGAGAAAATTTATGTTGGACTTTTATTTTGAAAGAAGCTCATAAACTGAGGTCAACAAGTCATTTGAAGTCAAGTTAGTTCAGAAGATCGAAACAAAGTAGCTTATTGAAACGCCGAGTGTAAAACGAGTTTTCTCCGACATGAACGCCAAACTACTTGTGAGCGATTTGTGTTCATTTATAGTCCTACTCTGTACATAGCCAAACCGAGGACACTATAAAAGAAACAAATTTCAATCACCACTGTGATTTAAGAACACTGGAACTCGAGTAAGGAGAACTCATTGCCAAACAAAGTATCTTAAAATGAAATTCGAGCTATGCATAGAGCTTCTTTTATGTTAGTGCAAGTAAACTCCGCATATTCTATCCCCTAGATTAACAATAGAAGCCCCAAATGAACTCTACTGAATTTGGTGGCAATGCATTTTGTTTAGGTATTGACCATGTGTCGATTTTACTTGGTGAGAATCATTTGATAAACTTCTTGATGCCGTATATATATGGTCAAAGAACTGCCCTATACGTACAAACTACTGATGAGTACGTTTAATCAGACTCGTGTAAGATTTACTTATGACTTATAATTTCTTCTTCAAGTACGTACACACAAATTTAGCTTGTTGTTTTAAATACTTATATTATCTGTAGATTAAGATTTACGTGGTTCATTAATGCAATCCGATCAATTAGTTACGCCTATTGATAGGAGAGAAAAAAAATTCCACTAATTTTAAAAGAGAGCATAAACTACATAAAACTAGAACGTATCTAAACGTCATCTTAACTACCTCTTATACCGCTGTATAAACATATTCAATACATTCTAATGCTAGTCTACCGCGAACTACGGATCCTTCGATATACATTGCAGGTTCTCAATGTAGGTTAGCTGAGTAACTGTTGTGGTAGCTGGTTCTAGAACCCTATGCATGGTACATTTGTATCACCTGATAGGATATGCTTCAGATTGAACCATATGCTCTCTATTGGTCAGTGTTAGGGTTTCTCTTCTTTTTCCCCTCTTCTCACTTCAATGATAATTACTCAGTTAATAGTCAAAAAAAAAAAAAAAATACTCAGAACTCAGAAGTAGTACTGCATTGGGGGACAGTTATCGCTATTGGGGGACAGTGATGCTCTGATTCATTCACAGTTCTGCATGGAGTTTCATTGGTTCTTTCTTCGGTTACAGAAAAAAAAGAATGTCACGATTTTGTTGTTGTTCCTCTTGTATTCCATGGATGAGTTCCAAGTTGTTAATGTGTTATCTCGTGGAGGAATTGATTATAATAACAGTTTGTTTATGTCTCTGCCCTCGAGATGGTGATCGTGAAGTCACTATGTTCGTTCTCTCATCTCTGTGCTTCACTTTTAAACGAACTTGCACATGGAAGCAGAAGCATACAATTGGAGGGTTCAATCATTTTGTTGAAAGAAACAAAAATGAAAATAAAAGAAAAGAAAAGAAAATATATATATATATATACATGTCTATATTATGATATCACATGTTAATAAAGTGAGAATCATCCGTTGATTGGGAGACAAAATCCAAATAAAGTGTTATGATCACTGAATTAATATGGGCCGTGAATGATAATTGATAAGCCACTAGTGGAGGTTTTAGGTGAGTTGGCCGAATTTTGATCAAGATGAGACGTAGCTTGTTTAATCAAGTCTTAATTAGTGTTAATTCTTGATAAACTCATTATTGAGCTCATGATCTCAGCTCGAGCTCGACTCGATTTCAATTCTAACCATTCCGAATAGTTGTATTGCTGAATATATACAAAACTATGTATATACTATGTTGGTATTATATTATCGTGTTCATAAATTTTAGCTACTTCACATCATATGTACGAAGCGGCGGATCCAGGACATAGTAGAGCACTGGGCCGTATTTCATTAGAAAACTAGATTCCGTAAACAATCATAATTTTTTTTACAATATCAATTGTACGCGTCGATATTTTAATAAAGGAGTCTACATCCATACTAATCACATACTACTATTTTTCAAATAAAATATTTAACCAATCGGCGAAAAATTCATCGCTCATTTTGTTGCCCAAATCATTTTTCGTCTGTTCCATTGTTGAAAATGTTCTCTCCATAGTAGTTGTTGAAACGGACAATGTCAACACTAGACAAATCAATCGACCAATCAATTTGTATTGTGTATCCATCCATATTTCCACCACCTACTCTAGTGATTTTTCAAGTGAACAAATCACATATTTCTTTTAGCTTTGTACGTTTAGACTTTTAGAATTTTAGGTTTCATTGTTTGTTTTTCTTTAGGCGAGAATCATTGGAGCTAGAATTTCAAGACTAAATTATAGAGTTACGATTCGAATATGTTCATCTTACCCATTTTTTTCTAATTACACACAATTTTATTATAAAATAACACTAGACCTAATTACTAAAACCGATAAACGCATAAGGGCTATACTAGTTCCGGATTCAGAGAAGGGCTGGACCGTGTAGCCCGGGGTGGCCACCTCCTGAATCCACACCAGTACTGTATGTATATATAATCTCGCAAACTTATGAATTCATCAATAAATCAACTCATAAATTATAAATCGACTTGCTCATATAAGCCGCTAATTGGGTAGTGGTATAATCTCCTTTTTTTTTTTTACTGTTCTTGTCTTCTTTCCCCGACTCTTTCTTTTTATTAAATTCCTTCTTTCTCTCTTTCGTGGAGATGGTCGACGATGACATTATGACAAGTCTATCTGTCTATCTAGTACCAGGGGATAAAGACGCAGCAGCAGCAAAAGCATTCATTGACAGGCAGCGGACAGACAGACGCGGCGACGATGCGCTGCATGCAACTGATGAACAAATCTATACTTGGTGAACGACAACCATGTACACGTGTATCCACCTCTTCTCTCTTTCGCCACATCTCCCTTTGTTCCTTTCCTTAACCACTACCATCATTTCATTTGTTTAATCAATTAACCCTCTTTCCCCTTCCTCACTTATGGATCGATTCTCTGTCTCGTAATGTGCTCGTATTTTTTTTTATTATCTTCTAATTTGTCCAAAATCATATTTTCAACTAATGAAACTTTGATGAAGTGCAGAATTCCATTATGAACTAATTGGACGCAGTTACGAAATTTGTCGCCTCTCCTTTTTTTTTTAATATATATATATCCTATAAAGGGGTTGTTTGGAAGTTGTGATTGTTAAATGGATGTATTGTTGTGAATACATGTATAATATTATACATGTATTGTCGAATTTGATGCATTGTAGAATACAACGTTTGGTATGTCTTATTGTTTATGTCACGTCAGCTAAAAGCCGAGACAAAACAATCTCAACTCAACAATCACAACTAAAAGTTGAGATATAACAATCACTCATTTTGAGTGATAGTTTCTGTCACATCACAGAAACAATCCATGCATTGTTTCTGATAAAAAAAAAACGATGCATTCTAAACAATACATGTATAGTAACAATCTCAAGAAAACAATCGCAACTACCAAACGACCCCAAAATATTTTCCCCTCTAATTTCTCACAAATAACGAGTTTAATATGAATGAATCGACATCACATATCCCGTATATGTCTATTCCAGTCTCTATCTATTCTCAATAAATGATGCATATCACCATCATCATCATCCTTTGTTTGTTCATTCCTTGTTCCATTTTCGTCTTTCTAGCTTCTCCCCCCTCCATTCCTTCTTATCTTCTCCTCCTGTGGCAGCTAGTATGCTGTCCATATTTGTAAGCAAACTCCATTTTTTGCATTTACCACCTACGTTTTTCTTTTGACATACTTGTTGCTGTCGCGGCCTTTGGGCTCCCGAGTGGGCAAATGTCACACCCACTAGAATTTTTATCCCAAAACCAAGTTGCTCTACTAATTTCTACGTATATATATAAGAATTATTTATCATTTGTAAGAGTCTTCGATATAATAAAGTTAATAACCTTGACATGGTGAATACACCTGGTATACCATTACCAACCATCAAATATATGTCAATAGATATGTTGGCTTCATTCGAAACACGAAATTCTAGAATGGTGAATACATGACATTGTGATAATTCTGTTTCACTGGATGTTACTGTTGACATTCTAACTTCTTAATTACCCTCAAATCTCTGCCAATGTACTATGTACAACATTCTCCTTACTTGCTATCCACTCAAAGACGTCTACAAAATGAACGAGTTATCTTATTGAATGTCCAGTGTGTTGGAGACATCGAGAGTGTGTTGAATACCTGTTCCATAGATGTCACTAGCTATTTAACTATGGTCTCTATTGAGACTAAGTGATTTCGTAGATTCTGTCCTGAATGTTGATTCTAGCTAATGGCGGGGAAAATGATTTCCTCTTTTCTCTTTGGTTGTTGGCCTTGCATTAGTTGGTTAGCTGAAGAACTCATTTTGCTTGCTAGTGCTACTCGACTCTATCATTGATGAACTCAATATGCCTAATTTGGTGCAAAACGTTGATGCAGAGAATGATTGTAGATTGATTTGCGGAAGAATTGAGTTCACATCATAATATATTTTTTTTTTCCATTCACAAATTAATTATGGGAAAATAATATCAAAATCTTTGACAGTGGATGGAATCAATATACAAATAAGTTTACGGACTTGCGATTCATATATTGGGCTCGTTCATAGGCCCAATAGCGGGTAAAGTTCATCGGCAACAAAACTAAACTACTCGACACCCCTAACTTGACGACCAAGCGACCAATTCTTTCCAATTTGGTCGAATAGAAACTTATAGTCATATGTACTATCCCTAATAAATGTATATAATATTAAAATAATAACAATTACGCTCCCGTAATACATCTAATAATAACTATCATAATAATAATAATAATTATTATATGGTGGCGTATTCGGTGCACCCACTTTTTTGGATGCACTCAGTGCACCCGCCTCATAATTGTCATTCTGAGCATGCGATTCATGTCAAAACGGTATCAATTGTTGCTTATGATATTATGAACAAGAAGCACATGAATTTGAAAAAAATCATTCAAAATTTACTTTAATTTGAAGGATTTAGGATTTGGGGATTTAGGGTTAGGGTGTAGGTTTACAATTTGGGATTTTGGGTTGGGATTCAAAATTGAAGGTTAAGGGCTTAGGGTAATAGATTGATTTGTTATGATTCTATGTCATATCATGATATTAGATTGAGAGTACTAATTAAAGTTCAAAATTTGAAGTACTATGAACACTTTTAGAGTTGGGTGCACTGAGTGCATCCAAAAAAGTGAGTGCGCCGAAGTACCCACCATTATTATTATTATTATTATTATTATTATTATTATTATTATTATTATTATTATTATTATTATTATTCCGCAAGTGGAACTACTGTTGCATATGAAATTCTCGCTTCTCCCAAGTCACTATTCACAAAGGCTGTAATCCTCAGTGGCGACACCCACAATACCGCATCCTACACACAAAAACCTTCCTAGACACTTCCAAGCAATTGTGCATTGGCTTGGACACTTCAAGGCTCAAGCAGTTGCGTGTAGTACGGCATCCTACACACAAAACCTTGGTGGACACTTCCAAGTTTTCAAGCAACCCACTATACTGCATCCTACACAAAAATCCTTCGTGGACACTTCCAAGTTTTCATGACACTTTCCATAACTTAATTCTTTTACTATTAATTAAAATGACTATTATCTAGGGGTCGTTTGGATGAGGAATTGTAACTGATTAATTTGTCATAATTGTCTCATTTCGAGACAATTGTGCCAAATTGTCTCGTTTGCCAGAAATTTTTTTGGATGGATCAATCTGTCTGAACTATTTTAAATTGATTCGTTTTGAGTCAATTTCAATTACCTGGGGTGGGGGCAGGTAATTCGAATTGACTCGTTTTTAATTGCCTCGTTTATAAAACGAAACAATTGATAAAATTGACTCATTTCTAGATTGATCCATCCAAACGACCCCAAAGCATTCACAATCTTATCAATTTGCATTACACAAAAGTTTCATAAGATCAATTTATTTTCACATGACAATTTAATCAAATGTGATACTTTTCAATTTCCATAATTTTATTTTATTATTAGACCATATATGTTCATGATGGGTTTTATCCCATATATATACCAAATCTCTAACATAAGCTTTCCCTCCCTTCTAAGAGGTACTATTCAAGAGGTTTGAATCTCTTATACCCAAAAGTCGTAATATATATTTTTTTGGTTTCTCCACTATGGATTTTGAGATTCAGATTCCGAGCTCTTGGAATATCTCGTAAAAATAACAAAACAGTACAAGGCCCCAAACGACGTCATAGTATAAACAAACATCCTTCTTCTTCTTCTGCATATATTTTTCTCGCGCGCCGTCGCCGCCCTTTGTTTGACCTGGTGAAGAATAGCATTGGAGTCGTGGTCGTTCAAAATGGATGCACATATCTTGACCCTCTCCTTCTGATGCCAAGACTTGTCGTCCCAACCGTCGAACCTCCACAGATCCTCCCTGCCTCCTCCGTTCCACTCTTCTAGGAACCGCAGCCTGTAAACTGCACAGGCCGCGGAGCCGGAAGGCTGGCGAGGGACTCGCCGGGCTTTCCAGTTGAACTTGGAGGAGTCTATTTTTTCGTCGTCGTCGTCTTGTAGCGTGGAATTGATGTACATAACTGCGACCTTCGCGATTCTGCGGCACATCACCTTCATTCGCCCAAGTGTCTTTCTACTATCTGCAGGTCCACTGTCCACATATTCAAAACAACCCTCCTTCACGTTTACCACGATCGCCGATGCGTGCTTCTTATATGTTAAGGGGATGCACCACTGCAATATGTAATTATTATGTTAACAAAGAGAAATTGTAGATAAAGTAGTGCATATATATATATATATATATATATATATATATATATATATATATATAAAAGGGTTATTTACTTACAAGCTTGCATTTGGTTGCATCAATTTTCCCTTCCGCTAAGTAGTGAATGCTTGACAGATGCTCCCTTACTCGAATCAAGCAAGTGCCGTAATCCGTCTTCCTATCAGCTTCTCGAATCACGATTTCCTGCATGCATGCATTACGTGCGCGCATGGAATCTGGTTATGGTGCTCGATCACAGGGTAAGTATATATATAAAAAATAATCACCTTCAACGATTAACAAGCGTATGAAAAAGGATTATTACCGCAAAGTTGGTCCGAAAGATGACCTTTTTCAAGTGTCCATCAACCGCGAGCGATCTCTTGTTTATGCGGTCGACATAAAAGTTAGTCATCTCATTGGGCACGCCAAAATTCCCAACAAGTCGTATAAAATCACGTCGTGTCCAGCGTCTTGATCCACCCTCCACGTCTTCAAACAAAACCTCAAGACTAATTCATGATGAGACGCACTTATAATTAATTCTCATATCATAGTTGAAATATCCATTGATATGCATTATTGGTATATGTATTGAAAGAGAGATGTCATTCAACTTAATTACGTACCTTGGCAACTTAGTATCGAGTGCATACTGCATAACTGGATCCTGCTGCGCTTTTGCCTTTGCATAGTCAGTAAGAACAATTGATGACGAAGGTGGTCGGAGCAAGGTACCGGCGGCGGAGATCATGCTCATGAGCAGACCCATTGCTTGCACAAGAATTATGTTGCGAAGAGGAAATAAATGGGGAATCAGGGCTTTAGGGATTTTAGTACTGTAGCTTCGCATGCCAACAGGGTTAACGTAGAAAGTTAGTTTCCTAGTTCATCTAGTATGCAAAATCGTCGGTGTAGGTTTAATACATGAACAAGGAAACTGAAATCCCACAGTGGATGGAAATAAGTTTATGGACTTGCAATTCATATATTGGGCTCGTTCATTGGCCCAATATCGGGTAAATTTCAGCTATTTATTCATTATTTTTAAACAGAGATATCATCCGTCTTTTATAGTCTTTTATAGAACGAATAAGAAAAAAGGTCAATGGAATAATTAGAGTTCGTGTCTAAAACAAATATGAAAAATCTGCACAAACATACTTTTTTTTTATATCACAGCCAGATGAAATAGTAGACACATATGATTACAATGGGTAAAAATAACGTCAGTCGATACTAATCGAACTGTCGAAGAAAGAGCCATTTATGCCACTAAATGGACAGCTTTGTTAGTTCCTAAAAATAAAGAGACAAGAAAGTTTTGTCACGATCTGAATGTGAATGCAACTAAATCCATACGAGCAACACCACCTGCAACGCTGCAAAACCAAGACAGGCCCATGTCACTAAAGAGCTCAAACACTCAAACAAACATTGATTCTCGACAAATCACTAAGCTCTAATAGTCGAAATTGCACAGATAAGAAAAGAAACTACGACTTAAGCTCTCCCTGCTACTAGTTAGGATCTGCCAGGGACACATATGGTGAATTGAATTAGCCCATTACACCAAAAGCCCAGAAAAGAAGACATTCTGAAACCATATACCTGCAAAACAAACAAAGAGAAAGCCACAAGCCAAAAGCTCAAGAAAAAGGCTCATCAAACACATCAATACGATTACGAACGGATAAGCCCATGAGAGTGGCCCCTCTGTCTCGTAATGTGCTCGTATTTTTTTTATCTTCTAATTTGTCCAAAATCATATTTTCACCTAATGAAACTTTGATGAAGTGCAAAATTTCATTCTGAACTAAAATGCAGTTACGGAATCTGTCGCCTCTCCTTTTTTTATATATCATATAAAGTATTTTTCCCCCTCTAATTTCTCACAAATAACAAGTTTAATATGAATGAATTGACATCACATATCCCGTATATGTCTATTCTATACTCCCTTTCGCCTAATCATTCCAGTCTCTATCTATTCTCGATAAATGATGCATATCACCATCATCATCATCCTTTGTTTGTTCATTCACTTGTTCCATTTTTCGTCTTTCTAGCTTCTCCCCCCTCCATTCCTTCTTATCTTCTCCTCCTGTGGCAGTAGTATGCTGTCCATATTTGCAAGCAAACTCCTTTTTTTTTTTTTTTTTTCATTTACCACCTACGTTTTTCTTTTGACCAACTTGTTGCTGCTGGCCTGCTTTGGCCTTTGGGCTCCCGAGTGGGCAAATGTCACACCCACTAGAATTTTTATAAAAAAAAACAAGTTGCTCTACTAATTTCTATATATATAAGAATTATTTGGGATTTGTAAGAGCCTTCGATATAATGAAGTTAATAACCTTGACATGGTGAATCCACCTGGTATACCATTACGTACCAACCATGAAATATATATCAATAGATGTTGGCTTCACTCGAAATATAAAATTGTGGAAATGGTCAATACATGACATGGTGATAATTCTCCTCCACTGGAGGTTACTGCTGACATAGGTACTATATATGTACAACATTCTCCTTACTTGCTATCCACTCAATGGTATCTACAAAATGAACGAGCTATCTTATTGAATGATATTTTCAGGCCATTTGGTGTCTAAAAAATAATGAGTTGTCTTATTCCAGTGTGTTGGAGCATCGAGAGAGTGTTGAATACTTGTTCCATAGATGCCACTAGCTATTAAACTATGGTCTCTATTGAGTCTAAGTGATTTCCTAGATTCTGTCTCGAGTGTTGATTTTAGCTAATGGCGGGAAAATGATTTCTCCTTGTCTCTTTGTTGGTTGGCTTTGCATTAGTTCGTTAGCTGAAGAACTCATTTTGCTTGCTAGGGATACTCGATTCTATAATTGATGAATTCAATATGCCTAATTTGGTGCAACACGTTGATGCAGAGAATGATTGTATTTGCGGAAGAATTGAGTTCACATCAAAATATATATATTTTTTCCATTCACAAATTAATTATGAGAAAATAATACCAATATCTTTCACAGCTAGCTTATAACCCGGCCCTTTGGCCGGAATGCTCATATTTGATTATTTGTATTTTTATGTTACTTTTAAGTCTATTAACCCATTTAATCTTATTGATAATCATTCGATCGAGTTGATACATAAAGAAATAATATATAGGTCGAACATTCGGAGAAATATCATAATCATTTAAGAATATAAAATATAAAAATGTATCATTGACCCCATTTTCATACTGCTAATTAAGTCCCTGTTAAAATGCTATTGGTTAGTTTTCTTTGACAGTCAAGAAATATAGAGTATAAAAGCTCACTGAAATTCTCACACAACCCATAGATAGTTTGAAACTAAATCTTAAACCTCACAATCCTATATAAAGGGTTCAATGCTCTCCTTTTAGAAACAATATGTCACTAATCAAAAAGAAATGGAGAGTTGTTGATTCAAGTCATCTAGATACTAAAAACTCAGCTAAAAGGGGACCATCACAACTTGAGAGCAAACGAAAAAATCAGGGTTATCTCCAATATACGAATAGACTCGATCAAAGTAATAAGGCGCAAAATTAGACACTCCTTATCTATTAGTTCCAGTAGGTTGAATAAAGAAGCGACCTATTTCAAACAATCAATCAATGATTCCTCGTTTTAAGATAGAAATAGGTTATGACAGTTGCAAAAACCATAAACCTAAAGATCCAATAGCCACCACTCTTCGTTGTACAACCAAATTTCTATCTCAAGAGGCATATATTCAACCAAAAATTCAATTTCTAATCTTCTTTCTAAAACTTCAGTTATTGATGAACTCCATTCTATTCGCCATGAATTGATATCGGAGTTGAAATCTTCTACTCGCCCAACTTAAAATCCCCAACAATAAAACCGTAGTGCCAAGAGATACCTGAAGATTGATTTTCAATGACAGTCTTGTACTGGGAAGTGAAAGGCGCAAACTATTGCACGATGGATGAAATTTCGGGGGAAGTTAGAAAGAGAAAAGAACAAAGATAAAAAAAACATAAAATTTAAATTTAAATTGAAAAATGCAAGGATACAACAGTAGTTACATAATCAGTTTCTTCCATGTTGGCCAATTACCCATTTACCTTTAGCAAAAATTAAGGAGAGAGCCGGAATTTAAAAGTGAGAAAATTACATGAAACTCTACTATGAAAATAGAAGTATCAAGCTCGATAAAAATACATACGGTAGACTTAGTGAGCTTGCTAATTATGATGAAAAAGTCCTCTGATTTTCAGAGATTAACTTTGTCTATTTTTTGTATAAAAAAGGATGCAATAAATTTGTTTAGTGTAACTGGTTGTGATTGTTATCTTTGTTTGAAGGGACCCGAGTTCAAATCTTGATATTGCTATTTTTATATGAAATAAATAATAAATGTGTAAAGACAAAAATGACATTCCTACTTTCACTCTCGTTGCAGGAAATTTGAAATGGAGAAAAGTATTCAAAACTCTACCATATATTAATGGAGGATGGATGAAATCAATATACAAATAAGTTTACGGGCTTGGATTCATATATTGGGCTCGTTCATAGGCCCATTAGCGGGTAAAGTTCATCGGCAACAAAACTAAACTACTCGACACCCCTAACTTGACGACCAAGCGACCAATTTTTCCCAATTTGTTCGAATAAAAACTCATAGTCATATGTCATATCCTAATAAACTAGCGTGAAACTAGCGTGCCCAGTTGGTTGGAGGTAGTTGAGATATGAAATTATTTTTGTATAACTTATTGTTGTATAGTTTTTTGGGAAACATAGGATAAAAATAGTGAATTTTAGCAGGAAAGAGACATGAATTATGCAATGAATCAAAAATCGGTCTTATGAGCCAAAATCAAGTACCTGTTACCTTGTGAAACAATATTGTTTTTTGCTAATATGATGAGGTGGAGTAAGTTTTATAGAAACCGAATTCCAGAAAATCGAATAAAAAATCGCCTATCCCGTTGGTTTTTGGGAAATGAGCATCTTACAATGGTTGCTAGCTTTTACTTGGCCCGTTGGCCGGTTAATTTGCTTTATAAAACTTTCATCTTGTCGTCATTATGCCTTCTGGTTTTTGTCAGGCCATGATAAAATCTAAGAAAATCAAGAACGAACAACACGATTTGGGATATGAACCGTCGTTGTCGTATCCCTAGAAAATGGTGGTAAACACGTACTCACCTGCCAAACTGGTTTGGATTGAGATTTTTATCGAGTATCAGGGAACCATGTGATTATAAATTAGACTTGATCAAAACGGGCCAAATCTTGAAATTCAGTCTGTTTGACCGACCCATGCCTAATTCTAATTATTCTTTACTTTTAAACTTTCTATTTGAATAAAAAATAGTGAAAGAAAAGAGATGACTGCAATTCGCCATTTGCACATCACTTATTCGGGAATAAAACCATAGAAATTCAAAAGGAACTTAAAATGTTTAGGATCGTTTTAATGTTTAAAATAACCAAATATATCTTTCTGTTTAGTTTTTTACTAACAAATACCAAACGATTCTCTATAAAATACACTATAATTTGATCATTATGATATCAAATAATTATATAATATATATTTGAAATGATAAAATTGGACTAATTGGGTTGGTCGAGGTTGAACCATTTAATAACTTTAAAATACATTATATTTTAACCACTAAGATATAAAATAATAGTATAATATATATTATGTCAGAGAAAATGACTTGTTTTAGAATGCCAAACCAATGATGTTCATTTGTTTTACTTGATGGCCAAATCACGTGTAGGTTAGGCCCATTCAACTCTTTTTTATGGTTAGCGGTTAGCCCATTAGATACCATGCATTAGTTTATTGTTAAATTTTTTATTTTTAGCAATAAAAAAATATTGTTTTTGCATTTTCATATATATTTTATCACCGCGAAGAAATAAAATGGCTTAAAGAAAAAAATTGACACTCCTGGACCCGTTAAATCCGCATGTGTACGGTAAATTTGCGCCGCCTTCTCCGTAGAATCCGCCGGTTTGACTTGCGTGGGGTGGGATTAGAACGGCGGCGAAATTCCCTCCGCCTCCAGTTCAGTCACTGCACTCTCAGTATTCTCCTTACCAGGCGATCCCTGGAGAGGCCATCGGAAGCCGTGTCGCCGAACGAGACAAGACTAAAGGGATGATGTCTTTGGTGGTTTTCCTTTGTTAGTTGGAAATTTACTCTCATTTTGAGTACCGAGTAGATTGCATTGTGGAATTCATCAATAAAATGTCTCTGGTGGTTTGAAGAGTATATGTAATTTTTGGGTGTTGCTGTTAGCTTCGTTGATTTGAACGAGGTATTTGCTTGCTCTTAAGTCTTAACTACATTCACTTTTGTTCTATAGGTGAATACTGAATACTCTCTTTCAAGCACCTATGCAACCTGGTTGGTGCTTATCCCATCAACTCCTATAGCCTCAGAACTTAATAGCTACATATATGTTCTTGACTTCTTTTAAATCCCAACAAAGAGCCCTGTTTCCGAAAGAAGATTCCATCCCTGCAACCCACTTCCAACACACTTTGAAGGATTCAAGCATACGACCGGCAACCATTCGCCGGACACCTACTCGTCGGAGTCGCCCCATAAGTTGCAACAAACTTTGACGACGAACATGAAAACAACAACGCCGGGGAAGTGGAATTGCCTTTGCCCGCCGACGACTCACGTCGGTTCGTTTAGGTGCCGTTGCATCGAGGTTCCGGCAAGGGAATGATCCGTGGTGGTTCCGTCGGCTCCAATCTCTCAGAATTGGGATCTTAATCGCACCCTCTTGCTGAATTGATTTAGATTAGTCTATACATATAATGACGGTGATAATGATCATACCAGTAATTAAGACTACATCTATTCATCCGTCAACTGATTGTAACCAATTTTTGTCATGTGTGAGCCTTAATTGTACTTATAAGATGTTGCATTGTGTCGGTCCATCAATGATTTCGTGGTATAGTTGGTTATCACGTCAATTTAACACACTGAAGGTCTTCGATTCAAACCCGTACAAAGCCATTTTTTGTTCCTTTTCATATTTTCCTGCATTTAGCATGTTTCCTTATGTAAAACTGTTTTCTCTTTCATAGATGTTGCATGAAAATTGAGACGTCATGTGCATGACTTTTGCCATGAAAATTGTGTTTTGCTCACTTATGAAACCCTCGTGGTAGCCATACAAATCTTCATTTTACTGCTATGCCTACAATTTTTCTCAAGAACTAGTAAGACATTGAATTGAAGTCAATTGAATTTGAACTAATTGTCCTCTTGGTCCATATTCTCCAGGGGCTTCACTTTCACTTTGATCGACTGCCTGTTGTGGACTCGACCAGCCCCAGCAGGCTCCTCCAAGCACGGTAAAACAAGTAAATCACTGAAGCGATGGCTGAGGGGACAATGAGTCCCAAGAACCAGTCAATACGGAATCACATTGTGACGTACCACTTTGTTTATGAATGAAATTAGGAATCCCTTTTCTTCGATTATGCTTGGAATGATCGGAATTAAGAAAGCACTACGTCACAATGTGATTCCGTATTGGCTGGTTCTTCGGATTCTGCTTGGAATGATCGGAATTAAGAAAGCACGTGGCTACCGGAAGCCGTAGAAGCACCGGAGCGACTCAATTCGACTTGAATCACAAATTATTCAGCTCAAACTCAAATACATTAGAATAGGTTTGAATAAAAATCATCCAGCTCAAAGTTCGATAAATGCTTAATAACAAAACCTGTCATTCTAAGGACAAGCTTAGACAAATATGAACTCAAATTGAAATATTTTTGGCATCATATTTTTAGAACAATCTTATTTTTTCTCGTTTTTCTGATGTCTTTCCTGCTAAATGAATTATATATACTCTTTCTTATAGATAATTAGTTAGAATATTCACCACGGGCTGGAACTCCCGGACCAAGCTATATTGTGAGTTATATAATCTTTATCAATTAACCAATCAATGTAAAGCTACATCAAGTTAGCTCGCGAGCCCAGCAAACTAGGCACAACTCAAGTTTTCCCCGACATGAACGCCAAACTACTTGTGAGTGGTTTTGTTCATTTGCAACCCTATACTATGTACATAGTCAAACTAAGGGCACTATGAAAGAAACAAATTCCAATCACCACTGTGATCTGTGAACAATAGAACTCGAGTAATTAAGGAGAACTCATTGCCAAACAAAGTATCTTAAAATGATTTCGAGCTATGCATAGAGCTTCATATGTTAGTGCAAGAAAACCCCCCACTCCCCACCTCCCCCATAATCATCATGGCTGAGAAACAAGTTAATTGATCAAACACCAAAAGGAACCAATGACAGTACGCCGCATATTCTATTCTCTGATTGTGACGATTCTCTAGATTAACAATAGAAGCCCCCAATTGAACTCTACTGAATTTGGTGGCAATGTGCATTTTGTTTAGGAATTGATGGCCATGTCATGTGTCGATTTTACTTGGTGAGAATCATTGGATAACTTTTTGAGGTCGTATATGGTATAAAAGAACTGCCCTATACATATACACTACTAATTATTAATTAATATGTTATATGGATTCGTGTAAGATTTACTTGTAACTTATCATTTCTTCTTCAAACACGCAAAAATTTAGTTTGTTGTTATAACAAGTTATCAATAAAGATTTACGTGGTTCATTAATGCAATTTGATCAGTTAGCTATGTCTTTGGATAAGGAAAAACCAATCCCATACTAATTTTAAAAAAGAGCATAAATCACACAAAAATAGAATGTATGCAAACGTCAATAATGCTAAATAAAAGATTCATATTTCAAAGGCTAAAATTTTGAAAAATCAAAAAATTGAAAACACCAAATTTGTTTCCTTTTTTCTTTTCACAAAAAAAAAATTAAAATACTAAATTTTCTCTCATTTCTCCTTCCATAAATTAGAAACACTCAATTTTTCCTTTTCTTTATCTTCCATAAAACTGAAAGAACCAAATTTCCCTCCTCTTTCTCTTCCGTAAAATTGAAGAACCAAATTTTTCTCTTTCTTCCTTCCTTACACAAAAAGTTGAAAACTCAAAATTTTCCTCCTTATTTCTCTTTCATAATCAAAAGAACCAAACTTTCCCACTTATTTCTCTTCCCACAAATCAAAACCATCAAAATAATTCAAAAATTCAAATAACCAAAATTTTCTCTTCTTTCTCTTCCCAAAAAGTTGAATACACCAAAATTCCTCCCTTATTTTAAAAGCATCAAATTACCAAATACATTAATTTACTTTATTTATATGTAATTGATAATTTTATTGAATAGTTAAATTAATAAAAAATTTAATTTAAATATTATATTAATATTTTCCATGATCTCAGTTATTAATTCTTCATTATTAATATTGACAATGATATCTCATTTACGGAGCCGGCAATCTGAACAAGGGGTAAAAATTTGAAGTTTGAGGAATTGGAAACATCATTAATTATTGAGGAGGGGCTAGTCCTTATCAACTAATTATAAAATTTGAGGAATTGGAAACATGATTATTGAGGAGGGGCTAGTCCTTATCAACTAAGATATTTTTCAATTTTGATACAAATTTTACATGTAAAGTTATCTTGATTTTAAAGTTGAAGGGACTACAAGTCTACAACTACAACCTTCTAAGTTAAAAGGATAAAGGGATATGGGCAAGACCTCATCATGTTCATCACAGGCCCAACCATCGAGATCCAAACCACAAGAGCCCAACAATTAAACGAGGCCCGCAACGTCTCCGTCAATCTGCCGCCACGAGACCGGCAAACCCCCACCGGCATTTTAACAGCTTTCTTCTTCTCCTTCTCCGTCTCTGTAGTTTCTTCCGACGTCGGTACCCGTCCATTGAAAGCCATGCTTCCCGATTCATTGCTTCTCTGAAAGTTCCGGCCGTCGGCGCTGAGCCTGCGGGAGAACGAATCGAAAGATAGGTAGCATTATTCATTATTCGTCTATCAGCGCAGCAGTTTGCCCCCAGGTTGTTTTGCGCCCACCAGGTGTTCGACGATTTGTGAATCATCTCACGGCTGGAGTTGGCTTCCCCTCCACTTGCAGCAATGAGTTTCATGCTCTTCCAGCGAAGCATAACTCAATTCCACATCCTGAGACAGCAAGTTCGTTTCTTTGTCCGCGACCCTTTCTCCAACAAGCTCACCCATTACCTTCGGCGAGCCGACTTGATCGATTCCATTCGACTACATCTCCGTTCCTCGAGGCCGCCGACCTCGCTCCCTCTCCAGGTACTAAACAACCGGCTGCTGGACCCCTTCGTAGTTACCCACGCCATCCGTTCTGCACCAAATGCCGACTCTGCGCTTTCCCTCGTCGAAGTCCTCAAAAACGGCGTCCCTAATTTCCAGCACAATCAGTCTACCCTCTACGCGTTAGCCACGGTTCTGGCCAAATGGGGCAGAACCCACGAACTGAGGTCCCTCGTCGAAGACGACATGAAGAACAGCGAGAGGTATCCACACGTCCGTTTTAGTTTCATGAACCTCTTGTACTGGTACTCCGCCGCAGGGGATATGGAGGCGGTTCTCGCGACGTGGAACGACTACAGAGAGAAAGAAGGTAAGAAGGATCGTCTTTGCAACGAGGCTTACAACATTGTGATGAGCATTCACTCGCGGAGAAGGAATGATATGGAGGCAGTGAATTTGTTTTACAAGCTGATTGATGAAGGGGGTATACCGAATTCGAGAACTTATACTGTCATGATGGAACATCTCGTTGAGTCCGGGAAATTGGATTCGGCGATGGAGGTGTTCGAATTGTTGCCCAGGATGAGGGTCAAGCGGACTTCGAAGCAGTATTTGGTTTTGGTTGATGGGTTTGTGAAAAGTAAGAGGTTTGATGAGGTGAAAGCTCTGTTTGAGGCAATGAAAGCTGATGGGAAGTACCCTGGCCGTGCAATGTTGAAGGCTTTGCAGGAGTTAAGAGAGGCGGGATTTGTGGAAGAAACGGCTGAGCTTCGAGAAGAAATGTTTCCTGATGAACGAATCAAAAGCATCGTTTCTTGTCAGGACAGCTCTGATGAGGAGGACAATGATGAGAATGAAGATGAAGTTGTCAAGTTGAAACCATGGTTAGATCCAAAAGCTTTAGCAGATGCTCTCAGTCAATGGAGCCCTGAAGTTGTATCAATTTTGGAAGATGCAAAATTCGTCTGGACTACTCGTTTGGTTTGTAAGATTCTCAGAAACATGAAATCTCCAGTAACTGCTTGGGATTTCTTCTGTTGGGTTGCTTATCAGCCAGGATTCACTCACGATGTTTACACAGTACAGCGAATGATAACATTATTATCCCGGCATGGGAAGGTTGAGCTGGTTGATCAGCTCATAGCAAAGATAAGAAATGAAGGGATGGAATTGCCGTTTAGTACCGTCAGGTTGATAATCGAGTTCTATGGTGTTTCAAAGTATCCGGAGGCTGCTTTAAAAATCTTCCGTGAGGATAGATCACTTTGTGGTCACATAAACGAATTCAACTTGATGATTCTTTATTCAGCCCTCTTGCGAACGCTGACCAAGTGCAAGAGAGATTCTGATGCTTTAGATGTGCTTGAAGAGATGCTGAGTTGTGGGATATGCCCTGATAATCAAACATTTTCTGGGTTGATCTACCATTTCGGGGTACAAGGAGATGTCACGACGGTGCAGAAACTGTTTATGATGGCGAGGCAGAATGGTGTTGCTGTAGATGGTTACATGTTCAAAGTACTGATTCAAGCGTATTGCAAATGTGACAGGGCTGCTCTTGGTTTCAGAGTTTTTGAAGACATGAGAAACTCAAATCTGATGCCGGATTTGGGTACTAAGGATTTACTGGTGAAGAGTCTCTGGAAGGAAGGGAAAAGAAAAGAGGCAGCTAGTGTTGTGGAATGCTGTGAAGAAATTAGTCAAGTCCTCCCACTTGTGTTGAGAGGCCATTTATGGACAGTGAGCGCTGCTGATCTCACTAGAGTTTATGATATCTATTCAAATAGTTTCGAATCAACTAGATGTTAGCATTTGGATAAGGAACGTTTGATAGAGCAATTGAATCCTCTTCTTCCAAGTAATATGTTTGCTTCTACTTTCTGGAAGCATAAGCGAATTATTACTGTTTTGCCATTTCTGCTGAGAATGTTGGAGGGAATGGAACATGTTGTTCTTCATGACCTGGGGAGCAAGCATATGTAGAACGATGATAAGCTGTGAAGGCGAAGACATGGTGCCAGACTTCCTGCGCTAATTCATATAGATATCATAGTCATTCTTGTTTTTCTCATTGTCGTTTCCTCTCTCTCATCATGCATTTAGAAGACCGTGTAAAGCACGGTTGATCAAATGATTTAATTAAGCATCAGTTGGCTGATTTCTCGTCTTTTTTGGAAAACTTCATAGCCAGCCAGCTGTAATACTTCAAAAGATCCAGCATACCGCAGCATATCAGACATCTTTCCCGTGGGTTACCGTGAGATCAGGCGCTCATGATTTCAGGTTTTCCTTCTCAATAGGAACTTACTATTCCTGATGCATGTTGTCTTTTGACCAACTCTAAAAAGCTTGTGCTGCTATGAATTTACTCAACCAAATATAGTCGGATTCTACGCAAACTCTATTCGTCATAGAACCAACCTTATGTTTAGGGTTGTGGGATAGACTCTAATCTTTTATATTCTTCTGTCAGGTAGGAATAGGGGTCAGATAATGATTTTGCAATTTTATAGTTCTCTATTTGTGGTTTGACGGCAAGAGTGAACATTAAAATGTTCACAAATGACAAGATGCCGAATTACAAGACTCTGAGATAGATGAGTATGAAACATCATTGTGGTTGTTACAAACTGAGAGATCGTTTTTATTTGTTCCGAATGCTGAATATCTTACATAATTCGTGCTGCATTAGACTGATTTTGCATCATCCATAGTCTCACGATTTTGCTTTGCTTCTACCCATTAGGTGGCTCGGTAGGAGTATTATTCCTCCCTTTGTACTAGGCAAAATACAAACAGGATGAAGGTTAACGCTTTGCCGTCCCAAGCCTGTTTCTGGTTAAAATAATGTAGCGGTGTTTTCATGCAATATTGTTGTTGTTGTTAACGCTCTGCTGATAAGGATTTGAAATACCTTTTCCCAGGCGACAGACGGGAAAAAAGGAATATGCTACACAGTTTTGATCATGACACTGTCCTCTCTGGACGTCATTGTCAAGGCAGCCATCAGCAGCAAAACTCAAATTCTGCAGCTCTTAAAATATACATTTCAGGAAATGTCTGGTTTATTGAGGGGACCGAAAGCAACAACACATGATAATGACAGCAAGCAGCTAGCTTTTGCCATCATCTCGAATTTGGTAACAGCTCATTTAAGGTCAGATGGGTTTGAACACAACTTCCCAACCTTCAACCATGGCGCTAATCTCACAACTGGTCTTGCTTCTTCTGTTCCTTTGTTGCTCCACTGCAACTCTTGGCGTGTCACAGGCAGCCACCAACTTCTCCTGCTCTCATTCTGGGGAACCCACTCACCCTTGCAAGACATATCTATCTTACCATGTCCAGTCACCAAACTTTCTAAACCTTGGTAACATCTCTGATCTCTTTGGGATCAGTCGTCTGTCAATAGCAACTGCCAGCAACCTGGCCTCCGAGGATTCAGCATTAGTTCCGAACCAGCTCTTGCTTATCCCTGTAGAGTGTGGATGCACAGGCAACAATTCCTTCGCCAATCTCACCTACCAAATCAAAGGAGGCGACAATTTTTACTCGGTTTCCATCTCGTCACTGGAGAATCTCACCAACTGGCAACTCGTTGAAGCATTAAACCCTGGTGTGATCCCAACCCTTCTCCATCCTGGTGACCAAGTCACATTCCCTCTACTCTGTCAGTGCCCTTCCAGGATGCAGATCGACAATGGAATCGAGTTTCTCGTCACTTATGTCTGGCTGATAGATGATACTCTCCAGGCTGTTGCTGAGAAGCTGGATTCATCAGTCAATGAAATTCTGTTGGCAAACAACTACATGAACTTCAGTGAAGCAATCAACCATCCAGTTCTGGTCCCAGTCACTAGCTTACCTGTTCTTAAGTCAATGAATCCTTCTTCACCAAAAACAAGAGAGTCAAAGCTACATTGGATCATTATTATAGTGGCAAGCACTATTTCTGCCCTTCTGATCCTGTATCTAGGGTTTGTATTAATCGGTTGTCGATACAGCTGCAACAAGAAGTTCCTCCTGGTGCGCAAGAACTCGAATCTAGAGACTGATGAGCTAATGATGCAACAAGCAAAGAAACTCAAGCAGAAGAAAGTTGATTACCTTCCAGGAGTTTCGGGGTATCTAAACAAGCAAACCATTTATGATGTTAATACGATTTTGGAAGTTACCATGGATCTGGATGACTATTACAAAATTGGAGGTTCAGTTTATAGGGCCACCATCGATGGCCAGGTATTAGCTGTGAAGAAGTTCAAAGGGGAAGCAACTGTAGAGCTGCAGATTCTGCAGAAAGTCAATCATGCTAATCTGGTGAAGTTGATGGGAGTTTCATGCCATCCAGAAGGAAACTTCTTTTTGGTCTATGAATATGCCGAGAATGGTTCGCTAGACAAGCGGCTCTTCAGAAAATCTGCACCATCATCGTCATCATCTTCAGGATCTATATCGTTCCTTGGTTGGAGTAGAAGGCTGCAGATAGCATTAGACGTAGCGAATGGCTTGCATTACTTGCACGAACATGTTCAGCCGAGCATTGCTCATCGTGACATCAGGAGCAGCAACATATTGCTGGACTCGAAATTCAGGGCAAAGGTGGCAAATTTCTCTATGGCAAGATTTGCGGAAGAGTCCATAGGGCCTAAAGTCGATGTCTTCGCATTTGGGGTGGTTTTGCTGGAGCTGCTTTCAGGGAAGAAGGCGATGGTGACTAAAGAGAGCGGGGAGATTGTGCTGTTGTCTAAAGAAATCAAGACTGTGTTGGAAGTTGCAGAGAAAAGGGAGGAAAATTTGCGGAACTGGATGGATCCTAACTTGGAGAACATGTATCCCATTGATGGTGCCTTGAGCTTGGCGATTTTGGCAAGGGCCTGCACTTTCGAGAAATCTTCGGCCAGGCCAAGCATGGGAGAGGTGGTGTTTAACCTCACAGTGCTTACACAGTCGCCTTTAGATGATTCTCTGGAAGAGGTGTGGCCTACTAAGCTTGATGCAGAAGAGCTTTTGCAGATCATCAGTCCAATTACTGCTCGTTAACCGTTGTACATAAAGTTCTGTTATATATGATTTCCCTTACAAAAGCCTAGTCCAATGTTAATTTGTACAGTGTGGTTCTCCTGGCCTTTGAAATTACAAGTGTTCAGTTCTTACTTCAAAATTGTAAAGCGAGGGGGAAAACGAGACAAGCTCTGTTCCTCCTTACACAACTGAAAACTATGAACTACTACAGTACATGAATTCGGATCTATACACATCCAACTGTATCTTTGACAGCGAAGAGACGATCTCTCCCATGCTCGGCCTATCTTCTGGTTCTTTAGCCAAACAGGCTAGAATCAACTTCATCATTCTCAGCACGATTACCATCTGCTGCTTTGGATGCAGACCAGGATCTACAAAATCACAAAGGGCAGATTCTGAATGCTCTCCACTTAAGATCACAACAATTGCTTCTGAAAGCAGAACCTCCCTCTCCTTCTCCAAAAAGACTGCTTCTTTTCTAGTGATCAGCTCAAGTAAAACGACACCAAATGCATACACGTCAATCTCAGGAATCACCAAACCATACTCTACATACTCGGGTGCCAGGTAACCTTTTGCACCCTTAGCAACCCTAATTGAAGAACTTGCATACAATGCCACCTCAGCTGACCTTGCAAGACTGAAGTTAGCAATCTTAGCCCTCAAATCAGCATCCAGCAGAATATTGCTGCTACTGATATCTTTGTGGACATATGGTGGTTCAGTGAAGTTGTGGAGATAGTGAAGTCCATTAGCAATATCCAAAGCAATCTGAAGCCTACGGCTCCAACTTCGAGCTTCATATAAACTAATGCCCTTTTTCTGAAGCCAATCCTTCAATGACCCGTTCTCCATGTATTTGTACACAAGGTAGTATTCATCCTGGTGTTGGTATGCAGCAGCAAGACTTATGAGATTGAAATGGTTGATTTTTCTCAGCAGATTCACTTCGCTTGACACATTTCTACTCGTCTTCTTGATTGCTACTTCTTGTCCATTTATCACGCCCTTGTAGACTCGTTCGCTCAACCGAGAACTGAAATCAACAGTTGCCAGCTTTAGCTCCTCGAAATCACGGATTCTCAGCCCTTGGTCAACTGTGGAGTGGCCATCGAAGAAATCTTCAGGCAACACCAGTTTCTTCTTCTTTTGATCTTCAACACCCTCCTTCTTTCTTAACAGTGAGATGATTGCCCCTGCTAGGACCAAAGACAGGACTGTCGAGGAAACCCCGAGTACAATCCAACCGGTATTTCTACGTCTTGATTTCCTCGACTTCTTCCCACTGGATGGCTGGATAGGAACAACTGAAGGAGAATCAGAAGGTGGTGGAGAGTGAATTATGGTCTGAGAGCTATTCGGCTCAGATTGCAGTGGAATGAGAAGTGTTGTGAAAGGATAAATGGTTGGATCATCGAGTTCTCCAAACCCATTTGCATGATTCAAACTCTGTCTGCTAGCATTGAATCTCTCTCCGATGTTAGCAACTCCATCTCCCCAGTCAACCAAGTAAGTCAACAGGAACTTGGTTCCCTCTACAGTCTGGTTTCTAGTTGGACAAGCACATCTGAGGGGCACTTGAATTCTCTGACCAGCTTCTAACTCGGACTCCTTGAATCTTCTGTTCTCTTGCATCAGCACGTTGCAAGTTGAAAGCCCTTCATAGGTGTCATTTGCAATCTTGAAGTAAGTGTCTTCTGCATGAACTCTATAGGAAGAGTTTGCCTTATAATATGAACCAGTGCAGGAGCAAGTTACTGGAATCAATACCTCTTGGCCCGTTGGGAGGGGTCTTTTGCGATCCGAGACATTGTTAATCCGGGCGAGCTCGATGGAATCTGAAAATGTCAGGCTTGAGATTCTGGAGAGGGTGTTGTAAGGAGGTTGAGCTTTGTACATGAGAAAGGCCTTGCAGGAGGGCTTTTCACCGTTGCAACTGTAGGGAGCAGCTGCATCTTTGGCATCACAATCGAGAGCCGAGTTTCCTGAGTAGCTCTGCTGGCAGATGATGAGCTTCGGAACTGCACATAAGAAGAGCAGGAGCCAGAAACTTAGGAGAAAACGATCCATCTTGAACCTCCTGCAAAAGTTGGAGAGATGAATGAAAATGGGAGTTTCAAGCAAGAAAGTCTGAAACTTTCTGCATCAAACCTCATTTTGTGGGTTCAAATTTGGTAGTCTTGCCAGTTGCAAATATAAAAAAGGAACAATCATTCATTTTCAGCTGCCCCCCTTTGAAAATGAGGGGGAAATGAATTGTCGTTAAGTTTAGACAGGATTGTGACATCAGAACTTTTGGCAGGGGCAAAACCCTACCAACTACTTTCATTGCACCAGGATGACATAAGAACTTTTGAAATGGGATCTTAAAAGCCCATTTGAACAATTCCACAAAAGTGATAATCAGAAATAGCAACTAGGGAAATGAAGAAAAGTAGAATTCAGCAACCACAACATAATGATTCTTCTGCAGATATAATTAAACTTCTCCAGATATAGTTCATAGAAAATCTGTCTAACAAATTATAGAAAACAAAGTTTCTTCATAGTGGATTGATTACTTCCATGGTAGAAGAACCTCATTTCTTGCATTGCCGGAATTCTGCCCCATAAAAACAATCTTTTAGGGGAAAAAACAATCCGAATCATTACAAAATTACAGAGATAAAAAACAAAAGGCATGTCTACTCTAGAATTAGCCACTGAGAATTCAGCAGTGCTACCCACTTGAAGTCTTGAACCATTTAATATATATGGAAAGGGAAATGCTACAAGAATTCAAGGGGGACAATGTATTTCTTAAGAAAATGACGGCAAATGAGAAGGACAAACAGGAAGCCATATCATGACAGGAATGCTGACTCGTCCAGAGCCGTTTCTGAAGTTTATATCTCTGAGATGCTATTAGAAGAAGATAACTCCATGGCTGCAGAGAATCAAAGATGTAAATGTTTACCTGCCAAAGTTGGGAGGTAGGGAAGAATGAGAAAATTTCCAGGAAGAGAGCTTATACTATTTGCTGCTTCAAACCTTGTTTTGTGGGTAATAGACTTGGTAAAATTGTTTTCTTGATCGGAGGGTTAGCTTCTCAAGCTGTTGAAAAGAAGAAGAACAAACATTTGCTGCTCAAAAGTCTTGCTCCCCTATAATATTAGCAGTAAAAATTAACAACAATAATAGCCATTCTCCAGCTGAGTGCTGACCCTGACTCCTTGAATTGGTAGCCTTTACAGGATGACTTCAGAGTTTTAGGTATGGAGTCGCTCTCACAACTATCTCATGAATCACTGAAAACGACTTCGGAATGGAATATGAACAACCCCAGCTGACCATTTCAACAGAAAAATAATCAAATGATGTAGCTGAGAGATGAACAGTTGACAGAAAATTAGAACGCCCCAACTCAGCAACATGTCATTCTTCTGCAGAAAGAAAAGGAAGTAAAGTTCTCAAGATGAAATCCATTTGTTAAACCACATTTTACAACAGTTAATAATTCTTTGCAGCAGACTGTTTCTAAGATGAAAAGAGCTCCTCATTTCAGGTCACAACAACTCTGCCCAACAAGGCACATTCTTTAACTAGATCATAATAAGATTACAAATGTTGACGAAAAAGAGCCAACAACGCCTGGCAGCAAGCATATCAGGAAATCGTCAGTGCAGTAATTCAGCAGCTACTGAATAGCCTCATAAACAGATATTTACTATGAAAAGGGGGAAATGAACCAACGTTTTTATGTATACGCCAAATGCAAAGGACAAAGATCAGAAGACAGGAAAATAACATCACAATACAACAAAAATGCCGACTTGTCAAGTTTCATCTCTGAGATTCCTGTACTCTGAGATGTTGTTCGATAACTCCCATGACAGTGAAGCTGTCAAGATTCTTGAAAGAGATTGCACAAGCTCGTTCATAGCTGGACGCTCCCCAGGGTTCTTTTTAAGACAGCCTTCAACTAGCCTCACCACAAAGCCAGCAAACTCTAATGGAAAGTTCCCTTCCATTGATGTGTCAAGAAATCCCATGATATTATCTCCACCATCTTGAGAAAGAAGAACTTCATTCACAACACCAGACAAACCATCAACTCCCTCCTTATACAAGGAAGCAACTTCTTTCCCAGTTATCATCTCCAGAAGAAGAACTCCAAATGCAAAAACATCAATCTTTGTAGAAACCAGACCGTTCTCCAAATACTCGGGAGCCATGTAACCTTTCGTCCCAAAAATGTGCTTTGTAAGGTTGAAGTCCCCATCCTGTCCTTCGGCCGATCTTGCATGTGTCAAGTTTGATATCTTGCCCCTGAAGTCACCATCGAGAAGCACATTCCCGGCTTTTATATCCTTGTGAACCTGTGGAGGATTCGTGAAACTGTGTAAATAGTCGAGTCCCAAAGCTACATCCACAGCAATCTGGATTCTTTGAGGCCAAGTCAATGCCTTTCCACCGTTGCTGGATGAATAGATCCAATCGCTCAAAGCTCCATTTGCAGCAAACTCATAAACCAGATACCAATTGCCATCATTAAAACAGACACCAGAGAGACGAATGAGGTTGGAATGGTTGATCTTGTTCAGTAAATTAATCTCCTTCGTCACATCACCATCCATTTTCTTGATAGCAGCAAGATCACCATTAATCTTGCCTCGATAAACAGACCCTTTGATCAAACATTTGGGGCTGAAATTATCAGTCGCAGCCACCACCTCCTCAAATGTGTAAACTTGAATGGAGTGGGCAATACTAGATAACCTCTCCAAGAAGAAACCATCAGGCTCTTCTTCTCCCTTATTCTTCGTAGACTTCTTCTCCGCAGCCTCAAAGCTCTCGGAAGAAGTGCCAGTCGGCTCCAACTTCACCTTCCTTCTCCGGAACCGCAGACAGTAAACCACAATTCCAACAATAGCCAAAGTAGCAACGATTCCTCCAACAACACCAGCAATGATATGGACCCACGTCTTGCTGGAGCTGGAGCCAGGTGTAGAAGGCTGGACTGGTGGAGGAGGGGAAGCTGGAGGTGGTGGCGGAGACACAGTTTGGATACTGGACGGCGGGTTTTGCAGTGGGATCAGGAGGGTAGTGAATGGGAAGATTGTGGCACTCTGCTGAGTAAGTCCGTTAGCCTGGAGAGTCCAGTTAGTATCACCATCAAATCTAGAACTCGCCGTTGAAACCATATCCCCCCAAGTGACTGAATAACTCAATATATAATTGATCCCTTGGCCAGTTTGGTTCCTCGTAGGGCAAGCACATCTAAGAGGAACATTAAGTCGTTGACCGGGAAATATATTGACCGTTGTTCTACTATTCCCATTTCTAATAGCTTGGCAAGTAGAGAGTCCTTGCAGAGTATCATTAGCTATGAGGAAAAAGCTTTCTCCAGGTTGAACAACGTATGATGTGTTTGACTGGTAGTACTGACCTGAACACGAGCAAGTAACAGGAACAATAACCAGCTGGTTTGTGCTGAAGGTTGCTGTTTGAGGGACAGAGTTGATTGCTGCCAGCTGAGACGGGTTAGAACCCAGGAGGGTGGAGATTGAAGCAACAGTTGTGAATGGAGGTTGAGCTCTGAAGGTGAGGTAGCTTTGACAGGTTCTGTTGACGCCATTGCAGGAGTATCCCAGAGCTGAATTTGTTGTGACCGAACAGTTGTTTGTCCCCTGCCCAATGTAAGCTTGCTGAGCCTGAACACTACAGAAGAAGAACAAGAAGAGAATACAGAAGCCAAATGGAAGGAGTCCCATTATGGCAAATTGAGGAGATTTCTATCTGTTTTTGCAAGGTTGAGAAATTTAAGACTTGTCTCTGGCTAGACAATGGGATGTTGAAAGTCAACTAGTTGAACTTTCTTTGAGAGGTATGTTTCTAAGAAATCCAAAGTCACATTTGGAATTTCAGGATAAGGAAATCTCAGAAGAAAGGGTAAACAAGTAACAAAAGGGAATATTATGAAGTTGACCATTTCACACATATCAAAATCAAAACTCATCTATAAAACAACTAACCGTGTTGATTCTGTTGGGAATTATTAGAGGACTGAAGAACTGCAGATATATAGTAATAATGTTGTATAAACAGACTGCAAATTTCTTAAACCAAACAAAAAGAACAATCGACACCCACCTAATATTCCAAGTTGGTTGTCCTGGCCCATAATACTCTATCCCTGACGTGGCCAACAGTTGAAATCAAAGCCACCAAGTTTGACTTTTGGTCATCACAAAGTAGCGAACTTTTCCTAATGCAAATTTTCAAAGGAGCCAAGTACAGTAACAGAACAGAAATTTCCATAAAGGGTCCATAAACTATCAAAAATCAGACTTGAAAATCTTTATGCTCTTTCTAAGATCCTATGGACATCCAAACTACAAAGGCCCAAAGGGAAGTTCTCAACCTTTTCTCAGCAAGAGCAGTGTGAGAGAAACTGAAGAGCTTTACAAGGCAAATGAAAAGTGGAGAATTAGCAAAAACTTATGATTCATTGCCAAGCTCCTAAGGAGAGGTATAGTACTGTGAAGAAGAAGAGGAAACCTATAGCAATGCAGTAGCCAAGGCAATGCAAGCTGCAATTCCAGTTTCTCGATTCTCCAATGGCTGTAATCTCTGTTACTACCACTGAAACTCCTATTGCAAGGCAAATGAGACCTCCGGAGAAGGAATTTCGAAGTGCAATTGCCAGCCAGTCAGGCGTCACGATGAACATTAGCAAGCGAGACACTGAGGCACTCAAAGGAAGGGAACCAATTTTGTCAACAACAAAAAAAAGCCCAAGTAAGTGAACGGTAGAAGTGATTCGGATTGACAATAATACAGATGGACAACCTGGAATTGGTTGAGGGAATGAGATTAAGAGGTTTGATGCCACAGCTAGAAAACCTATCCAGTATCCAAATTGAGTTCTGGGTATAAAGAAGAAAAGAATCAGATTAAGAACCTGCAAAATTACACCTAGGTGAAATAAAAAAGATTCAAAAGAACATAAACCTTAGGATTGTGAACAGAAGTGCTGGGGTGCTGATGAACATATACGCCAATAGAAATGTCGTCTGCATTGGGAGCCGCCTCCCATTCTGATTCAGGACCAACAGAAATCTGTAAGACAATTATGTTTGAGTAAGAAATTAATGGAGTGGAAAGTGAAATCACAGACAAACTCCTAAAAAGATCACTGCTTTCACATCCCAAACGACAAAGAAGTTGAACGGTGACGAATCTCTGGAATCCAATCCTCCCTTTAAACAAAGCTTTCAGCATTCATCAACAGGACCCATGGCCATGTCCATGATCATCAATAATAAGCATGGGAGTAGGCAATCAAAAAGGTTTAAAGATCGGAACTTTGGAACAGATGTGGTAGTTAATTAAGGACTACTCACGAAGCTGAAATGGTTCCACCCCACTGAAAGCTGGTTCGAACCCTTTCGGTTTCGGATGCGGGATCCTGAAATGCTGCCGCTAGGGTTGAATTACGAAGCACAAACTCCGCCAATTCGGTTGGATTCCAGCTCGCCATTTCTCTTGGCCCGTGGAACTGGTGTTTGCCACTTTAGTTTAAGGAGTTGGAAGGCTACTCTCTCGCATTCGTTCACCGGAGAAACTAAACCCTCATTTTGTAGCGCAAATGGTCCGACGGGGCGGTGGGCGGTGGCTGCTCGACAAAACTACGCTTTTGGGGTTCGCTTCGGTTGGAGATCACAGGCGGGGCAACAACTATTCGCAGCTTGCCTTGCCAGTCGCCAGGTGTCCTTCAGTTTGTTGGTTCACATTACAGTACAAGCTAGTTCTCATTATTATACATCCAAAAATGAAAAACATAAACCACTTGATAAAAGTTCAGATTCCTTTATATATATATGCGCAAACGTTTTGCACAACATAGTTGGCATTACTTCATCACATGGCATTTTATGCCAGAACATTCAGAGAGCCTACAGAAAATACACAGCCTTTCTGCAGAATGGCACATCACAAGTATCATTTATTTTCCTTCCTTTCTCCCTCTATAACCTTCCACTCTTTCCCAATCCTGTAGGCTATAGGGTAACATACATCTGGAGCGCTGAGATATATATATATGTGCAAATGTGGGTAATTCAGCTTCTCATTCTCGTTTGTTTCCTCTCTCTATATATACTGTATTTTTTACTCAGGAAAGTTTCCTGTCAGTCTTATATGATCAAGGGTCCTCCTCAGCCCAAATTTCTGGACAGCTTTGTTTCCTGACCTGAACCCATCACCATAAGCCGTTGATGTGTCCGACTCAATCTGGTGTTTGAAAAACTCACCAAGCTTCTTCTCAAAGTCAGACCTCTTCCCTTTCTTGGAAGATGTTGATGAGGATGATGGCGAGGAGGATGACGATGAGGACGACGATGAGGCTTCAGCTTCATCTTGACCGGCTCCAGAATACATCTCGGAATCTAACCACATGTGAGCCAAGACCTGGCAGATGCCTTCCTCAACTTCTGGTCTTAGATTTGAAAAGCCTATCAAAAGAACATCAAACCCATAACTTTACCACTTAATACATCCCTATAGAGAGGACAAATATCAAACCACTTATCTAAGTCAAATCCGTTTTATCCAAATTCACCTCTGTCATTCTATGATCTAGTATCGAACTTCTTAAAATTTACCAAACGGCCCTCGCGTCTGATATACAGAAAATATACCCTCCAATTAACCAGCATCGTACTTTCAAGAGAATGTCATTGTATCCCCATACACCTACCAACCCATTAAACCAAACTCATAGACCAGCGAACTCATTTAAACCTAACCCACTTGCCAACTCTACTCTGAAACACGAAATTTGGAGCCTTTTGCAGTGTTGAAAGGGAGATGATTGTGGGAGGAAATAGAAAAACCTTTCAGGCGAAGCCAAGCATGCATCATTTCATGAGCCAGGATGGAACCTGTCAACAACCTGCATAAAGCAATGGTTTAGCCTCAGAATTGCAAAGGAAGTGTTGAAGTAGATTTTGTCATTTCAAATTCTCTGATGTACCTGGGAAGACCATACAATATGAGAATTGCTGTGACTTCACATATGCGGCTTAGCCTGTATGGCTCTGTCATTATGTCAACGAAACGGTAGCCTGGACCAATCCTAGGTCTCCTGAAGACCTGTTCACATGGATGATGAAATGAATGAATTTCTGTTCATAGAAACTCAATGCCTTCATAGAAAATAGAAAATGGTTGTAGACAAACGACTATCGTACAGTTGTGATTGTCTGCTCTTCTGATAGGCAGAGTCCCCTGGTTTCAGGCATGTGGTGATGACCCTAGTGGCACAGAGGAAGTAAGGAAAATAAGGAGAAGTTGAAGAATGTAGCATATTAGAAATCAAATTGCAAGTCACTGAGATTACGACTTACATTCTTTTCCCCTTCCATGGCCTCATTCAATGCTTGTCTCTCAACCAAAAGCATAGGAACATCCTGCTCCACCTTCATGTTCAACCCCTCGTAGAATTCCCGTATTTCAAAGTAAAGAGGCTGGCATTCATGGGTGTCCATTATTGATGAGTCCAAACACTCGAGGCATAGCTTTCGGCCATCATCAAGAGATAGATACTTAGTGTCTGTAGACTGCACAAGGTGTAAATAATGAGTAAAAAAAAAAAAATCCCTAATTCATTTCAGCATTGGCACTTAGCTTTATCAGATTTTTTATACTCACCTCCATTCTTTCGCAACTGCAACAGCGAGGAGTTCCATCTCGCTCATGTGAGGGGCAGTACTTCTGAAGCCAGAAAGGGTGCGCCCTGTACTCGATAAGTCCAGCAGAGTTTGTAGGGATCTGAACAGGAAATGGAAGGGTGAGTAAGTTAAATCGAAGGTACTGTTGCTTAACATCAAGAAGGTTCTGTCCTACTGGATAGATACTCACATAGTTATTGCAAACATCACATTTTGGATGATGGCGCTCCTTATAGCAGGACTTATGGTATGGTCGATTCCCTGACATAGAAAACTGGCAGGAGGAAAGAAGCTCACAGATCAGCAATGAAGGCAAAATATTCAAAGGCAATCAATAGTAATCAAGACAGAATCTGGACCTCATAGTCAGTAATTGCTTGATTGCAAGCATGGCAACGGAAGCATTCAGGATGCCAAACAGCATCCATGCAACTTAGAAACCTTCCATGACCAATTTCATCATTGCAGCCAGCACAAATCCTAGTAGTAAGACACAGATTATCAAAAGCCATGAGTTTCTTGTAGCAAGCATGGAACAATACAGAATCTGCAACTACATTATCAAAACTTTTGCTTTATATGATGGTGAAAGAACCCATTTCAATCTGGATATATGGTTCTTGCCAATGTGGACTGAATTCATATATGGTCACGGCAACGTCAACATCCAAAATTCGAGGCAAAAAACTACTTTAACTGTTTTTTGCAAGAAGCTTGTCAGAGCTCGTGTTTCTGACAAGCTTCCTACATCAGAACTGTGCACTATATTTCATGGAAGAGGCGAAAATCTACCTGTGACCACTGGTCGGAAAGAAGAATGAATAAGGCGGGAATGCACCTCCACTATCATATCTAGGTCTGGGAGGAGACTCCACCTTCAAACTTTCTTGAATAGCTCTGGCAAGCTGTTCATCTTCCTCCAGCTGAGCTCTTGTGCGACTCTCTTCTTCCACCACTTTAGCAATAGCATTGAAGTTATCATCATCGTCATCATCTTCTTCCACTACCACCTTGGCTACGCCTTTTCCATGGTCAGTATCCTTAACCTCCTCCTCCTCCTCTTCTTCTTCTTCCAGTGAGTGGAGAGACTCATCATCCTCCTCTGGAGGAAGAAGACAAGAGAAACAATGATTAGTACAACTTAAAATAATTGTGCGTAGAAGCTACAGCCAATCCTAAAATTTGCACACAATGAAACTCACCAATGACCTTCTTCCCTTTGTCATATGCTTCTGAAAGAGAAAGTGCAATAGCACAGTCTAGTTCTTCTTTGTCGAAGTCTGATGTATTGTCCTGCATTAGGAAGTTTACAAGGTCACAATGAAGTCAAAGATGAAAACATGGAAACCAAAGGGTAAGAGGGCAGAGGCAATTACCACTGACCGACGAGGCTCCTCCCAGTATCTGTTCTCTCCATAATGCCCGTGGTAATTCCCTTTATTGGAAGAACCTTTGAGAATCTTCGTGAGCCAACCCATACCAGAAATAGTTACCTAGATATTGCTCCTTGCTAAGCCTGGAAACCCTTTATCCATTTGCCAGAGACCAATTCAGTACATTGGAGAGAAAGAAAAGTTGAGAAAAGGACTGGAGACATGCTTCTGTTATCAACTATTTCCACGCCCAGTATCTAATATGGGGCCGATTGTTCCATATAGCCAGCAAGATGGAAAGCAACATATCAACAAGGCCAAAAAAATCAATGAAGAGGAGTTTAACTGGAACCAAATCCATACAAGCTATAGGCAAAGTTGGGAAGACATAGCATACCACAAAAACTCTAAACAATGTAGCTTCATTCACCAACAAGATGAAAAGCAGTAATCTTTCTCACCCAAAACAAAAAGGGTATTCAGAAATGAACATTGACTTGCAAATTACAGCCAATTATGAGACTAAGACCCACCATGGAACTCAGCTTGAGCCTCAGAAAGCAGAGATTCTCTTAGAGACCAGATATCAAACAGTTGGCAGACAAAGTACAGAAAACAAACCCAGAAAGATGGAGACAGACGAAATCCTCACCTTTAAAAAGCCAAGCCAGGATTCAGGAGGAACAAAAGAATCCAGATGAATCCAAAAGATAGCCACAAACAATCCGCCAATTTACTTCAAAATGCATAATAACCAATCGTCCCAATAAAAAATCTCAGCAGTTACTCGACCCCATCATCATCACCACCATGCCCTCTTGCTGCAAAAAAGATACCTTTTCCCCAAGGAAAGGAAAGAGCGAAGTGATAAAAGAAAAAATACTTCAATTCTAAGCAAGCCCCTCCCCGAGAGTAGAATTCTGATCATCAACACAGCCAACTGGTATATATGGTGGTATCTTTCCTATAGTTTGTGTGAATCCCAAAACACCACCAAACTTAGAATAGACTGCTCTTCATTTTCTTGCACTAAATAATACAGAGAGAGAGAGAGAGAGAAGTCGGGGAAAAGAACGGAATTCAGGGAGGGGGATTGGGCTGCACAGTCCATACAAGTAGAAGCAGTAGATAGTGCGGGTGTTTGTTGAAATTCGTCATCTTCCCGCAAAACTTTCTCAACTCGGTGACGAATTGTGGGTCCTTTGGCCTTTGGGGTTTTCCTTTTCGGCCATTTTCAACCACACCCCCCACTGAATTTCAAAAGAAGCCAATACACAAATCGCCCAACTTGGAACTTTTTTTGGGCAATTGGAACAGAGGAGAGGGGAGAAGAATCGAGCGGATCTACCAATCACCATATTTACTCTTCTGAAAGTGTAATTTCAAATTAGTAAGCTATATAAGGAAAAAAGTGAGATTAGTAAGACTTATTAACTTTAATTCATGTTGGTTAAGTGTGCTTGAGTTGAATACTGCAGAAAGAAAACACAAAATGACATGTGGTAGTTGACTAGTGGTGGTCAGGGCTTTTCCATATACGATTAGTTAGCTTAATTGCAAGTTTGGTCACTCGAATTGCTATAAAATTTCACGTTTGCCACTCAAAATAATTTATTCCATTTATAGTCACTCGAATTAGTTGAACAGTTCAAGTTCGGTCACTCTCCGTTAACCTCCGTTAACTTTGACTGACATGGCGGTCAACTCTGACAGTTGACCGTTAAATGTGTGACGTGGCAAATAAAAAATAATTAAAAAATTAAGTGAAATTTTTAGAAATTACACGTCATTATAAAAAAAAATTATAATTATAAAAATGAAAAAAGAAATTATTTTCTTCTAACTTGCAATTAAGCCAACGAATTGCAATTTGCAGAACACTATATCAATACAAGAAGAACAAGCACATGAACTTCTCTTCCAATTATTTTCTTCTAGTCGCCAAACACTAAAGATATCCCCCATGAGAAAAATCATGTGCAGAAGCTTAGAACCCAGAAGTATCCATTATAGTTGCCCACTAAAGATATCCTCTCTGAACTACCATGAACAACAAAAAATGACAGCACTGAAGCCACTAAAAAAGAAAAAGAGACCTGTACGCATGAAAACCAATGAAAACCGAATGTGTACAGTAGCAACATATCATTCTTCAGCAAGCATCTGTGTACGGTCGGAGCCACCTCCGAGGAGCTAAAGGCAGGGCGACCCATCGCTTGGTGAATGGATTGCAGAGGAATAACGTTCGCCCCAGCTCGCTGCTGTTGTCGCTTCGGCTCGCGTTGAACCCGAGTAAGAGCAGGTCCCTGAAGCAATCAAGAATGTCGAAACGGAAACGGGCCTCGGCGGTACGCAGGGGAAGAAAAGTCGAGACCAGATCCGGGATGTTTGAGGGAGCCGGAAGCGCGATGGGTTCGGATTCGCCGGCGATGTGGTGAGAAACGAAACGGCGAGCGAAGTATGGAGTGGAGACGAGGGAGTTCCATTGCTTGCAGACGGGTTTGGATCGGAAGGCGGATTTTGTGTCCGGTAGACGAATGAGGAGTTCAATCAGGATGTGTAATTTTTTTCATTTTTTATAATTTTTTTTATAATGATGTGTAATTTCTAAAAATTTAATTTTTAATTTTTAATTATTTTTATTTGCCACGTCACACATTTAACGGTCAACTGTCAGAGTTGACCGCCACGTCAGTCAAAGTTAACGGAGGTTAACGGAGAGTGACCGAACTTGAACTGTTCAACTAATTCGAGTGACTATAAATGGAATAAATTAATTTGAGTGACAAACGTGAAATTTTATAGCAATTCGAGTGACCAAACTTGCAATTAAACCCGATTAGTTTGATTGGAAATAATAATTTCAATTTTACATCTTACAGAAGAAAACAAAACTTGATTTAAGAAATCAACAAATTGTGATGTAGTTGGGATTTGGGAACGTAAAGCTTGAACAAGTTGAAGAACATAATGATATTCAAGAACAATGACAAAACTCGAACTTACTTTAGAAGTAGGAATGGCAATGAGACAGGTCTAGGGCGGGTATCTCGATACCCATACCCGCCTCATGGCAGGTCGGGTTCAGGTCGGGTAATTTATCACGGGACAGGTAGACTCATTGGGTATGTAATTTATGTGAAAAACAGTAGAAATATTCGTTCTTTTCATTGAAAGACCAAGAAAGAAACCATAATATGATAAAATGTAGTTAAATTATTGAAGAAATTGAGGTTTTCACTTATTTACAACTTTATTATAGCTAAAATATAATGTAATAAGAGGAAAATCTTAAGTAATTTGAATAATATTATATGTAGTTTAGGCAAGAACATGTCGAGAATTGGGCGGGTTAGGACAGGTCGGGTCGATGAGAGATACCTATGTCCGCCCCGTCTACGGGGCGGGTACAGGTCGGATAAATCGGGTCAGGTCGAAATTGTCATCCCTATTTAAAAAAGAGGATAGTCAATCCAATTTCCAAAACTTCATCTAACAGAGGGATCACTCTCAGCCGCTCACTGCTAGATAATTGGCCTGTTCTTTTGTGGTGGTGAAATGGCGTCGTATGAAGGGCCCAATATGAGTTGCAAAAAATTGGACTGAGTTACTCGAGCCCGTGGGCTCGAGGCAAAAAACGAAAAAAAATTAGGGAGCAGATTGGGCCCTGCCCATTTTCCATTGCAGAGCATATGAGTATCGAACCGGGATATCTTTCTTAAATTCTTAAAATATATTAAAGGGGTTTAGAAGTAGACCCTGTCCATGTAAGCCTTGCAGGCTTTTCCGTGAGTTTCGGAAATCCTCTTTTTTTTAATATTTTTTTCGGCTGATCATTTGTAACTTCCACTTAATTTTGATCATTATCTATTTTTCTTTACTGTTTTTTTTTTATAAAATTTCTTTGCTGTTCTCCGTTTTAAGTGTTTTCTTTCTCATTTTTTCTTCGTTCATATATTATATTAGGAATATATGGAATTTTTAACGTCACTCCTATTTTCATACTTATCTTCACCATATTTGACCTCTTTAACGTTTAGAAGTATTATTAACTTCTCACAAAAAAAAGTATTATATAATTTCTACCAAGTATCCTATATTTTATGTGTATGTACAAATCATTTGAATATCTTGATAATAATTAAACATACATTTATATATCATATAAAATAATCACTTGAATATTTTGGCCAATAAATTACCTTTAGTGGGATCTTTATAAAGATACTAACCCAGCACTAGAAATATCTAACCCATAAGTGAAGGTCAAATCAAGATTAGAAAAACAAACCATCATGAGCCGAGTATTTTAAACATCCCAAAATTTTAGCATAGACATGTTATATTTTTTTTTTTTTTTTTTTTTTTTTTTTTTTTTGATACCCAGGAACCTCAGCCCCACGTGCCACTTTGTGACAGCGGGTCCTACTAAACCTGGGGGCCACCTGCATTTAATTTGACGCCAACGGGGCTTCGCCCCCAGCAGCCTTGTACCTCCGGGAACACCAACGGGCCTCGCTTGGATTCGAACCTGGGATCTGCAACTCCCAAGCCTTCACTGTTGCGGCAGCTTTACCGTTAGGCTATCTTACCTTTGGTAGCATAGACATGTTATATACTTAGCAAAGAATGGGTATATGTAGATTAAGACTGAATATCTTGAGTTAGGAACATGTATCGCTTATATCAATAAATAGAAAATTATTTTTACAGCATCAAGTGGTTAATTATGTAATTAGTCTTTGTATTTTATATTAAGTGAAGTCATCAAAATTTTACATAAGGGTCTCATGTGAAAAATTACAGCATTTATAAAAACAATATATACAAAAATAATTTAAATATTTTAATTAAGTATCTCATTATATATGTTGCATGTTCGCGAAAACATGATTATACTATATGTATGCATAAAATTTTCATCTTAAGAAAACGTTATAACATAATAAAATAAGACTTCCCGGCCAACAGGCCGGGTACCAAGCTAGTATATATATATTTTGCTTGTCCACGGCAACCCTAATTGGAAATTTGCAGCGGAATCATATATTATATTGTAGATCAATAATTTATATTATTGATTTTGAGAATTATCGAATCTACCATGCTTTTTTTTTACTTTGCTTACTCAATCTCGCTATATGGTTTATAGTCTTTAGCACACTCAGCGCTAAAATGCACAAAAATATTTCAGGTGTAGTCTTTTATATAAATATTATAAAAAAAATCTAACAAATATTAGTGTTAGTCATATTATATTAAAAAACAATTTCATCGGGTTTGTTTTGAAAATTTTCTAAAAAATTACGACATATTAGTTAGGGAGTTTAACTTAAGGGTTCTTGTCAAATATCGGGAGTAGGGATGGCAATGGGGCGGGTTTGGGGCGGGTTTGTCTAAACTATCCTCATTCCCATCTTCAAATACCCAAACCCATACCCGCCCCATACCCATGCGGGGAATGTTTTGCAAACCCATCCCCATACTCGTGGGTATCGGATACCCATGGGTAATACCCGTACCCATACATCCAACATTATTATATCTAAAATTTATAAGAAAAGTTGTAATTATTACTCTAAACAAACCTATTATATCATGAAGTCAACAAAACACGATCATTTTCTTAATACGGTTCAAAGTATATGATCCTAAAACATCCATCAATACATAATATAGAGTATAATATTTTTCAAATTATTATCTTCTAACTCTTATACATCTACTAAGTAATAATTAACTAACATAATCTTGTAGACAAGGGGAAAAGTGAAAGAGTGAAAGGAGAATTGAGGGAAATGAATTAGATTTTGATTAAAATGGTCACTCAATTGCATTTCTACTATTTATTTCCTTGAGTTATCATCATCACCATTAGGGATGGCAATGGGCCCGCGGGCCTTGGGCATCCGCCGGGGCCTGCCCGCGTGTATTGGGTCGAAACCCGCGAGGCCGGACTGGTTGGCGGTTTCGGGCTTACCCGCGGCCCGTAGGAGACGGTGACGGGCTGGGTGTGGATTTTGACATCCCCGCACCGTACCCGGCCCGTAGTAAAACGACGCCGCACCCCCACCATATATAAACCTCCATTTTAGGGTTAGGGTCTGGAGAACCCATTTTCACCACGCAGCCGCTGTTTTCCTCTCCCGATTTCCTCTCAACCCTAACCCATCCAATCGACGATTTCTCTGTAAATCCCTACGATTCCGACGAAATCTGCACCTTTCTCTACTAATTTCCCACCAAAATCGACGATACCAGCATCAATAACCCAGCATCTTTCCCTGAATTAAGCCCCCAGTCATCGAAAATGTCTCGATCGATGAAACACACAACTAGAATCGTGCATGCAGATGGATTCTTTCCTAGATCAAGAATTCGAGATAAGTATTCGATTATTTCTTTCCTTAATCCATTTTTGCTTATACGTATATAAATAGGTGACTAATTGCATGGTTTTGTTCATCTGCAGTTTATCGAAGGAAAACCCCAAATCAAAAAACGCAAGCCTTCCAGTTCCAGAACTCGAAATCCCCCTTTCCGTCATTCATTCAATCTTCTAAGTAAGTTGATTTCCCAGTACTTCGTTCAATTTTTTCCTGGTGGTGGTGCTTGGTTAGTTTGCTAATGATTTAATCCTTCTTGCTCCTTTGTTTTGGCTTTTTGCAGCTTGTTGCTCGCTATTCTCATCAACAGAGGCAACAGTCTAAACCCAGAAACGCAAGCCTTCCAGTAAGTTTAATGGCCGCCCCATCGTTCATTTTTTTCCATGGTGCTTGCTTATTTTGTTGCTTGCTAATGATTTAATCCTTCTTGCTCCTTCATTTCCTGCTCTTTTGTTTCTGTAGCTTGCTTTTTGGGAGTCTTGGCAATCAGCTGGTGCTTCAACTGCATTCTGCTCTCTGTTGAGGTAAGTCCATGAGCCTTGTTTGGTGTTGGTTGTTCATAGAACAACCCAATATGCAAGATTTAGTCACTTGTCTGGTATTGGTCAGATACAACAATTGAAATTGACAAATTGTTGTATCAACATGTAATATTCTAATGCTCACTTAGGCACTTTGTTAATTTGGTCTAAGCTAAACTTAACACATCTCAAGTGTTAAGTTTAAAACTGCTAATCCACTAATCCAGTAATGTTAAACACAAAGTGACTTAATCTTCTTAAGTTAAAAACTACAGTCTGCTCAATGTTAAACTACTAATCTTCTTAAGTTAGAAACTCCTTATGTAGTAGTTCTAAATCCTAATCTGTAATGACCAAACTAAGTAATTAGAACACACCTAATCTGTAATGAATAACCTTTCCCAATCTTCTTTTATCTTAAAACATGTTTAATTTCTTATGTCATACAGATGGAACCCGAATATGTTGGTAATGCACCTGCTGATGTTGCTGCCCCTCCTATTCCTAATGGTAATGTTGATAATGTTGTGGAAGATGTTCTTCCTCAACATCCCTTAGGTGCTACTAGGTCTTTAAAATCTGATGTCTGGCCTCACTTCACTAGGCTGATGGTGAATGGGATATTAAAAGCTAAATGCAACTATTGTAAGAAGGTGTTGGCTGGGAAATCTAGTAACGGTACTTCTCATCTTAGAACTCATAGGAACAAGTGTGTCCATAAAAAAATACACGATGGGAGTCAAAGGGTACTTGGTGCTAATTACAATGCCAATGGTACTGCTGATATGAGTACCAATCAGTTCAGTAGTGAGGTGTCTAGAAAGGAACTCTGCACCATGATCTTGGTGCACGAGTATCCCCTTTCCATTGTGGATCACCTTTACTTCAAAAGGTTTTGCTGAACCTTGAACCCTCTCTTCAAAGTCCCAACCCGAAATACCATAAAAAAAGACATTGTGACTATTTATGGTTTCGAGAAGTCTAAAATCCAAGGGGTAATGGACCAAAACAAAGGGAGGATTGCTGTTACAACTGATTTGTGGACTGCCACAAATCAAAAAATGTCTTACATGGCTGTTACTGCCCATTACATAGACAATTCTTGGAAGCTACGGAACCATCTGATTATGTTTGGTTATGTCCCTGCCCCACACACTAGTGAGAGGTTGGCTGCTAAGCTTGCTAAATGCCTCCAATCATGGAACATTGATAGGACATTGTCAACAATTACTCTTGACAATTGTACTACCAATGATTCCATGATCAATCTACTTAAACAAAGGCTTGTTCTTTCTAATTTGATTAGGGATGGAACACTTCTTCATATGAGGTGCTCTGCTCACATCCTTAATCTAATTGTGAGGGATGGCCTAGATGTTCTCAAAGATGGAATAGAGAACATCAGGGATAGTGTGGTATTTTGGACTTGCACACCTAGGAGAGTTGAAATTTTCCATGCAACTGCCCAGCAGCTTAAGCTGGCTGTTTCTACGAAACTTGTGTTGGATTGTCCCACTCGGTGGAATTCTACTTATGACATGCTTTATGCTGCAATCCCATATAAGGATGTGTTCTCTATTCTGAAAATAAGGGAACCTCAATACAACTCTCTGCCAAGCAATGAGCATTGGGAGTTTGCTGAAATTTTGTGTGGGAAACTTGAGGTTTTCAAGGATATAACTGCTGTATTTTCTGGTTCAAACTATCCTACAGCCAATCAGTTTTTTGCTAAGGTGTGTGACTTGAGGTTGCGTTTGATGGAATGGTTAGTTGATCCTAATCCGATGATTGTTTCTATGGCTGAAAAAATGTGGACAAAGTTTGTCAAATACTGGGATGATATTCATTTGCTACTGGCTGTTGCTGTTGTAATGGATCCGCGGTACAAATTGGATTTGATTGGGTACTATGCAAACAAATTTGGCATTACTGGTTCTGGTTCTGACCTTGTGATTGATAGAGTGAAAGATCTTGTTGCTGATTTGGTTGTTGAATATCAGAGGAAATCCTCTAAGAACACAACTGTTACTTCTACATCTCATCCTTCTTCGGCCACAGATCTGGATTTTGATCTATATGTGAGCCAAAGGAAAAAAACCAGAACATCTGTTGTTACAACTGAGTTAGATCACTATCTAGCTGAGGATAATCATCCTAGAATACCAGATTTTGATTTGCTTGGTTGGTTGGTGGAAATTCAATGGTGCTAAGTATCCCATTTTGCAAGACATTGCAAGGGATTTACTTGCTGTGCCTGTTACAAGTGTTGCCTCTGAATCTGCCTTTAGTTCTGGTGGGAGGCTTTTAGACCCCCATCGGAGCAGGCTTGATCCCCTAACAGTAGAAGCAATGATGATATTGAGGACATGGATTCAAGATGATAGCAAAGGTGATTGTTTTAATCGAATTCTTACTTTTTTTGTTGTGTTTTCCATTGTTTGGTTAGTATTCTTATCGATTAATTATTGCTTTCCCTGTCATGTAGTGTCTACCTCGGATTTGAAAGCTTTAGAGGGGGTTTTCTCAGCTATGGCAATGGATGATTCCTCGGTGGAAGAGTGGACAGGTAACCTTTTTGCTATAACTAGTGTTTAACTTATGCTTCAGCTCTGTTCTAACCATTTTATTTTGTAATAGATGGACCTGGAAGCTGTTCGAAGGAGAAAGGTGATGAGGATGATGTAGCTGCTGTCATCACCCTGCTGGACTAGCTCTAGGTTTGTGTTTTAAGGTTTAAGTTTCCATTTATTAATAATGCATCAGAATAAAGTGTTTAATGTGAATGAATCTGTCATATTTTGCAGATATTGTCTAGTAGGCATTAGATGTGAATTACTCTTGTCTGATGGGTTGCTGGACTGATGCTGAGTTGCTGGAATGATGCTGAAATGATGGTGGGTTGTTAGCCTGCTGTGTTGCTGCCTGTTTTTGAAGAAGTGAAGAATGCTTGCTGCTGCTACTTAGTACTGATTTATGGTTTTGATTTTTAGACTTCAGTTGAGAATTGGTTTTGATTTTTGGGGTTTGTTAGACTATTCTTAGTTGAGAATTGGCTGAATTGCACTTTGCATACTATTTTTAGCTGCTGGTTTTAGACTTCAGTTCTTAGATGGAGACTTGCTGGATTTCAGATAGGTTTTGGTTTTGCAGTTCATTGTCATTTATACTGTTGGCAGTTGGCTGTTATTTTTTGAATGAATTTTCCTTTGTTTTTGAGTTCATTTGGAATTGGATGATTTGTGGGCTTAGGTTTTGGGCTCGCTGGCGGGTATTCCATAACCCGTGGGTTCACCGAAGCCCGATTGGTTTTGGGCTTGGTAGGGATTCTCTGCCCGTATAGTCAAACGGGGCGGGCACGGGCATTACCCGCGGGCCTAAAATGCGGGCAACGGATAGGGGGTATCCGCACCGTATCCGACCCATTGCCATCCCTAATCACCATTGATAGATTACAATTTAATCCACATATTTTTTTATATGTGAAGAAATTCTCTTGGTGGGGCGGGTATGGGTATAGGTATGGGGCGGGGGAGGTCAAAACCATACCCGCCCCATACCCATCAAACTTTTTGCGGGTTTTACCCATACCCGCCCCATACCCGGTCAAAGCGGGGATTCCCCGCGTTGACTGGGTCGGGGGCGGTCGGATACCCGCGGCCATGGGTTTTATTGCCATCCCTAATCGGGAGGGTAAAGAAAAGTGTGTTTGAGAATATGCTCACAAAAAAACTATAGTCAAATTGCTGTAAATGAACCCTTTAACTTTTTGAAACCTAAATATTCTACAAACCTAAATTACAAACATGTCCAATGTGACGAACAAGAGGCTAATCTATTGATAATACCACTAACTTTGAACGTGAAGATCTGATGTTCGATTCCATTAAGTAGCACCTAACCACAAAAAGTAATCTACATCACCAAATCCTAGCTCCGTAGTCGATTATGAGCTCCTGTTATATGGAAAGAAAACGCGCCAGCAGTCGTGCACATTATGTGGAAATTGTTTAGTGGACTGGCCTTTTAATGAAACTTAACTAAGAATCTACGATAAGTGGACCTATGTTGTTTAACAGAAATACAGAGCAAGTAAGTTCGTATCTCATGATGAAGACTTTGACTAGTAGCAATGAGCTCATTGGCTATCATCTAGCCGGTTCTTCAAAGAGAATTTGAATAAACTAGAGGGATATAAGAAGGTAAAGGACTCGAGCACGAGAACGTTCAAGTAAAAGAAGGTGTTGTTCGAACTACTAGCTAGTTTTAATGATTGACCAAACACAACATAGACAAGATAACGTTTTTTTCGATAACCATATGAACTCCAAATTTTGTGTCAAAACCCATATTCTGGTTTATTAATAACTACTAACCAATTAGTTTATACAGCACACGTACGCATGAGCATAAGGGATTCAACTTTTAAGGCCAATAGGAGAAGCAACTGTATCACTAAAATAAGCTAGGGTTGTTAAAACCAAGATGGTCACGAGACTCTCAATTTCCTAAGGCTTAATAAGAGTCCAAATTACAAACAAAGGTTAATGTTGTTGCTAATCATATTTAACACTACCTAGAGAGAATGGGACAAATTAAAAAAACAAACGGTTTGGTTAGGTCTCAACATCATTAGGTGAGGTTTACCCAATTTCATAATAGTTAGCTTATTTGTAAATAAGAGAGTTCAATAATTTATAAATAAGAAACTGATTTTAACTGACAAGTGGAATGGAGAAAGTTAAATGTACTTATTTTAGAACCATGCAAAAATGAGTGAAGTCTTATGAAGTCACTAATGCAAAAACTATGTGAATCTAAAGCGAATATATTTTGGCAATACTTCTTCCATTACCAACCGATGGAGGTAACTGGTAAGGAGCTTTCTCAAAACACATATACCGTTTCTCAAAACCATCTACATCCACATTAATAATAAAAAAATACAATATTGAAAACATAATGACAAATCTTCTCATACTTATATGCAATATTTAACCTCGACATCAAGACTTCATATTTTAATTCAACAAATAACATCACCATCCATACCGAAAGAAAATACAACATTAAAAGAATGATAAATTCACATGTTTAAATACACAACCTTTTTCAATTAAATTCACCAAAATCACGTCATTTTATCTGAAGCCAAAAAGCAGTTAGACCACTAGTTTCCTCAATTTTGACTACTATTTCAAACCGAAACTACTCCATGCCTGTTTGAACTGCTTCCGAGTAGGGCTGGCTATTTGGTCCGAACTGTTTGGTTTTACCCGAAACCGGACCGTATAACCCGGACCGGGACCGGACTGGGACCGGATAGCAAACAATCCAATCTCTTATTCGGGCTTAGATTTGAGGTAAAAACCCGGATAAGAGACCCCCAACACCTAAAATCAAGATCAAATTGGGACCAGACTGGGTCAAGACCGGACTGTATCCAATCCAATTTTTGGTCCTTATATTCTCAAAAAGACCGGACTGGGACCGAATAAATTTGATTCAATTTAACCGGACCGGACCGTATAGCCACACCAAGAACGATTGAAGGATATACCTTCTTCACAAAATAGCAGGAAATGAATTGGATGGAGAATTATGTACCTGTGACATGATACAACCACACAAAGACTAACACATTAATACGGTTGTCATTTAAACCGCCACCATAGTTGCAACAACTTTCTCCCTTCCTATAGGCTATAGCGACAGCATCCCCTTTCGAAAAAGATGTCCTTTTGTATTATTCTCTTGTTTTTGTTAAGCACAGATTGAGAATCTAGGTAATGATAGATGGTGCGAAGTAGCAACATTCTTATATTTTCTACCTTTGAGATTGAAGCCATCTTTTTATGCATTACTAGGCTCATATTACCAGCGGCGGATTCAGAACACAGAAGAGCACTGGGCCGCATTTCATTAGAAAATTAGAACCGTAAAAAAAAAAGATTATAGTTTTTTGCAATGTAAATTGTACACAACTGTATTTTAATTTAGGGAATGCATCAATAATGAAGTCTACATCCATACCAATAGTATACACTGTTTCAAATAAAATACTTGAGCAATCGGCGAGAAATTCATCGCTCATTTTGTTGAGCAAATAAGTTCTCACATGTTTCATTGTTAAAAAGGTTCTCTTCGTAGTAGCTGTTGAAACGAGCAACATCAACACTAGATAAATCAACCGACTAATCAATTTACATTGTGTGTCCATCCCTGCACACCACCTGCTTTAGTAAATTTGTAAGGGAACAAACCTCATTTCTTTTAGTCTTTACGTTTTTAACTTTTTAGAATTTTAGGTTTCATTGTTTTTTTAAGACGCATAATCTTTGGGGCTAAAATTTCTAGGCTAAATTTAGAATAGTGATTTGAATATGTTCAACTTGATAATTTTTCTAGTTAGACCCACTCTTATCATAGAATAACACTGGATTGAATGTCTAAAATAAAAAATTTCATAAGGACTATAGTAACTACGGATCCAGAGGAGGGCTGGGCCGGGGCCTGGGGTGGTCACCCCCTGCATCCGCCAGTGCATATTACCATGTAACCAGGTAATTGACTCGTGCTACACTATAAATGACGAATAAATCTGGAGTCGATGTTCTCAAGGATCATGATTTTCATATCCTTCGGGCGAAGATTGTCACGGAGAAACATGAAAGCTCGATAACATGGTAACAACAAATCTAGGAAAGTCGAGTATCAAAATCTTATATCCTCTTTCAAATTCGCATCATCTTTTCACAGGATATTATCAATAGAGACTCAGCATGTTAGAACTTTTCAATTCCCGAAGATTTTCATCAAACTCAGGGCTTCTATCCCACTGTGCACCCACAACAACTAGTACTATATATCACATTATGATTATTGGAGTACTCCAATTCCAACAAGTTGCCTTCTCCTTGCTTGCTTGGGTCATAATCAAGCTATCAATTCTCACTTCACACTTTCGATCAACCGAACTTATCTCATATGAATTACTTCTCTCATCCTCTGATGAGAAGCCCAATCACCACACATAGAATATGAAATAAAGCAACAATAGTGGATCAGGGCGACTTTCTAAAGCACTTGCATGATCAATGGCGAAGCTAGAACTTAGAGTGAGATCAAGGGGTTGAAAATGACGAATTGAAACAACTTCCCATAACTGAATACACTCATTACAAACTTAGATAAAACGTTGAGAGAGAATACTGTAAACAAACTCCCTGTGTTTTTAATTGATATGTGGAAGTTGGACGATGTAACTGTATCTTTTCATTAGTAATATTTATAAATTCCAATAATATATAGTTTTATTTTTATAAAAATCCAAGTTAAAATGAAAAGAATGATAACTATTTTGCAAATAAATCCTTGCCGACAAAATATGTTAGGAAAACAAAACAGAAATAGTAGTGCAATGATTGAAAAACAAATAGAAAAATTAGAAGATATGGACTCGATGATTGCCCTCTTTCCAAGTGTTTCTTTCTTGCCCTAGCTAGTTTCCTTCTCTTTTCATTTAGTCTCAATCTCCAAAATTGATGGTGCTGGAAAAGCTTAAATTGTAAATAAAATAATGTTTATCCATAGCTTTCTGGAAGGAAAAATAGCATTGTTTTTGGGAGAAAAGGGCACTTTTAATTAGAGGGGGACAATAATAGATAATTAATTATAGCTAAATAAATTAACGAGAGTAGGTATCTAAAAAAGAGTAATTTTAATTGCCTTGATATGGCAACATCAGCTCCAAAAACTTTCACATGAGAAGCCTCCATGATTGGCCACCATGATTGGGAACGGATCAGGTCAGTAACCATGAGTAACCAGCCAACATGAGCATGACATCAGCATCCCTCTCTCCTGGAAAGCCTTTAATTTTCCCCTTCTTAATCTTTGACGGACGATTTCTCACTCGTTTTAAGTCAAAATTTAATTTTTTTGCACAGTTAGATCAGATTAATTGTGCTATTCAAAATGATATCCACTTGATATATTTTTCGAACAAAAAAAATTGAGTCATTTTTTACCAGTCTATACCATATGGTATTGACTAGTATTGAAATAAGAACATATCTATGGTTTGAAAAGCGTACCATGGTGGTATGAACAAACCAAGACTGTAGGATGGTTGAATACATGATAATAGAAGTATATTAACTGTCATTTACGACTTTTATCATTGTGTACCATAATATACCACCCCGTACCAGGGTGGTATTGTATGGTATTGTGTGGTATTTTTTTGTCATGTAATTTGTTCACCCAGAAATTTGTAGATCCAATAGATCATGATGAGCTCGTCCCTTCTGTGCAAACGTTTTTAAAAACGAATTAAAAACGAAGAAAATACCATAATATACCACCCCGTACCAGGGTGGTATTGTATGGTATTGTGTGGTATTTTTTGGTCATGTAATTTGTTCACCCAGAAATTTGTAGATCCAATAGATCATGATGAACTCGTCCCTTCTGTGCAAACGTTTTCAAAAACGAATTGAAAACGAAGAAAATACCATATGGTATGCAGTTGGTACCGAGAGGCCGGAATTTTTTTTGTAAAAAAAATATTGAAAATTGATCTCATTTTGTAGAGCAAGATGAACTCGTTCCATTTGTGCAAAAAAAAAAAAATTTCAAGTTAAAACGAAAAAGATATGAGCCGACTAAAAAAGCTAGGAAAAATAAAAATGGTCTTTAATTCTCCATCCTTAGATCTGGATTTTCTAAATGACAGGTCCATATTTGGTTATGGATGGTTATGCACCCTATCTTGAGCCCTCTTCCATTAATAGGTAAGATGATCATCTTGTTGCCTTTTAGCACCCACTTTGTTTCTTTTAAGAAGCGAATTCCATTGCTTTCATCTGAGAATTAGAATGTTTAAATGATTCACAGGCAGCCCTCTCTCTGTAATGGCAACAGAATACAAGTAGATGTAGATCGATTTGGGCAGTTTTTTTTATCCGCCGGGAAATGCTCTTCAGGCATGTACGCCCAATCTGCTACAGTCACCGGAGGAACAGCTGCCGGAGCCGCCGGCGGGGTATGGGCCATGGATGCAAGTGGTGAGGAAATCACGCAATCAGAATAGGAAAGGCTCTGCCAATCAAGGCAACCAAACGGCCAGAAACAGCGACACGGGGAAAACGTCAACCAAACTGGGAAAGAATCCCAAAACCGAGCAAGGCAACGCATCGTCTTCGAAGGACAGGAAAGGTAAGGAAGAGCAAAGAGGGGAACCGAAAAAGGGGAAGGTCACAGTGCAGGTGGGGAAAGCTAACGGCAGTGAGGCCACCCTAACTAAGGAAAGTCCAGCCACAAGCCCAACACAAGTTTGGCGGATGGTGGGCCTCAAGTCAAAGGAGGCCTCTGTTACTCCAGGCCCGCAACCCACAGGGAGACCAGGGGCCGACTTGACCATGCCTGATCAGACCGAGTTGGAGCCCACTGACCTGAACCCAGCCCACAAGTCTTCATCAACCGATCTGTTTCTCCCTGTCAAAAATGGCCCTTCAGAGCCAGGAAGTGCTGCGAACCACCAAGTAAGCAAATCCATTCGTGATCACCATAGAGGAAACTCAATGAGTAATTCCCACCCTAAAAAGAGGAAGGAGACCAAGCTCCGGGTAGCGAAGAAGGGTCACGGAACGCGACCGGGAATGGGGAATGGCAAACGCGCTCAAAAGAAGCAGAGCAGTACCACCCATCGTAAAGCCGCCGAGGATCTCCTGGATCAGCTTTTGTCTCGACCGCCTGCTGAGACGTCGGCTACGAACAATAGGGAAAACAATGATCCCATGGCTGAAGCAGCTGATCTTCATCCCACTGGAGCTGATGGAGACCAGGAACCTATTGCGGCTGATTTGGTGGGTTTTGGAACTCCACCGGCAGAGCTGGCTACTTAAGCATAGTCCCTGCTGCCTCTGCAAGTCAGGGAAGTCTGCGTGTCCTTTACCTCTCTGTTTTTACTTATGTTTAGTATATTTAGTTGGAATTGCCGGGGGGCAAAACACCCCAAGTTTCTTGCTACCTTTAAAGAGTATGTTTTCTCTCATAGACCTAATATTGTCTTCATTGTGGAGCCACGGATTAGTGGTAAGGATGCGGAAGATGTTATCAAGTCTATGGGTTTTGATAAACATATTGTTGTGGATGCTATTGGTTTTTCTGGTGGTATTTGGGTGCTTTGGATGGATAATTACCTTGCGATCACTGAATTGGATCGAGACTCACAATTCCTCCATCTTTTGTGCACAGACCAGAACAAAAATTCAGTTCTCTTGACTGCGATCTACGCCAAGCCTAACGACCATGACCGGCAACCCCTATGGGCGAACATTCGAAGACTTGAGCAAACCATTGATAGGCCTTGGCTTCTTGCTGGAGATTTCAATTCCATCACCTGCCCGTCTGAACGCAAAGGTGGCGCTGCGTACAATCCGAGCAAAACAGCTAGCTTCAATGCGTGTATTCGTGATTGTGGGCTTCTAGATGTTGGATTCACTGGACCTAAGTTCACGTGGAGTAATGGGAGGCTCTCCCAACGCCTTGACAGAGCCTTATGCAACCAGGAGTGGATCAGGCAATTCCCTGATACCGTGTCAACAAATCTGCCAAGGCTCCGCTCGGACCACAGACCAATCCTTATCTGCAGTAACAATGACCATGGTGGTATGAACAAACCAAGACTGTAGGATGGTTGAATACATGATAATAGAAGTATATTAACTGTCATTTACGACTTTTATCATTGTGTACCATAATATACCACCCCGTACCAGGGTGGTATTGTATGGTATTGTGTGGTATTTTTTTGTCATGTAATTTGTTCACCCAGAAATTTGTAGATCCAATAGATCATGATGAGCTCGTCCCTTCTGTGCAAACGTTTTTAAAAACGAATTAAAAACGAAGAAAATACCATAATATACCACCCCGTACCAGGGTGGTATTGTATGGTATTGTGTGGTATTTTTTGGTCATGTAATTTGTTCACCCAGAAATTTGTAGATCCAATAGATCATGATGAACTCGTCCCTTCTGTGCAAACGTTTTCAAAAACGAATTGAAAACGAAGAAAATACCATATGGTATGCAGTTGGTACCGAGAGGCCGGAATTTTTTTTGTAAAAAAAATATTGAAAATTGATCTCATTTTGTAGAGCAAGATGAACTCGTTCCATTTGTGCAAAAAAAAAATTTCAAGTTAAAACGAAAAAGATATGAGCCGACTAAAAAAGCTAGGAAAAATAAAAATGGTCTTTAATTCTCCATCCTTAGATCTGGATTTTCTAAATGACAGGTCCATATTTGGTTATGGATGGTTATGCACCCTATCTTGAGCCCTCTTCCATTAATAGGTAAGATGATCATCTTGTTGCCTTTTAGCACCCACTTTGTTTCTTTTAAGAAGCGAATTCCATTGCTTTCATCTGAGAATTAGAATGTTTAAATGATTCACAGGCAGCCCTCTCTCTGTAATGGCAACAGAATACAAGTAGATGTAGATCGATTTGGGCAGTTTTTTTTATCCTTCCCAAGTTAGTGATCAACTTGTCTAGCTCCTAGGGAAACCATTTGGTATTAATAACTCAAATTGTTAGAAGAAGGTTATTTACGGATCTTATACGTACCAGTCTCTTACACGTTTAAACGAAAAATTAACTCACGACCTTGAAGTTTGCACAGACTTATCATACTTTGTGCTAAACATCAACTATTGATATTGGGGTGATCATAAAGATTTCAACACATAACCATTTGACCAAATCAGCTCTGCTACCATGCCACAAACCGTTTGGTTCCGTTACTTAAATTGTTGGGAGAATGTTGATTATCAGTTTTACACTCTTAATTACATTCAATCATGTCTAGCTCATCTATATATCATGCATATATATATATATATATAAGCTTTTACATCCTAAGCTCTAGATCTGTTAGCTCTTCCAATTCCTGCACAAGAGCATGAGTGTCAATCAGGGGCGAGCCTAAATTAGGGAGGTGAGACACGTCTCCGCACGAAAATTCAATGAAAAATTCACTTCGTCATTACCAAACTTACGTGACACATTACACATATTCTGCAACTATATATCATACTTATACACATGATCATCGGAACAAACAATTCGAATTATAGCTACTATTTATCTTTACTATATACCGATGCAGAAAGTATACTAATGATCTACCTATTTCTTTCACCATCTCACCATCATCGAGATGCATTAGATCTTACACGATACTTCAGAAAGCAGAATTTTCACAATGCATTAGGATGTTGCTTTCTCGCCCTCTAGAAAAAAAATAGTGTGGTAAAGTGACTAGACGTGTACAACATCATGGAAAGGTGCATCATAATGCGGGCTAATGTCGTGATCAAGCCATAAATGGTGATAATAATGGATTGAAAACTGTGGTGACAGACTTAGGGCTGTCCATTTGGTTTTGGTTTATTGGTTTTAACCGAAACCAAACCAATTGGAAAGCTAATGGTTTCAGTTTTTTGGTTTTAAACCAATAGGCAACTTAATGGTTTTGGTTTGGTTAAGACCGAAAAACCAATAGAAACCATTAAGAAACCAATAAGAATAAAATTATTTATCAACAAATATATTTTTTTTTGTTTCTTTTGACACGCATGCCAACCAATAATTTGATATGGCCATTTACCATTATTATGACGTTTATTCAATAAAAAGGAGGGAAATAGGAATAAATATGAGTGTATGAGTACATGTTGGTTTTTTGGTTATCCAAACCAAAACCAAAACCATTAAGGCCCTTATTGCCAAAAACCAATAAGGGCCTTAATGGTTTTGATTTTGGTTTTTGGAATTTGGTTTTTGGTTTTTGGTTTTTCATACTTAATGGTTTGGTTAACCAAACCAAACCAAACTTACAGCCTAGTGACAGTTGCCATATTTATTCAAACAATCTGAGATTTAAGGGGACAACAACGAAGGGGAAAAAAATTGAAATAAAGTATATGTTAAATCTCGTACTTATCAAGTTTATTGGCATGCAGGCAGGATTCTGTAATTAAACAATGTACATTTCGACATTTTTGTTCATTAATGTTGCATGTGTTCATTATTAATTTCTCTTGTCAGAATTATTAACATTTTATTGTTTGGGGACATATTGGTGTATTTTTGGAGCATACCATACTCCGGGTAATTGAACTTTGAAGGCAATTAACATCAGCCCTAGACAGCAGACGCAAGAAACTAACTTGATCATTGAGTATTTTTTTTGCATTCGTTGTTAACAAAAGAATTAACCCAATAATTATATTGAGTAACATAGTTTCTGGCTTCAAGAGTGATCATTATGCGATCAGGTGGATACCTGGTTTTGGATTCTTGTCTACCTTTATAATGGAATGACATATATAGAAACCATCAATGATGTTTTCTTGTGACGTCGAACAAGAGTACTCCACTTGGACGTACATTTGGGTTACTAACTTACTATTTACTCCAACAATGTATTGGTCTAGTGGTAATACCACTAGCCATAAACTTGAAGGTCCTAGGTTCGAGTCCCTTCAATAGTATCTAATAATTCTTGTAAAAAAAAAAACAATAGTACCTAATAACAAAAAAAAGTAACTTATATCACCCTTATCTAAAAAAACTTACTATTTACTCCACGTTTTCATAACAATTCCAAATCTAAAAACTTACTATTTACTCCACGTTTTCATAACAATTCCAAATCTACCGTTGATGGAAATATGATTAAAAATGATTAGAGAGAGGGAAATATGATAAAAAAATCTCTCCCTTACTTACCTTCTTGTTTTGTTTGTAGAAGAGGAAGAAAGACTTGTGATGGTGAACAGTTGCCTTGTTTTGTCAATATTTAATATTTCAGTTGGGCGTCTCTGTAAGGAATAAAATTCAATAAACTCCAAGAAAACGCTCAATCGTATTAATTAATTATAAAAATTATATCAACTAAAGGATAGTGTGAAAGAAGGATAGTGTTAATCAAAGATTTGTTTTGGTTTTGCAGTTTTTTGGTTCCCTCGTGGCCTCGTTGCCGATTGATGATTACCGCGTAGCATAGTGATTATGAAGAAGAAAAATCATCATCGTAATTATTAACAAAAATCATCATCTCACCTCCTCCCCACTGTAATTTTGTATCTCAGTATATCCATTTTGTAATAACAAAAAAAAAAGGGGAAAAAATTTCCTTCCTTTTTTTCCACGTTATAAAAACCTTTTTTTTTTCATTTCCCTCCCTTTCTCTCTAGTCTATCTCCAGCATCAATATCACCATCTCTGCAATCTCTGTCATTCTCCTCCTGATCCGGCGTCGTTTCGTCGTCGCGACGATTCTATGTCCCAGCAGGATTACCACCACCACGGCACCGACGGCGGTGGCGGAGGAGGTTTTTTCTCTTTCTCCGCTTCCAACGGATTCGACAGAGTTCAGCAACAACAACCACAACCGACGGGGATGTTATCCGAGATGTTCAATTTCGCTTCTTCCACCGGCGGACCGTCCGTCGCCGCCGTCCTAGACCATCACCACCCCGCCGCCACCACCGACTGGTACGACGACGGCGGCGGCGATTCTTCTTCCAATCCGCCGCGATCCTCCACTCTCCACGTGCTTCTCCCAGACCCGATCACGCAATTCTCGTGGGCCCCAGCCGCCGAAATCCGCGGCGGGGCGGTGGAAGGGCAGGGACTCCTCTCCCTCTCCCTCTCCTCCTCGTCGCTGCAGAACCTAGAAGCCGCCAAGGCCGAGGATTTGCGAATTAGCGACGGTGGCGGCGGCCGATTACTATACTACAATCACCAACAGGTGGCGATGAATCATGATCGAATCGGCGGGTTCGGGTCCGCGGTGAGTGTGCTCCGGAGCTCCAAGTACGTCAGGGCGGCCGCAGAATTATTAGAGGAGTTCTGCAGCGTGGGGAGAGGGCAGTTCAGGAAGAGCAAATTGTGCAGGCTCAATACCAACAACGGCGGCGGCGGCGGGGACGGAAGGTCAAACTCGCCGGCTCCCCCACCGCCGCCGTTGTCGTCGGAGCGTCAGAGGCGGAAGGTCAAACTCGTGTACATGCTTGATGAGGCATGTCCCCCCGTTTCTCTTCCTTCTTCTTCTTCTTCTTCTTCTTCTCCCTCTTAAAATATAATAATAACTCTTATTAGTATCCAAATTGCCAGGATTTTCATGAATTTGAAGCATTATAAGTCGCCATTTGGTGGAATTTTCACAAAATTTGATTTTGGTTTTTCGGGGACGGGTCCAATCATTAGGAACAACAAATGGGAAATATGCGGTTTTGGAATTGATGAGTAATTAATTAAATTATAAATTTTACATACGGGATGTTTTCTTGCTTAAATATATAATGGTAGAAAGCCGGCAGCAGCAGGTACACACTGACATATTTAGAGTAGAGCAGTAGTACAGTGGTAGGATTAGCCATCATAATCACCATCAAAGTTTTGAAATTATTATTAATTATACATAAAAACCCATTTTATTCATTTTTCGCATTGTCGAATCCTCCCATCGATCCGTAGAAAAACAATCGTGGCAGACGGTTTGATTTTAGCGGTATAAAACAATTACTGCAGGTGGACAGAAGGTACAACCACTACCGCGAGCAGATGCAGGCGGTGGTGAACTCGTTCGACCTGGTGATGGGGTTCAGGGCTGCGGTCCCGTACACGGCCCTGGCCCAGAAGGCCATGTCGCGTCACTTCAGGTGCCTGAAGGACGCGATCGCGGCCCAGATCCGGCAGCTCCGCGAGCTGCTGGGTGACAAGGACGGTGCGGGAGGGATCACGAGAGGGGAGACGCCGCGGCTGAAGGCGTTGGAAAAGAGCCTGAGGCAGCAGCAGCAGCGTGCGTTCCATCAGATGGGTGGGATGATGGAGGAGGAGGAGGACGCGTGGCGGCCGCAGAGGGGGCTGCCGGAGCGATCCGTCAGCATCCTCCGTGCCTGGCTCTTCGAGCATTTCCTTCACCCGTACATTTACTTTCTCTCTCCTTTAAATTTCACCCTCTTAGTTGCATTAACTATACACGACGTTGAAAATGATGAGGAATTATTGGCTACACCGGGAGCACCACGTTGGTATGCTTATTTGGTGCTCCCGGCCTATTAAAATCCGCCACGTATTCAGCTGCAGTAATTAATTAATTCATGGCTTAATTCACTCCTCCCTCATAATTATCTTCAGTTAATACTAACTAATAAATCCACCCCTCTCTCTTTCATGCTACTCCGTCTTCTTCCGCCATTAAATTTTTTTATAATCAACCAAAATAATTTTCTCCTGCTTGTCTTACCAACTCATCCCCTTCTTAGCTCCGACGAAACAGCCACCGACTAACAAAAGCAAAGTACGGACTTCTATTATCGGCTCAATGACTGTGTTGCCGACTTGCCGCTGACGATGTCTCCAAATATGCAAATGGAGCTGTAGAAAGTGTCTAGCTTTCTGTAGTGGATTTGAAAGCATGGACATATATGACAAAAGATTCAATTTATTTGCAAATGCAGAGTTTCCTGAATTGGTCTATAACTTTGAAATTTTTAATGACGGAGCTTTACTCGCCGGCTGCACGTTGGGACGGAGATTGTAGAAGACAAAGGAGTACGAGAGAGAAAGAGGGATTAATTAGTTAGTATTATTATATTATTTGAAGAGATTTATCAGAGATGGTAATTGGGAATAGATAAACTGAGGAAAGAATTAAGCAAGTAATTAATTCTTGGTGCTCCCGGTGTAGCCAATAATTCCTCGAAAATGATATGGTTATTAGAACTAAGGGACCTTCATTTCCCACCAATCCTCTCCATACTTTCCTGTTTTACCTAGTTATCCACCCAATCAGTTGATTTCAATAACTCGAGTTGTCGAGAGATGTTTAATTGTGGATCATATACCACAACACTAACACGACCCCCTCAAACGAAAGACAGTCATAAGGGCTTGAAATTTGGCACAGGTTCGAAGACAAGAATATCATGTGCTTAACAAATGAGGGTCACCGGGAATCGAACGCAAGACCTCTCGGTCACAGAAAGCTCTAATACCATGTCATAAGCCAGTTGCTCCAAATAACTCGAGTTGTTTGGAGAAGTTCAATCATGGATCATACACCACAACGCTAACAGTCTTACCGTTCATATTTTGCATGAACAAGTAGGATTTTGCTAATCCTGCTTCTTAATCGTAGATACTTTCATTTGCATCCAACGACTAGGCAGGCTGGAAAAACTACTGCCAACGGAATGAATGCAAGAAAAGCTACTGGCCGCCATGGCTGGCCTACTACTGCCCTTTGCTAGTGCATGCATGCTCTGCTGAACTTATCATTTCTATCTCTCTTCCGCCTTTCCTTTCCTTTTTTTTTTCTTTCTTTTCTCTTATATTCTAAGTTTCTAACGCCCATGCAGAGACCATTGTACTAGAAATAAAGAAAAACAAAACCCTACTACAACCATTCTTTTTCTTCTGTTTTTTTCTCGTTATCATTTAAAGAGAGACAGGGTGAGGAACAAGAAAAAAAGCACAGTAAAAAAGCAATAGTATCATACATATATGTACACCTTTATTTATATTATTGTTCTCTTCATAAAAAGGGAAAGCCCTGGTGGTCTCTTTCTCAGGTATCCAAGCGATGCAGATAAACATCTGTTGGCTCGACAGACTGGTCTATCGAGAAACCAGGTCAGTTGTCCCTCTCCCTCTCCTTTCTCTTTTCACTTATTCCGATTTCGTATTTTTACTGTCTCGCTTTCGACTCAATCTAATGATCCTAATCGTTGTATAACGTCATTTCTTTCTCTAAAATAACATCGACACACGTACATCCAACTGTCAAGACGTACCACATGTCACATAATCTCGTATTACCGGCTTGTAGCTAATACCTACCCTAGCAGCATGCTTAACAAAAACTATCATGTGTGGTCTAAGTTATGGGTTTTTCGATCTGTTTCAGAGGAACACATTATTAAATTAAGGTCTGGCTGGGTAGCTACATGGTTAGGGGATGTTTTCATCAATGCAAGAGTCCGACTATGGCAGTAGTTGCTTCTAGTTACTTGCTTATCACCCTAGCTTTCATCATCACCGTCATTTACTATTGTGTTTCTTTTCCTTGGTCATTTCATGTACATTGTTGTTAGACAATGTGCATGATACATTAGTTAGATCATAATAAGAATAGACTAATAACGGGTCAGAATAAAATCTGGTGTGCACGCACGTTTCAGTGGTGAACATTCTGCGTTTGACAGGATGAGATTCTTATGTCTGATACTGTGGAGAACACTCATTTTACGAGAGGAAGTAGTCAGATAGACCATGGTATTAAGTGGGTAGTTTCAAAATTTACGTAAATTGGTTGCGAGATCTAATAATATAATATAATCCGTTAGCTAGATTGATTGAAATTATATAGAAATCGAACATTTTTCCTGAATGTATGCTATCAGCCCTGTAAATCGCAACTAATGATGAATTGTCGACCAGAATTTCTGAAGCTGACGGTGTTTATAATTGTATATTATTCCTCACTGATTTATTTTTAATTAGTGAGTGTCATTTACCTTTGGTTGGTTAACAATGTCATGTGATTATTGCTGGCTGGTGGTGATTTATTAGGTTTCCAATTGGTTCATCAATGCAAGAGTCCGACTATGGAAACCAATGATCGAAGAGATGTACCAGCAAGAGTCCAACGAACACGACGACGATGACGTGGCGGACACAAGTCAAGATGAAGAAAAAGTCCACACCGCGACACAATCACCGGCGCCAATTATTACCCCTTCCTCCGCCTTGGCCGCCACAACAACCCCGCCGGCGGTCAAACGATCACCCGAAATCCCCGACGAAAACGACGTCGTCCCTCCACCTTCGACTCCCCTCGCCGCCATGAATGGCAGACAGCAGCAGTACTTCTCGGATAGCCAGAATGCAGCCGCCATGATCATGTCCTCCTCCGCCGTGGAGGCGGCGCCACCGCCGTCGCCGCCTCTTTTCCACGAGTACGCCAACTACGGTACCGGTGGGATGAGCATGGGTGGCGATCAAGAGAACTTCGGGCCCACTGACGTAGCGGCTAATACCCTAATAAGGTACGGGACAGCCGCCGCCAGCGGCGGAGACGTGTCTCTCACGCTAGGTCTCCGGCACGCCGGGAACATGCCGGAGAAGGCCTCCTCCACGTTCTCGATTCGCGAATTTGGAGACTGCTAGATCGGTTCGTATTAAATCTTTTTTCTTCTTGTTTTTTTTGTTAAGGGTGGGGGAAAAGCTTACGTGGAAACTCTCGGGGGAAAAAAAAAGAGAGTTTCCATATAATTTCATCGGAGAAATATAATTAATTTACATAGTTGGTCTACTAAGAAAGGAAAGAAAAGAAAGAGATACGCCATAATGTAACGAGAGAAATATTAGGGTTTACGTACGTACGTACGTGCATGCATTTATATGAAGTAAAGTAATTACTTAGTTAGCAGAGATTGTCTTATGAAAGGTTACTTTATATACTTATATAGCAGAATATTTGCCTTAAGTCAATTGGTTGTTTGCATTTTTTTAGAAGATCAATTGGTTGCTTTCTACTAGGGCTGGCTATTTGGTCCCGGACTGTTTGGTTTTACCCGAAACTGGACGGTATAACCCGGACCGAGACCGGACTGGGACCGGATAGCAAACAATGCAATCTCATATTCGGGCTCAGATTTGAGGTAAAAAACCGGATAAAGACCGGATAAGAGACCCCCAACACCTAAAATCAAGATAAAATTGGGACCGGACCGGATCAAGATCGGACTGTATCCAATCCATTTTTTGGTCCTTATATTCCCGAAAAGACCGGACCGGATCAATTTGATCCAATTTAACCGGACCGGACCGTATAGCAACCCCTACTTTCTACACAGTATTAGTACTAGACCCTTGGGTCTAAGACGAGTAGCTATATGTTTTCTCATTATCTTAATTAATAGAAAATTAATTATTTGACAATTTGAACCCAACATATATGCAAGAGGGAGAATAGGTAAAAAAAAAAAAAAAGAGAGAGAGAGAGAAGAAAGGGTTTCTTAAAACAGAAAACAATTTATAGACAAAGCAACAGGTTCTGTTCACCTAATTTATTGCTTCTATTTGTAAGAAATGATGTATGAACATATGATGTCATGACATGCACTGGCAACTAACTCATCATCAATCAACACAATTATATGTAACTCTTACATTGATATCTTTTTTTCCTCTTGCACAATCTCAAACTTATACGTCATAAATCAGAAAGAAATGGGGATAGATAACAAATTAAATTCTTTTCTTTTTAGAGAAAACACGGTTTGGGACTACTGCATAAGGGTATTACTGCTGTTTCTTCTTCTTTAAAGAAGAGGGTGGGTATAGCAGAGAGGATTTTCGGGCGGCTGCGACAGCTTTGTTATGTTTGTCGGTCTATTTTGTAATGTTAGTAATGTTTATATGATTAATTAGTATATATGATAATTTGTAATATTTGTTTTTCTAGTTTGTATATTTTATGTTATGATCTGTATGCTTTGTATCTATTGGTTATTTGGTTTGGAATACAAGTTCACCAATTTGTATTATAACTAGTAGTATTTTGTAAGGTTAGATATGCTTTATAAAGTTTTTTGGTTTGTTTTATATATTTGTAAGTTTCTCGCTCTTGTCTACTATTTTTGTACTGTTTAAAAGATAAACTGGTTGACTTATAGACGAAACTACTCTATATAACGACGAAGCCTCTAAAGCCAACCTGGTTGTTTTTCCATTTTGTATGATTTGTATTGTTTGTATTTTCCATTTTGTATGAATTGTAAATCTAATCTGTATAGTTTGTATATATAGTGTGTAAATCTAGTTTGTATGTTTGTATAGTTCGTCATATTTATCCACCATGATAATTTTCGGAGCACGTGTTATAATCTGATGTACATACAAGTAATACCACATGGTATGAACTAGTAAGACAAGTGTCAATTTTTTATGTTATGATCTGTATGCTTTGTATCTATTGGTTATTTGGTTTGGAATACAAGTTCACCAATTTGTATTATAACTAGTAGTATTTTGTAAGGTTAGATATGCTTTATAAAGTTTTTTGGTTTGTTTTATATATTTGTAAGTTTCTCGCTCTTGTCTACTATTTTTGTACTGTTTAAAAGATAAACTGGTTGACTTATGGACGAAACTACTCTATATAACGACGAAGCCTCTAAAGCCAACCTGGTTGTTTTTCCATTTTGTATGATTTGTATTGTTTGTATTTTCCATTTTGTATGAATTGTAAATCTAATCTGTATAGTTTGTATATATAGTGTGTAAATCTAGTTTGTATGTTTGTATAGTTCGTCATATTTATCCACCATGATAATTTTCGGAGCACGTGTTATAATCTGATGTACATACGAGTAATACCACATGGTATGAACTAGTAAGACAAGTGTCAATTTTTTGTTCCAAAATATATCAAAATGGTTGTCATTTTGAAAAGCACCATTAATATGGTTTTTTAGTACAAATTTTAACTTAAAACAAAGAAATATAGCCATTTAAAATTTATTGAAAGAAAATTAATAACCTTCTAAAAACGATAAATACAAAATTATACATAATTATTCACTCATAAGTCAGAACTAAGTCAAGCCCTGAATCGGCTCCTCATCCTGAGGGCAACCAAATGCAAACAAGACGAAAAGGATAAGGGGATACGGGCAAGACATCATCATGAGTGCGGATCCGGTGATTGAGGGTGCTTAGTCACTTGACTAAGCCCCTCCCAGCCCTTAGATCCGGACACATATCAATCTGATGGTTAAAAAGTGAGAATGGCTATTTAATTAATGACAGGGGTAGTTTGGGTATTATGGAAAATTACGAAGTATACAAACCAGACTTACAATCAGTACAAACCATACAAACATACGAACAGTACAAACTAAAGCGACAAAACATACAAACAGATTTACAAACATTACAACATATGAACTGTACAAAAAATACAAACTAGACCGACAAACAATACAAACCATACAAAATGAAAAAACAACCAGGTTGACTTTGGAGGCTTCATCCCTATATAGAGGGGCTCCTTCCCAAAGTCAACCTGAGTGTTTTTTAGTCATACAAACAGTAAGAACATGGTGGACAAAAATGACAAACTAGATCGACAATCCATACGAACTGGAAAAAACACTCAGGTTGACTTTGGAGGCTCCATCCCTATATAGAGAAGTTCCATCCAAAAGTCAACCAGGTTGTTTTTTAGACATAAAAACATTACAAACATGGTTGACAAAAATGATAAACATGGTTCACAAAAATAACAAAGTTTACAAACATTACAAAATAACAAAGCGTACAAACATTACAAAGTATGACAACAAACATCACAAAGCACTGTTGCCGGAAAATTCTTCTCCGTCGACGATGGTAGTCGGGAAAAAAAATTTCCAACCAAAAAATCTCTCTCTCTCTCTCTGGGATTGGGGGAAAGTTCCCCAGCAAAGGAATACAAATGGCCGGCCGGCGAGAGCAATAATAATTCCCATAACAAAAGTGACCAACAGCACCGACGATGGAATTCCCTGGCCGGCAATGGCCGACGGGGAAAAAGAAGAAACGAGACGGGCGACAGGGAGAGATGAGCCGGGAAAATTATTTAATAATTGAAAATAAAAATAATCATGCACTTACAGTTTTGCCCCTCATTAAAGTAGATTAATAGTAGCCATTAGATTTTAATGAGATGAAAGGGTTGAGATTCGCTTAGTCATGTTACTAAGGACCCTCCTTAGTTGAGGGTCGGGAGCTGAAACAGATCCTGAGTGACTACGAAAAAGAGTCGGGCCAAATGATCAGCTATGAGAAGTCGGAAGTGACTTTGGGGGCGAGTGTGAAGCCCCATCAGAGCCTCCAGGTGAGCTCGATCCTGAACATGAAGACTGTGGAAAAGCATGATAAGTATTTGGGATTAGCTACGGTGGCAGGCAGACCGAAGAAGGAATTATTCTCTACCATCAAGGAAAGAGTGAGGAAGAAGCTTTCGGGATGGAAGGAGAGGAATATGTCTGCAGCGGCAAGAGAGGTTTTGATCAAATCTGTCGCCCAGGCTCAATTGACCTATGCAATGTCGGTGTTCCGCGTACTAGAGGGAGTTATTGATGAGGTACATGGCATGATTATGAGGTTCTGGTGGGGACAAAAAGGAACGGAAAAGAGAATACCATGGTTAGCGAGGGAGAAGCTTGTTTGTCCAAAGGCGGAGGGTGGTATTGGTTTCCGAGACCTGCGGGGTTTCAACACTGCTCTGCTGGCTCTCTTATTGTGAGGATGATGAAAGCAAAATATTATAAGAATGGGTCAGCACTTGAGGCAAATGTCGGATACCGACCAAGTTTTGTATGGCGAAGTCTGATGAGTGCGCAAGAGTTCTTATGCAGTGGATTGAGGTGGAGGATTGGGAACGGGGATTTGGTTCGTGTCTAGGAAAATTGGTGGTTGCCGGATGTCTCAGGCTTCTTCGTTCAGTCACCGCCGATGGGGCTGCCGGTAGACTCGAAGGTTAGTGAGCTGATTGATGCGGAAACTGAGCAATGAGATGCAGCACTTGTTGAAAGTTGTTTTCCAGCGGCGATGGCTGAGTCCATCTTGCGCATTCCAGTGTGAGGTATTAGCGAGCCTGATCGGCAGATTTGGGCTTCGAGTAAAACAGGGAGCTATGAAGTTAGGGAGGCTACTGTGTGTGGCTGAAGGAGTTCATGTCTGAACGGGGTTACAGCCAGTAGGGGAGGCCAATATGTGGAACAAAATTTGGTCAATGAAGACGCCACCAAAGGTTCGCCATTTTATGTGGCGTTTCGCTAGAACATCTTTGGCTACGGGTGACCAGGTTAGTATGAGAAGTGAGCGGAGAGGAGATGCTTGTCCTTTTTGTAATTTGAAGGAGACACAAGTTCATTTATTTGGGGAGTGTGGCTGGGTTTGTCGGATCTGGCGTGCATCAACTTTAGCCAAGTGGTTTGATATGAGAGATGACAAGGGATGCCTGGACTGGGTAGCACGAGTGGCTCAGGTAGCAACAGCAGAAGAGTTCGCGGACTGGAGTGTATTGCTATGGTTTCTTTGGAAAGAACGAAACGCACATATGTTCAATGGTGCAAAGTTGGCCGAAGAAGAAATAGTGGTGCGCGCCCAAGCTTTTATTGATGATTATAGACAATACCAGGAGGCTTTGGAGACCTCATCGGGGCCAGGTGTGACGAAGACGTGGCAACGACCAAGAATGGGAAAGATCAAAGTGAATGTTGATGCATGAGTCGTGGATGGGGTCTTGGGTTTGTGTGTGGTCATTAGAGATGCTATGGGGCGCTTTGTGCTAGCGGCTGCGAAGAAAATCTGATACGGGGGGAGATCCGGAAATGGGCGAGGCGCTAGCAGGGGAGTTTGGTCTCCTTTTGGTGCGACAACATCACTTGGGATCCCCAGTGCTCGAAACAGATTGCCTTACGCTGGTGGGAAAGCTTTCGACAGCTAGGGACGCCCATACTGAAGTGGGAATTATATGTCGAAGCATATGTAAGCTGATGGAGGAAATTGGGGGAGGTGAGTGGCGACACGTTAGCTAGACGGCGAACGAGGCAGCCCATAAAATGACGCATGTCAATACGGGATGGAATGAAGTGGAGGTCTAGTTTGATAGACCTCCAATGTGTCTGCTTGATCAGCTAAAACTAGATGATGTAACTGTTTCTTCTGATTAATAATAGCACTGAGCAGATTCCTATTAAAAATAAACCCGTCTTAGTCACCTAATCTTAGCCCCCTCATCATCGCTGGCCCAACCACAGGAGCCCAACAATTAAACGAGGCCCACAACGTCTCCGTCAATCTGCCGCCACGAGCCCGGCAAACCCCCACCGGCATTCAACAGCTTTCTTCTTCTCCTCCATCTCTGTAGTTTGCTCCGTCCAAATTCTGAATTTCCTTCCATTGAAACCCATGCTTCCCGATTCATTGCTTCTCTGGAAGTTCCGGCCGTCGGCGCTGAGCCTGCGGGAGAACGAATCGAAAGATAGGTAATATTATTTATTATCCGTCTCCCTTTTTCTTTTCCTTGGCGCTCTCGATTTTTTTTCCTTCCGATTGTCTTATTTGGCTGTCCAGAAACTTGATTAACCTTAGGAAGAGAATTTTAACTTGCCTAGTGCTACTGCTGTGACAGCTCTCTCTTCTGATCCATCAATCGCTGAAGCTCAGCTTCAATCTCCTCTTCCTCCTCGGAGATCCTCGTCAATTCCATGTCCAGCAATCTCAGCTCCAGTTCTCCTATAACCAACCTTGCATCAGCCACCTTCCATTCCGCTGAATCAGCTGTTGCCTTTGCTTTGGCACTCTTCATGCTCCTCACTGTCTCAGGAACGGTTTGTTCCATCTCTGCTACCAAATCCAGCACACTCTCCGGCACTGCTGCTGCCGCCTTTTCGTCATCGTCGGCGTAATTCGAGCGCGAAATCTGCTCAATCATTTCCAGAACACGATCCTCAATGTCCCCAATCGCATTGGCTTCATCCCAATCGTTGAAGGACTGCTGCTCTACTGCTAGCGTTGGCTGATTCTGCTCTGGAGGATCCACTGTTTTGATTCTCTTGTGAAGCAAGCATTTTTCATTTTCACCTTCTGAATCGGCAATGTTGATCTCGGCATCCAAATCTGTTGTTTCAGGAGTTGAATGTTCTTCCCCGGTACCAATAGTAGCGGCATTACCCTGCCTCCGTTGCTTTTGATGATGACCCGCTAACCGATTTCTGCAGTTTCTCTCCTCTTCATCAAAATCACAGAGGACATGAAACCTGTTGAAAGAGAGGTGTAATGTAGATCATAAGAACTCGTAGAGAAAGTACTGGAGAAAGGCTTTTAGAACAGGGTTGCTAAAGTTTTTGAGTTTCATTACCTGCAACATTGGTGGCAAAACCGCTGTAGGATATTGCCTAGTAATGCGGCAGTAGCCATGCAATGAATCTCACAGATCTTGTGTTGTTGGTGATAAGTCTCTGCCCCGCTAAGATCGATTTGGCAGTCTTCCACCTGGCAAAGAATTGGTTCGGTTGCTGCAGAAAGTGGCTTCGTTTCAACAGTCTTTGCATCGTCATGATCATCATCATTTCTTAGTTGTTGTTGTTGATCTTCCATCTGCAAAAGAGTTGCAATCTCACTTTGCTCCGCTTCTGATTTGTTGTTCTGTGTGTGGTTTATGGTCTGGATGTTGATATCGTGGGAAGAAGATGTGGAAGCATGGGAAGAACCAACATTAGGAGGGAGCAATAGTGCCCTCCTGAGTTCTGAAAGTAGAGAACTGATCAAAGGAGTTCTTGGAAATGCTTCTTCCTCTCGTTCTACAGCCTTCTTTCCTCGTATGTCTTTCAGATCTAATGATAGATCTTGTGATAGTGAACCTTCAGCAACAACATCCACTTGCTCAGCTGTGAGCAGTTGTGGTTCACGAGAAGATTCTTTATTAGCTAAAATGGTTAGTCAAAGAGAAACATCAGTAAAGTTCTACAGTATTTGTCAACCATCAAATTTTCTTTACTTTCTACCTGGAATGTCACTGTTGCTGTTGGGTAGATTCTCCCGGTGTCTTGCTTCTGTGGAAGGCATGGCAGAAAACCCCAAATGTGGCTTTGCTAATGAGGGCACTGCTCCATCCTGATAGTCACCAATGTACTTCCACATACTGGAGCAGCCAGAAATATTAAGAGTTTCAAGAGATTTCATCAAGTGGATAACACTACGTGGGAGGTTGGCAAGTTTTGCACAGTTTTTGAGGTTCAATTCACTGAGATTTGGTAGACATCCAAGCGAAGGAGGAAGCCTGGTTAGATTTGAGCAATCAGAGAGATCAAATGTCTTGAGCAACTTCAATCTGATTAAACTTGGAACTCCCTTCAAACTTTGGCATCCCTTGAGGTTGAGATGCTGAAGCTTTGTAAGATACTGAATGGATGAGATCCCAACCAAGTTTGCACAGCCTTCAAGGTTCAAACTTTCTAGTTTCTGAGCCTTTGATAGATCCGGAATCCAGAGCAAATCGGAATGCTTTGCATCAAGACACTTCAAGCTCACAAGATGCTGTCAAAAGGTAAACAACATTATAAAAAAAATCGAGTTTTTGTGTGATTGCAATTGCAGCAAATAATCAAGAAGGAATTTTTTTGAAACTACCTGCTCCCCTCCCTTCCATAGCTGAGGACGTTTGCTATATGAGAAGAAAAGGGACACAAAGTTGTGCGCAGAACAGAATTTGAGTGAGGGAGACTTTGAAATGTAGAGCTGCTCTTTTGTGTACATCATGTCCTTGCAGTGAGAGGACTTGAACTCAAATGAGGGAAATCTGTCTTTAACCTTCGTCTGGTTTGATTCAGTCATGTCCAACATTCTATCACCAACTTTCTTCTTTTCTATTTGCAGTATAGGGCAAGACATAACTTGACCAAGAAGAGAATTGAGGAGGTTGATGAGTTCCATGTCGGATGATACGGCGCCGTTTTGGTGTTGGTGGTGTGGTGATGGTGATGAGGTGGAGGATGAGGATTGGAGGAGGTACTGGACGTATTGGAGCTTGGCGAGCTGGAGGGCCTCGGCCTGGAGCCTCATGGTCTGGTGGTCGAGTGGGTTGCTGCTGCTGCTGGTGTGGTCGAGCAGGAGGTCCTTCAGCTGGACCAGGGCCATGAGCTGAGGCAGCGTGGCGAACAGGTCGGTCCGCGGCTGGTGGGTCATCGGGTCGAACCCCATCTGGATCAGCTTCTTTTTCAGGTGTGTGTTCCAGAAGTTTTTGATCTCGTTGTCCGTCCGTCCGGGGAGATGACTTGCTATTGCTGACCACCTACGTACATAAAAAAAAAAAAATTAATATTGAATCAATTTTGTATTATGCAAAAGCATTTTTCATGATTTGAATTATATATGGAAGTCTTGTCTAGATGATCAATGTTGTATATTGGACATCAATACTTGATTCATGACTTGGTTTAACAAAGCCATATCTAATAATCTACTATCGTCGCGGTATATTAGCATCAATCATTGATTGCATCATAAGGTAAGGTAGTTTCTGATGATGACTTTTTTTTCTTCTTTTGTGATCATCTTACTATTGAGGAAAATCAATGAGCTTCAAGATCGTTATATATCGTGATAAAATCATCTACCTTGATTTAGTTATCGTTACATACGTGATTAAAAACCCGATATAATTCAGAAATGGATGTCACACACACTCACTTGTTGCCAAGAATGGAATGGAGATTGAGAATGGTCTGTTCTTCATCCTGAGAGAACTTCCCCCTCTTGATATCCGGCCGCAAGTAGTTAGTCCACCTCAGCCGGCAGCTCTTGCCGCACCTATTCAGCCCTGAACCAAAAAATAACACGATCATCATCTGCCGGCCGACGACAAAGCTATAGAAGCTATAGCTAGTTTTACTTACCGGCGAGCTTGGGGAGAGCTCTCCAGCTGCCATGGCCGTTTTTGTGTATGTAATCCACCAGCTTCTTGTCCTCTTCCGGAGTCCACGGGCCCTTCTTCAGCCCATCCTCGTCGCAGCAAGGAGACCTTCCCATTCTCTCTCTCTCTCTCTCTCTCTCTGTGGGTTTACGTTAACTTGTGGAAATGGGTTATGCTTCCTTTGCTCCAACCAGCTGCAGAATCAAATGGCCGGCCTGAGTATGTATTTATATACATAGATTATTAGGTCCTTCGTTTGCTTGTTGTCTTTGGTGATGGAAAATGGTTATGAATGTGGTGTTTTTTTTAATGTGAGGAAATGGGTTGGTTGACTGAGATGGAGACAGTTCCCTCCACATATGCAAAAGCTTGAATTGACAGTCTATGGCCATGACCAAACTATAAGGTACGTTTTGATCCACAAATTTTAAAGTGGTGCGCTTTATTTTTTCCAGCCTTAACTAAATGTTGATTTTCTTGTAGCGATCATTAATTTTCAACATAGAAAGAATTTGAAGAGAAACTTCCCCATTCCAATATCTTTAGCAACATGTCAAAGAAAATTCGCACAAACGGTTAAATAAGAGTTATAGGTATAATATGTCAATCTACTATTACGTTTTGTCAAACATGCCCCTTTACTATTTTTTACATCAAACATGCTCTTGTGCTAAAATTTCCATTGAAAAATCGTCAATCATGGTTGAACCAAGATTTAGACGACCCGGCATTGTCCCCCGTTTTATTTCTCTTGGTCTCTTCAAATTGGAGCGACTTTCCATTGGAAACAGATGCAGCATGGAACGACTTTCTTTGCTTGAGTTCCTTAACAACTTTGCTAATCAAAGGGTCTCAAGCGGGCCTAGTCGGATTGTTTGGTTACCAAACCCAGACAACCCTTTCTCTGTTCGTTCTATGTATAGATCCCTTGTGAAGAACAGGTTCCCTGGAATCCCCAACTTCCCCGCTTCCTCTGTCTGGAAATCAACCATTCCAACCAAAGTCTGCATCTTCATATGGCTCACCACCCTCAAGAGACTTCAGATACTTGACAACCTAAAGAATAGAGGACTCTTTCTAGCAAACAGATGCGTTCTCTGCGGAAAAGACGAGGAGACTACCGATCATATCTTCATTGTTTGTGCATTTAGCAAAGAGGTTTGGCAGATAATCAGAGCTGTCAGTCCAAGAATCCCCAATCCACGTGCTGATGTGTATTCAACGGTGAATGAGTGGCAGGGCGCCCCCCTGAAACCGTTGACGGCTGGATTATTCACAACGCACTTCATGCTATCCTTTGGCAGTTATGGCTCGAAAGAAACCGACGCATCTTCCAAGACAATAGCAGGGCGTTGTTGCAGTTTCCAGAAAAGCTCTCAAGTCCATGCTCGAGTGGCCTATTGCTATGGGGAAAGTCAGTAAAGAAGATGGACGCCAGTGGCTAGCTAATCACGCATTGACAAATCAACACCCAAACCCTTGATGCACACTTCCAGTGACCTGCAGCTATCCCTTTGAGTACGGGTGTTTCGGAGGCTTCCCCTTTGATTGTTTGCTCCCCTGTTTCTGTTGCTTCCCTTTGCTTGCCTCCTCTGTCTGAGGCCTCTCAGTCTTTCTGCTCTGGTTCTTCTTGTCTCTTCTCCCTTCCCCTTTCTGTTTTTCATTCTCGCTGCCTGTTTTTTTTTTCCTTTTGTTCCGATTGGCTGGTTCAACCCTTTTGAGCCTCCTTTCGTTTGTATCCTTGAGACGCCTTCCCTTTTTCATAGCAATCTAATTTTTCACCCTTATAAAAAAATGTATTCTTGTTTTTATTAAAGACTTTGCCGAATAAATAATCTGTGGTCATTTTTTAAACAATTCATAGTTGAAACTTAAGCTCATGACCCAAGAAAGAAAAGAACACAATAAAACAAATTAGATTACCAAATAGTCTTTTTTCCCATAGGTAGACTTGGAACCATGTAGTCTTTTTAAAACAATTCATGATTAATTACTTCGCCGTAGCCGATGACCTAAAAACACAAGAAAACAGATTATAAGTCAACTTATTTGCATTTGGTGAGAGAATATAATGCTTTTAATTCAATTATATGATTTATTATTAGAAAGCAATGACGGACGTTCATATTCAAGCATAGGAAAGGACTTTTTTTTTTTTTTTACAAAGGGCAAACATTTTCATTACTTATAGCAGAATCCATCGGTTACAGAAGGGGTGCAATAACATCAAGAACATGAATCCATTCTCCAGGGAGCTGATTCTTAGCACACGATCTCGCAACCCAATTTGCTTTCGAGTTTCTTTTTCTATTCGTGTAGTCGAAACGCATTCCTGGGTGGCTGGATGCAAGGCTCTTAATATGGTTGATCCAAACAGCGGCACGCCATGGCCAAACCTCTTTGCTGCTGGCCAGTGCCTTAATGAAGGCGAGGCAGTCAGAAAAGATCTTGCAAGGGGCTGCCAGTGAGGCCGCCATGCGCGTTCCCTCCCAAAGGGCTTTTGCTTCTGCTTCAAGTGGTGAAAAACATTGCATAGTCTCAGCCTTCCCGTCACATACCTGTCCGTGGCAATTCGTCACAACGATGCCAAAAGCCGCCTCCTGTGAATCACTGAAAAAGGATCCGTCACAGTGTATCTCAAACTCATGAGTACTTGGCGGTGGAGAGGAAGGATCTGGGGGTGGGTTGTGCTGAGGTTGAAGGGGAAGATCTTTAATCTTCCTGAGACAGGTACTCCATTGGTGGTGTGCAATCTGAGCTTTCTGTATCGTGGTGGGTGGCCAGGGGAGAGTACCTTTGAAAATGCGTTCATTACGAGCTTTCCAGGTCTGCCACATCTGAAAAATGATCCGCTGGATCGAGAGACAAGAGAACCGGGACTGCAGAGAGAAAAGCCAGTCCAACATGTTGGTGAGAGGGGGGGGGGGGAGGGAGACTCAGTCCAGGCCACTCGAAGTTCCACCCTGTTCCCGCGTGGGGGCATGCAAACAAACAGTGGTGGACAGTCTCAGAAGGGCAGTTGCATATGGCACATGTTCTGGTGGGGGAGCATTTCCTCGCAAATAGGTTCTCTTTCGATGCCAGTGCATTTTTTGCACATTTCCAGACGAAGAATTTCATCTTTGGAGGGAGCGACTAACTCCAAAGCCATTTCCACTTCTCTTTTGTTGCTTCCGGGAAAGGGTTACTGTCCCCTTGGCTTCTGCGAGATTGATTGTGGAAGAGGTGGAAAGCAGATTTAACTGAGAAGTTCCCCTGCTCAGAGAGTCTCCATGCCCAAAAATCTGTCATTGAGGCAGGTCCAATAGGAGTGCCAGCAGCACTGCTTAGGTCTTGAGGGTCGAGAAGATGGGCCAAGAGGTCAAACTTCCATTCCCTTGAGATAGAATCAATGAAAGTGTCAGCCGTTGCTGGGTCAGAGGAGGTGCTGGGGGTGACAGGACCTGGTCGATCAAAGCGCCAGGGATCCTTGAAAAACTTCGTTGACTTCCCATTTCCGATGACTCGAATCACTCCCTTCTCCATCCAGTTCTTTGCTTCACAGAGGCTTGCCCATATCCAGGATGCCTTGCTCCCCTTTTTTGCTGCCAGGAAGTTCGTTCTTGGGAAGTAGATACTCTTAAGCACTCTCACCCACAGAGAATTAGGGTTGGTAAGAGCATGCCATGCTTGCTTTGCAAGAAGGGCCATGTTAAAGATGCGAAAAGGCCTGAACCCCAATCCCCCTTCCTCTTTTGGTGCGTAGAGAACATGTCCCGCCTTCCAGTGGATCGATCGTTTTGAGATGTTTCCTCCCCAAAAGAAATTTCTGAGCATGGAATCCATTTTTTTTGTGGCCGAACGTGGAAGGAGGAAGAGGCACATGATGTAAGATGGAAGTGCCTGGAAAACAGCCTTAAGCAGATTTTCTTTACCTCCTGGGGATAAGAGAAGGCTCTTCCAAGCTTCTCCTTTGCTTTCCATTCTCTGGATGATGAAACGGAAGGTTTCCTTCTTCGATCTTCCCCACTCAGTAGGGACACCCAGGTAAGATGAGTGACAATTCGACTCCGCAAAACCCACCGTCTGAATGATTCTTCCTTTTTCATCCTCTTGTACATTACGACTGAAGAAGAAGGAGGACTTCTCTCTATTCACCTCCTGTCCAGTTATTGATCCATAAGCGTGAAGGATTCCCAGGATCTTTTCTGCTTCCGCAGTTGAGGCCTCACCAAAAATGACAGTGTCGTCGGCAAAAAGGCAATGTGACAAGGTAGGGCATGATCTATTCAGCTTCAAACCCCTAATCTCCCCATTCTGCACTGATTTTTCAATCAGAAATGAGAGGGCATTGGACATCAGTATGAATAGGAGGGGAGAAAGGGGATCACCTTGTCGGATACCCCTAGTTGGGGTAAACTCCTCTGAGGGTCTTCCATTGAACATAATTTTGAATTTCACTGAGTCAATACAGGATCTGACCCATCCACACCATTTGTCCTCAAAACCATAGGCTTTCAGTAGCTCAATAAGGAACCCCCATTCCACCAGGTCATAGGCCTTCCTCATGTCAAGTTTCATCATCATGTACTTGTTATTGCCTTCCTTGTGTTTCTTGAAATGGTTTAGGACCTCATGAACGATAATAATATTATCTTGAATCTGTCTCCCCCCTGTAAAAGCTTATTGAAGCTCATTCACCAGTGTTGGCAAGAGCGGCTGCAATCTATTGGCCATGATCTTCGTGATTACCTTGTAACGGAAGTTACAGCAGCTGATAGGTCTGAACTGACCTATAGTTTCAGGAGCATCCACTTTAGGTATTAGCGTGATGTACGTGTCATTCCAGTTCGGTGGCATGACACTGTTGCTGAAGAAGTTGCTAATTTCCTCGCAAAGCTTGTCCCCCACAATATGCCAATACGGTCGGAAGAAATGGCCTGGGAAACCATCCGGGCCTGGTGCTTTGTTTGCACCCAACTGAAAAACTGCTTTTCTAATCTCCGCTTTCTCAATACTAGCATTCAAGAGCCTGTTGTTTTCCCTCGTAACCAGCGATGGGAAGCCATTGATAAGGGAAGAGTTAAAAGTTCCATTTCTGCTTGAGAAAAGATTGGAATAAAAGTTGGTAATGTGTCCCTCAAGGTTATGGTCAAGAGTCAGCCAGTTCCCCAACTCATCTTTCAGCTTGTCGATGCGGTTCCTGTTTCTTCGTTTGATTGTGCTAGCATGAAAAAAACCTGTGTTCTGATCAACCTTCTTGGAGCCAGAAGTTTCTGGATCTCTGAGCCCAAAATTCCTCTTCGAGCTTCCATGCTGACTCCAACTCTTGCAGTACACTTTTCTCTTCCTCAATCTCTGCAAGATTTCTCGTTGACCCATTTAAATCCTGTAGCCTTCTCCTGATTTCCTTTTCGCGTTTTATTTTCTTTGCTCTCTCTAACCTTGCCCATCTATGGATTTCTTCTCGGCAATTAGCGAGGGTCTCATTGACCTTATCTCCTCTCTTCCACAGGTTGTCAATGATCTGGGTGCATTCCCCATTTTCTCTCCACCTTTTATCAAACCGAAAAGGGGTGTCCCTATCTTGTTGTTTGGGGTGCAGATCGATCCGGATCAGACAATGATCCGAGTTCACAAAATCTTCATGATACACCGTGGCTGTTTCGTACTTAAGTCTCCATTGAGAAGAGCATAGCCCTCTATCCAATCTTTCTCTAATTAAGTCCTCTCCCTGCTGATTATTGGACCATGTAAAGACTGATCCAGAGAATCCCAGATCGAAAAGTGCATTCTGCGAGATGAAATACTTCAAGGGGTCGACATTTTCGTTCCGTAGGGGGCATCTCCCCTGTTTTTCAAACGGGAACAGGGCAACATTCAAGTCTCCTACAATAAGCCAACAGACATCTTGTTCTTCTCTAATGATCGTAAGTCGATCCCAGAGAGCCCTTCTCTCCACCGCCGTGGTGGGATCATGGAAAAAAGTACAGAAGAAGTCTTCCCCTTCCCTACTAAAACACACATCCAAAAAAAATCTACAAGCATCCAAAATGCGGACATTCACGTCCTCCTTCCACCAAAGAGCCAGTCCACTACCTTCATCTGCTGGGTTAACATACTTGGCATAATCAAACTTCAGTGCTCTCCTTTTGTCCTCCATGAAGGGTTCATCCTTCCTGGTTTCCATTAGGAAGAGAACTGGCAGGCTATACTGGCGGCACAGTCTGCCACAGTAACTTCGTGTAAGGGATCGCCCGAATCCCCTACAGTTCCAGCTCAGAATCCTCATCCATGGCTTGGCGGCTCAAGGCTTGCCACCGCTGCCCTCGGAGAGTTGGACTCGCCTTCTCCGGACTGATTCCCTTCCGCTGTCAACTCTGCTAAACTCCTTCCTCTCGTAAAATACTTTCTCCTCTGGTATGTCTTCCTGTTTTCACCTGGAACAAAAGCCAATGAATCAAAGGAAATGTTAGTCGAAGCCTCTGGTTGTGGGATGGGGCAGCTTGGGCTGACTCGGTCTGGTTTCCTCTTTTTTTCGGGCCTGGTTCTGGGCTCTTCTTCTTCTGTTGCCACTTTTTTCCCGGTGCTTGGGTTGGGGGCCTGTTCTGTTGGGGTAGCTACAGGGCCTGCTGTTGATTTCACTGTTGTTGGGATGTTGCTGTTGTCACGGTAGTAGAATGGGCTTGCTAAGGATAGAGAGCGGCCCATTTCAAACAGGCCCGCTGCTTTCTCTCTGTTTCGTCCTCCTTCCCTTAGG